AAGTGACTAAGTGCATAACTACAGTTCTTATTTTATTAAGTCGTATATTTAATAGACGATAGATTGACGAAAAAATTGTTGTTTTGCATATTAATTACGGCCACCAAGCAAGGAAAAAGGACAAGTTACAAATAGGTACAATAAAAAAAGACAATGGGTGAGAAAGAGAGATAGTGATAGAGAAAAAGATAGAGAAAGGAAGGAAAGTGATTGCGAAAGAGATATAGTGAGTGTGAGTGAGGGCTTGTAAGAGGAAACAAAAATAGTAAGAAAGAGATATTGAGGGAGAGAGAAAGAGTGTTTGTGTNGTGTGTGTGTGTGTGTGTGTGTGTGTGTGTGTGTGTGTGTGTGTGTGTGTGTGTGTGTGTGTGTGTGTGTGTGAAAGAGAGAGAGATTGTGTGAGTGAGGAGAGATAACTGCTTGTAAGTGAGAAAGAAATCTAATGAAAGCTCAGTGAGAGAGAATGAGTAAGATAGATGTGTGTGAGTGAAAAAATGAGGAGGGAAAGAGAGTGAGTGTGAATAAGGAAAGAGAGAGAGAAATAGTAAGTTTTTGAGAAAAAAAGGTGAGTGAGTTAGAAATGGAGATAGTGAGTAAGTGAGAAAGAAAGAGATAGAGTTAGTGAGTGTTTATGAGTAAATGTTAGGTAATACCTAATCATCTCTAATTGTGAAGGATGAATAGAGAGAGAGAGAGAGAGAGAGTGAGTGAGAGAGAGAGAAAGAGAGAGTGAGAAAGGAAGATAGTGCGTGAGAAAAAGGGGAAAGAGAGAGAAGGAGAGTGAGTAAATTTGAGTGCTAGTGAGTGAGAAAGAGAGAGATTAAAATTTGAGAGTGAGAAAGAGAGAGAATAAGTGAGAAAACGGAGAGAAAAGAGAGAGTGAGTGGAGAGAAATAGAGAGAGAGCGAGAAAGGTAGATAGTGCGTGAGAAAAAGGGGAAAGAGAGAGAAGGAGAGTGAGTAAATGTGAGTGCTAGTGAGTGGGAAAGAGAGAGAATGAGTGAGAAAACGAGAGAGAAAAGAGGGAGGGAGTGAGTAGTTAATGTGAGTGCTAGTGGGTAAGGAATAGATAGATTAAAAAGTGAGTGTAAAGAAAGATAGATAGTGAGTGATAAAGAGAAAGATAGTGAAAAAGTGAGAGTGTGTAAATTTGAGTACTAGTGAGTGAGAAAGATAGGCAGTGAGTGAAAAAGAGAGCGTGGGTGAGTGTAAGTGTGAGTGAGAAGAGAGAAAGTAAGTGCTCGTAAGTGAGAAAAAATGTAACGAAGAAAGTATAGTATACCAAATACCCATTTTTCCGATTTGACGGTTTTCTGTTATTTAATTATTTTTTCCAGCACAAACACAATAAATAAGTAGAAAAAAACGAAAAACCTGATAAAATTAATTCCTCTCCTGCGAATACATTAAATTATTTCGTTTAAAAACAATAACAAACGGTATTAATAACCGCCATACAGAGAAAACTTTGTATGGCAATAAGACCAATCAGATGCCTTCTCTCTGAGGCGCGACGAAACGCCCCGCACCCATTCCAGCATAATCCAGCACCTTCTTAAATAGTAAAATTATTAATTTTACCGACGTGATTTTTATAATTCAAGTCCCTAAGTAAATTTTTAAAAAAATATCATACGGTATGAGTTTTTTATTAATAAAGCCTTTGTATCGATACCGTGCCATGGCACGCAAGCTGTACTTAATAACGAAGCCATAAAGATTAAACTAATCTATACATCTCTATTTATTAAAAACAATAAAAGACATTTTCATCCTTTTAAATAGATTGAGTATATTACGTGTTTTGCAATAATTTGCCATCCTTATTAAAATTAAATAATAATTAACAAATTATTGTATAACTGCTATCTTAGTTCTCACGTAACAAGAGCACTGTCGATAGGTGGAACCTCCGAACCTGACTCAAAGAAGAAGGGTCTGATTAAGGATAAGCCATGCGAGCTTGACACACTAGAACCTACTTTTGGGCCAAAGCCCGTGTAAGTGTCAAGCATGTGACGATGCTCGATGTGTCCCACCTAATTGCCACTCATTGACTCGTGCAGGCGTGTAGGAATGCACCTGATATGATAATAGTGCTGGAGCACGACAGCAAATATTTGGGTCCCCTGTTCCGTTTTTTAAAAGAAACATGACTGCTTTACTGCTTACAGTACTTTATAGATATCTCGACTTATTTTTCTTTGTTTATATTGAGCCTGAATGTATTTATTAGCGTGAATGTGTAGTGTGAGAGAGCTGATGGCGGATGATGATCAAGTACTCCACCAACCTAAGTGAATAGCATGCAAATATAAAATCATGTTTTAAGATTATGTCAGAGTGTGAATGGGTTTCGATCTGGAACTGATTGCGGTGGGGCCGAAATGACCTAGATATTGATACACTCTGAAGCCCAGCTTCGGTGCTGGACGGATAAGGCGGTCTGACCCCGGACTGCCAACACCGGGGTGGATGATTCTCGAAACTTGCAGGTAATTTATTGTAAATTACAAAATCTTGAATTGTCGGTGGAATGTAAGCTTACATAAATCGGTAATCCGTGATCATACAGCTATTTTGAGCCATATGCAGGTATTAAAATAATTAATAGCTAATGCTGACGCAGGCCATTTCAGACCAACACACACACACACACACACCATACAAATTGCAACAAAGATCATGACGTCCTTGCTCGAATGACCGTACAACTTATGTCACTGGTGGAAAGTAAACCCGCTTAGAGAAAATATTTAGTAATGGAATATAAGAAATGCTTTCATGAAGACAGCAGACACCGGACAACATGGCGTAGTCAATTTACATAACATTATATTTTAAAAAACCCTGTTACAGTGCGATTTGAAGAATGACTAAAAATATATTTACAGGGGAAAAAAATCATACGCAGTCCTTTTCATGCACAGGGCGATCACTTGACCGGCCCAATCTATCATGCTTTATATCTTCCAATTATACATTAAATTTAATCATATATCACTTATTTATTAGATAGGAAGAGAGTAAGCGAATGTAAGTGAGAAAGAAATATAGTGGATGATTATGTGAAAGAGAGAGAGAGAGTGAGAGTGAGAGAGACTTCACATCTTTTTATTTATACTATGTGTACATTTTTAGGACATTTTTGTCTTTTCATACGTAACGTTTACAGTGTTTTACAGTGTTACATTACACCATACATATATATTTTGTTTTGTGTAAACAAATATTTGATATAATTATACAATTAAATATTTAAATATATTAAAATATATAAATCTACATATTAGACCAGTACAACTAACCTATATCATAATGATTGGAGTATATATAAATTAAATGAATATAATTTAAATTTTAAACTTGTGCAAACTTTATTCATACTTTGCACAACCACAACTGGATACAAATTATATTTAAAATTTGAATTATACTAAAATTAAGTTTTACCCATTGGTTTAATAGATTCATTTGCGTAATCGACTATTGTCACGTTGTTCATTTTGATCACAATGGGCAAAAATTGTCTTAATTCTCTAATCCTTACTCGACTTGCTTCATTTCTTGTTTTGTGATATCGTGATGATTCAGAAGAACGTGAGTGTGATATATGAAATATATTTTGTTCATTCCGTTGTGCTGTTTCTTCTTCTGTTTTATTTTGTCTTTCATCTGGAATTCTGTTGGCAATATTTTGTCGTTTTCGTGACTTTTTAAACAATAAAATGCCAACAGCAATTCGACATCAGCAGACTCAAACAGACAGAGTGTAAGATCAAACATAATCAATAATACAACAAAATCATTGTTGTATACTGTATACAACATAAATTGTATTTATACTACATAAAAAGTATAGTATACGTGGGTTCTAATCTCGCTCGTTGCACTGACTTTTTCATTCCAACCAAAACCTTACATAAAATGATTAATTTATTTTATACGTTTTTATACAAATTTTTACCTACATTTTATTTTAAAATTTACAGTTTACTAAATAACACAACTGTGCGACTTTAGAGTCAATCCCAACAATTCAACAATGCAATAAATAAGATAATACAATGACACTAAATAAATAGGTATATAATTTTATTTTATCCATTTTATAATTTTTCCATATATTTTATTATTAAAATATACAATTTACTAAATAACTTGTTGAAATAGTGAGGAGCGATCAAGAATAAGGTAGTTTAGAAAAACACTTTTTTCATTTTTTGCCGACGTTTCGACCTTTATTCGGGTCGTCTTCAGAGCATTAAGTGTGGTGCTATTCTTGTGGTGTCATATTGGTTTTGTGTGAAATTGTGAAACAAAACCAATATGACATGGTATTGACTTTAAAATTGTACGCCATGTTAAGTTCATCTCGGAAGTGTTTATAAACAAATTCCCACGTTTGTTATATTATTCTTTATAACGATAACAAAACTCTCCTTTAATCTTCCTCCCAATTCGCGATGGAGCGATTAGGTCACTTCGAAAAGTCGAAGCGGGGCTTCGAACTTTACCTAAGTCCTGGCTAAATTAAGAGCCTCCCGGATAAGGCGAGTCGGGTTAAAAGGGGAATGGGCTTCGGGCTCTTAAATAGACCGGTAGCGAGTCTTAAGACCATTTTTGCATAGGAACGACCTTTGCCAATTGCAGTCGTATTCTCAATTTGGACACCCGGTTCTGTAAGGCCTCTCGGGGAGTGCTGATCAATCTGCTGATTGTCCCCTTTCGGCACGGTTCTTTGTACCTTCCGTCCTGCAATCCTCGAAGAAGCCCCATGCTTCATCTGTTTACTTTCTGTTTTAAGACTTTTAACAAAAACTTTAATTTGAATTTCTAAATTAATACTAGTACCTTTCATTTCAGATAATTTAGTAGTATGAAAAGTAGTAAATAGGTTTGGTATTCTCAAACATTTAAGTCGTATATTCAAGAAATAAATTATTTTTAACTGTGAAAACTGTGAACAAAGCTCATTCAAAGTTTGCGTTTATGTTGCAGGAGAAGACATGAGATAGTGCACCGGCTACTTAATGCTAAAATGTTTCACGGGTCAAACACTATGGCTTCGACCAGTTACATGGACACACCCAACCCGAGTAAGTAGTCATTTATTACAATAACACAACTTCTATCAACTAGTACTTCATATGAACTTGATAACAATAATTCTAAAAACTGTAGTTAGACTTAGTCTTTTCAACTTCCATCATTTTTTATGTTTTTCCCTAGATGTTTACGGAGGGAACGGAGGTCCGGTTTACGTGCCACCGAGGGGCGGAGGAGGCTGGCAGGACCCGTACCATCAGCAACACCACCATCATCAGCAGCATCAGCTGACGCCGCCGGCTGCCAACAGCTTCTATCCGACGATGATGTGGCGTTCCTACGACCACCACTACCGCCCCCATTACGGTAAGGGTTCACGTCGGATCCTAATGGACAATAATAGGCCACTATCAAATTAATACCGCTTCTCAAGAGCTCGGGGATGTCAATGACTAATGCCAGGGTGGTTGGCCGGAGCAGATGCCCATTCCTGATAAGATACCGCTGTTTTAATACTTCTTTCAGGGCTCCTTCGATACGCCAGACCCCCAGCTATTAATACCCAGAGAAACAGCGCCGTGTATAATGGAGCAGCGATTCTTTAGACTTTAAATTTTTTTGTATTTCGTTCCTTTTGGTTAGATTTAAAAATTATAGATTTTTATGTATGTTAATACACAATAAAAACTTGTACATTGTGACACACATGACATTTAGTTAATATACAACAAGACACATTGTTACTTTAACAGGCTACAAACTACAAACCATGTTTCTGAACTATATTAAACATTGTTTTGCAATAGTTGCACATATTCTCAGAACTCAGGATTTGATATTTTTTAAGGAATTATCTTGTCGGTGATGCTGCAAAAGATATTGATTAAACAGCCAAAAAATTTAAGATAAGAATATTAAGAAACGAAAGATACCAGGTATGACAATGAATCTAGGACAGTCCTTAAATTTGAAGACGAGCAGGTTTTACAATAGAAATTTTATTAAAACGTCATCAAATGATTTCGATGCTCGAAGCTGGACACGTTTACCGAGCACCACTTTCGTAGTAAACTCAGAACTATTGTCAATGATTTTCCTACATTTTCCAAAGTATAGGATGCACATTGTTACTTTAAAGCCTACCCGACTTATTTTGTTTAACAGGCAAACAAATACCTAATCATCCCTAAATGTGAAAGAGAGAGAATGATTGAGCGTTTGTGAATGTGAGTGAAAAAGAATTAGTTATCACAAAGTCCAACAAACATACAGTGGCATTAATTAATTAAATTTGTTAATTTTTTAAATATTTTAGTATGAGAGAGTGAGAAAGAGAGGGAGAGAGAGTGAGTGAATGAGTGAGATATCTCGCCAAGTTATTTCGAAGCTCCATTGCTTACAGTTGGAGGAAAAATATCACTACAATTAGGAGAACACTACAATTAGACAATTAGGATCACGAAGGTGATCTTCCTTATAAATCAAATTGTTTATGTGTGTGTTTGGGGGGGTGCGTGGGAGGAAGAGAAAGAGAAGTTAGAGTAAAAAAATATATGTGAATGATTATGTGTGTATGAGAGAGAATGAGAAAGAGATTGAATAAATGTGAGTTCTAGTGAATAAAAAAGAGGGTTAGTGAATGTGTGAGAGAAGTGAGTACGAACGAGAATAGTGAGTGAGAGAGAAAAGAGAGAAAGGAGAGAGAGAGAGAGAAAATCAGAAAGATACGGAAAGAGACTGAGTGTAAGTGCTAGTGAATAAGAAAAAGCATAATGAATGAGAAAGATAGTGAGAGATAAAGAAAGATCGATTGAGTGGAAAAAATATAGTGAGTGATTGGGAGAGAAAAAAGCCAATATTGAGTGCTAGTGAGTGAGAAAGAAAAATAGAGAGATACAGTGAGTGGGTGAATGTGATTACTAGTGAGTGAGAAAGGGGAGATTAGTAAGTGGAAGTGCGTGAGAAAGAGGTATAATGGGTAGGGTGAGTAGAAATGACAGATAGCACTACACTATATAGTAGAATATGACATAGAAAATGAGAAATAGTGGAGTGTGATTGTGAATAAAATTTTGTGTGTTTGTGTGTGTGTGTGTGTGTGTGTGTGTGTGTGTGTGTGTGTGTGTGTGTGTTGAGTGAGTAGGAGAGAGCGGGTGTGTTCCTTCACCAGTTAGGAGAGCTATGTACATGTTTTAATGTTTTTTCTACTATCGTGGTAATTACTAATGTTAAATTAATCCATGGACTATGGGAAGGGAAGTTGTGTCTGTAATCAAGTATTTCATTGTAGCCAAAGCTTTTCTCATCTTTCCTTATAAAAGGGCACTTTTTGGTTTATTGTTAAGAAACAAGGTATATAAACTGGACTAGACTTAAGTTTGGGTCTTATAAACTAGGCAATGAAGTTGAATATGAAATTTTTCAGAGAGCAGCGGAATGGAGATGGGCGAAGGAAGGGAATGCGTCAACTGTGGAGCGATCAGCACACCTTTATGGCGAAGAGACGGGACCGGCCACTACCTCTGCAACGCATGCGGCCTGTACCATAAGATGAACGGGATGAACCGGCCACTGGTCAAGCCGGTGAAGAGGCTCGTCAGTCCCCACACGGTATTTTGTCCCACCCATTTGGTTTTTTCACGAATCGTCGGGTTGAATAAATTGTAGTATTTCATGGTGCAGACTGCGACGCGCCGGCTGGGGCTATGTTGCACCAACTGCGGCACGGGAACGACCACTCTTTGGCGGAGGAACAACGAAGGGGAGCCGGTCTGCAACGCCTGCGGTTTGTACTTTAAGCTCCACGGAGTCAACCGGCCGCTAGCCATGAGGAAAGACGGCATTCAGACGAGGAAACGGAAGCCGAAGAAGTCATCTCAAGACTCCGGCTCTACCATTTCTCAAACCACGCCGCACTCCGCCTTATCAGGTAAAAGTGACATTTACTAAAGCGGTCATCGTACTTCCTTAATTTTGAGATTGTTTTATGGAAGCATAAAGTTTCATACATGAACAACCGAATGCATTAAAACCGTGTTCAGCCATCTATGGTCCAAACCAAAGGAGTATTGGGTATTGACAACTGTTTAATACAGTATTGGCTTAATTGAAAGACCTCATACTCAATAATCCCAAAACTTGGCAACTGTATAACATAGTGTTGGAAGAACCACATACCCAATAAATTCAAACTTGAGTATATTCCTTAACCGGATCACCAATGTACGAAAAGAAGAACAATTTATGATTGGCGTCAATAGACCAATCACCCCTAGGTATTTTTCACTATGAATTCAATGCACTTGCTGTATGATTGATTGATTGGTGAAGATTGTAAGTGTTGTGTTATACTGCACCCTTTAAGAACTACTGTATCTCTTTTCTTTACTTACACACTTCTGGGCCACTATGTATGAATTTGATTACTTGGCCCTGTTGAAACTGTTAATTATAGCACTACAGTACGTCAGCAAGTGTGTTTCCTCCGTCTCTTAGCTAAAAATAGACAGTGTTGGTTATCGCCGTTTTTCTCATGTGATCTGTGATGCTAACTTCAATGGAGCCATTCAAATCTTAAAAGAACTTGTATTTCTTGTGTTAAGTGAGCAATTCTCATTTTTCGTTACTCTTCCTTTTCCACTGTTCTAACAAATTATCGGGTGGTATGAATTCCTATCCCACAGAATGAAACAGGTCTTGCCAGTTGTATATTAGATCCTTGTTTTGCGTTGGCATACGCTTCTTCGATCCTCCCCTTCAGCCCAGTAGGTTGGGGACGTAGTAAAAGACGACGGTTTTAGACTTCCAATGATTTGATCTTCCATCTTCAAGCTGATGATGTCCAAGATCAGTAATCGGATGGCTACTTGGATTCTGACGTGATGTCTTTAATTTGTAACCTCTGTTCAGATTTAATTGTTTGTCACTCCTCAGCATGAAAAATATTGTTGTACATCTCTATGGGTCTTGAGTACAAGATTCAGGAGACAAATACTCCTCCCGATGTTTCAAACTGATACTAGCATGCATATCATACTTTCCCACCAAAAAGGAAACTTTCCATGCCAATTGAGATTGTTAAAATAGTCTGATGTAAATAATTTTTATTTACATGTCGTTCAATGCATTTTTATGATGTTTCAGCAGAGAACTCCTCGAAGCTGGTGAGCAGTGGTTCATCTGACCGGCCCTATCTCGGCCATACGTCGCTGCTGGTAGGAGGTAGCGGGATCAAATCCGAGCCCGTACCTAACCAGTACCCGGAACACATGGAGCCGTACTACCAAAGCCAGCATTACAACATTCAACATACTGATTACCTCGGCAACAAGCTCATGGCCTCAACATAATGGGACGGCCTCCTACACCCTCCATCCTCCATACACTGTACTGTACATAGGATCTCTTTGACCGAGGGTCTCTAGACTCCGATTGCCGTTGTGATGCACGTTGAATATTTCGGGTTTGTTACACGAGCCGGCCTTGGTAGTCCTAAAAACATGTCTGGGGAAAGTCTTCGGTCAAATCGAAGGTTCCGTAGAATTTGGAGACAATGGTGATTTTTGTTTACGTTTTCCAATAAAATCCCGAGTGTGTTCATTGTACCTGAGCCGTTTATTTCCCGATGACGACCGACATCACTGATACCGAGTCACCGGAGATTTCCCTGCCACCGATTCTCCTCAAAAAAGACATTTGAGACCTGGGGAGGCGTCGGTGCGTCAAAACGATTCCGGCTTCTGTTGATATTCACTTCATTTCGCTTTCGGCCTTTTCCTAAGTAGAAAGAAAATCCTAGTCATTCTTCTCCTGCTGAATCATCGCAACTTTGTATTAAGAAAAATGTTTGTAGTAATTTCGACAAACTGTAAATAATTCGCCGCAGTCATACGGTGACCTCCACATTGGCTATTTACTGTACAAATTGTAAGATAGATTTTGAACTGATTGGTAGTACCTAGATGTCGTAAACGGTAACTTTTGTACATCAGTTTCTATTTATTAATGTTGTAATATTCCTGCTAAGTAAAGTTAAATTTCTCTTGTATGTATTTATTCACTAGATAAATATAGTATGTATAAATAAATATATACTTTTTAATACCCTTTATTTATTTCAATATATGCATAGTTAAACTTTCTACAACTTTCAAGGAGTTTTTATAAGTTTACAAAGTTTCCTTATGATTGTAAACTCAAATAAAAAATTTACATCATAATTTGGCAATTATTTTTACATTGTATGTATTTATTATTATACGAATATGTAGATATTATTATACGAAATATTTACAATTGATCTTGACAGACTTCATTAAACTTACTCAATCTACGGGTCATCTTTTCATTTATGACAATTTGCAACAAGCTGATCTCATCGTAACATCAGTGCTTCAGTAAATATTGCTGTATTCCTTTTACAAAGCAATATATCTATTTTGATGTATTTAGACCAGTTCGTTAATAAATTAAAGGCCACTGGCATATTCAAAATTGGACTATAGAAGTTCATCAAACATGCATATGAAAGACAGCATCGATCGATGAACACCCACGCAAACACTCTTGCTGTAGGAGCAATTCCTGCCTCGACTGCAACGGAGACTGAAACTGAACTCTCTACATTCTACAGTTAAAGCAAAACCTGTAAATAAATTGGCTTCATATAAAGCCATAGTTAATTAATTTATTATGTGTGGTAATAACATTTTCTTTATTGTGCCAACGTTTCGATCTTTATTGAGATCATCTTCAGGGCTCAGTGTTTGTTTTCTGTGTAGATGTGTCATCATTGTGTGTCGTGTTGAGAGTGCCCAATAATGACACATCTGCCCAGAAAACAAACACTTTGAGCCCTGAAGATGATCTCAATAAAGATCGAAACGTTGGCATGATAAACAAAATGTTTTTCTAAAACCTTAATTTATTATATTTATTTTATTGCTTATTGTTATTTAATACACAATTGTATATTATTTTTATTATCCAATGTTAATTATATATCTGTCATTATGGCAGCAACAACTGAATAAATTATCTTGAGGACAGCCATTGTGTTGTAACCACATAGCACGCTCTGTGTTTCTGTATAAACACTTATTGACAGAAATGTTAAATAAAGTATACAATTTATTTAAAAAAAGTTTACCGTTAACTTTCAACTTATAAGACTGTCTAGTAGAATCAGGATTACTTTTCAAGAAGTAGAAAGTAAAGAATTTTGGTCCATCGTTATTTCTCTTCCTTTTAAATCCGACCGAAATGACAATTTACATAAAAAATATTTCAATTAAATGTTAAAATTAAACGCCAAGCATTTATATTTAAACACTTTATTATAAAGTTTAGACAAATAGTTCACAAAATAATTAAACATTTTAGTTAACATGTCAAACTTTGAAGTAGAAACAAAATTGTTACATATCTGTCTGGTGGTCGATACAATCTTGTTCTCTGAAACAATTCAAAGTTTTATTTAGTAGGTTTAATAAATATAATAATAAAACAGAGCATATTCTACACTCCTGAAATTTTCAACCTAAAAACGACAGTATACAAAATACAATAAAAGAAAAGAGCAAACATGAAAAACTTCTGAAGTTTATAGTATTATTTTTATGAAATTTGAAACCTTTATATATAAACAGTTCATAAATTATTATTTATTAGTTTTTACAATGTACTCATCGGTTCAATAGGATTGTATTCCAGGACAGAAGCATTAATTAAAGGACCATCACAGAAACTAACGGCAGAACAACTATAGGATGTTAGGACCAGAATGAGTAGGACTGTTTAACTCTGCAGACTTTGGAAACATGTAAAAACTCAGAGCACCAGAAATAAACCTGTACAATTATTCCCAGAAAGAAGAAATAGCAAAACATGTCCTCTGTTGATGTGAAGGTGTATACAGGCTGAGCCCTTTTTAAAGAGAAAATTGAAGAATACAAAAGAGACGGAAAATCCATTAGTTATGTCGATGAAAGTAGGCTGAGATATGGCTTTATAACCTGTCCACTGTGACCAGTATTGGTTTATTGTGCACCTGCAATTCATATTTATTGCAATTTATCCTGAGATAGGAAAAGGATTATGCAATAGATCAGTCTCAGTGCAAAGCTGCAAACAGGTCGACTCCTTTTAACCTTAACCTTAACTTTAACCTACACAAAATATCACTTTTGTTGAGAAATAACATTTCCTGCATTTATCCATTTGGTTTTTAGTTTTTGGCCTTAAATCAGCTGGCAGACCAATCTGGAAGAGATTTTGTACCTTTACTGCTTACCAGCTTGTTTTTTCCTGTGAGATTTCTTTTTGAGGTCTGTTGGTCGATGGACCTGTAATTTGGTCGTTTTTGATCATTTTGGTCTGTTAATTTCAGTGATATTTTACATTTTATAATATGCTGATTTCATTCCATAGTAGAAATTGATGATCTGGAGCTCAAGATTAAAAAACATCATAAAAGAAGAAATGGAGGCACAATAGAAAATTAAATGCCAAGTCAGCGTTGGCCAAAATAAATAAACGACACCACTAGAAGGGAAAAAAACGACATTAAAAAGACTGGGATACCCCAGTGAAAAAATTGGTGGCTGAGTATGGTTTGAAAGATGACTGGGAATACAATATAGAAACAAGGATTATGAATGGTGAGATAAGGTTCTGAAAAGCAAAAAAGTTTAACTTTACTTTAAAATTTGTTTTTCATTGTATGAACTAATTCTTATCTGTAATTCCAGGCATTACGGGCATATTGGATCAGTTCTTTTGAGTCTTTTGTACCATTCAAATAATGAATCAAGGTATTTCTAGGCAAATATAAACAGCCCAAATGGTGTCGATATATTTCACCCAGGATTTTCAATCGTACCTGAGTTGAGAGAGAGCAAATCCCACAACCTCCCTGAAACCATTGAGCCAAATTTAGATGTAATAGCTCCCACTGCATTTTAACTAGCCAACGCAAATCATTTATGGAGTAACCGTTTAAATTATCTTTTAAAAATCGAATACGGCAACAGAATGATTTTCTTTACATAGTGATAAATGTACAGATGAATGAACTTTGAAATGGCATCTCTTACTATGAATTTTGGAAATTTTATTTATGAGAAGAGAGAAGTGAGACTCCCACTCTAAAATAATTTGTAAAGAGGGAGAAACCATTATTTCATATCTCCAGAATGGCATGTGACAATGAGCGAACCAAGACAATTTCTTTTCAATTATTGAGCTGGCCATTAACCTGAAGAGATTTGCATCAGAAGAAGTAAGGGTTTTAAAAATTAATGAAAAGTGTAGGATACAATGAAGGGGGGGTTGTGCTCCCCAGGCACTGCAGCCTTCTGGCTTACTGCATCTAACAAAAAGTGTAACTTCAAAGTGTAAATAAAAAGGAGTTCACATGAGGTTTCTGTGTAAATTAAATAATTTTGTGTGGCTGCTGGTAGGCGAAACAACTTCCAGCCAAAAAAGCGTTGCACCTTTTCAGCAGTGTCAAATTGTTGTAACCCCAAATCTGATATCCATAACACAATATCTACAACACACTACAGTAAAAATTCTTTCTCAGTGGGATACTTTCTTGCGATATAAGTTGATTCCAGGATTTATTTGGCAAAAAATTGCAAATAAATCCTGGACCAAAAAGACCTGGAGTGACGATTAAACCCAGATATTTATATTGGCTTACCATTTCGATAATCTCCCCTTTAAACCACCAACATTTCGATGACCCCAACTTACCCCCTCTTCAGAAATGATTTTAGATTTCTTCAAATTGATTCTTAATGCATGAATAGACTTGAACTTCAAAAACTGATTCAATGCAAATATACTTCTGCTACCTGCAGCTAATCATTCTTTTACTTCACTTTTTGCCTCTCGCTGCTTTGTTAACATGGCTATCAAATACTTAAATGTATTTACATTTTCAGTCGTTTTCCGTTTATTTCAACTGACATATTGAAGCTTTCTCATAATTTACTCTTATCTCCACAGATTTGCCATTCTTTCCAGTTGCTTGTAGCTCTTTTTTAATGCCTTAACAGTCCTTGCCACTAAAATTACATCATCAGCATAAGCCATGTATTGTCTGGAACGATTGAAAACCATAACATTCTGGTTAATTTCAATATTTTTTAGTTTTCTAAGCTAAGGTTGAACATTACAGAATATCACCCTGTCAGAGTTATTAATGTTGAATAATTCAGAGCAGCCACCTATAATTTTTACTTTGGCAGACCTCTTCATAGATACATCTTTTATTTTTTACTAGGGTATTTTAAGTACGAGGTTATATGAACCCTCGGGGTGTCGGTTTTTGTAAAAAAAAAAGCCCATTTGTGTTGGGTTTGGATGCAGGGCTGCTGGATTCGAACCCAAGAACTTTACAGTGATGAGCAGTGTGTCAACACCTAAACCATTGTGACCACCGACACCCTTCAAGCCCCCCATACACCTACGAACAAATTGCATAACTGAGGCTGTTGTGCAAACAATTTTATAATGTATGGTGTTGTTTGAGGTGTTGTGCAACTAGTTACAGAAACTCAAAACTGTTTGAAATTAATTGCACAACGCGTGGCATTGCACAACTGTACTAGAGCACTACCATTAAAACAAGATAAAAGTAACTGGAGCAAAAAAATGCGTACAATGTATGGGGGACCTTGTTTGCACAACAGCCTGTTGTACAATGTGTGTGCACGATTTGATCGTAGGTGTATGGTGGGCTTTAGGCACATCTTTACAAAGTTAATTAGTATACTAAGGTACAATACTCTTCTAAAATCTCATAAATCTTCTGCCTGGACAGACAGTCATGTGCTAGATTGAAATCAATAAAGAAGTGATACAGATCGATGTTATAGTCATGGCACTTCTCATGTGTAACAAGCAAGAGTTTATTGTTTAGACACAGAATAATGTTATTGTCAAGATAAAAAGTTTCGAATAATAAAGAAAATACCAACCTAGAACAAGAATAAATAAGTAGGAAGAGGAAAAAAGAGGTATAGAAATAACAAATAAATTCAATTTCTTTATTTTTTCCAATGATTATTTCAAATTCCATGGTGTCTTTTTAAATATTTGATGTGGAAAATAACAGCTGATCTACATTTATATAAAACTAATTTTGTTGAATTTGATCGTAGACCTAAATGATCACATATTACATTGTAAAAGTGTGATTAGTGGTTAACATTGTAGAATTTGACGGTATGGCACAATTTATCTAAAATATATTTTTTTTTTGTATAATCCATTTATTAGGTGTGCATTATGTTAAATATCACATTTGTACTGAGAGGAACAATAAATATTTCAATTCGAAGGCTCGTTTGTAATGAGATTTTTGATGTATTTTTATCGATTGAATATTTACCCAAGTTTGCTTGCAAGCTTCTCCTTGATCGCCGTGAGGAAATCTTCTGTGTTGAGATACATTCCCTCCTTAACGTTGGCAAGCCCGTGTATACAGCCAGCCAAGTCTTTTGTCATCTTCCCACCCTCGACACACTCGACACATGCTTGCTCGAGGCGTTCGGCAAATTTTGCAAGTTCGGGCGTATTGTCAAGTTTCGCCCGGTGCATCAGACCTCTTGTCCAGGCAAAAATTGAAGCTATGGGGTTAGTCGATGTCGGTTGCCCCTTTTGGTGCATCCTAAAATTTAATTGGATATTTGTTATAAGTAATACTTGCCACGGATGTTCCAAAAACAGTGATAAGAAATCATAAGCGAAGTTCTAAGCCAAAAATTATCTAGGCATAAATTTAATATTCACCTATAATGCCTTGTAACAGTTCCATGGGCCGCTTCTGCTTCAAGTGTCTTGCCATCAGGGCACATCAGGACTGATGTCATGAGACCCAATGAACCTATTTAAAAGAAAATAATAAGCAAATGTATAATTATTACATTATTTCAATTTTTACCATATCCTTGAGCAACTATGTCAGACTGGACGTCACCATCGTAGTTCTTGCAGGACCATACGAATCCACCTTTAGACTTGAGCGCCTGTGCCACCATATCGTCAATGAGCCTATGCTCATACCAAATCTTGTTTTTCTCGAATTCAGACTTATAATCCCTGATTATTAAAAAAATTAATATCAACTCTAATTGATATAAATAATGTTCAAAAGAATATACTTTTCATAAATTTCCTGGAATATGTCCTTAAACCTGCCGTCGTATTTTTTCAAGATTGTATTTTTGGTTGATAGGTAAAGAGGCCACTTTTTCTGAAGGGCTACCTGATAAAATTGAAGATATGATTAAAAGTTGAAATATCTGGGAAATATGCGACGGACCTGGAAGCTGGAATGGGCAAAGGAAGCGATGGAGTCGTCAAGATTGTACATCGCTAGGGCGACGCCAGGACCTTTGAAGTCAAACACTTTCATCGTTTCAACCTGTCCTGATGTGCTCGTGTACACTAATTCAACCTAAGAATGTGAGTCATGTAAGTAATTTTTGTTATTTACATGGCGACAGAAAATTTACCTTTCCGGGTCCTTTAACAACAAAATCAGTAGCTTTGTATTGGTCGCCATGAGCGTGCCTTCCAATTATTATCGCCTCGGTCCAGCCAGGCACCAATCTAGGAATGTTCTTACACAGAATTGGTTCTCGAAATACGGTACCACCAAGGATGTTCCTAATTGTACCATTTGGTGAAAGCCACATCTTTTTCAACTTGAATTCTGAAATAAACATGAAGGTGAAGCAATTTTTTTTTAATCATAATACAATATTTTATATTAATAAAATATTTTCATTACCTTCAACTCTAGCCTCATCTGGTGTGATTGTGGCGCACTTAATGCCAACATTGTACTGCTTGACTGCATTGGCAGCATCGACTGTGACCTGGTCGTTAGTCGCGTCCCTATGAGGCAGTCCGAGATCATAGTATTTACAATCAAGCTGCAAATCACACAAAATTACCCTGTTGAAAACCAAAGGGAAAATACCCAAGTTAATATTATACCTTCACATAGGGGAAAATGAGATTTTCCTTAATGTTGGCCCAAATAATACGGGTCATCTCGTCACCATCCATCTCCACAACAGGATTCTTTGCTTCAATCCTATTGTCAGTGCCATCTAAAAAAGGTAAAACTATCTTTTATCTCTATTCTATTGCGTGGAGCGAAAGCTTAGACTTGGAAGATACATATCATGAATAGAATAGAATCATTTGAAATGTGATTCCACCAAACAATACTAAGAATATCCTGGAGCAAATTTCAAATAAATGAATGCGTACTTCAGAGCAAATACTGAAAGAAGCCTCTTATCTAATTTTAAATACAGGAAGACTATGTCTAGGACTAGGACCTAGTCTGCACCTACTCCCTTCAAGCGATTACTGCTGTTCATGACAGATTCTCCATCAACCCTCTTGTACTCTTGTTGGAGGGACACCATCAACATGAGTGTTTAGGTAAATTTAGGTACCCAGAGGGCAGTGTTGGGCAAAAATTAGTCTTGTCTAATGATTAATGATTGATCACTCAGTCCGTTAGTCGTGATTGATAGTGTCTATAAGTCTGTAAGTCATAGCAAGTGACAAATTTAGTCATTAGTCGACATATGTGTTTGATGGCTAAATTAGCCATGACTAGTAATTAAATACGAGGCATGACTAATTTAGTCACAATATAGTTAGTCATGACTAAATTTCGATAAATCATGTTCAAATGGGTGCTCAAAAAATGAAAAATACACTTCATTTTTAAAAAAATTTCTAACAGAAATTTATTTCATCAAAACGAAAATTCTTCAACACCTTCTTTAACAAAAATCAATCTTCCAATTATAAGTAAAACTCCGTCGTTATGAAAAGCCAAAAAATAATGATAATAATAATAATAATACAATAAAATAAAATAATCCTAGAACAAGCTACGCTTTGAAAAGTAAATATGTTTAAACCGATCAATGGAAAAAATATTTCTTTGAATTAAAATTTATTCCACTTAAAAGGAGAGATTTCTACATTATTTGGAAAATACACCATCTAGGGGTCTTGATTGTAATAAAACAGACATGTAGAATAATTATATAACTTTAGTTTTCGTTTATGATAACACTTTTTGAAGTGGCCTTGAGCACGACTCTCATCTCAAAATTTTTATCCAAAGTCAGTTGGATTTTGGTAAGTTGGTCATTGTAGCCAGAGTTGGGCAAAATCAAACTAATTCAATCATGATTAAGAATTTTGATTGAAGTTTAATCATGATTGAATTAGTCACGAGTAAATTAATCATTGTATGATTTAGTCATACCTCATGATTGAATTAATCATGATTAAATCATATAATGATTAATTTACTAATGACTAATTCATTCATGATTAAACTTCAATCAAAATTCTTAATCATGATTGAATTAGTTATATTTTGCCCAACTCTGCAAGAGGGTAACAAAAAGTAGGACAAGGCAACTAAGGCCAGGACATCCCTACCTCCAGGCTTAACCACCGCGATCCAGCTCTAAATTACAAATGCTGGAATTGCTGGTGGATTGCAAGAAGTTATAGGTTCAATTCCGTACACATGCATGTGCAGATTTGAGCTTATAAATCAGTACTCAGTAAAAACAGAAAGATGGCCTATTTAGAACATAATCTTACAGGTCCACAATACAGAATTCCTCAGCTGATTAAAGAAAAAATTTAGAGAAAGAGGAATAGGTCGGAAAAAAATGTCTTGGTTATAAAACATAAGAAAGTGGACAAACATAAAGCTGGATTGTTCAGACTTGCTGAAAGTAAAGAACAGTGGAAAATAATCATAGCCAACGCTGGGAGGACTGAGATGACGAACAAAAAGGTGTATTTTAAATGACATTACATTTGACTGTAACAAACTACAGCTGAAACTTTAAAATAAACTTTAATAGAAAAATCTACTTTAAAACACCATACACACCATACGATACATGTATAATATATATAAAAATACAACCTATAAATAGTAAAGAAAAAAGGCACTAAATTATATAATATTTATCATTTAAGAAGCACATAAAAAATTCACAAAGAAATTATCGTTAAATATCATCTCATTAAATATAAAAAACATTGATTTTTATATTATCTTTTATCTACCATTTTATGAAATGAAAATACACATTTTTTCTTTTTAAATATCTATATTCAATTCATGTCTGACCATGACCTGTGAATATCTGATCCAAAAGTCAATCAATTCAAACTGAAAAACACACACGATCCGTGTAAAACAGATTAAATAGCTGAATACATCATAAATAGATAAGCAAATTTTTGAATAATAGAAGTGCCTTAATTTATCACCTTACCTTAAAAAAAATTTTGAATAACCTTTCATTATCTTTTGCCCCCTTAAATCTAGATATAAAAATATACTGAACTTTTTAAAAGCAAATTATACGTTTTTTAATATTCAACATTTCACATATTCCATTAATTTGTTGTAGGATAATTAATTAATTTTTTTTTTTTTTAATGGAATGCTAGTGTAATAGATTAGAAGGTTAGCTCTTGAGGATATAATGAGACACAGTGCTAATTGCTGGTTTTTAAAAACAAATTAACAGCCGTAAATTAGAATAAAATTAACATAACATCATACAAACATGTCACAATACAAAGTGAGTGTTTGCAACGTTCCAAAATAAAATGCTCAACACGCAAAGAAAACAAAACGGGTTCAACATAGGATTAAACGTTATCTAAGCTTTATCTAGATAAATGTAAACAGCTAAAGAATTGAAATGTGTGTGGTAAATGTTTTATCACATCAGTCTTGAATAACTCGACCCACACAATGACGCCTGGTAGAACAAAAAGTTATCTTATCGACTGGTAGGGAGCCTCATTTCCCTGGAGGAAAAGACTCACAGTTGCACACGTTTAAGCATAATCATCTGTGGATCTAAATGATCCAAGTTGAAAGTGAGGCACATATACTTTGTTTTTGCTTCGAAGTTCTGTATTTTTTACTTATGGGATAAATTGATTTAATTCCTGCTTCATTCATGTTTAGATAAATGTTAATCAAAGTAACTTTTTTTTATATTTGGTTATTAACATTTCATGGTTAACATGAAATCTTTATTAATTCTTCACAATAAAGCCAAGTAACAGCTATGTCAATTTATAAAGACATGATTTTTTTTAATACATAATTATTTTTATTTTTATGTTTATATTTTTAATACATAATTTTTACCATACTTTAATGGAATTAAGCATTTAAATTTTTTGTATTATTTAGGTATTTATAAATAGTATTTAACCTTTAAGACTATCATTAATCTACTTTTTTTACAAAAGAAATACTAATATTACTTGCTCAATCAAATTATTTTGTATTTAAAAGGGGGATATCTTTCCATTAGATACTAGAATTATCATACACATTATGGTTCAATGATTTAAAAGACAACAAACACTTACACAACATAATAATATGAAAATTCATTGAATTATTAAATATAAAATTATTTCAAAAATCATTTTGGAAAAATTGCTCACCTCTAGAAGTTGTTTTATTTATTTTTATCACACAATACTCTGAATATTGTCCAATTAAACTGTTTTCTAAATTACAAGAGTTGATAACTAGCTTGAGAAAAATTTTAAACAAGAATAAAAAATATTAAAATGTTTTCTACAGAATCCTGCAATACAATTAATATATAAGCTCTTCTTTATCATATTTGTGTTTGTATTTATTTTTTTATAATTCATTGAGATGTTTTCAAATGGAGGAAAAAAACCCAGACGGATACACTTAAAATAAAGGAAAAAAATTATTAAGTAAATATTTGTAAGCAAATCAAAACAAGGGATAAGGATATGACACTCTTGTATTTTGTCGGTTAGAACTACTGTAAACAAAAATAATATAAAAACCCATTCAAAGGTTATTGTTTTAAACATTTTCAACAAACAATTTCAAAATTTAATTAAAATCAAATCCTCATTGAACTGAAACTGATTATAATTTTATCGCAAAAACAGTGCAATTTAAACATTAAACCTGTAAATGTATCCATATTATTTTGTTGGACAGTTCTGAATTGTTTTTATTTTTATAGAAATCTTGCCTTGAGAAAGAATCACATAGACCTGAAACTGCTTATTAAAAGGTAAACAATTGTATTTTTTCCCCAAAAAAACTCCAGAACTTTATAACACAATCAATTTAGCATTTTTCCAAAAAGATAATTTTTCAGGCTGGAATTGTAAAGTTAAGGTCCATCCTAGGTAAACTTTTAAGGATTGAAATTTTTATGTTTAGACCTTTAGTACAAATTCTATTTTTGTAAAAACTTTTTTTTTGTTCTCCCACTTCATCAAATTCAATCGATTTGATGATTCAATCGATGATTCGCAGTTGTAGTAGTTAGTAAATAGGTTTTTTTTTATATCACATTATGGACCAACGCCTATCTAGTTTTTTAGGTTTATTGTACCACCATTTGCGCATTGTTCACCTTCTACCTTCAATTTGCTAGGTGGGTAAAACGGGATAAGACAAATTGTAAAAACCACTATATTTTAAAATGTGAAATAACTGCACCAATTCGATTGTTAACAACAAAACAAATTAAAAAGTTTACAAATAGACAAGTAGAATTAATTATCTCAATGTTGATGTCAGTTTTCAAGATGTTTAAAAATACACATTGTATTTAAAAGGAAAGGATTTCCTTAATAATGTTTTAAATCATTTATACACAGCCTGTCAGTCAAAAGACTTACTGGCATATAAAAATCTTACCTTAATAATCTTTATTTTATTTTGTTTAATAATTTGATTCTTGTACAAAAACTAGTCAGGTACATAGTTTGAGTATAAATTGATAAACAGTTACAATTTACAATTTATCTCCCCCCCCCCCTAGAGACAAGCAACGTTCATACAATAATGAGAATGTATCTGTCAAGTTGACTATGAGAGAAATTTGTATAAAATAACATGAGCTTTATACTACATAAAGAAGATTAAACTGTGGAGACGAATTAACAAAAGCCTAATATATTTAATTCAATTATAGTGAGCACATTTTAGATTTCGAGCAATTTGAGCACATTTTGTCTTTTCTGAATGGAATCACTATTTTTTATTGGTTTTCTGATGTGTAAATTAGTCTAGAGTTGAGTTTCCAATTTTCAAGACTAGAATTGCCTTGAAATACTTTTCTCGAGTTGATTTGTAAAAAGTACAGTACAACAGAAAATGAGGCCTCCTTTTCTCTGTTAAAACAAGGGGGCAAAGACCATCTGAGAAGAATTTGAGAACTTTTGCCCATTTAAATGCAGGGCTGGGTGTCGATCACTGGATAGCTGTAATTGTCTGAACATCCTAATTAATTTAAGATCTTTACAGCATTCGAGAAATGTAACTGAACCACCAAAATTATTAATGTTTCGGAAGTGAGAATTCGAACTGGAAGTAACTGCCAGATCTATGTATATACTTTATGAGTTACTTGCAAATTTTATAATTAAACCTGATCTTTTTTTTTTTTTTTTTTGTATAATGAGTTCCACACTTAGTGATTCCCTGATATGCTGAGTACCAATCATCTATAGAAATTTTTTTTTCAATACTTGTGCCTAATTAAATTGAATATCTTTGTCTTCCACATAGAAGACAAAGACCCGACTATTGTAACAATGTTTCTGGAGAGATTCATCAGGGAGGGAGGAGAGCAGCACCCACAGAACTTTAGCATTTGGACAAAAATAGTGACTTTTAAGGGTATGAAACCAGTCTCCATTCATAGGCACTACCACAGTTTTTTGGTTTTTAGGAATCTTAGCTGTACCTTTTCAACTTCATCTGCATAACAGGAAGCCCAGACTTCTCCCCCATACAGCAGAACCGAACGAACATTGTTTTGAACCGACCGTCCGATTTTTCAGATTTATAGAAATCAAGTACATTTAAAACTCAAGGGTTTGTAACAATACTCTTTGTGACAAACTGTTCCGCTGCTTTTCTGAATTTTCCAGAAGATGAAAAAAAGCAACTCCCAAATGAATAAAATTGTAGCGTAGAAATCTTTTCAGCGTAACTAATCCCAATTTATGAAATTCACAACTATGAAATTAGGCATCCATCCGTATATAGGCTGTTATATCTACAACACCAGCTTGTGTCTACCATATTATTAACTCTAATGCCTTCTGTACCATGGGAAAGAATTTAATTATACCTTTAATGAAACCTTATTTAATTATACAAAATATGAGAAAAGGAGTGGGCCTAGCTTTCCACCCTGCAAAACTACCCCCCCCATCAATCGGATCTGATAAGGCTACCTTCTGTTTCTATACTAATTCTGGCGGATTCACAGTTTTTTAACCATCCTGATCAATTAAGCCTTAACTAAGGCTTTTAGGAATCTTATCTGTACCTTTTCAACTCCATAGGTTTATTTCTTTACCTAGCATACACATTCTCTTAAAAATTAAAAAATAAATTTGACCAAAATTCAATTTAATTAAAAATTAAATAAATAAAGGCAAAATGGACTCCAATCAACCTAGAAAGTCTGGCAAATTTTGTCACTTTCAGCTGTGTTTTATTTTTTACAAGTCATGTTGTTTTATAATAAAACTGAAAAATATTTCACACACGTTAAGTTAAAGGATTAAATTTGAAAATTTAGCCCTAATACAAGAATAGTTTGTAAGAATGACTAGAATATTTTTATTTTAAAAAGGCTCAGGATGTTGGCATACAGAGTTGATTGAGCCAATTATAACGATTTAAAACCCGTTTTTTAAATAATTTTCAGTTGAAATTCTAATAGTTCCAAACCTAAACTAGGTTTATTGAGTATTTATAATTAAATAGTAACTGTACTTACATCAAAAAAGCGCTAAAATTCATGTTTCAGCATGAAGATGTGGTTACTTTTTTTAATTTATATATATAATGTAGCATTTATCTGCTTTTTACAAGATGCGGTTTTAAAGTATTTTAATAATTTAATTTCGTAATAATAATTAAGTTGTTTCTTGGGTTTTGAATGTACGAAGCCTTCCAAACAAAGCACATCTCGTGGAGCAACCCGGCTCCTGTATCGTTTCGCCAACGGCAAACGAGATACGAGATTAATTAAATAATTAATTAATTATTAATTAAATGCACTTACATTTCCTGTTTGAGGCGAGGAACGCTGGTTCAGTACGGCTGGCGTGCCGTAAAAGGTTTGTCAGCTTGGAACAGGACATGTCTATGTACCGGGGATCGTTGCTCGTCTGGCCGACGAACGGACGAACGGATCGTCCCACTCCCAAGCTCAAGCTCTAACCTGGAACAGACGCTGGTGGGGATGCGGTCTAAAATTTCCTAACCAATTTTGATTCAAATGACGTTCCTTTTGGTTTATTCCAACTGTAGTTTCATCCTTAACACACAAACATCATATATTTTTTAAATATATACATACTTTAATAAGTATGTTACATGCTGGCTTGTCTTCTACTCCATGATTATATGAAAAAAATCATCTCTTCGTAGCTAATGAGAAAGAACATGATCATTAACAACCTCATTTAACGATCATTAAATTATTTGAATGAATATTTATTTAATTTCAAGATAAGATGTACAGTTCTTATAGCAACAGATGGACCAATGCATGATACAATCAGCCTAATAACAAGAAATTTACAAATAATACAAATCAAGAAAGAGAATAATTATATTTTTTTTTTTTAGTCATCTTAACAAAAATATATTTTTATTCTTAATTAATTGATTAACTATTTTTATGCAAAGTGAGTTGGAGGCTCTGGGGCCCTATCCAGATGTGGGTTCAAGTTTTGCTGAGTTTTACTCGTGACACTAATTTTTCATCTCAGCCTCACTTTACATTAAAATAATTGAACAATTAATTAAAATAAAAAGAGAATAATAATAAGTTTATTAATAATTTACAGATGTAAAAAAAACAATTAAACCAAAACTTTTTTGGATTGTTCTACTTACAGAGGTTTTACAAAATTCATTAAAATATTTATTTATTAGAATACAAAGATACAATAGCCTTTTCTTTTTTTCTTCATTAGTAGAATAGTAAGAAATATGAAAAAGTTTAGGGATGGTTAATAAAATTATAAAATAAACAGCAAAAACTGAGGCATTACAAAATTCATTAAATAATTATTTATTTATTAGAATAAATAGTTACAATATCCTTTTCATATTAGTAGAATAGCAAGAAATATGCAAAAGTCTAGGGATGGTTAATAAAATTACAAAAGTAAACAGTAAAAACTGAAGCTTAAAAAATTCATTGCAATAATTATTTATTTATTAGAATAAATAGTTACAATATCCTTTTCATATTAGTAGAATAGCAAGAAATATGAAAAAGTCTAGGGATGGTTAATAAAATTATAAAAGTAAACAGTAAAAACTGAAGCTTAAAAAATTCATTGCAATAATTATTTATTTATTAGAATAAATAGTTACAATATCCTTTTCATATTAGTAGAATAGCAAGAAATATGAAAAAGTCTAGGGATGGTTAATAAAATTATAAAATAAACAGCAAAAACTGAGGCATTACAAAATTCATTAAAATAATTATTTATTTATTAGAATAAATAGTTACAATATCCTTTTCATATTAGTAGAATAGCAAGAAATATGCAAAAGTCTAGGGATGGTTAATAAAATTACAAAAGTAAATAGTAAAAACTGAAGCTTAAAAAATTCATTGCAATAATTATTTATTTATTAGAATAAATAGTTACAATATCCTTTTCATATTAGTAGAATAGCAAGAAATATGAAAAAGTCTAGGGATGGTTAATAAAATTATAAAATAAACAGCAAAAACTGAGGCATTACAAAATTCATTAAAATAATTATTTATTTATTAGAATAAATAGTTACAATATCCTTTTCATATTAGTAGAATAGCAAGAAATATGCAAAAGTCTAGGGATGGTTAATAAAATTACAAAAGTAAATAGTAAAAACTGAAGCTTAACAAAATTCATTGAAATAATTATTTATTTATTAGAATAAATAGTTACAATATCCTTTTCATATTAGTAGAATAGCAAGAAATATGAAAAAGTCTAGGGATGGTAAATAAAAAAAAAGAAAAAACAGTACACACTGAGGCATTACAAAATTCATTAAAATAATTATTTATTTACTAGAATAAACAGTTACAATATCCTTTTCATATTAGTAGAATAGCAAGAAATATGAAAAAGTTTAGGGATGGTTAATAAAATTATAAAATAAACAGCAAAAATTTTACTAATTTAAAAAAATATATAACTGAATATCATTTGATTCGAACATTTATATTTTTTAGACAGATCAGGATGATTGGAGATGATCAAACAAGTCATAACCCATCAGACCTTACCTTACCTTGGTACAATATCATACATCGCAAGTTCAAAACAAAAGATAAACATAAAAAAAGCAAGATTTTTGGTTTTTATATATTTATTTTTTGAGATAGGTATAAGAAATATTTACATACTAAACAAATTAACAAAATGTCCAAGAGAGAATAAATGACAAGTAGAAAACACAATGATGTACAGAAGTATTTTCCTTCATCATAAATTATGACAAATTATGAAATTACAAGTGTTTTAAATAAGTTTTATTAAATATTTAGAATAGTATAACGTTTATTTAATGCAATTGATCTATTTTTCATTATTCCCATTTATTGATGTCATTAGAATATTGTGTAGGTGGTGTAGTAAGGTCGGCAGAGGGATCCGCTATTCCATATCTATTTGATAGCGTTGACAGTTGGTTATTTTTATGTTTTAACACGTTACTAGTAAATTAATATTCCAGTTATATTTTTGATAAACTATGTAAGTCAACTGTGATGATTAAATGCTGACGTGCACCTTTTTTCAGAGATGCCAGGAAGTTTTATTCTATGACAAATCCAGGCCTGAAATTGTAAACTTTAAGGTATTTCAACATTTAAACTTTTTTTCAGATATGTAAAGTGTTTGTGAAAATCCCATTTACGATTTTACTTAGTAATTGAATTTGCTTCTATTCTGTCCTATTATTAAAGCTATACTAACAATAGCAATTGTTATTTTAGTACATTACTAATATTTTTATTTTATTTTCAGTTTAGTATTCGTTTTCTCATTCCTTTAATTAAACGAAATGACAATATGAAATTGTTGTAATATTTTGCTTTCAGAAGGCGCAAGGTTTAGGGTGATGGTTAGCTGTAAAGCTTAATGATTGCGTTGTTCTGCTAAAATCACATGTCAACTTAACAAAATTTTTACAGCCAAATGTGAATCAATAAGGGAACATTTCTGACAGACTAAAACAATGAGGAAAGACAGATCAGGATGATCGGTAACGATCAAACTGCAAATTCACCCTGCAGACTTCAATAAAAAATCGTGTAAAGTAAAAAAAAAACCTAGAGTGAATTTTCACTTAAAAGCACTGGCAAGTCGCCTAGAAACATGTCTCACGCTTATTCAATACCCAAGTATAATATATAAACATTGCAAAAATTATGAGATTGCTTTGTGCGATTTGCAGGGTGTAATTTGGACATTAATGATTATTTTAGTCAACCTGCCCTCACTGGGTTTGTCGGTCAGGTGTGTTGGATAGTTTGCCATCTTCATTGGTGACCTTTTCAGACAAAATCATATACAAACTAAAACAGTCAGACACAATCAGACTACATGTTAATTTGTAGGACTCGACTTAGAAAAATAACAGACACCTGGACAAACCTGGTGAAGTGCTGAAATGCTTCTGTCAAACCAACCCATCGAGGATAGGCATTCCGAAACAAGCAGACACATTGCAGATCCTCTGAGGAAATCTCACAATACAAGGTTGTTGGACTCTGAAAATCCCATTTGTAAACATTGAATATAAATGGTACAAGTATACTGCCTTGTGATACCCCAAAGCAAGCGATGTTAGATGCTGTAGTTATTTTGTTGAGATATTACGTAGCAAAAATTGGGGAATAAACCCCAGGATAACAGAGAGAAAAGCTCAATTTAGACAGACTTTAACGAGTTTAACCAAGTTTCAGGGAGGAACCCTTAATATGGTACACTATATTATTACATATATCAAAGATGGAACGGGTAAAGGCTACATCCTAGCAAAAAACCCTGAACTGGCTCCATCTTCCAAACTGAGGTTCATGCAATTTCTCTGTGCCCAGTAGTAGATAAAGAAGAACGTTAAAGGTGCACATTTTTATTTTCAGACAGTTAGGCAGCTATAAAGGCACTAAAGCTCCAAGCTTTTAGCTCCAAACTAGTGGTGATGCTGGAAGGTGCAGTTTTCCTCACTGGAGATGGTGCAATGCCAAAATGCATTTGAGTAGTTTAACAAATATATGTATGAAGATGGACCCAATAAGTTACCCGATACCGGTTCAGCATGGAAGTGCCTAAATTACATAAGAGCTTAGGAAAACACAACAAGGGCATGAAGATGTATGTAAAAGGAAAAGAAACTCAAGCACTTAATAAAAGCATCAGGTATCCGGCCACTGCCCTCTGAACTATCGTCTAAAGAAAATGGGCACAGCAGTGACAGAATGATGTCAATTGTGCCAAGTGAAACCAGAGACCTCAGCACATCTTTTGTGAATTCGAGATACTGTACCGTATATAGTATACCAAGTGAGACTTTGGTAAGGCAAGTCTCACACCCAAGAGAAGTGGCTCCTATGTGTTTTCCTGCAGTTCTGAGACTTTCAAGATACAATACAATTTATACACCCAACTTGAACTTGCAAGAAGAAATGCCAAGACACAAGTTTCTTTATATTCAAATAAAAGACTTTATGAAGCAGATCAAATGAACTTTTACCTGACCTTGCTCCTTTAAATTCCCACTTGTTTAATGGGGAGAAAAAATAACTTCATGCATTGGTAAATGTAAAAATTGAAAGAATAATATTTTTAATCAAAACCCAAGGAGTTGTACCACCGGTAAATTGAGCGGCTGGCCTTTAACTGACAGTTATTCATTGGGTAGAATGGCCTATTCTACAATTGAAAATACTCTGATGGACAAAATAAATGCACCACCCTTAACTTTAAATGTATTTAGGTGTTTCATATTTTGCATACCAAAAATAGGTTTGGTTGTACAAATAAGACATTTAAAAAGAAAATGTTCACTACATAACTCTAAAAAACAATTATTGATTTTTTTAAAAATTAAAAACTGATAAAAACGTAAAAAAAAGTTTTTTGTCCCATTTATTAATGAGTAATTTCACCTCTGGCACAAATCACGCCCATTAAACGCCTTTGCGTTTCTTGGAAAAAATTTCTGATAAAATGCTGAGTGATTCTTTCCATTTCATCGTGAACAGCTTTTTCACACTTCTAGGGTGTTAGGACATAGGTTTCCTCGTCATACTCGTCACTTAAGTTGGTCCCAAATGTGTTTGATTGCGTTCAAATCTGAACTTAGAGCTGGCCACACCAAGTCCTCAATTCCAACCTTATTCAGGTAGTTATCAACAATACATGATGGGGCTTGGCATTATCCTGCATTAGCAAGAATCTCTCACCGATGTGGGGGGGGGGGGGCAAATGGACATGTTGTTTGATTATGTGTTGTAAGAACCTCTGCGAAATTACAGAACTTCCTCGCACAACAAGGAGTGCGCAGGATGTGTTGGTATCCAAGGAAATGCCACGCCCAGAACATTCAATTATCCCCTGAGAACCCTTCTGGGGAAGACTAACTCTCACCTCATCTGTAAAAAGAACTCGTCCCCAATCTTCAATGTCCAATTCATATGTTCCTGTGTGAATTGAAGCCTGGTCATTTTCTGAGCTGTGGCAAGAAGAGGTCCACGAGCCGGGTGCTAGGCTCTGAGGCCAGGTAATTGAGCCTTCTTCTTACAATCCTGGAGAAAATCGAAATATTTTGGACTTGTCATTAGATTTCTTACAACATTTCCCAAAATGTTGCAGTTTCATAGAGCCTGATGACAGATGAATCTATTATCTCTCTTGTCTGTAGGCATAGGACACCCTGTCCTGGCCTTCTAGTGTGAAGTCATGTTTCTCTGTAGCGCCAAACACCTCTTGTAGAGTGATTTACACTTAGTCTTCTGGCGACTTCATGCTGGTTGAATCCTTTCTCTAGTAATGTTATGTCCCTGACACTCAAATGCCTGACTGGAGCCATTGAAAGAACGTTTAAAAATAAGAATTATTTCACTACTTTCATGGTCCGCTTGACCAATTAATACATGACAATTAATTAAGGTTTTTAGTAGAGATGAAAAAGTGAGGTCTTTTAGTTGAGGTCACGATAGCTCAGGTGGTAGAGCAGCGGCGTATCTAGCCGAAGGTCGTGGGTTCGAATCCCTCTCGTGCCATTAACTTTTTTCATCTTAACTAAAAACCTTAATTAATTGTCAAATAAGAATTATATTAAATGAAATCAACAAAGGAAAACCAAAGCATTATTTACTGTTTATTTTGACTATGATATCTCATAATTACGTGTAACTAATGTAGAAAAGATTTAATTTTAAACTAAATAAATTGAGTGGTGCATTAAATTTGTACATCAGTGTAATTGTATTGTATATATATTGTATATGTACAACACAGAATACACATGAAAATTCAATTTCTTATAAAGAATTGCAGTGGCTTAGTTAGAAAATGTGAAATTTAAAAAAAAAAAAATTATTGTCATTATACACCAAAGATCAGGGCATTATTTTTTTAAAAAAATGTTTTAACATGAACGTGCATGTAGTTATATGATTGTACATAAATGTATCTCCTGTGTCCAGTGATGAAGATCAATGAGAAGAATCTGGCGGCTTTTGCCACTTCCCCGACCTGCATCGACAAAGAAGGCTGGCTGGTGAAAAAGGGCGAGGTAAACAAAGGCTTTCAAAAGAGGTGGTTCATCCTAAAAGGAAATTTGCTCTTCTACTTTGAGAAAAAGACTGACAAGGAGCCGACTGGGGTTGTAATCCTAGAAGGATGTACTATAGGTAAACAAAACAAAAACAATAAATTTTAATTGTTATATAAAGTAATAAAAAATAGAGTTCTTTGTGGGGAACTAAATCATTTACAACTTTTATTAATTCATAACCGAATAACTTTTTGATATTTCCAGTTAAAAAATATAATTAAATTTAAAAAAAAAATTAATAGAGGGAATCGTGCTGAATGCATAAATTTTACATGTAACAACAAACCCTGACTAGATGTTATAATTTTCATCTGTCAGCAGATTCCTAGTTAAACCGCTATTCTAATTGTTTCTTGTCCTTAGTTCACTCATTAAAGTTGGTTTGTAAGCTTATGGTTTTTTTGGGTTTTTTTAAGCAAAAGGGGTTGCAGGTATAATTTTTATTATACTCTACTACTATTGTCATAAACAGTTGGCTAATTATTATTTTTTTTTTTTTTCAAGTCTTCATAATTCATATTTTGTATACTGCATTCATATTCATTTAATAAAACTTTGGATGTTGTCAATATTAATATACACTGATGGACAAATTTAACACACCACTCAATTTATTTAGTTTAAAATTAAATCCATTATCTTTCTACATTAGTTAAAGGTAATTAGGCTCTATCACAGTCAAAATAAACAGTAAATAATCTTTTGTTTACTTACTTTGTTTCCTAACAAAGTTTAATCCTATTTAACAGAAGACTGAGTATAAATCACTCTACAATGATTGATAAATTTAAAAATATAAACAACAAAGAATTTGGGAAATGTCAGATATTATAATCGTAAGCAACTTGTTTTTGATAAACACATAATATTATGTAACGATGGAAAAAGCCATTTGCGACATCTTCTGAACCCCACACTGCAACACCGACAATTTGACAATTAGACAAAAACTTTTAGATCTCTATAATATAATTTTTGATAAGGGTGTTGTGATGACAGATAGCTTTAAGACAGCAATAATATTCCCATTGTATAAAAAAGAAATTTTAATGTTAGTAACTACAAGGGCCTATCATTTAGTAATGCAATAGGAAAATATTCACAAGCATGGTACTAGATAGTCTTACATACTGGGTGGAACAAGAAGGTTACAAGAATTCTAAGCTGGGTTTAGGAAATATTCAACTATAGACCAATTACTTACCTAGCACGTATTGTGAAAATAAAATTTGGTCAAAAATGAGGAAAAGCATTTGCGTTTTTTGTAGATTTTTCTTCAGCATTTGATCGCATTGACGGACAAGCTTGGTTAAGCTAGTCTGGGCTATCAAGCAAAATGCTGAGAACACTTAAAAATTATTATCAAGGGTCACATGCATCTGTAATGAATAAGGATGGTCTATCACAGTGGTTCACAAACTTTTTCTGTTTCCGGTGCCCTTAATATATCAGAATATTTCTACGGTGCCCTAAGTCAAAACAATGGTCTCTTTCAGCGTGAACTTTTTATGATAATAGTAGTAATTCATTTTCGATCCAGAAAAGCATTGATATAATTAAACCTCATGTTTTGTCTGCAATTTTATTTAATGAATAATCAAAACTCCTGTCTTTCTTGTGAAATTGAAAAAATTATCTTTTGAAAAACAATTACACACCTAATAGCAAAAATATAATAGGGAATACTTGTTTTTTGGGAGGCGATAATATAAAATCACAATTGCAGCTGTCTCGTTAACTTCCTTATTGAAATTGGATGGCCACTAGGGTTTTATAAACGGGGGTTCAGTTTTTAGATTTTTTTTTTAAATTTTATAAATATGAAAATAATAATAAAACATGTTGTAAAACCCTAGAGAGCCGCAGTGCACAGTTTGGGAATCATTGGTGTATCAGAAAGTCAAAACAAACAAGCATGCGACAAGATTCTGTGTTGTGTCTGCTAACCTTTGTGTCGTTTCTTAATGATATTTACGTCTGCTTGGATGGTGGAATAAATTATTGGTCAAAATAATCAATTTGAAGGATACTGTAAAAAAAAGGAACTTAATTGTGAATTTAGACAAATCGAAAATAATTGTTTTTAGAAATGTAGGTAAACAGGCAAATAATGAGAGATGGTGGTATGGAAACAAAAGGATAGGAGTGTTTGATGCTATAAATATCTATGTTTGACAATTTCTTCAGGGAATTATTAAATTAACATTTTGAACCTAAACACAAGTCTTTGCGAATCGAATTAAAGATAATTTGGTTTAAAGAATACAGTAAATCAGAATACAAATTTGGGTTAAAAGCAATGTAATGTGGGCATAATTATAAGAAAAGATAAAATGAAATTAACCAGTTATTTTAAAAAAAAGTATTGAGTTCACAAAGTTTATATAAACAGCTTAATCTAGAAAAGAAATACATATATTGTGACTTAAGAACAGACCAAATACACATAATAGTGAGTTATTAGACAAGATTAGCTGCCATAAACAGTGGGCTTTTTTTAAATTAAAAAATCAGTTTTCATGATATCATAATTCATATTTTGTATGCAAATCCATTTAGTAAAACTATTCAATATTAATATGATTATCTGGAAAACGGGTCTATACTTGTTTGAAGGAACATGATGGCAAGTTGAATATTTTCTGTCAATAGGGTTTTTTTTTCACAAGTAATTTTATGAAATGTGATTTTATCTATTATGTTTTTATCTTATATTTGGTATAAATGATTATAAATTTAGATCATTGATAAATAAACATAGTAAATGTAGATCATGGTAATGTTGAAGTGTTATCCCTTTTCAAGTAGCGGTTTTAGCTAACTGTGTTATCTTTTAATGAATTTTTCATCGCCATAATAAGGTCAAATGTCTCCAGTGTCAGATTATCTTATATTTTATATTGTGACTCTAATTTTAGAATCATATTTTTTTTTTTAATAGAATCTTTATAAACTAGATAGAAATCATTAGTAAGAAAAATAATTATGTGTTTAATAATTATTCAGAAATCGTGAGATGTGGTCTGGTGTGATGTAGGTTTCAGAAAAATATTTTGTTTATCGTGCCAACGTTTCGATCTTTATTGAGATCATCTTCAGGGCCTGGGATTTACAAACATTGCTTAAATTTAACAAATACATTTAGGATGTGGAAAAGTGAATTTATACAATGCAAAATATATTTTCACATTTCAAAATTCACTTTTCCACATCTTAAATGTTGTATTTGTTAAATGTAAACAATGTTTGTAAATCCCAGGCCCTGAAGTGATGATCTCAATAAAGATCGAAACGTAGGCACGATAAACGATGTTTTTCTGAAACCTACATCACACCAGACCACATCTCACAATTTCTGAATAATTATCGATTAACGTCACTAATCACCACACATATGTGTTTAATTTTCAGAATTGGCTGAGGGTGAGGGTCAATTTGGGTTTAAAATTGTATTCCACGGTCAAGGAAACAGGACTTACGTTTTAGATGCCGACTCACAAGAGTCGATGGAACAATGGATGAAATCTTTAGCGTGTGCAAGTATCGACTATATGAAAGTGATGGTCACCGAACTTGAACGACAGCTCGAAGAGATGGAAGGTACTTATTTCACCTCGGAGCTTTAAAATAAAAACGACCTAGTAGAAATATTATGTATTTTCTTTTCAAACAGTCAATGTACCTTTTTCAAAAGGCGAGATGGGCCAACCCGTACCGCCTCCGAGAACAAGGCATAATCCTTTTAACAGAGCGAGCCCGTCTAGTTCTCATGCACGGTCACACAGCATCAGGTCAGCTCCGGGGAGAACAGATCTCGACAGTCATAGGCAAAAGTAATTCTTCTACATCTGTTAGCTTTTTTTTTTTTTTTTTTTAATATTTGTTATTTCTTTTAGAAATTCTTCTTCCAGTGTGTCTTTTAGAGATGTGCATACAAGTTTTGGCAGAAAGATTCTTCAGGATCTGAACGAGTGGAAACATAAGCAACGCCAACTCCAACAGCCTTTGATTCAGTTGTGAAACAAATGAATTTAAAATGTGTACCTCCTTAATCTTATTGTTGTATTTACTTAATACACACTTTCCCTTCCCTATTTACAGTTGTACTCATGTTTTAATATGTTAATTGTAAATTTTAAGTTTTTGATTTTTAATTCATATTTTGTATGTGTATCCATTTAATAAAACTATTCAATATTAATATAATTTTCTGGAAAATGTGTCTATGATTGTTTGAAGGAACACGTCAAGTTGAATATTTTCTGTCAATAGGGTTTTTACTAAAGTAGTTTTATGAAATGTGATTTTATCTATTATGTTTTTATCTTATATTTGTTATAATTGATTGTAAATTTAGATCATTGATAAACATTGTAAATGTAGATCATGCTAATGCTGAAGTGTTATCCCTTTTCAAGTAGCGGTTTTAGCTTACTTTGTTATCTTTTAATGAATATTTCATCGTATTTCATCGGGGTAATAAGTTCAATTGTTTCAAAAAAATTCTAGCCTAATCCATGACCCAGGACCTCTCCGCTAAACAAAAAAATTGGACACAGATGATCTCGGTTAACCCCCGTTTTTTTTTTTTTTTTTGTTTTGTTTTTTATGTTCATTAACTATCAATGCCCATTTTGAGCACATCGTTAATACAATTATTTTTTAACAACCTTTAAACATTTAATACGCCTAATCAATTAATGTTTTTTATCAGTTTCAGTTCCACTCTGAAATATACTAATTTTTGACCACGAGAAATGAGATGAAAAAGACAATGTTGAACCCCCAAAACTGAGAAATAGTAAATATAGAAATATGTGGTGTTTAGTGACCATTAATAAATGATTATTTGGAGATCGTGAAATGCAGATGTAGGTATAGAAAACATTTTCTTATTGTGCCAACATTTTAATCTTTATTGAGATCATCTTCAGGGCCTGGGATTTATAAATATTGTTTAAATTACACAAATAAATATAGGATGTGTAAAAATGAATTTATACATGCTACAAATTTTAGGCTCACTCAAAGTATTTATACTCACTTAGTTACAGTGTTACCCAGAAAACAATCACTTTGAGTACTTTGTAGGCATCCATGGGTTCGTTTCTACACAGGCATGTGAATATATGGGCAAAGATACCTGTATAAATAAAAAAAGCAAAAAAATAAAAAAACAAGCTGACAGTAAATTCTCTGTCAGATCTGTCCTTTTGATGTCCTTTTCACACCAGACCACATCTCACGATCTCCAATCGGTAAATACAGATTTAATGATTAAGTATAATTTAAATGACAACTCAAGAAAACATGTTGGAATTTTGGTTTTAATATCTGCTTGTGGACAAGAGAAGCAAGTTTCCTAACTTTTTTCATTTGATAATTCTTAATTTCTGTTGTAATGATTGGTTTTTTTATGTTACCATCCAAACAATTTTAATATTGATTTAATTATATTATTAATATAATATAAACAGCAGTTAGATCTCAAAGACAAGATTGGAGTTGGCCTCCTAGGTTAGGACTTTAGGATAGCCATTAGATATGCCTGGCTATCAGAAAGTATTATAGTGCCACTCTTGAGATGCTTATTATTTATTTCATGTGTGCATGTTTCCATGCTAACAGTTTGCCTTCATTGCAGTGGGGCTGAGGGCCATGTGTTGCTCATAGTTAGTTCTTTAAGCCCAATATTGCCCATACCCATACCCTTTCCAATCTTCAATCTATCTATATATCACAGAAGAGCTCCTCACCAAGACTGGCAAACTCACTGCTACAGTTAGAGAGGGCTAAAATCTGGAGTGGTAGGACTAGGTCAATGGCATCTGAGAAACCATCTATACAACATGGGCATATACAATGATGATCCTATTTGTAGATTATACAATAAGGAGGAAGAAACAGCCATCCATATAATTTTTGCATGTGAAGCAACCACACAAATTAGACATGATCTGAGATAAAAAAATCCAGAGAAAGGAATTGTAATAACGACAGTCAATGACTTAGTACTCGCTTAAAAGAAGGATCAAATTGACAGGCTGAACTAAGTAACTAGGAAAGAATAAGAAGGCTGCAGTGCTTGGTAAATACACACCCCACTTCCTAGTATCTTTTCATCATCATCATCAACTCATGAAGTATTTATTATTTATTTTGTGTGTACATGTTTCTATAGCTAACTGTTCGGCTTGATTGTGGTGAGGGCTAAAGACCTTCCTAGTTGCAAGAATATAACCTACATAGACCATCTCAAAAACACATAAACATGTTTTGTGGTCTCCTCTTCTTCCTGGCAGTATTTGTACACAGTTTCTTCCCTCCATACTCCTTTCAGGTGCATGTGCCTTCTTAGGCGGCAGTGCCCTGTCAAGAGTCCAACCAGAATCTTGGTACTGTTGCTGTTGCCCTCCAGTAATTCCTTCGTAAGTCTTGCAGATGGCCTGTTTGCTGAATCTTGCATGCCTCGTGTTTGGGGTATTGTCCAACCAGGTTTTGGACTAATTAAGAACCAATTTTGGATGAATCCTTTTTTAAGGCCACAATAGGGTTTCAGGCCTAGAGAATTCATATTGGCTTATTATAAAATATACTTTATTCCATATTTAGGCCAGAGAATATAAACTTGTATATACACATATTTGTATTATTATGTGTTGTATTTTATGTTAGTCATTCATATTTGTGTTTATTTTGTGTATTTCCTTATTTTGTTCAAATTGCACATTTGTAAAAGTAAAAAAAATCAGTTATGTGATGGCATCACTTTTTTGTAATTATTTTTGACTATGCATTAACAACAGTTTGGCCGGGTTTTTTGTTGTCAATTGGTTATTGACTCAGTAACCCCGAGTCAATTTAACCTCCTCAGTTAGTTCACTGAAACAGTGTAACTTGCTGGTTGCAAAGTTGGTGAACTAAAACTTTTTAATAATATGTCTTTTAGCTTGTTCTGTCGTCTTTGCGCCTCAAAATCCGAAAATTTTACAAACGCGTTGGATTCAGTAGGAAAAGGGCTTAATTTGGCCGAAAAGATAAACCACTGTCTTCGTATCGAAGTAAGCAGTACTTGGGGTCTCTTATTATCAAAATTTTCATTATTTTAAGGCGTATTGTCGTTTGGACAGCTTATGCACAAACTAGGTATTCTTTTGACTAAAAAAAAAACCTAGGGATAACTTGTTATTAACAATATAAAAACGTTTTAATCGAGTTGAGGAAGTCTTAATAAACAAAATATTTTAGATCAAGAAGTGTTTTTAAGTTCCACTGTTTTTCCTGAGCATTTGAAATAAACCTATATAGAAAAAACTTTATTGATATTTATTATAATAGCAAGTCGCTTGATTTTTTTGTAGCGAAAATGAAAAGTAATCGAATTGATGTGACTACAGAGCCAGAATAAAATTCAAATAATGTATAAGCTGAAGTTAAAAGGTGAAACTGTCGAGCAATTAAAATGAGATTGACAATAAATAAGAGTGAAAATCTACCCTCTCAATTGTCGACCGATAGTGGTTGACGACATTTTAAATGCATGAGCATTATTTAAATTTGAAAACTTGTTGTTTGGAAAGATCACTGCTGACGACTCATTGCCTAAAACTGTATGTGCGGATTGCTGCGAAAGGATTGAGAATTACTATTCGTACAGCCAGCTCTGCTCGCTTTCTCAGCATTCTCTCATGAAAATATTCTCGTATGAGGGCGACCCTCAGAGGTCGGAGAACGGAGTGATGTATGCGTCTTGCAACAAGAGCATCACAAACAACATGCCCCACGGTGAAGTGAGTATCAAAATTTTAAGTTATTCTTATTGATCAACATGGTTTTTTTTCTGCTAGACCAACAGTAATTTGTTTCACAAGCTGATAACTGTAAAGTTTTTTACTGTTCTTACATATTCAACAATTTTTTACTTGATTTTATTACAATTCAGTTCATGGGTTATCACAGATCTTGCATCAGGTAGGGTTTTAGCCTTAATACAATCTGTTCTAGTTTTAAGTAGCCTAGTAGTTATCAAAAGACTGCGTATTACCAATTTAAAAAAAATAGCCATCAACTCTGACAGCCAGGCAGCATTAAAGACCTCATTAGTCGTAAAGTCCAGAGCAATTTGAAACTGCATCATTGACATATCATTGTGGAGTTTGGCGGTTTTTGACAAACCCATGGAGCATTTACAGAAATTCTTAATAGTTCGTAATACTTGTATTCTATGAATTTCTGTGATGGCCACTTACATATTTCAAAGAATATAGGGCCAGTGGTCTTTGAATTGATTTTAGGAAGAGTGCACAGGTTCTTGATTTGTTGGGTGTGGTAGGGTAGCGTAGAGTTGCTTTTTCTATGCCTCTGGGAATTATCCCACTCACAGACAATTATTGTAAATTTCAGGAGTTCCATCATTGCTTTGTCATTATGTTTTTAATAACAGATACTGAATGTGCTGTATCCAGGGCTTTTTCTTTATTTTTAGTTGATGTACGTGACCCTCCATTTCTCTTGATGAAAAGAGTAGTTCCACTGTCCAGATACTTTTAGAAATTGACGTTAACTCTTTTCTTATATTTCTGACCTTACTTCATTATCTTTCCAAATTTTTCCTTTAGGTTTCTGCTACTTTTTCTAATAAAAATGGCCATTCAAAGAAGCATAAATTTTTTTAATCTGTTTTAACTACTTTCTTCTCTTCTGCTAACGCATCAGGTTATTTGGTTGTTTTAGGCTTTTTCTTACCAAAACCATAGTTAAAAATGAAGAACCTTAGTACAGTATATTATTAAAATGATTACGTAAAACTTTTCCACCTCTTAAGAACTTTTTGTATAGTCTTAATTCCTTTTTTTATAAATTAATATTTTATACTTATATATTTTTCTGCAAAACAACCTAGACCTTATGAAATTTGGCCTAAAAATAACACAATAAAGATAATCCATAATTGAAAATAGCAATGAGAATAAAGAAGAAAATAAGACAAGAACTCAATAATATTTTAGCTACAAAATAATTATATCCAAACTTCAGGCTTCATCTTTAGTGATGAATGGTCTCCTCGTGATCATGCATTTTTGTTGCCATAGACATTATTAAACAAATCAATTTTTAGAATATTAAAAGATTTTATTATTAAGTTGTGTGCCATTCTCTTTATATGGCCCAAGAGTGTACATGAATAATTATTCAGAAATCGTGAGATGCGGTCTGGTGTGATGTAGGTTTCAGAAAAACATTTTCTTTATCATGCCAACTTTACTTTTACAACTGATCTTTATTGAGATCGTCTTCAGGGCCTGGGATTTACAAACATTGTTTAAATTTAACAAATACATGTAGGATGTGGAAAAAAGGTGAACGATAAAGAAAATGTTTTTCTGAAACCTACATTACACCAGACCGCATCTCACGATTTCTGAATAATTATCGATTAATGGTCACTAACCACCACACACAAGTATACATGAACTTGACCAGATGATCAAGCTTTGGCTCTACCTTGTAGACTTTGGCCCACAAAATATTGCTGATGAATAAAAATAAATTTTTTATTATTATTATGCTGTATCTGTCATTATGGTTGTATCTGTGGTATTTTGAAACTTAATTTTGTGATTTTTCTACTTAATAATGATCTATTTTTGTTTGTAATTACAGGAAAGCGGCATAAGTGCAATAAGCACTGTTGAGGTCGATCGGAAAGACGAGCTAAATTTAAATAACAAAGGTAATTTTTAAAAATTGAAATTTTGTTATTAATTTATTGACAGTCCAATAAGTACAATTTTATTTTAGCATCAAATGATACTGCATTAGAAGAGCATTATTCAAATTTAAATCAGCCTTTAGAAACAAACCCAACAATGCCAGAAGGAACAAGCCATGGAAGGAAAGAACGTGGTAAAAATTCTTCTTCTGAGTGTGGCAGTGAAGAAGAAGAAGATATTTTTAATGAAGCGACAACAGCACCTGTCCGAAGTATATTAAAATCCTTCAGTTATAGTGTATGCTTATAATTATAATGTGTCCTAATTTTTCAGATGTTTTTGAAAACTACATCTGGGGTTGTACATTGTGTAATGAGGAGCTTTTATCCTTGCCGGCTTTGAAATCTCACTATACGACAGTCCACATGCAACAGCCTGTTTTCAAGTGCATGAGCTGTCCCAAAGTATACGAGCGCTACAGAAGCTTTGCCAGGCACGTCAAACTGCATCAGCAAATCAGGCCTTATAGGTTTGTTGATTCTATTTGTATACTTTTCAAATTATTTGATAAAAATTGTATTTTCAGCTGTGATGTTTGTGGAAAGCGATTCTCACAAAAGACGATACTCCAGTCGCACAGTACAGTTCATAGTGAGGAGCGGCCCCACGTTTGTTCGCAGTGTGGTAAAGCTTTTAAGCAGTTCAGCTCACTCTATTTGCACAGTAAATGCCATCTTCCAGAGCAGGCAAAGCCAAAATACCCTTGTGTCATATGTAGCAAAGAGTGAGTAAATTTCGAGCATTTCAGTTAATGTATTTTCAATTAATAACTGTTTTTTTGTTAGATATTCCACAAAATACTCGATGGATACTCACATGAAAATTCATACAGGAGAGAGGAATTATATTTGTGATGTATGCGGAAAGAGTTTTATAACGAAAGGCAGTTTAGACTATCATTTATTGGCTCATAATGAAACAAAACCACATTCCTGTCTTGTATGCAGTAAAAGGTACCTTGCATTTCAAACAATTTCGTTAATAGTGCTTGTTCTATTTCTTTTGTTTGCCTTATTGCTTATCCAAATTGTGGAAGGAAAAAAAGGACTAAATAAAATTTTTTAAAAAATAATACAAATAAAAAAGCTAAATAATTCCTGTCGTATAGGAGGGCTTAACTTCCAACTACCCATGGGGTCTCACATACAAGGGGGGGGGGGGTCAAACCACTTTACAATACTTCTTTAATACTAATCTCGATTGAAAAGCTGTGGGTTGTGCCAAGATTCAAACCTAGAATCACTAACATGGCAAATATGAGTTGGATGCTCAAACCATTTGGCCACCGTGGTACCCTGTTAAAAAGACTATTTGTTTGGATTCCACATTATCATTTATTTCAAAGATGATTAATTAAGGGGCGTTGGTGGCCGCAACAGTTAGGTGTTGACATGGCGCTCATCACTGTAAGGTAAAGATCCTGAAATGCTTATAAATGTTTTTTTTTTTTTTTTTTTTTTTCAAAAACAAACCCAAGAGTTCATATAATGGTGTATATAAATCTAAAGGGGTTGAAGGGGAAAGGAAGGACAGTCTCCTTGATTTCAGTCTCTTCATTGGCTAGCCTCAGTAGCAATAAGAAGAGTATCTAATTAATCCTTTTCCCAACTAATTTGACACAATCATTCTTATAAATGTGGCTCCAGAAATGCTGATTGCTGCCTAGTACTTGCCAAGTCTCAAGATGCTCTTCTTGGCATTCACTAAATGGAGTGCCTACGTATACACACATACAGGGTTTGTACAACCACCCAGTTTATGCGAAACAGCGAATATTTGCAAAGTTCCACTGTCCGAGTCCTCATCTTACCAATTGTAATGGACAACAGTGAAGTTGCGGTTACTGTTTTGTGAAGTGGCTACAAACTCAGAAATGAGTCACAGAGTACTGTTGCACCATCTTACTGTCAATCTGTTTCCACGCATCGAAAACCTCGTTCCGATTTTTGTAATTCAGAAGGGAAGCGTTCCAAATTTTTGGTTCAGATTGAGGAACTCTAAGACTGCTAAGTTGGGCAAACAGAAATAATGCTGTTGTTCTTTCCATTAGTACATTTATACTAGTTAGGAATTGTTTATCATTAAAAAATAAATAGCAGTAAATAGTAACTGTTGATTGATGATTACAGTTGATTTATGAAGAATACAGTTGATTCCCAAATGTGTGGATGCTTTGTGTTCAGTTACTTCATGAATATGTGTGCACTTTAAAGCAGACAAGAAAACCAATAATTAGCTGAGCAAGGCGAGCACCAAATATTGTTGCTCAGCAAACAACTGAGCACTTGTCCTCACTAGTCACGATTCGGCGAACCTTTGTTCAGCATTCAGCAAATCCCACATGTCTGGGGCTACCTTAATGAAGAATGATTTTGTGTCCGGTCATAATAATAATAGATGATCTATTTTCCCACATGGGAACTTACATTTTCAATGCACTCCCTGCTAGTAATAAAATGATTAATGGTTTGTTTAGTTTTAAAAAGGCTTGAAGATACATTTACAGAGAAAATCGTATTGTGATCTAAATGAAGTTTATAGTTTTTCAAGGCAGTGATACCTTATTGTAATATTTACCGAATTATTTTTTAAGCCTACTTGTATTAATTTATTAGTAACTAGGTGTCTACATACAATGTGTATAATACAACAATTCTATTCTACTCTATTCGAAGTAAACAATATTAAATTTGAGGTTTGAAATTGCAGTTTTAGGACAGCTCGTTTATTGGCCAAACATTCAACATTGCACACTGGAGTAAAGCCGTATCAGTGTGATGTTTGCGGGAAACAGTTTCGACAAAGAGGCGGCTTAAAGGAGCACAACAGAGTTCACACTGGCGTCATGCCCTATTCGTGCGAATACTGTGGAAAAACATTCAGATTCCGGGGGATTTTAACTGTATGTTATTCTTTAAATATAAAGAGTATACGTTAATTTTTTTTTTTTTTTTTTTGCAGATTCACAAGCGCCAGCATACAGGAGAGCGGCCATACAGTTGCAGGGACTGCGTTCGAGTCTTCACCAACTGGCCAAACTACAACAAACACATGAAACGGCGGCACAAGAACAACAAAACGCTCGGAAACGATGCAACTCCGCCTGAACCGCCACAGATTGACACCATGGCAGTGGTCTCGACGGATTTTTCAGAAGCGAATGACGATTTGCTTTTCAAAAATATCCCTGATGGGGAAATCTACAGGTCTCCTCCGCCTTTCAATGCGACGATCCCGTTTTACATTTCACCCGTGTTGTCCATGCAGGGCATGATGGAAAAAAAATGAAATCCTATTGTTTTGTTCTATGAGATCTGAATTTATTTCCTTCCATTATTGTTGTGTCTCTGTGATCTTAAATTTAATTGGAATTGAAATTAAATTACATTAGAAATCATGTAATAACAACATAAATGAAAACTTGTGGTCAAATGTTATTTTGCCATTAAGAACTTTAGAATCTCAAAAAAATTTAAAAATGATCTCTTTTAATGCACCAACTGTCATATGAATGAGTTAATTATAAAATACCTCTTGGATTGTTAAAATTTATTTTCAATTTTCCAATAAATAATTTAAGCTTTTTAACGTGGATTAATTAAGTGCTAAAATATCATGAAATATTAGAAAATTGATTCTACCAATAATCCGATAAAAGAGCATGTGTGATAATGATAAAGATAATTTCAATATTTTATTCTTATTTTATATAATATTATTATTATATAATTAAATATTTTTATATTAATTTTACAAGTGTAGGAAATGAAGATTGAAAGAGAAAGTGCCAAGAGTAACACGGAATCCCACGACAGCTATTTGCCCAATGAGGTTCCCTTTTTTTAAATTTTTTGTACTATTGTTTTAAATCAATGAAATAGAAACAGTTGTGTCCTTAAATTATTTTTGCTATTGTGTACTTGTTTATGTATTTAAAATGTATGGTTTTGACACCAGGAAGATATAGGATATTTTTACCAATCGTTAAATTCGTATCTAACATGGTCCATATAATTAAAAATTAATTGTATGCTTAAGTGTAATAAAAAGGGTCAATTAAAGTTGTTACAGCATTTTTAAAATTAAGGATCAGAGTGAAAATGGAATTGTGGAAAGATAAAGTTTTTGTGATAATTTTTTCAAGTAAAAGTTTCTATATTTTTTAGTAAACCAAATTTATTTTATGATTTTATTCTTAAAGTATTTAATTATAAAATTAATAAAGTGTTAATAATATATTTATCAATAAATATTTTGTAATTTAATTACTTTTCCCCAGTTATTTTCCTGTAATTCAAACTACTCCGTTTGAATTATCTATTATAAATAAATTTGACCTATGCACTAATGAATAACTAAATAAGAACATGGTTGGTCCTTTCTGATCATTTTATACAAAACAGTATCACTAGGAAGAAAAATGATTGGAAAATTCTCGTTCATCATTCAGCAGACCACAAGAGGAAATATGACAATTTAAATAGGAAAACAAGATAGGGTCCTTGCTGGCCGAGTCCTTTAGAGGAGGTGGTTAACCAGTTAATTTATGTGGTCAGCCACCCTTGAATTTGCTTAATCATGTGTACAACCATTGACCCAAATCATTATTTCATAAATCCCACAGGGCTAAGCGATGAGTTGCCTGGTTCTTGCTAAGATGCTGCAACCAACAATTCATAAGTTCTACACTCTCTACTTGTTACAACACATTAACATGCTGATGAGAGATGATGATGATGCACTGTTAGTATATATTATAACAATTTGTTATAACACTCAAAAAGTCTGTTTGGGGCGTTGGTGGTCGAAATGGTTTTAGTGTTGAAACAGTGCTCTTTACTGTACAGTAAATCTAGTGGCCCTACATTCCGACTTTCTTACAAATGGGCTTTTTCTTTTCAAAAACATCTGCATCTCGAGGGTTCATCTAACTATACACACGTACCTGAAGGCCTACGGGTGCAAAGGTCGAAGAGGAAAGGAAAGATAGTGGGGCTGATGTCGGTCTCTTCATTAGCTGGCCTCAGCAGTGAGAAGAACGGTTTTCTCTTCTACTATCAAAAGGAAAACATGCTGCAAATCATATAGGTTACCGATTTGGCTAGATTCTTCAACATCTTCTTAGATGTCCACCACCAGCATTGATCTCTTTTTTTCAGAATTTTACTGGCAGAGTAGTTATTTGTATTTATCATTCAATTTCTTCCAAAACAATTTTTGCTAAAAGAGTCCTTCTCATTTCAAAAGAAAGCCCTGACAATCTCTTCCCAGCCTTGCCTCCCACCTCTACACACTATTATAATATGTATATTTGATCATCAATGATCATACTGGTATGCCTAGTCCTGTGGTTTTCTCTGTCAGACATGTCTCGGGTTTACCCTTCTGACCAATTTTAGTCTATTGTGCCTGAACTACTTGATTGTACAGGTTTGAAAATTCCAAGAGTTATACTGCAATTTGAACATGGACCACTAGCATGGTTAGTACGAGAGTCAGACACTAACTACTTGGTCACTGCAGTCCCTTTGCCAACTATCAGAACATGTAAAAAGGACATGCATATAGAAAAACACTCATAAAAACCATCGTAAATCCACCACCTTCAATTGTTTCTGTGATAATTGTTAAATAACACAGAAACATAAAAATTAGCAATATACAAATAAATATAGTGATATATAATTTATGACTTTTAAATTCCTCAATATGGTGGGGGTTTTTTCCAAGACCATATGTATATTTTGGTTTCCTTTCTTCTGTCAAAGTTGATTTCAGCCATTTTAGAAAAGAACTGACATTTTAGCAATTTTTTATTAGAATCATTTTGTGACAAAGAGTATGAATCTTTGTCGCAAGTGAGTCTTATCTGTTGCCATGTCCTCCTCGGCCCTTTGTTATGAGACAGTGGAACAGGCGGTGCGGTACACTAAAATAGAGGATTAAGGGAACAAATTTAAATATTAAAATAAAAGGTACTTCTATATTGTTTAAAAAAATGTAAATAAATACTGAGAAGCAGTTATATTCAAAGGATGCCCTTTTTCGTTTATTTTAATTACCCTGCACTTAACTGGGGGTCTCCCTGTCAACCCGGCAGCAGGTCTGTCCCTGACAACGTCCTTAGCGCACCTGGTGCTAAAGGGCCTATCGCCGGCGGAGGCCAGAGTTTCCTTCCTTGCTGGAAAAGGGTGGCCACGCCCCCGCCATTTCTCCTGAGTCGTGACACTGTGTTTATAAAAATGCAATAATGACTGCATGTTTATGTGTTCACGATTATCAAACAATTTTAAGTACAATAATTAATATTAATCCTTATATGTTTAGCAGTCATAATACACCTATTTAATTATTTCAATTAATTATACATTTTATCTAAAGTCTTGGTTGAGATGGAAAAGTTAGTGACACGAGCGGGATTCGAACCTACAACCTTCGGCTCAATACCTCTTGAGCTATCAAACAACAATTATTTTTTGAAATTAAAAATGACCTCAGTGATCGAGATTGTTAGTTTCCATTTCATTCAGTTTATTTCCAGTTTGAATTGTATTTTAATGTGGGCTGATCTTTTACGTGCAACTATCCAAAGAATTTTATATAAAATCAAGCTGTACAAAATTCAGTGTTAACATGTGTCTAAAATTTCACTAAATATACTCATTTAGAAATAAATTAGAATACTATTAAGTTAAGAAACTTAAAAAGTTAAATATAGACTATAACAGCAAGTAGACAAATTAGTATTTATTTAGAAATCGATTAACGGTCACTAATCACCACAAGACTAATTAGTTTTCTGAACTGAACTATTTTTGTATTGAAACATTCTCCTTGAACTGAAATCGTTCAATGGAGCCAGTTGTTTATAAGCAATAACTGAAATGAGGACAGTATAAATCTTTGGTAAGGCAGCCTCTCCTACCTCCAGGGATTTCCAAGGACATAATTTGAATCACTTTCACATTTTATTCTTCTTAAGAACAAGAATGGGTATGCTGATATTTGATATGCTCCTTGTTTATTAATCGACACAAGTACACTTATGTTGTAGCAACAATGTTCCCTCACAAATATGTGCCTGTTGACAATGCTATAAATGAGAAGTTATTGCGGGATTTCAAAGGAGAGAAGTCAGGATTTTGCCAAGTCGGAGACAAAAAATGGCTGCTGCCAATTGCTTATAAAAACCATGCTGAAGAATATTACACACTGCCTTTGCGAAAAGATGATATTTGGGTTGTCACTTTTCCAAGATCAGGTACCAAAAAATAAATAAATAAAATTTGCATTATTTTGTCAAAATAATATTTAATCGCGTCATTTGTTTGTCAAAAGACAAAACAAAAACAAAAGTGTGTACATGTATTGCATTAGTAAATAAAAAATAAAAAAAATTAAATCATCCATTTGTACATTAAATCTTGCAACACTTTTGTTAATAATTGTACATAACAAAGAAAAGAAAAATACATTTCATTTTACATAATTTTTCCCAATAAAAAAATGTATTAAACAATAAAAAAGTAATTCTCTTATTTGGCCAGTTTCTTTAAGGATTGTTAACTTTTTTAGTGTCTGATTTTTTAACATTAGAGGTCTTTTCTTTTTTATATCAAGGACAATCCCAAACTTATTGTTTTGTTTAAATTGTAGGATGCATTTAGTTATGCTTATTAAAATTATGCATTTTCTTATTTGCAATTCTACACATTCTTAATTTCAGCTCACGATTTTGATTACATTCACAAATCAATTTGACACACTTGGACAACTTACGAGCAACATTATAATTCATAATTATTTGACGTGAAATTGTTTTTCTGTTGTATTTGCTTGGAATTTCAGTCTCTTCAGATTATCAGTTTGATAATATTGTCTGCCAATATTATTTTATTAACATACACGTGTCCAGTATGTAGAGAAAGGTTTCAGAATAAATTTCTAAATTATGCAGTTTGTAAACTTAAAATTCCCCGGGCTATACGACTTCTTCAGTATTGTGGAATCCTTTCTCCTCCAAAGGGAAGATCAAGCCTTCTTACTTTAATGTTCCCCAGCTCTCATCGAGGAAACATAAAAATAAAGTCTACAATATAATTACATAAAATAAAGTTCCACCAATAGGCTAGTGCACACGGCTAATGCTTATCCACACCTCTCATACCAACATAATATTAGCATTTTTAAAAATCAATTAATTTCTGCACTCAAGATATAAATGTTTAGATTAGTTTATGTACTATTTTCAAATCCATTTTATGCATGTCTCATTATCAATCTGTAAACACATAGCTCTGTTTGTTTAATTTTACAATAATATTACTATATTATTATGTTATGCTAGTTAGCATGAATATTACCATTAATGATCTTTATTCAGTATATAGCAGCATATTTATAGCTATGTTTTATTTAATGATTCATACTTCCAATTATTTGTTATTGTTTTGTAATTCTAGTTCAGTTGTTTCTTTAATTAAATAATAATGTTTTATAATGAATCTCTATATTATCTCTCCTAAGTATATTTGTAAATATTGTATAATTTTAATAGGCTTTGCCAGTAATAAATAAATAAATTGATTTATATATGATCATTTCTAACATAGATATACTTATGTGAAGAATGGTGCTTTTAATTTCTCGTGGTTTGCCACAAAAATCATCAACTTTACAGTATGGTTTCAGGGGCAAAACAAGAATAATTTTCAAGACTGGCATCGTAATATTTTACCATTCACTGAAGTAACGTGGTGAAGTACTTAATATTGACCCACTCAATAGCCCTCTCACACTACACATTCGCTCTAATAAATACATACATTCTCAACATACACAAAAGGAAACACAAAACAAGATATCTACTCCTCTGTACTACAGACCTGTAACTCCAAAAATTTGAATAGGAGACCCAAAGACTCGCTGCTGTCCTCAAGAAATAAAGTTTGAACTTTGTAATTTTGAGAATACTTAAATAGTTTGTGTGAACAGTAGTTTCAAGCTTAATTAAAATGAAGAACTCAAGAACTAAATGAATAGTGGTATTTTTTCTTTAAGTAAGACATTATTTATCTTTAGATTATATCTGTAATGTATCTGAATGTCCAGATATGTTTACATTATGCTTCTTATAAGTACTATTATTATTATTTTCATCTACAAATGTATTTAGTAGTCCTAATTGTATGTATTAATTATTTTAATTAGTTATACTTTTTATTTAAGGTCTCAGTTGATATGAAAAGTTTGTGTCATGAGTGGGATCGAACCCACGACCTTCGGCTCAATACGCTGCTGCTCTAATGACTTTGAGCTATCACAACTTCTTATAAGAATTATTATTATTATTTTATAGGGACTACATTGACTCAAGAGCTTGTTTGGATAATTAACAACGATTTGGATTTTAAAACATCTTTGTCGGTATCCTTGCAAGACCGGTTTCCCTTTATGGAGTGAGACTATTTTTTTAAAAGAATTTGTAAACGTAAAATCATTTGCCCACAGTAACTTTAATTATAAATTTCAGATTAAACACATTGATTCACGATGAGCATGCACAAGAGATCATCGACATGAACAATGACCCGGTTGTCACAGGACTGGTCAAAAGTTGGAAAACACCCGGTCCAAGAATCGCTAAAGACCTCAAATCGCCAAGACACTTTAAAACGCACTTGCCATTCTCTCTGCTTCCGCCGAATCTGCTCAACACGTCCAAAGTTATTTATGTCGCAAGGAATCCAGATGATGTAGTAGCATCTTACTACTACCATAACAAACTTGTCAGGCTCCACGATTACACAAATGATTTCCAGCAGTACTGGAATTATTTCAAGAATGATTTGGGTTTGTTTTTTAAATATTTTTTAATGTGATTTTATATTATAATTTTTTATTTTTTTAGTTGTTTTTGCCCCATACTGGAAACATGTGGAAGAAGGTTGGAACAGGCGTTCTCATCCAAATTTATTATTTTTGTATTACGAAGACATAGTCAAGGTAATATTCTTTACAATGAATATATCGCTTCACTGCTACTATAATTTTTGACAGGACATGAGGTCTGTTATACGTAAAGTGGCTAGCTTTTTGGGTAAGACACTCAGCGAAGACAATGTGGACCAGGTTTTCGCCCATTTACAAATAGAGAATCTCAGGAAGGTCCCTATGCTGACGAATGCAAATTTAGTGGGTTTTGTAAACGGCTCAGGAGAGGGTTTTATCAGACAAGGTAAAACAAGTAATTAGACGTATGTCAGGAGAGCATATTTGTATGATGGTGTGATGTAGGTAAAGTTGGAGGGAATAAGGAGTTATACGGACAATTGAAAGAAGATGTGGACGAGTGGGTCCAAGAGAACTTGCGTAAAACTGGATTGCCACCATTTCCAGTTTGAGTGTTCTGCTAGATAAACTGCATTGTCTTTTTCTTAATTTCCGTATTGCAAAGAAAACTCATGGCTATTTAGTTGTATTTCTTCTTCAATTTTAATTATATTATTTACCAATTTATTGCTAAAATTATTATAAACTGTAAATAAAATTATGTGTTCAATTGTTAATCCTCTCATAAAATTATTTATTTATTTGTTGTCATTTTAAATTTATTCTATTCCTACATACTACTGTAAGATTTTACTTCCAACCAAAAAACTGAACTTCACACAAACTTTAAATAAAAATTTACAACAGAATAAAATTATAAATCCTCAAATTTCCATTAGGGTTAGAGGAAGAGAATGATTTTGGATGTCTAGACTAACACGGTTAGTAAATTTATTTTGCAACCAAAATGCCCAGTGATTTAAATGATTTAAACAATTACTTTTAAATAAATAAAATTTTTGTTAATGAGATGTTATGAAGTTGATTAACAACTCAGGTTTGTATTTATTTATCCGTTATTGATTTATTACATCAAAAATTTATCAGTTTTTCATCTGAAATGATATTTTTACTTTATAAGGCTTCTTATTTTTGCCTCTAACAATATATTTTGATATTCACCATCTTATCTATGCGATTTGCTTTTTCCTTGCACAAATTTAACATGCCAATTCATGTTAATCGAATTATGAACTCAACGCTGGTGTTACATGCATATAATGTTTTCCTAAATGAGTGAACAAATCATGTAAGTTACATAAGAGCACTCAATTGGATTTGGTCTTGCTTAGAGAGCATGGGGCTTACTGGGGGGCTGATAAATCACTTTTGCTTTATACACCGTTCAAACTTTAGGATAACACCAGGTATGAGATCTTGAATTTTTACCTTGACAAACTTAATCCAAACAATCAATAAATTACATCAACAAGATACAAATTTAATTTAATTCGCAAAATTAGAAAGATTTGTTTATTTATATTAGACTTTCTATATTTTAATTTGTGAAATTTACTTATATGATGTCATAAACATTTAATTATCCATGTTAAATATTGTAAGACCATTTTTACTGTAAATATTTATGAAAAACATTAGATGTATCAAGTATTTGTATGTTAATATTAAGCATAATTTTCAGAATATAGTATTTTGAAAATATTACATAAAAATTTAGAATTTCTTGTACACTTTATGTTATTTCTTTTAATATACAACATTTTATCTAATAAATACTAATCACTATTAAAAAATAAATAATAATAATAATGTAGGAAAGTAAATCATCAAAGGTGATCATTCTAATTAGTTCATTTAATTTGGTTGCTTTTATTTTGTATCAGTGATTCTACAAAGACCAAGGCTTTAAAATTTATTACTGTCAAAATCTCATTCCTCACGTCTAAGAAGGTATCATCAAGCTGTTTGTAAAAACAGGTTTTAGTAATTTATTAAATTTATATTACCAATTGTGCAATCAGAATTTTAGAATACAAAATTGTCAAAATGAAAGGAATAGAATCAGGAGAAACAGGGAAAACATCGACTATCCCAATGGTTGAATTTACTCTGACACCGATAGAAAAGCAATTCCTTCTGCTAGCTGAACGAGGTGATTGTGGGAGTGTAAAGGCGTAAGCGTTAAATTTCCACCGGTTAAAAATCAATTGTTTGATTAAGAATGTCAAACTAAATTAAATTTGTTCTAAAGATTGTTAGAAGAGTTCGGTGATTCAAAAGAAGACTTTGATATCAACTGTGTAGACCCACTCAACAGGACAGCTTTGATTGCAGCAATCGAAAATGAAAATATGGATTTGATCAAAATATTACTTGAGTACAACATTAAAATGAAGGTAAACCAAATATTAAATTATCTGATCAATATATAATTTATATATTTGTTTGTTAGGACGCTTTACTTCATGCAATCAAAGAAGAGTATGTTGAAGCCGTTGAAGTGCTGTTGCAATGGGAAGAAGAAATTCATGTAGAAGGAGAGCCTTATGTAAAACTTTATTTATATTTTAATTTAATGATGAATATATAATAAATTTAAAAAAAGAAGAAACTATCAAAAATTTTGTAATTAATGTTTTACTCAATGTTGTGAAATATTGTTATAGTTTATTTATTTTCTTAGAGCTGGGAATCTGTGGACAGAGCAAGCTCCAATTTTACTCCTGACATCACGCCACTTATCTTAGCTGCACATACCAACAATTATGAAATACTGAAGATACTTTTAGACAGAGGGGCTTCTTTTCCAATCCCCCATGAAATAAGGTATGACCACAAATTAAACAAATAAAAATAAAAGGATTGAAAATGCTCCAATACCATTTGTATTCAGGTGTTCTTGCAACGACTGTTTACAATCACGGGAAAATGATTCGCTTCGGCATTCCCAGTCGAGGATAAATGCATACAAGGCCTTAACTGCGCCTTCTCTGATCGCCCTGAGCTCCAAAGACCCCATACTCACGGCTTTTGAGCTATCGTGGGAGTTGAGAAGGATGAGCAGAGTGGAAACTGAGTTTCGAGCTGAGTACAATGTCTGTAAATTGTATTAAGGAATCATTATCGCTTAATTAATTTAAATTATTAGGAAATGAGGGAAAGATGTCAAGAATTCGCCACATCGCTTCTTGACCATACAAGAACTTCGAATGAGCTTGAAATAATGCTTAACTACAACCCAGAAGCTGGGCCTTTTGAAATATGGCAGCCTGGCGATCACCAGTCATTAGAACGTCTAAAATTAGCCATTAAATACAAGCAGAAAAATGTTAGTAATTTAAATATATATTCAAAGTTATAATGAAATATAATTAAAAGTTATGAATAGGAACTTGTAATTAAAATGTTGAATGATAATTTCAGTTTGTAGCCCATCCCAATGTCCAGCAATTGTTGGCTGCGATTTGGTACGAAGGACTCCCAGGATTCAGACGGAAGGGGATGGTACAGCAGTTCTTCGAAATGGGCAGGCTTGGCGCAATGTTCCCCGTTTACACGGCCATGTACATGGTTGCCCCGTCCTCCAAATACGGCATGTTCATGAAAAAACCTTTTGTCAAATTCATCTGCCATTCAGCATCTTACGGATTTTTTTTGAGTAAGCTTTTAAATGCACCAAAAATTGTAAATAATTAACAGTTATTTTTCACTAGATGTTAAATTTTTGTATATTATGTTTGATTTATTGATTTATTCTAACTTTTATTTAGTGCTTCTTGGGATGGCATCACAAAGGATTGAGACATTATTCATCGAATGGATAGGAACAGATTGGTCCAGGGAACTAGTTTCAGAATGGCGAAGAAAAGAGAGAGGTGCAATACCAGGGGTAGTGGAAAGCGTGATCATCTTGTACATCATTAGTAAGAAAACTTTTAAAACATCCATTTAGAGATAAATTTCTAATAAAATTGACCTTAATGTGAGCAGGTTTGATATGGAGTGAGACTAAAGCATTGTGGCGTGATGGAATCTTAGAATACATGAATGATTTATGGAACATCGTCGATTTTATTACACATTCCTTTTATGCAACATGGATATTCTTACGAGCCACTGCGTGGTTCATTGTACAAGTATGCGACCACAAATTTTTCATTATAAGTTTTAATTAAAAAAATAAACTGCATGTATCAATATATTATATCTAGAGGGAACAACATTTTGGCATTGATCCATATTATCCTCGGGAAAGCTGGGATGTTTTTGATCCAATGTTAATATCAGAAGGTGCATTTGCAGCTGGAATGATTTTCAGGTATGTTCCATATTTTAACTTTTAGCACAATGTAAATAATAATGTTTCATTTCAGTTTTCTAAAGTTGATACACATATTTAGTGTCAATCCACACTTAGGACCTTTACAAATATCCCTCGGAAGAATGATAATTGACATAATCAAGTTTTTTTTTATATACACATTGGTACTGTTTGCATTCGGATGTGGTAAGTATTGCCATTTGTTTTGATGATTTAAACTAATAATTTTTGAGGTGAATTGTTTTGATTCAGGTTTGAATCAACTAATGTGGTACTACGCTGATTTGGAAAGGAGAAGGTGTTACCATTTGCCGGACGACAAGGCAGATTTCGATCATCAAGAACGAGCCTGTACCATTTGGAGACGATTTGCAAAGTAAATCAAGTCTGGCTGACCCGTAAGCTTAGTCACTAAAAATATTTGGTTTTTAGCCTCTTTGAAACATCCCAGACTCTATTCTGGGCCGGGTTTGGACTGGTGGACCTGATGAATTTTGAGCTGACTGGGATTCAGGGCTTTACACGGTTTTGGGCTCTTCTCATGTTCGGATCGTACTCAGTTATAAACATCATAGTGCTGCTCAACATGCTCATTGCAATGATGTCTAACTCATATCAGATAATATCAGTAAGCTGAAAATCCTCCTGAATCCTTATGTTTAATACAAGAACACTAATGTTAATAATATAAAATATCATAATGTATTGTATATTTTGTAAAAAAAATTAATCAGAATTTTACATGTGCTAATGCAAAGATTTTTGTTTATAGTATATTATTTAAAATAACTCAATTTATTAGAAATTGTGTATTAATACTTGATAAATTATTTGCAGGAGAGGGCTGATGTTGAATGGAAATTTGCTAGATCAAAACTATGGGTGAGCTATTTCGATGATGGCGATACACTTCCTCCGCCGTTTAATCTATTGCCAGGTGTTAAAAATTTTATTAAATGTGCACGGTGTGGATCTGGTCGAAGGACAACACAATCATTGATGGTAAATTAAGCATATATTTATAATATTATTTCATTAAGTTTTTAATTTTTATTTATTTATTTATTAAGTTGAAATCGAGGAGTTTGGCACAAGAGAAATACGAAACTGTTATGAAGCTTTTAGTCCGAAGGTATGTCACGGCAGAACAGAGGAAAAGAGATGAATTCGGAATCACTGAAGATGATGTAATGGAAATTAGGCAGGACATATCTACGCTGAGGTTTGAGCTTATAGACATCCTTAGCAACAATGGGATGAAAACACCAAAGATCAATCCCAATGATAACACAAGTATGTTTTTTTTTAGTTTAATTACCTTGTTTATTTATAGTTATATTATTAAATGATATTTTTTTCTGTAAATAGTAGCGGGGAAAAAGGGGAGAGTTATGGAAAGGAGATTGCTCAAGGATTTCCAAATTGGTATCGTCGAGGGTATTCTCACTGAAGCTATCAAATCAGAAAAAGAACCCAAAAATGTTTTCTCCAAAATTGCCAAGGCAATCGGCCAGAAGTCTTCGATCAAGGAAGAAAAAAAAGATTGGAATGCATTGGCTCGTGTCGGGACCATTGTGAAAAATCCTATCGGCTCGACTTCCGAGGCGAGACAAAAGAATTCAAGGCAGAGCGTTAGAAAGCACATTCTAGAACACACGGGATCTGCTCTGAAGAGTATCAATCCTGACAAACTTCTTGACTACAATCCAAACCTATCTGTTATCGCACCAGCAGCCAGAGTGGCCTATGCGAAATTCAAAATTAACAAAATAAAAACCGAATACGACCTCAGAGAAAGTGACGAAAGTGAAACTAACTCAGAAAAATGCTTAAAAGTTCAAGAACATGATGATGCGAAGCAAAATGAGCACAATGTTTCACCGAGTGATTATCCAACTGATCTAAATGTACAAGAAATTTGCGAAAAGCCCAAACTAAAAAAGAACGAGGAAAAGCAAAACAGTATTATACATAATTCTGAAATTACAGAGGAAACAGAACAAACTTCCAGTATAAATGAAGAAGAAACACTTCAAAAACCTGATATAAACATTGCAACGGAGGATACAGCAGTAACAGATAATCAAGAACAGCCTAAAGAGAATATCACACCAGTTGAAGAAATTTTAAATTCCAGGCCTAAAGTTTGCCCTGGTAACTGGCTGTGAACAATAGTTTCTGTAAGAATACATTAATTTATTTTTTATTCAGTATCTTTTTATTTTATTTGTTCTTTCATTTCCACAAACGAAATAAATCTATTACTGTTGTCAATTTAACCCAATTTTTAAATTTATTTAGTAACTATAGTGAAATGCCAGCAAAATGAGTCCCTGAATGGAATTTTGAAACTGTAACTTTGTATATATTTAAATAAACACTTTATTATTATTATTAATTTTTAAGGGCGTTTTAACGGCTAAGGTTATTTCACGCCCTAACATGCCAAACTTTCTATCTGCTTATAGCTATATCCCTTCTGAGTGCTATAAAGCTCTGACTCCAAACATTCAATCGTAACCTAATTTATCCTATTGCCATCCAAAGCTTTAATTTATCCTTTTAAATTTTCTTAATTTGGAAGGCAAAATGTATGCAAAAATCCCATTTTAAATTACATATAAAATTTATTTATTATTTTTTTTATTAGAATTTTGAATTTTTGTTCCATAATTTAAACATTTCCCATAGGCTTATGGCTAATAATAATAAGGAGTCAGAGAAGTATAGTCTCAGCATGAGTATAGGCTCATCCTTATCCTTTTATTCTTTCATTCAAATATGATAAATAAACTAATACTACATAACAATAATAAGAAACAAAACACAATAACACTTCTTTTCCTTTATCCTTTTTTTGAAGAAGCTACCTTTCTTATTTAAATTGCAATTTTGGGCATTGCAGTTTATTACCCCGCAATTTGTATTTTCTTCCATTTCATTTTTCTGCTCCAGCAGCCTCAAAAATTCCTGAAAAAAGAAAGAAATCTTGCACAAAAAGCACAACTTTCATTCAAACATTAGCAGGCAAACATTCAATGGTATAACAATTTGGCAAAAGGCCTAAATCTCATTATAAATTCCAATAAATTTGAGAAAGCTGAAAAGTGCTCTTCGACAGAAACACTGGGGACCCAGTAACTCCTGTAAATCACTCGAAATATTATTATTACTATAATCCATTAAAAAGCCATGGGCTCTGCTGGGATTTAAATATAAAGAAGCAGCGTACAAGAGCTTTTGTTCTACTGGATGGGTAAACTTGTATGTTAGAGCTACCCTTGAAAATATATATTAGTGGATCCAATTCCCACTGTCGCCCTTGGCCTTTTTTACGTTCCTCTTCACCCAAAAACTTAATACAAAAATACAATTTATTGCACTCTAGCTAAAAAATCAGTCCATAAAAAATCACAATTTGAATGTATATTCAACATTTATTCTTTAAATGTGCAAGTATGAAGTTTCAAATCTTCTTCAAGTTCTGGGTATGGTTACGCCAAAAAATCATATTTATTTAATAGTATAAATATATTAATTATTTGGTTATGTTTTTGCCTTTAAATTGTCTGGGAGATTTTTACAATATTGTATTTCATTTAAAATATGAAGTTAGATTAGAGAAGAAATCGGTGTCTTTATGATCTGTGCACCACAACCAGTATTGGTCTATTGTGCATCTCCATTGTTGTCTAGAGCTCGTCATTAAGTTTCCAGCTTTTTACTAGATCCCAAAGTTTTTTCAAGGACTCCCATGTGTATCCTTCATGCCTGGGCCTTTCCTCTTCCAGGAGTAAGATCTCAGCCTACATAAGCCTTCACACCAACAGAGGACATGTTCCATTGTCTGTTTTCTTCCTGGCAATATCTGCACAGACTTGTTTTTGCCTCTCTAAGTCTAAACATATACCTTTGAGTCAGCAGTGTCCAGTTAGCAGTCCCACTATTACAGTCCTAACATGTCCTAGATTTAGTAGTTCTGCCGTTAGTTTCTTCAATGGTCCTTTGATGAACTTTTTCGCATGCTTCTGTCCTAGGCTGCATTCCCATTGAACGGAGGAATTATTTTTAATCCATGTCTGATGGATCCATGTTTTTGGCAATTTTCCACAAAAGGGTTCAGGGCCAATAGATGGCCTCATCGAACTTTCCTTGGCCAATTTATCAGCCTCTATGTTGTCCCTATGCCCAGACAAAAGTAATTTTTTTGTTTTCTTCAATTCTCGGCAGACCCCTAATGCAATCCAAAAAGTCTTTTGACTGCAACAATTACCCTCACTGCTGCTTCGCTGCCTGAATAAATGGTTATTCTTCTGTTAATGATACCTAGCATTTTAATTAATTTAATCTCCTTGGCAAAGTGTCCAATAGCCATAGTTGTGCTTAAAAAACAGTGACATGCCCAAGGCTTATATGAATTTTCGACCTTGGTTTATTTCCATAAATACCAGCTTTTGTACCATGCTCGGTTTTGGAGCAATCTGTATACCAGATATATGGCATTAACTGGGATCCCTTTCTCCAAGCCCAATCTATCAGATGATATGCAAGGTTATTTCGTCTTTATGTAATCAAGATTTTAAAGGCTAAATCCAAATTTTCATTTTATTTTTCAACTCGGACAATGGACTAATTTTTAACTTGAAAATGTAAATTTCTGGAGCCTAAAAATCGTTGGGTTTTGTGTTTGTATGTTGTCTTCTTATTCTTTTAATAGGAATTTTACGACCAGAGTTAACAACAAAAGGCTAACAAATTAAAAAAAAAAAAAAGAGATAATCTGTGAGGTGTGTGGAAAAAACAGAAGTTAAAAATTCATGTGCAGGGACCAATAAGGATCACTAGATGTTTGTCAGTTCATAAATAAAATACATAACTATTAATGTAAATGTCTGAATTGTTTCCTAAGCTGACAAATAAAATTTAAATTGTCAAAAGGCACAGGGTAAAGTTTTACACAAGAGCAAGGAATGGTTTAAAAAAAATTAAAAAAGATCATTTCTTGTATTTGTATTACATGTATTTACATAAAAGTGAAAAGAAGAAAAAAAAGGGGAAAAGACTTCTTTTCTCTTGTAAAATATTGAATAAAAGTATGCCTAAATGAAATGTTAAAACAGTACCAAGTGAGAATTTAAGAGAATCGGTTTAAGCCACTTAAAGAAATCAATAGCAGCCTGCAATTTTTTAATTTAATAATGAGGGTTTTAATATAAGTAGATTTAACCCAATTTGTCGCCAGTAAAACTTGTGGGTTGTTGGCACTGAAAGTTTAGCTTCGCTTTATATCATTCGGTTCAGCGGGCTTTCAATTTCAAGCATATTCTAATGGTAATTGTTCTCTTCATCATTTTGTAATGTACAATAACAATCCTAATCTTACTAATTTGTACTTTTTTTCTTGAGGTTTCATTGTTTATTAGCATCCAGTTTTTGGATCCAGTTTGCTATAGAAATAGTTTGTGGTTCTTCAAATAATAATATAAATGCTAAAATTAATTATTATTGGTCTGATACTTTTGACCAAATCCAAATAATTGCAGATTCATAAAAATGGCACTTTTTACTTTTTTTATTATTATCCAAGCAGAATCTTTCAACAGACAATTATTTAAAATATTTTATAGTATAATTGCAATTATATTTTAACAAATATTTATTAAATACTAAAATAATTATTTTCAGGTAAAAATTACATACAGGGAGTGTAAAAGTGGAATAGAAAATGAGCAACCCATCTAAAAAAGACGAGGTAAATTATTAGTGTTGAATATAATGTTTCCAACTTCTACAATTTTTATACAGAAATATTTTTATTTTAATTAAAGAATTGTTTAATAAATAACAACAAAAAAATGTGGTAAAAATCATAATATATGCTGAACTAAGTTCCAAGAACTTAGATCGAGTATGTTGGTTTTTGCCTCGATTTCAGAGACTGGTCTAAAGTGGTGAGGATGTGGTATGCACCATGTATTGCGAGGGTGACGCCTTCATGGTCTCTCTTGATACATAGTGGAATTGTAGGCAATCTGGCCCGTGCCTGAGGTGATTTGAGGCGATGGTGGCTTCACTTACCTGGCCTGCACAGACTCCCTCAGGCAGTTACTGGCCATGACAATTTGTCCGTAGACCCTCTCATTGTGCTCTTTACCATAATCTGGAGCATCTCGTCAAAATGGTGGTTATTGTCCAGACACATAGGTCTAGAAGGTAATGAAAAGGTGACAAAACGGCAAATGCCAGAATGTCCCAACCTCCAATCCCACAATCCAGCCACATGATGCTAAAAATACAATAAAAATATGATTAAAAGAAGACTGGATTGGCAGAGAAGCTTTCAAGAGCACTGTTGATAGGTGGCTTTTGAAGGATCTGATTCAAAGAAGTTATCCTCACCCGATTAAGGGTAAACCATGTGAGATTGACACACAGGCACTTATTTTGTCCTGTTTCTAGTATGTATGAAAACATTTGGGGACCACGGAGGCCGAGTGGTTAGGGGGTCTGACTTGTGTTTGTCATAATAGGGATTCTGGGTTTGAATCCCAGCACATTCCATGATTTTTTAATTGAGAATTATTCCTTTGAAGAAGTATTGCTTATTGCTTTGACCCCTCATCCATGTCACCCAACGGGTTGTTGGAAGTTATTCCCTCCTGTAAGACAGGATTTACTTTACTATGAAAACCTTTGAAATTTTCAGGTGACGGTCAATGTCGAAACCTCCGCTCCAAAAATGGTTATGCCAAATCTTCCAAAACCGCTGACGCTCGAGGAAAAGAAGTATCTACTTGCTGTAGAAAGGGGGGATTTGGCAAATGTGCGAAGGTACTTTTTTTTTTTTTAATTATACAAATCCTGACACTGCTAAAGCCAAATTTCAACTCGGACAGGATTCTTCAGAAAGCGCACAAGCGTAAACACATAAACATCAACTGCCTAGACCCTCTGGGAAGGGGGGCTCTTTCTTTGGCCATCGATGGAGAAAACCTAGAAATGGTGGAACTCCTTGTAGTCCTAGGTGTCGATACGAAAGACAGCCTTCTTCAAGCTATCAATGTCGGTTTTGTTGAAGCAGTTGAGCTTTTACTCGAACACGAAGAACTGATCCACAAGGAAGGTGAAGCATACGTATGTTCCAAGTTTTTTTTAATAAATATATTTCAATAATTTAGTAGATAAAGATAAAGCAAAAAAAAAAAAGGCAAAATTAATGGCTTATTGGTGAGAAATTATTTTGGAAGACTGCAGTAGTCGGTAGTAGGTGAGACTCGGCTCATAGACCCTGTGGTCGTGGGTTCGATTCTCACTGTTGATCCCGGAATTTTCTTTCATGCTCCCCTACCCCTGAAAAATACATCAATCAACATCGTTCAATTCTCTGGCTAATATGGGAAAACATGGGGCTAATATGTTGATGTAATTTAAGCATTTTTCAGAGCTGGGAAAAAGTTGATACAACTACAGCACTTTTTACACCTGACATTACGCCATTAATGCTCGCAGCTCATAAAAATAACTACGAGATACTGAAGATCTTGTTAGACCGAGGCGCTACGCTTCCAATGCCTCATGATACCAAGTGGGCTAGTGCGTTTAAACATTTTACAAGGCTTATCTCAATATGCAAAATTTCTACTCAGGTGTGGCTGTGAACTGTGCATAAAGAAGTCCGAAGAGGATTATCTGAGTTATTCAATGACACGGTTAAACGAGTATAGAGCTCTGGCAAGCCCATCACTTATTGCCCTATCGTCAAGCGACCCGATTTTAACAGCTTTTCAACTTTCATGGGATTTGAGAAACCTGGCTTTTACAGAACAGGAAAGCAAATCTGAATACATGGTAATTTGTAAATAACTCTGACAAAATTCACTTATTTTAATACAGTAATGTACAAATAAATAGAAAATATTTTTTCTTTAACAGTAAGGTAAAAATTAGCACATTTTTAATTTATACTTTAATAATTAGACAAAGTAAATAATCAGATTGAGGTATTAAATAAATTTAAATCTCTTTAATTACATACATTTTGATGAAAGAAATTAAAGTTATATACATAAATCAATGAAAATTTTGTGAAATATTAGTCAGAAAATTTCAATATTTGATTATTGCTACTGTCATTTGTCTTTATTTCTTGTAGTACAAATAGGAATCATCATCATCATATCATTTATGTTGGATTAAATAATGCAAAACAGTACTTTAATTTATGTTAGGAATTAAGAAAACAATGCCAGCAAGTGGCTGTTAGTCTTTTAGATCAGATACGAAGTTCACACGAGCTTGCTATTCTTCTCAACCACGACCCTGATAGCCCTCCATACGAAGAAGGTGAACACATGACACTGGCGAGACTCGAATTGGCAATATTTTACAAGCAAAAGAAGGTCTTTTTGAATATTTGGCGTATGTCACCAAAAACTGTAATCTAACTGTTTGAAATATTCTGGTATTAGTTTGTTTCCCATCCGACTATTCAACAACTCCTGGCATCGATTTGGTACGAAGGCCTGCCAGGATTCAGGAGGAAATCATTAGTGGATAAATTGCTCACTATATCAAAAATAGCTCTTCTTTTTCCCGCTTATTGTATTATGTACATAATAGCTCCGAACACAACTACAGGAAAGTTAATGAGAAAACCGTTTATGAAATTTTTGATTCATGCCTCGTCTTATTTATTTTTTCTATGTAAGAAGCAAATTTATTTTTTTAAACCCTGAAAAAATTATATCTATAAGTTATTCAACATTTCAGTGTTACTCATTTTGGTATCCCAAAGAGCTGAGTTAACTGTTGAATCATACCTGGTTGAATTTTTTGGGTCAGAGCAGCAGAAACTTCTGTATGAAGAAAAACAATCTATTCAAAGAGGAAAAGGCCCAATGATTCTAGAAGTCGTCGTGTTTATCTATGTCCTAGGTATTTTTTTTTTTTTTAACTACTTTAAGCAAAAAATTAATTTACTATTATAAGGGTTCATTTGGGAGGAGACGGCAGAAATCGTATCAGAAGGAATAAACAAATATTTGAGAAATATGTGGAATTTCATAGATTTTTCTCGAAATGCGCTTTATATCGCTGTATTTCTATTGAGATGTTTAGCCTATTTCCAACAATATAAGCAAACTACTGAAGACCCATCTACAGCCTATATTCCAAGAGAACAATGGGATGCCTTTGACCCTCAGCTTATAGCAGAAGGCCTGTTTGCTGCCGCCAATATCTTCAGGTGTGAATTTAAAAAAAAAAAGAAAAAAGAAAAATAACAAAGTCATAATAATCAATTTAAAATTTTAAAAATTGTATGCAGTGCACTCAAATTGGTCCACATGTTTTCCATCAACCCGCACCTCGGACCACTGCAAATTTCTCTGGGAAGAATGGTGATAGATATTGTGAAGTTTTTCTTCATTTATAGCCTCGTACTGTTTGCATTCGCCTGCGGTAAGTTTTTTAACAATAAATAGTACAAAGATATAATATAATATATAAAATAAATTAACCTGTCTAGGTCTGAATCAACTTTTGTGGTATTTTGCTGAGCTTGAGAGGAGAAAGTGTTATTCTTTACCAGGTGGGTTGCCTGACTGGGACACAAAAGGTGATTCTTGCAGCAAGTGGAGAAATTTCGGAAAGTATGTTTTATATTGCTATTATGGATAATTTATGCCTTTAAATCAAAGTACCCTATATTTCAGAATATTAATAAGATTTTGTGGATGTTCTTTCATTTTTTGGATAGTTCAATTCAAATCCTCCCAATTTCTACAACTCATTGTACAATATAATGTTATTGGGTTGTCCGGAAAATAATGCAGGATTTTGGTATTAAACAAAAAAAAAGAAACTAGTTACTTTAAAGCAATGTTCTTTAATCAAAATAATTTCCCATACTCTCAATACATTTCTCCCAACGTGTTGGTAACTTATTAATTCCGTCTGAGTAGAATTCAGAATTTTTAGAATTGATAAAGTCAATAAATGCATTTTCCAGTTCCGTTTGATTTTTGAATATTATGTGTTGTAAGTAGTGGTCCAGGTGTCTAAAAAAATGGTAGTCAGTAGGCGAGAGGTCCGGAGAGTAGGGTGGGTGAGGCAAAGTTTCATAGCCAAGCTCCAATAATTTTTGTGACGTTACACGTGACACATGTGGTCGAGCGTTGTCATGCAACAAAATGGGCCCTTTCCGATTGACCAAAGAGGGCTTCATTACTGCCAATTTCTGATGCATGGTATTAATTTGGTTACAGTATGATTCAGCATTGATGGTTTCGCCAGGATTTAAGAAGCTGTAGTGTATTAAACCAAATGAAGCCCACCATACCGTAACCATTACCTTTTTTTGATGAGTTGGGGGCTTTGGAAAATGTATTGGAGCTTCTCCTTTGTCGAGCCACTGTCCAGAACGTCTAGTGTTATCGTAGAGAATCCACTTTTCGTCACATGTAACAATTCTGGCCAGAAATGGGTCATTTTTGTTTCGACAAAGAAGTGATGCACAAACATCAAAGCGCTGATTTTTTTGGCGATCGTTTAATGAGTGTGGAACCCAATTTTCGAGTTTTTTCACTTTTCCAATCGCCTTGAGGTGGTCAGCGACGGTCGTTTTACTGACTTTGAGTTGCTCTGCAAGTTCTCGAACAGTTGTTTTGGGGTTTTCTTCCACCACTGATCGCAGAACATCATCATTAAGAGAGGAAGGCCTTCCACGACCTTCTTCATCTTCAAGGCTGAAATCTCCCTCCCGAAATTTTTTAAACCACCTTTGCACAGTGCACTCATTAACACAACCCTCGCCCCAGACTTGGTTAATGTTTCTAGCCGTTTGGGCTCCGCTTCGGCCGAGTTTAAACTCGTAAAAGAAAATCGTACGAAATTCTCGCTTTGACATTATAAGGATGACTGAATTATTTCCAAGTAGCGGAATGCTACAGAGGTAAACAAACAATATCATTTGGAAGAGGATTAATAAGTGTTGACATTCATACAAATGAGTAATCCTGTAAACGTAAACAGAATATTTTATATAGATTTTTTTTAATGAAAACTTAAAATCCTGCATTATTTTCCGGACAACCCAATAAATAAATTATGATTTCTAGCTTATTTGAGTCGACGCAATCTTTATTTTGGGCGAGTTTTGGTGGAGTCGGCACTGACACATTTCAACTGACAGGAATCAAAACTTACACCAGGTTTTGGGGTTTGCTTATGTTTGGTACTTATTCCGTCATCAATGTGATAGTATTGCTCAACCTCCTTATTGCCATGATGTCCAATTCATACGCCATAATCGATGTTTGTAAATGATATTTCTATACAAATATATTTGTATATTAAATAAATACATTTTTCAGGAACACTCTGACACAGAATGGAAGTTCGCCAGGACCAAACTTTGGTTGAGCTATTTTGAAGAGTCTGCTACTTTGCCGCCACCTTTCAATATATTTCCCACGCCGAAGCTCCTGATGAAAATGTTTGGGCTTCGGGAAAAAGATAAAATGAGAAAGAGAAGAATGTCCTCAAGGGTAAACCACTCTCTAGTGTTCTTCATTCAATCCTCTTCTTAATTGCTGCTTTTAGAGAAAGGAAAAACAAGAAAAAGAACGTGATTATAGATATTCTGCTGTCATGAGATCTTTAGTTTGGCGCTATGTGTCAGCAATGCAAAGGCAAGCGGATGATAATCCTGTCACAGAAGACGATGTAAATGAAATTAAAGGAGAGATAACGACAATGAGATATGAACTGTTAGAAGTTCTACAGCGTAATGGATTAGATGTATCTAGCGCCGATATTAAAAACAAAAGTACTTTAACACAAAAAAAATGTTTATTATTTTCTAATTTTTTTTTTAATATATTCTAGCTGCTGTAACGGGTAAGAAAATGAAAGTCTGGGAAAGAAGGTTGATGAAAGATTTCCATCTTGCCCCGGTGGCATCCGAGGAAGAAATGGATCTTTTATTAACCGAACCACCTCCAGATGAAGATAAATTATCCAAATTTAGGAGAATAGCAAAACTTGCTGTGCTTTCATCGGCTCAACAGAAATGGGGACAAGTTATAAGGAATGCTTGTGAAGTGTAAGTTATATTCCATACTTTGTTGATATGCCAATTAAAATTTGTTTCTTTTTATAAAAGGTCTCAGATTGGACGTTGCAATAGCAGAGAGGCGTTAAAAAATCAACAGTGTCTTCAAAAGGCTATGCAAGAAGCAAAGAAATTAGTTACGAGTAATACAAAAACTTCTCCTGTCAAAGTGGCCCTGCCGGAAACAACCGGCTCTTCAATAATAGAACTAATAAATGACATTACTAAAGAAGGAAGTGGCTCGAGTAAAGAAGGCAAGAGAAAACACATATTTAAAATTTTCATTTTTCATTATTACTTTTTTTCTCTTTCTCTCTCTTGAAGGTGGTTCAAATTTTGAAAACACTGCCCAAATTACCTCTACAAACTTAACTACAGTTTATGAAAATGAAACTCAAATAGAAGACAAGTCCCTAGGTGGATCAGATGAAGAGAAATTGAGCACTAGTCAAGTAGAGTCAACAATTGAAGCTTCCCCTACACCAATCCATACTGAGTCGAGTGATCCAAATCAAGAGATAATACTCAAAGAAGACATTATTACAATCACACAAACCATTGCAGACCCAAATGCAACATCAGAAGATGGCCAGGACTTAACAAACATTATGGATGTAAAAACTAAAGAGGAACTGCCAGATCAACCAGAACCAAGTACGTCAGATTGTAAAAGTTTGGAGCCTAAGCAAAAAGATACAATTGCCGAAGAAGGCACACAAATGTTAGATTTGAAACAGAAAGAAAAAGAAGTTTTCATTCCCTTGGACTCGACAAATAGTACTAATCTCCAGACACAGTCCACATCAAGCATGGAAGCCTTAATTCTGCCGGAATCGCCATTGTCCAAGAGCCCTTACAAATTACGTGAAGTTAAACAAGTTCATCGCCAACAAAAGGAGGGGTGGTTGTAAATGAAAATACTAATAATTAATTTTTATTCGAGGTAATAAAAAAACCTTCGTAAATTTGGAAAGACTGCTCAAAAGATCTGAAGAAAAAATGTACTGTTAAATATTAGTTATAAAAGGGAAGAAAACTGACAAAATATTAAGTTTTTGAGTCCTAAGACATGAATAAAATTGATTTTATGACAACTTTAATTTCACAGTATAAAGAAATTTAATATATAATTAAGCAAAATAATATTTATTTATTATGTTATTATATGTATGTACGGTCAATAATAGCTTCAGTATTTAATTTATTACCGATAATTATTGTACTTTAGTCGTTTCTGATCTATCATCAATGTTTAGTGTATGTCAGATGTTTCATATTTTGCCATATTCGGTAGTATGTTTCTGTGTTGAAATGACGATTGATGATTGAGAACAAAACAATGAAACCAGGCCAAAATGCTCACAAAAAGCCAAATTACTTGTTTTATCTACCCGCATACCTCAAGCATTAATCTCAAAATTAATTATTATGTTGTATTGTCATTACTATACCTTTGATAAATATATTGAATTAAAATTTTTGTTTTTTTGAACTTTCAAGGTCCTGAACACAGAATAACAAAAAAAGGGTTAACACTGGACAAGGATATTAAATTTAGAAAAAAAATGGTTATAAAATTAATTACACTCACACAGCCTTAACAAACAATTTAATAATAATATGAAAATAACAAAACAACTTAACTAGATTCATTCGTCACTGTAGTTAAGCCTTGCTTTCTTCCTTGGACTCTGCCTCGCGAATGCATTTTCTTCTTCATCACTGTCTTGTCGTGATCCAAATGATGACGATTTGACCAAAGATTTGCTAAGAAAATCCTGTAATAAATCATTCAATTAAAGCAGTGAAGTAGAAGATATGTACTGAACTAAATAATAAATAAGTTTCCCAAATACACTATTTTTTTTCTAACAAGAAAATTAGTCGAATACTGATGAAAATATATATATATATATATATATATATTTAAATATAGATTAACAAAAAGTTAAATTAAAAATTTAAAAAACACTCATAGTATTAGTAATTAAATTTTATAACGATGATATAAGCCTGACTTACACTAATTGTTCGATTACTTGTGGTATTAGCGTTTGCTTTTGACCCCCTAGTTCCTCTGGTGCTTTTTGATGGTGCCCTTCCTCGTCCTCGCCCTCTGCCACGAGCTGCTGGAACTTCTTTTTGAACAGAAGGTGGCCCGAAATCATCATCAGACGACATGTCGTGATCCATACTGCTACCCATAGTCGTTGATCCTAACGTGCTACTGATTGCTGTCCTATCACTCTCCAGCAATTTCCTTATCTAAAACAAGTGCTAAGTTAAGGAAACATAGAAAATTAAATTTCTATTTAACATACATGTTTAGAGGTCACAACTGACCATATTAATTATTTTAATTAATTGTTCATTTTATATAAAGTTTTGGTTGAGATGAAAAGTAATCATGATAACTCAAGTGGTTGGTGTATTGAGCCTAAAGTCATGGGTACGAATCCCATTTGTGAGACTAGCTTTTTCTTCTCAACCAAGATCTTAGATAAAAATAATAATTAATTGAAGTAGAAAATTATGTTATTTCTATTATACCTCTTCGAGTTCATCAATAGGCTTGGCATTGTGTACACTTTGATATTCTTTAAGTGCTTCATTAATCTGATCCTTAGCTGGCGCTGTTGAGCTTTCTTTGAGGTGTTTGATGACTTTGTTCATCTGATATCTTAAAAACAGAAAATCTTACAGAATAAAGCATTTGACTTGTGATGTAATTTATTACTTTGCTAAGTCTTGTATAGCCTCCTTGTCATCCTTTTCAACAAAACGCTTTACAGCCTCTGCCATCCCCTTTACAGATAAGACTTCTAAATGTTTTACATTTTCTGTTTTATCATCTTGATCGTTTTCATTTCCAAAGAAAAAATGTTCAATCAGACTTTGAACTGTGAGGTTATTTTGCTGGAAAACAATTCAATATGACAATATACAGTTGTTATTATATATTCCAAACCATAATAAAAAATTAATTTGCAGAAAAATTCCATGCTTTCTTAAGTTTGCAAAAGTTAATTAGACAAATGGAATGGAATTTATCAAGTGATCAGGCATAATACCAACATACCTCAGAATCAGGAACGATAGCAGTAAGTTCTTTGTTAGTTTTACGTGATGCTCGTGTAATTGGCTGAACTTTTTTAAGTATAACTACGTCAGCTGGATTTGCAACGTAGTCTGAAAACAACTGTGAACACCTTATCTGATTAAACACTTGGTTTTCATTTTCATACTCGATCCTAAGCCGAATAAGTGGTAGTATGGGTTGTTTCGGGTGGCCTGTTACTTGTTCATGTGCCTGAAGAAGTAGTTTGGATTTTATATATTTTTCAGCGTACGACTGAAGTTTTTTCGCATCCCACTTCACATCGTCAGTTTTCCAATCATCGACACTTGCAGTGTCGAATACAAATGGACGCACTGTCTGCAATTTAACTGGTTCGATTTTAAACTCTTTCTCTTTTATTGTAAGGAAACCAATCTTCTTTTCAACCGCCTCAGCTGCACATAATGATGTTGCAACTGGACTTCCTAAAACATACGAAATCTTGTATTTCATACGGTTATAAGGTCTTATATCGTAATATAAGTTAGAGTAAACTAATTAAAGTAAATCATATTTAATACAAGGCAATAGTTTTAAAGATAGGATGATACAATGGAATAGGCTCACTATAAATTGGGGATGTCAACTGGTTGGGCTTTTGTGCTTCTATGACAATGGAACCAGGAATTAACTGACCCATGAAAAAATGGTGTTGACCTCCACCTTTATTTTGACAATCAGTATAAAAAGGGAAGGATTAGAAGGGCAAACCAAAAATTGACTGACGAGGTCAATTGAGACCAGGGAGGTTTGAGGGAAAACACAGAGGAAAGGTAGAAGATTCAACGAGTAACTCGAGTCAGAATTGAGACACAAAAGAGTCATGGGCAGAAAAGAGTCAAATAAAGTCGACTATCAAGGAGAGTTGAGTGAAGACAGAAAAAAAAGTAAAAGATTTGTGTGGTGACTTGAGACAGTCAAGACATGAAGGAGGTAGTGAAGGGCAGAGATGAGTTGAACAGAATCAACTAATGAGAAGTGATGAGACCAGGGGGTCATGTAAAAGACAGAGGCAGAAAGGTATTAGCTGAGATACGAAGGAGTTGTGGGTAGAGATGAGTCAAATAAAATCCTGAAGCAAATAAGATTCAACTGATGATGATCGTTGAGATCAGGGTGACACGGACCAAAGCACAAGGAGGGAGTCAAAACCAGCCAAGTATATTTTTATAGTTATAAGATAATTACCAGGTTGGGTTACATAGAACTGTTGAGTGTCGTTCCACTCGGGTTCAATCCTACATTCATGCTCATGACCCCAGATGACAAGATCGAAAAAATCAGGTATCATACTTTCATGTATGACATTTGTTGATGACATCTGCCTGTTGACCCGGTTCTGATGAAGGAGCAAAATGTTGAACCACGATTCTTTGTTCGGAGGTCTTTCAAACTCGACAAGATTGGTTTTCAGCAGCCGGTTGAGACGTTCGTCTCGTATGTGGCTTAAGCCATAAATAGCTATTTGTGTCTTTCCCTTTCGCAAAAGTATCGGCTTAAGAATTATCTTGGTCAGATCCATCCATTTACCAATGTAGTTCACTAGACCAGATGCACTCAGGATATCCAAGGCACTTGTGCGTCCAAATCCTGAAAACAATTACAATCACGTAATTAAAGATTGAACAAATTAGATTTTTTTAATTACCACAAGGATCATCATGGTTTCCATGTATTGAGTAAACCGGTATGGATATGTTGTAGTTTGGATCCTGGTAATTTACCCTTGGTACAGGGCAATTTTTGAAATTTTCATGTTCATCACTTAGAAACTCAACAGAAATGGGCCTGAAAATTACAATTATGTTATTTTTGTGAGACATTAGATTGTTTTTCTTAACCTTCCATTGGGCACTCCAGATCTGACAGGCACAAGCTGTGAAGGTTTGTTACTCCTCCCAGTTTGTCATCAGAACCCGTCCTTTCAAGTATCTTCCTGTGTATAGATACTGCATTGAACCCCCCACTGTGTTTCTATACCTGACATCATGGAAAGTAATAGCAACATTTGCATTCTTTTAAGCTCATTACGCCTGATTATGTTATGTTTTTAAGGTATTTTCTTGTTTATTCCACCTCAATTAAGTCAATTTATGATGTAGTAATATTAGTTTTATGCATGTTTTGAATAAATTTTTATAAAACTTGAGGTGACCTCTCAGGCACAATGTGTCCTAACTAGTCATTGTTCCCATTTTTTTCTTCAGGTTCTCTTCTAAAATGTATCCATGTATAGATAAGGATATGATTTCTCAAACATGAGTCATGTCAATGAAATAAGGCAGTTGGAGGGAGAAGACGAAAGAGACCCTTCTCTTGGAGGAAGAGAGTGACTTTCTGAAGATTAACTTCAAGAATGTCAATTCAGAAACTGAGCAATTCGGCGAGGAGACAGAAAAAGAAACAGAGGAAAACTTTTATATTGGGAAAGATGGAAAGACTAAATGAAAAGTTAGCCTCATCATGAGTCTTAAACAGTTCAAGACACTTATTCATGCATTTGTTTGGACAAACAAAAGAATATTATTGCCTAGCCCCAGTTCAAAAAGTTTTCGATAAATTTGTAAAAAATTGCCAGAAGAGCTATACCTCACTATAGACAAAATGCTTCCAGCACTTTGAGGCAGATGTGTTTCAGCAATATATACCCTCAAAAATGAGCAAATAGGGCATACAATTTTTTGCCTTTGTTGATGCTCAGATGCTTTACACAATCAATTTGGAAATTTATGCTGGGCAACAGCCACCAGGCTCTTTCTGTCTCAACAACAAACAAAATGATGTGAATGGCTGAGCCCATATTTGGCTCTGGCCGAAACGTATCGGTGGATAATTGAAACCATTTGATCTCATTGATGACTTTCATACGTTGGAAATGACAGAAAAAAATAAAAGGCAGCTGTGAACGGACTTTGTGAACGTCAAAGGAAGAAAAGCAAACACCCCATCAGTAGGCCATCAGTCTCTGAACCCCTCTTCAACTTGTTCTGAATAAATTCTTTGTTGACCCAAACAAAGCGAGACCATATGTTTATAATATGAAAACTTTTCTGGCTGTTGAAGGTATAGCTTTAATCAAAAGTTATATCTAAATATTCGAGGTCCTACACTAGTCCTAATTTTTCACCATTCAAATACTTGTGTATTATCTCGTCTAGCTCACCTTTCCTCTTAGAAAACAGAACATTAGACTATGTGAGTTAAAGATGATTTTATTGTGTGGTGATTAGTGACCGTTAATCGATATTTATTTAGAAATCGTGAGATGACCAGACCGCATCTCACGATTTCTAAATAAAGATAATTTTATTATTATTTTTATTTTTTTGCCCAGTCCCCCCAAATTAAGTGAAAGATTGCGAAGCATGTGTAACTGTAATTATGTGTGTCTAAGGCCTTGTACACACTTGCATACAAAGTCGGGCGATTTTGGTATCTAGACAATGTCCATAAACAATTGAGCGAAACAAAATTGCATAACTTTTGACACCCGTCTGACTGACTTGACTTGCTGATGTTGTGCAACATTTTGTAGCATGAATATCATAGTAAACATTTTCTCTGAGTGCTGTGGCATACACTTGGTATAATATTTATACATATCTTCATGAATCCCTTCAGAGATTGTATAATGGCTTCACCACTTCATGGGCAGTCTGTGATACAGCTTGTTTCAATATACTAAAAGCACTATTAGGATGGTGAACGATTCTCCACTGTGTAACACTCCAAGAGTGTTACTGCCAAAATCAGAGAGGGTGGAATAATTCCTCTAAATATATTTTCTTTTTTCATTATTTTTCCGCCTAAAATCTGAAACAATTCTTCCAAATCACTTGGGGTCAGAATGGAGAAGTTTTGAAACCCAAGACGTCTTGCAAATGCAAAGTTGGAAGTAAGTCCCTCTGTAAAAAGTTCACGTTTCCACCAACAGCTCTTCTTTGGCTTCTTTTCACTGTCGCTGATTATCAATGCGCAAGCCGCAATCCCAACAAGGTCAGTCATATTTATCAACTTACGATGATCATGGCATTCAAGAATGTACAAACGACAAAGTTTCTGAACAATGTTATACATTGTCTGCATGTCTGTAGTCAGTCCCTATAACTTTGTATGCAAGTGTGTACAAGGCTTAACACAAGAACAGAGATGGTAAGAAATGACCAAACACCAGCGTACAACGTATATATGCAGCTTTCTAAACATACTTATCTCCCATGCAGTATTGCCGGAGGAGTTCCAGCGACCTTTTGATACAGATTGGTGATGGCTTATTGTCGTGGAACATGTCGCCTGCAAGGAGGATGAAGTCGACATCTTTTTTCACCGAAATATCCAGAATCTCTTCAAACGCGATGAAGCTGTCATCGACTATCGACACATGTTAGTGAAACGTATATTGAAACGTATTAAAGCCCAACTTACATCTTATACCGTCTTTTTCGTGGCAGCCCAAATGAAGATCTGTCGCCAGGGTTATCACGAATAAGTTCTCGTCCTGTTTCGGCATTGTGATGATTTAAGATGATTTTCTATTGCGTTTTACTCCTTTACAGAACCAGAATATAGAGATGCAGAATATCCGCAATCAAATCCGAACTATCGAATTTAAGACTTTATACAACATATTTGTTGTAGACCGAATTGTACATTATTTATTGCCGTTTATTGCGTTTTATTTACTTTATGACTTTTGAATAAGCATCATCGTACAGGTGGGTAAGGAAGGATATGGGAAAACAGAAATGATAGAAACGTAACCTTACAATTGTGGCCTGTAGGAAAAGGTTGAAAAAACCGCCAATTTAATGCCATTGCCTACCAGAATATAATAAATATAATAATAATTAATATCTATAATGTTTATAATAATTTTTTATAATTTTGGCATTTTTTGGTCTAATTTAATCGCTTTTTTGTGCAAAATGGAAGAATAACCGTCAGGATTTTTGTATCACTTATGTATTTTGTTTCTTTGATATGTTTCTGACCTTATTTAACAATATTTAAGAATTTCTTTTATTTTCAAAATGTTTCAATTATATAAGTATTCAATTCGACATTTTTTCTAACAGAAATTAATAATTATACTAAACAGGTATGTGTTTTTAGCCCATATACTGTCTGTTTCTTTTTTTAAATTGATATAAGCTCTTGGTAATTTTTTGTATTTATTGAATTAATTTAACAAAAGGGAAATGCATATAAAATTGAAAATTATCACCAAAAGATGGTATTCAGAGAAATTAAGCATTGTGATGTCATTAATGAACAGTGATAAATAAACAGGGGCCCAGGATGGAGCCTTGAAGGACACCTATATACAGGTGGGACAAGGAAGGCTTGTCTGTACCACACAGTACAGCCTTGGTATCTAAATAAGATTAGGGCCCATATATTAAGCATATTCTGAGCTTCATTACTTGAATTGACAAATTGAAAAACATGTAATATGTGCAACAGTTACCCCTATTGTCGCTTGTTTTTGAAAAAAAAGTCTATTTGTAAGTATGTCAGGTTCGAGTTTGAATCCAGCGGACCTGCATTTACACCTTTATCTTACAGTGATGAGCGCTGGGTCAACACCAAAACCGTTGCGGCCACCGACACCCCATAAAATACTTTATGAAGTCTGATGTAAATGTGTTAAACAATAAGTATACCAACTCATTATGAATTTGGGATCAAGGAAAAAATTATGTAAAAAATCATTATTTGTTCCTCTTATACTGCTACTATATGGTACCTCAAGCTTGATATGTGCAAAATGTAAATTGATGTCATTCTTCTGCAGCACCCTTTATTTATGAAAGAGGTGGCAAAAAATATCTACAATGCTGAGGCCACCAATAAAATTTGAACAGTTATTCTACTAGTTACTATGAATATTAGCACAGGAGTGTAAAGGTGTATAACGTATTATTTAAATATTTAATACATGACTAACACAAATGTTCAGATAAAAGCTTTGGAAATATCATATGATAGTGGTTGTGTGGTGGATGACGTGATGGGCTGCTTTTTAAGTTTTTCCTTGAACTCAAAACCATACAAGTTGGTACATTTTGAATTCAAATTTTTCCAAATTCAGAGTAGACTGAAGTCATTCTTCTCCATTGCCCTTCAAGTGGATCTTGCTGCATTTATTATTTCAAAATTAGACCTACCAATTGCATTTCTTTTGTTAAATAAATATTCAAGTTTTATAAAATGTTGAACAAGTTTCTCTTGAAATTGAGACTAATTTGTATTAAATTGTCATCAAATAATTTTTAAAAAATCATGGCTGCTATAGTAATTTTTAACCTGTGATTTCATGATATAAAATTTCTTTATTTACTAATGTGAGGATAAGATATAACATATTTGATTTAGAACTTGAATAGGCAACAATTTAGACTGTATGCTTCATACATTATACAAATGGTTTTATTTTAAGACGCAATATAAAAACTTAATATAAGTGAACAATAAACAAACAAAAAATGAGTAATTGCTCACATCAGTGATAAATAGCTTTACCTGTAATGGAAGTTATCTTATAAGTATGACAAAAACCTTATCTCATCTGCAATCATTTAATCTTTTTTTACCATGTAAAGCTTATGGCTTTTAGTTGTGCTCTTCACTGGTAAAATAATGTGGCTCTTGCGTTACATCAGCTATAAAATGCAGTATATTAAATACTGTTTGATCCTTTTTACATGTTTGTTCATCGTAAGTGAATTTTTTTTAATACTATTCTCACCTAGGTAAACAGTTGAGATTAGAATATCAGGCGGCTTTCACCTTTCTAACAACTTAATTTAACAAAAATAGTTCAAATCAATAGGCACAAAGAGAAAACAATCCTAGTTATACAATATATATACATTAATGATTTAACAATTTAATCTTGATCCTAAAAGAGGACGAAAATTTTAAATATTCATGTGCCTACTAAAACACCCTTACAGATTTCTTTTAAATTCATGCTCATTTTGTGGCTAAATCAAGTTCCTGTATTTTTCCTCTTTATACTTAAAATACTTATCCCCAACCTGTTTGACTTACGATAAAATGTTTGATTATTTTAGAATAACCTTGAACAATATTTTGTCTGTATTTAAATATATTCAAAGACAAAAAAAAAACTTGTGTATTGTTGTTTATTTTAAATGTATGTACGTATTTTTATCATCATATTAATTACAACTTACTTATTTTAACATGAACCAAATTAAACAAGATCAGAAATTCACGAGATTTAATAAAAAATATTTAATTATGATGGTTTGAAATAAAATTCACCAAAAAACCATGGGAAAACCATTTAGTGATAGATTAAAATTTAACAGTTTATTCTAACACTAAATTAATTTGAATTTGATTTAACCACATAATAATAATTATTTTTTTAATTAAAACAACAATTTCTAATCTTGTTTAATTTGGTTTACATTAAAATAAGTATGTTGTAATTAATATAACCAACTTAAAGCCAAAACTTGGAAATAGTTTTTACAAAATTAATTTTTTACGGCATTTCATAAACCCTGAACCCTTGGGGAGGCAGTATTTTTGAAAAGAAAGCCCATTTATAGGTATGTTGGGTTCGAACCTGGTACATTTGTTGTGCCTATGTATTATAATATTGTGTATAAAAAATATATGAATAATAAATGTCCTATGAACATTTATTATTCAGTAAAAGTTGTTTATGAGAGAACGTTTTAATATGAAACAAAGTTTGATTTTAACCATATTGCTGTCTTTATTTTTGAAAGTTTATTAGATAAACTTAATAAACAAGGAACGGCATCAACAATAAATTGTATAAATAAAATTTCTATTATTATGATTTTTTACTTTTTGATTGACCAATATGTGACAATTTTATCTTAGTCATTCAATCAACAAAGGTGCCATTTTAAGTTCTATTCATGTGCATTTTAATATTTCTCCTTCGAAATGACAAGAAATTCAATAATATGGATTGATAACAATATTTTTAGCTTAGATTATAAAATAATGGTTGCATTTTTTTTTTTTTTTTTTTTTTTTGTAGTTATCAGGACTCTCTTTTATAATACTTGGAGCGTCCATAAATGCAATTTACAGTGACTACTCATATTTTTTACATATGAAGTATTTCTCACCTTCAGTCCTACTTACATCAATTGGATTTGCAATTTTTGTAGTCGCATTTCTAGGGATGTTCGGAGCTATAAAGGAATCTCCTTTGTTTATTCTTATTGTAAGTAATTTTATATTTGGTTCTATTATTCTTTTAGGACTATATTTTGATTTGTTTTTCAGTTTGGTTTTTCATTGGGCATCATATTCATCCTGCAAGTCTCAGCCGGCCTGACAAACAACTTTTTGATGAAAGATGTCGAGAAGGAGCTCAATTTTTCAATCAACAAAACCATGCATCTATATCCGACAAACAACAAATCTGCCATAAATATGGACATTCTTCAACAATCAGTAAGCAAGGAAAAATGGTTAGAACAAGTTTTTATAATTACTTCTTTTTTTTAACAGTTCCAATGCTGTGGGTTGAAAGCACCGGCGGACTGGTACACCATCGACAATGGAACACTTCCAAAATCATGTTGCTTAGAGTTTTTGAATGAGAGCAAATGCCTCTACCCATTTGACAGGGGATGCCTCCCCATCCTCACATCCATCACTCATTACTCAGGGAAAATTTTCAATCTGATCACTTATGTCCTTTCCGTGATGCATGTAAATACTCTGAGAATGTCCAAAAGTTGAAATATTTGAGACAAAATTAACACTCCATAATTTTAGCTGGCTGGGATGTTTTTTGCTTTCTACCTTGGAAGCGTGATGAAAGAACAGAAGAGAGCAAGGGAAGCACGAAAATGGCTCATCAGAGATCAAATTTTGAACTACTCTAATGATTATGATTTCAAAATCAAGGGTTCAAATTCTTTGCCACCATATTCACCATAACTTTTTGCAAGAATATCTCTTACAGTTTATTGTTTTTTTTTTTGTTTTTGTTTTTTATAGCTGTATTAAATTTTACAAAATAGAATGAAAAAAAAATCTGTTTATTGTTTTAAGTAATACCCAAGAATAAAATTTTATTCTATAGGACCTAGTAACTTGACAAATATTTTTTGTTAGTTTTCAAATGACACACAAGAAAAATCCTTTAATTAAATAAGTAAATAATACAGGTAATAAGAAAATGAAAATATTTTTTTAAATTATTTCTTCCAATAACAATGTTATTTAAATTTATTAGTGTGAGTGTGTTTGAGTAAATGGTTGGGTTTGAAGCAGAATATAGAGTGCCCCACCCAAACTCGATTAATTATTTTATCATTTGAGTGAATGTATTTATTAAAGTGATCAGTCAAGTGCGTGAGTGAGAGGGGTTTGTGGTGGAATATAGAGACCCCACAGACCCACCGACTTGGTTTGTTATTTTATAATTGATTGTTTTAAAAACAGTGTCTTAATAAAAAATGAAAAAATTAAAATCGTCCTCTGGTCTGTGGGGTGATGAACCTGTAATTTGATCCTCACTGATCATCCTGGTCGTCAGCAAGGTCTACTTGCTGGGTTGATCTATCAGATGCATTTCGGCATTCTGCCATCTTCAGTATGTCTGTACTCTGAACACACTGAAGATAGCAAAATGCCACGAGTCTGACAGGCCAACCCAGATAGGCAGCCCAAAATGTCCTGTAAGGATCAGATTACAATTAAATATTTTATTGTAACAAAAAAATACTTATTTTGGACTGGAAGGCTTACATATTTATTATTTACCTACATAATTTTAAATTGTGAAGTAATGATATCTTGATTTCTTGAACGCTAGATGAAAGAAGTAAGTGTTTTTCTTTCTTTCAAATTTGCCTTATCCTCAATTTTTTAAGTACAATTATAACATTAGGGCAGTTCAATATATAATAGAAGCTTACCTTTAAAAAAGATGAGAAGAGAATTTGACTTTTTCCAATCTTCCTGCATTTCTGAATATTTCAAAGTGAAAGTAGAAAATTAGTTTAAACACCATAAAATATTTAATATACAATATTTACAAAATCAATTGTACATATTTTAAAATTAAGTCCAAAATTCTAAGGCTGCTTTTAATATAGGACTTCCCTCATTTTCATGCTGTCCTCCTTTTAGATAAGGCAGTGTAAATTCCCTGTAAGCAAGACACACTCTTCTTGTAGCCACATCTTCACGGTATATCTGATGCTCCCAGTCGTATCTCGCTTCCCCTGTCATTACAAAAAGGGATCGTCTAATCATAGGTATCCTTATCAACACGTTGTCCATGCTTAGATCTGTTTTTGAGAATGGTGGGGCATACGGCAAGTTGTACCGATTTGGATCGCCTCTGTACTTGATTAGCGTTAAAACTGTGTCTGACAGGAGGTTGACAGTCACTACTCTTTCTCCCCAGATCCAACAGTCATCGATGTGCGGGTCGATCGAAGCACCCCGCAATGGGTCATATTCGAGAGAACATTGCTCGACAGTCTTAAAGTCTTTGAGTATGCCAACGCTTTTGAACTTCTCCTGTACGAATTCGGTCACTTTGGGAAAACCGCAGAAATTGCCTATTCGGAGTTTTCTCTTTTTGAAATTACATTTCGGACCAAAGTTCTGAAGAAAAACACAAACAAAAAACAATATTATCAAAAGAATGCAAGATGTATTTATCTATATTGCTTTTAATGGTGAATATGGATAATCTGCAGTGTATAAAATATAAGTAAGGGGACTCTAGCATGTATAGGGTTGTAAAATACATTCCGTTTTTTTTGTTTTTTTTTAAATGTTAAATTGAATGAAAATTTCAAGTATGTTGTTAAGTGTCATTGAGTATGAATTATTCGTGGCAAAAGTTTGAGTTTGGTCATCTTCAACACTCAAAGGACAACCAGAATGCTTTATATCTTCCAAATAAAAAAAAATCGTTTCTGAACCTGAAGATGTCATGAACTGGGGAGCATCTGCAAAGGATTGGGAGAACTGGTGGAAGCCAAGATCCACTAACTGGATTGTTGGGCTGTTGATGGTGATTAACAGCGTTAAAAAATGAATGTTAGTACCTGTTTCCTTCTTCCACTTTGTGAGACCTCCCACGGCAGGCTGTCCATGTTCTTCAAGAGCTCTTCTTCTTCTTCAGGGCTGAGGAAATCGGCCAGTAGAAAAATCCCATTCAGGGTGATCGGTTCTCCTCGGTGATCGGAGTGGTCCTGACCTTCCCAGCCCGGCCAGCACATCCGGCACTCGTGACAGTAAAAGTAAGGGTTGGAATTCTAAAGTAATAAACATTTCAATGTTTTTTCTCAAGGGACAAACGCCTTAAATCTTCACCTCTTTGTCAGGGGAGCAGATCGCTTTTGAAGATATGTCGAACAGGCATTCGCATTTCAGGCACGTTCTTATACCTTTGCAGCCACATATCTTCGACCTGTCCGTCTCCATCCGTTTAAATAAACAAGCTGACGTTAATCAATTAAATAATAAAGATATTTTCTTTTTATTAAACAAAATATGTGTTTTTTTGTTTGTTTTTGAGAAAACAGAAGAGTAGGAAGGTATTAAAACTCAAGGTTGTAAAATTGCAGTTTACTGAGTAATTCGATACTTGTGAGAGGATCGATTATCAATGATCCTATTTTTTAAACAATTAAATCGATTAATATTTAATTGTCAAAATTGGCGTTTTGATTATGAAACGTCTTTTCTGATGTTTTGAGACAAATGTTTAATTAGGTTTTCTTGTGGACGACGTTCTTGTTTTTTGTGAAGCTAAATAAATTTGAATTTTTATGTAAAAATCGATTTTTTGGAAGGGCATGGATCGATATTTTTCCGAGGTTCACGGTCATTGGAGGATGGTTTATTAGTGTGTCCAAAATGGCGGGTCGTTAATCACCTTCATTGTTTTACTCCTTTTGTTCATTAGTTTATACATTTGATCGTGTTTACACGCGATTTCCTCATTGACGACCGAGGGGGATGGAGCCGGAGAAGGCAGAGTCGGCGGAACAGGTGGCCAACGGCCAGCTTTTGAAGTCCAGCGTCAAGTAAGACCTCCTTTGTTATTTTATTGACTCTTGGATTGATTTCCGTTTTGTTTATCCGTTCCGTTTCGCTTCGTCCGGGGGATTCGGCGGGCGAGCCTCCCCATCGAGCCTGCTCTCGCGACGAAGTCGGCGTAGAAATCTGCCCGTTCGCGGTGGCCGACTCGTCAAAAATAAAGAAAAAATATACGAAAATTGACTGTTATTTCTAATTATAAGGACCTGGAGAGGGCATAATTATAATTTCAAGGTCGCTGGGTTCAAGTCTTTCTTTCCCTTTTGACTTTCGAGGGGGGCTTCCGGACGTCGAGCCAAACCGCGGAGGACGCGAAGACGAGCTCACCCCCTGACCAACCCGGATAACAGACCATTCAATTTTTGTTTTTAAAGTGATTCAAATTATAATAAAACAAGTTTTGAGTAAAAATTCAAACATTAGAAATTTAGCATGGTAGATTCCATAGGTTCAATATTTCACAATTGTTAGTTCAGCTAAGAACAATACAGTTATTTTTCATGAAAAAAAAGTATTTTGTCATTTTCAAGGTTTAAATCTTGCAAGAAAATGTAGTGGATATTAGTTTCCTCGTATTTTGGGGAATGCTGGCTTCCAAAATAATTGGAAATGGCCAAGCTACAGGTTCAACATCTCACAATTTAGCAAAGAACCATTGCAAAAAATTGTCATAAAAAGTATTTTATCAATTTTTAAGTTTAATTCTTGCAAGAATGTAAAGATAGTTGTTTCCACTTATTTTGGTGGATGCCAACCTCCAAAATAATTGGAAATCGTCAAGCTACGGGTTCAATATAACAATTGTTAGTTCAGCTAAGAATCATTACAATAATTTTTTATAAAGAAAAGTATTTTGTCATTTTTAAGGTTTAAATCTTGCAAGAAAGTAAATAATTATTTTGCACTCATTTTGGTGTATGCTGAACTCCAAAATAATTGGAAACAAGCATGCTTCAGATTCAACATTTCACAATTGTTCATTTAGCTAAAAACCATTACAATAAGTTTACATTTAAAAAAAGTGTTTTTAAGGTTTAATTCTTGGTGATTGTTTTTTAAAATTAATTTAACATTGTTTAATTTTTTGGTTTTTGTTTTAAAAAAAATCTTTTTTTTTTCTTTTTAAGTAAATTCATTACTCATTGTAAACATGATGAGTGGAAATTCCTGAAATGCCCAAGATAAATGTAAATTTTCCAAATAAATAACGAATTTACGTTTTAAAAAATCACATTTTTTTAAACCAAAAAAATTATTTAAACATAAAATTTTTGTAATGGTTCCAACTAACCTACAAGCCAAGCTCTAAATTGTGGGATGATGGTAGGTTGGACGTATTCAATAATTTTAGAGATCAGGACGGACCGAAATGATCAGAAACTACCAGTTAAACTAATAATTTTCATGTTTGGCATGTCCTTTATTTTCTTGCCAGAGGAACATTAAAAAAGAAAAATTGCTTTTTTTTATGTAAAATTGTTGTAATGTAAAAACATTAATTTTTGTGAAAAACGTCAAATATGGTAGATAGTTCCCCTCCCCCTCTCCGCCGTACCTTAGGGAGACCCCATACCAGCAGACCTCGGCCTCTAATCTAGTTTTACTTCTAATTTTGGGTCTTGGGGTACTTAACGCCTTTCTTCGGTCTCACCCTGTGAGGGGAGTTGGCCCAAGGAAGGTAAGGGTAAATTCTTGTATTTCTTGCTGATTATTTGTTCCTATTCTAAAAGGTCTCCCCTTGCTGGTTACTCCTTTGATAATTAAATATTAACATATTGACTGTACTACATATAATTTATTAAAGCCTTAATAAATAAGGAGTAAATAGCCCGAATTTTAAAAATCAAGAAAAAACAAAATCCTATTAATCTACCTTACTTAATTACTGTACCTATATATGGTAGTTTCTGGTCATTGTGGTGTAGTGCCTAACTTTTTTTTTAATCATGACCAAATTATAATTTTATCATCCTACAGACATTTTAAAAAAATTTCACAATTACTGCTTTAGTAGTCAATTAATAGTTTGAGGAAAAACCATTGTAACAAATATTTTTAACATGGAGAGGGGAAAGGATCAAAAGAATAACAAACAAAACATTTATATTTGAGAATGACAATAACTGTAATATTAGTCGTTTAATTTGGTTTTACTGAATACAATATACTGTGAAATGCTGAAACGGAACAGACAGACAGGACAAAATGATTGGTAATGGCCAAATTTAAGGTTCATCATAGCAGACCTCAGAGTTAAACAATTAGAATTTAGAAATTAGTTAGTGATTTGGTTGTCATTGATCATTTTGGTCTGCCTATCCTTGCTGTGTCTGTTATATGCATACAGCATTTTGCCATCTTCCCATCATTCAAGACACAAGAAGACCAATGTTGAAACAAATCTGACAGATAAACCCAGCGAGAGTAGGGTTTATAAATTGGTTGTAAAATTATTTGTTTTAATTCAAAAATGTTATTTTAGATTTACAGAATATTTTCAAATGACGATCAAGCCTCTTCTGGAGGAGGGCAAAGATGGCGAATTGATAGACTGGTTAAAGGACATAGGGCTGTTGAAACGTTCTCAGAAGTGCACCAACCCTGACTGCCAAGGGACCAAACCAATGGAATGGAAGCGGGCTCGGATAGTGGACAAGTTCCACTGGTCTTGCCCACTCTGCAAGAAGAAGGTCTCTATCCGGAACGACTCCCCTCTCGCCGAGTTTCACTGTAGCTTTAAGATAATCCTAGACACGATCACCGCCTGGTGCGATGGCGTCTCACTGGAGGAATTCACAAAGGAGAATAAGACAGTGAAGGGTGTTATCGCCAAGCGTATATATTCTACATGCACGAATGTAGCCAATTGGTACATGCAGAACCACCAGGACTTATCCTACCTCGGCGGGGACAATACAGTCGTACTCCTGGACACTTTCCCCGATGGCTGCATGACGACTACACCACATAACAACAACTATGGCAAACGTGTTCTCTGTATGGCCGATACCTCACACATGCCCGCACGAATATGGACCCAGATTATTGACAATAAATCATTGGTGAGTTAGAAAAAAGTATATACATTATTTAAACAAACAAAAAATATGTTTTGATTTTGATATTTAACACATTTGTTGAACAGAAGGAAAAACTGGTGAAACATTAATTAAGATTTTAATTATTTTGCCTATATTTTTTTAAATGTAATGATTCATATTTACAAATTTGTTACCAATAAATATTTAGTTTCTATTTAAAATCTTAAGGATAGATAAAGCAAATTATTACGATATTTCTATTAAAAATGCCAATACTGAACTAAAACGGTATGTTGAAAAAATATTTTCACTGATGAACACACAGAAAATTTAATTGAATTATGATAAGATCGTTTAAACAAATTGAAAATAAAGAAACACAAAGAGTCAACAATTTCCTTCAATTAAAAATTAGTTTGAATGGTTGAAAAATAAGATTGTGATTAGAGACTTCCTTATTCTAAAAATAAATTTTGTCTATTTATAGATTCTAGACAGTTAAAATTTTAAAACTAATTGCCTCATCCTCGGTGAAATAAGTTTTACATTTTTCTTTTGAACTTTTGATTATTTTTTTTTAAGAGGATGCCGTACTTCCTGTTGAATATGTTTATTTAATTGTTCCCTGGAGGATGTTCATGGTTGAGTGCACCCCCTCATGACTTCCCTACCAGCATTGCCATTATTGATAACAATTTATTTTTAATTAAACTTAATTGCTACCCTCATATCTAGATTTAATGATTTCTCTTTGAAATAATGGTGTTCTTTATTTAATCAGGTACTATCTTAAGGATTGAACTGGTAAGTTGGAGTAGTTGTGTGTGATGTAGTTCGTTGTGGGTTAGTAATGAATAATTTTTAAAATGTTGGTTCAACTTATTATTTTATCTTCTGATTATGTATTAATTAAGACTACTATCAAAGTCCTATAGAATTGTAAAATATGTTCAAAAATTCAATTTTATGTAAATTTTTATGTTTTTTGTTTTTCTAGGATTATCATAAGCTTTCATCTTTGGTCGCAGAACACATAAGACCAGGTTCAACAGTTGTCGCTAGCCCCGGCCTCTTTCCCCTGCTCCATGGCACAAAGGGAATGGCAGAGGTGATCAGCGTTGACGCTCTCACCGCACTCGATCCAATTGACTACCAACGCTCTCTCAAAAATCTTGGTATGAACATAAAAATCCCGGCGATTTGAATATTGCCTAATTCTTTCCTTCCCATTAGAAACGATTTGGAAGTCGACGGTGAGCGTTTGCCAGGAGATTCAGAACCTAAGCAACACCGAGGGCGAGCAGACGCTGAGGGAACTCGAATGGCGGCAAGTCTTCCCTACACCGCTGGCGCAGATCTTGCATGACATTGCTTCGTATGCTAACGCACGGGTTGCGTAGCAATCACTTAGCCCCTTCTCAACTCTTACAAGGATCCCTCAAGGGGAAGGGGCACTGATCCATGAGGTATAGTACAGGCGATGTTTCTTCTGTCATAAAATAGCCATTATTTTGGATTTAAAAAAAGTGCTATATTCGAAGCATTGTTCAAAAGTTCTGAAATTCGTGAAAAACGCGATCCAAAGAACTGGCAAAATTCAAAAGGAATTTAAACCCGGTTTCAAAAATTATATTAGAAATGGAATTAAGGCCATTAATTAACTATAAAATTTGAGATGATTTGCATGGTATGAAAGATGAAAACTGCTGTTGATTGATTTTTATTTTTTATTTTTAACATAATTACCCTTGCTTTTCCCTCCCATCGTGTTTTATTTTGTTATTAGTGATAACGAGAGTATTAGTTATTTATGCAACTATTACGAGTGGGCCTTATTTGACAAGCTTTCTCAAATGCAATGTTTATTGTTTATTAGTGTGCTTAGAGCACTCGTTATATTGTAAAAGGGCGAGCTCTTGTTGAAACAAGGGTGTGACAATTGTTTCTCTTCTAATGTAATGACCAACTTTTTATGAATTTGTTTTAAATCTCTGAGGTATCTTGGGGTTTTGTAGGAAAATAACAACTAATTATATATTTCAAATACATTAAAAAATATTTTTATTAAATTTATTTCATGTTGTATATAAGCATTAGTTAGTGATTTATGTTAGTTTAAAGACATCCAAAAAATATCGTAAGGAAAAGTTTGATGAAATCTAAGAAAATCTGGATGATTTTCTCATCATTTTAAATTGTATCAGGAATTATCAGATTGATTAAATTTTGCCTATTCAAAGGCTGCCTTACTTTCTCACTGATTTAGTAGTTTAGTAAGTACCATTTTAGCTGAAAGATCCTGGTGAAACTTTCATTTTAGAGCCTATATTATGGCAAATTATTTTACGTTAATAACCATGTTATAGCCTTAACCGACATGCTTAATTTGAAAGCAAGGCTTTGAATTAGATCCAGCATTGAAAATTTGTGTGAATACATCCCACCTTCCTAGAAAGAATTAAGTTTCTTGCATAGCATTACTACTATTGTGGTCTTATTCCAATTTAACCTTTAACCTAATTTTGTTAGTATTGAGGCTTAATGGCATGAATTGTTATTTTTTAGTTTCTACTCAATTTTTTTTTTTTTTTTTTTTTTTTTAATTTTCCTGTGATGGATGTTAATATTTGTTAAGGTTACTTAACCCTAAACAGTTTTTAAGGATTATTGAAGGATGATTGTTGATAAAACCTGGCCCTGATGTTACATTGGTATGAGTTTTTTGCAATAATTATCAATTAAAATTTCTTTTTGTAAACTATTTTCCCTAACCTTTGATCCTCAGAATGTTTTGTTTGGAAATGATAACAGTAAGGAAGTTTTTCCCCTTTGCTGTTTCAACATTAAAACTCAGTAATGGGACGATGGCGACGGCCCATTGGTCCAATTCGACTCAGCCATCCTTTCAAAAAGGGTCTTCCATAAAGCAGTTACCATCCTTACTGAGAGTTTAAAGTAAAGAGCGAGCCCTTCACTTACCAATGTTATTATTTTCTTTGAGGAATAGATTTTTAGCCATTATTATCGTAAGTTTTAACTGTATGTAAATTCTAGGCAAATAATTTTGCGAATAAAAAAATAAATAAGATTGGTGGTGGGCATTGACAGAGAGTGAGACTGTTTTTTATGTATACTATATTTTATTTTTATTATAGAATTTGATCTGATTTGAGTGTTTTAAAATACTCATAATAAAAATGATCTATTACAGAGGTAATTATTTTAAGATATGTTGAAGGTAAATGGTATGTAACCTCATTTTTAAAAATGTTTGCAATACATATATTTTTTTATCTTTAAATTTCCTAAAAATGTGAGGTGAAAAAGTGCAAAGATTTTTAAAATTGAGGTGTCTTTAAATAGGGCTTGTTTAGTCACCAAAGAGCTGGAGAGAAATAACTCAAAAAAACAGATAAGGCTAAAATAAATTATACAAAAAACCTAAATCAGAACTTAGGACAGGTTGTATTGAAAAAAGTTCTGTTCCTATTATTTACAAATAAGGATTATGTGATTTATCCCTGTGCTCAGGCAAATAAATCCAACTCGTTGATCTCTTTTGAACCACCGTTTGTGCCTTTTGAGATATAACCATTGTTTTAAGGTTTTCTTGTCTTCTGTTTATTAATATTAACTCGGACATTGTGAGTATTAAGATATCGGTCAATTGAATGTTTTTGTTATCAGTATTAATTATTTTTTTGTTTATTTAAATTTGAAACTTGTTGCCATTTGAAGTCTGATGGTGCCAATGACCTACTGTGTTAAACTTCTTCAGTTTTCAATTAAAATCAAAGTACCCAAAGATTGTTTTCTCTGGAATCATGACATTTTAGTGTTTCAACATTTCTGATATTATCAATATTGTTAAACTTTATGAAAGCTGTGAATTTATTTTTTCTTGTACTAAAAAGTCTGATGATAATTATAAAAAACCTTGCACATCACAAAAAAATAATTGTGCATTTATTTTTTGCCTTTATTTTTTATCTTAAGATAATCAATAATTTTTAAGGTAACGGCAAGTGTGCTAGTATTTTAGTGTTTTGAAACCACAGTTTAACTAAATGTTTAGATTTAATGGTTTATCAAAAGTTGTTAATTAAAAAAGTGTCTGTTTGCTTTAAATGTTTGTCAAAAATTAAACCGGTAATTTGTTAATGGTGCAAAATTCTGATTTTTATTTATATTAAAAAAAAATTAAAAATCATATGTACATAAGTGCTATGTATTATTTTTATGTTAGTTTTAAATTGTGACCAATCAATTATTCTAAGCGAATTTGAATTGACTTTAATTAACTACTTGTTTTTGTGATTACTTAAATTTCTAAAAAATGTTTTATTGTAAAGCTTTAAAAATGAGATATTATGTGTTGATTTGTTTCTCAAAAATATTTTACAATCAATTGTTTTGAAGCAATAAAGAAATTTTATTAACTAGCCATTGATTGTTTTATTATTTTTATTTACTAATGCTTTTAATACTAATAAACACCAAATTCTGGCCAAGTGTTATATGTTATATATGTACACAATGCAGGTATTAATGATTACCAAGGGGTGTCAGTCCTTGCAACGGTTTTGGTGTTGACACAGTGTTTATCAATGTAAGGTAAAGTTCCCGTGTTCAAAACCAGCAATCATGCATTTGAACCCTACATACTTACAAATGGGCTATTTTTCACACACAAAAAAAACAGCACCCCAAGGGTTCATATAACCTTGTAGAGTTGAAATACTCTTGTTTAAAAAGGGGGAGAAAAGCCGATTTACATAACATTAAATCTGCACACACATGTACATACATATATACGTGTTCAGAGCTGAACCTATCACTTCTTGCAGTCCACTGGATATTCCATCTTTTGTAATTTACAATAAATGCCTTCTTTACCCTTCACACCTACATAACTAACCTAATTGAGGGTTAATGAGGTACTCAATGTAACACCATCAGACCTCTCACACTACACATTCACCCCAATAAAGACATTTACTTTCAATACACACTAGGGACACAAAAATATTACTATACACAATAAAATCCAAGAATCAGAAGAGGGGACTCAGATAGTCACTGCTGAGCTCAAGCACAATTCTCATGTCTGGTGGCATTCCTATGCTCTATAAAGAGGTAAGGCGTTTTACACGCCTTATACAAAGATGTCTTTTCTATACCGATTTCCTTCCCCACCCCTTCAAAATCCAACGTATATAAACATAAAACAGCAAAATCTCACTAGCACTCTCAACATGACACGCAAGAGTGGCACAATTACACAGAACTTTGAGTGAGTAGAAATACTTTGATTGAATATAAAAAATATATTTTGCATTGTATAAATTCACTTTTCCACATCCTAAATGTATTTGTTAAATGTAGACAATGTTTGTAAATCCCAGGCCCTGAAGATGATCTCAATAAAGATCGAAACGTTGGCACGATAAAGAAAATGTTTTTCTGAAACCTATCACACCAGACCGCATCTCACGATTCTGAATAATTATCGATTAACGGTCACTAATCACCACACATTTCTACACGTAAGGCATTTATTGAATGGGACACATTGAGCAATGTTGGACACATACGCAGGCTTTGGCACAAAAGTAAATGTCTGTGTGTTAATTTTGCAGTCCTGTCCTTAATTGGGTGAGGATGATCTTATACAAGCCAGATACTTTGAGGGCCTCCTGTCAACAGTGCGTTTAATAAGTGAGAGCTTCTCTGACTATCTTAATTTTTTTATTGCATTTTTAGCACCACGGGGCTGGATTGTGGTGGTTAAACTTGGAGATGGGAACATCCAAGCGTTAACCACCTCATCCGCCTTTTTGTTACACTCCAGACCTCTGTCCACATACCTAAACTACTACCATTTTACCGAGATGGTCCAGTTCATGGTGTCTTTCCAAAAGAGTGTTGTGACCAGGAGAAAAAAATCTATGACATTCGTTTATTTAGATATAACTAATAAAAATAAATTATTTAAAAAAAAATAATAAAAAAGGATATCTTTGTTGTTACACTTATCCTTTCTTTGATATAGCAACAATTTTCTTCCAAAGTCAAAATTGATATAAGGAATTAATTATTTTCCATATGATTAATAACAGTCTTCAATATTATAATTTTATATTTACAGCAACAACAAAAATATTAAAAAGGGGTTTTGTATCCAATTTGAAGAGTGTGAAGACTGGGATTTATTCTTGGAGTGACAAAACTTTTATTTCCATAAAATATGTAGTTTTTATCAAGTTGTGTATTCAGATATCTATGAATAATTTATTTCGTGGAGAAGTACATTCTTCAACTTCCATTAACAGTCTTTTAAACAAGCATCTACATCCAGTTTAATCAGAGATGGAGACTTTAGATATCCTCGTGCAAAAGCTTCTATTAGATAAATTTTATCACCTTGACTTAGCACAAGTGAACTATAAGTTTATTTAATTAATCTTTTCATTTCAACCAATACCTTACATAAAAAGATTGATTAATCGGAAGAAGTTATTTGGTCTGTCAGACCACGAAATGTAATGAATTTTAAAAGTTTAATATTACTTTAATATTTAAAAATTTAAATATTATGCAAAGTATGGTTGAACTGAAAAAATAGTGTCACGAGCGGGACTTGAACCCATGATTTGTGGATCAGTACCCTGGTGTTTGTACCACTTGAACTATCGTAACTTCTATCCCCAAGAAACCAACTTTTCATCTCAACCTTCAACTTTTTTCATTTCTCTTATTTTTGCCAATTGTTTTGTGTAAGCAGTCTTTAGCCAATTTTGCTTTGAAAAAAGTAACAAAAGTAATATGTGATTGGGTATAGACTATGGAACTCAAACTGGGCTGGCACGTTTTTGACAAAATCAAGAAATTTTACTGCTACTTCATTTAAAAAATAAATAAATAAAATAAATACTTAGAAAAAAGGACTTGGTCTTCCCCCCCCCCCATGGACACCCTCCTCTTTCATATACCTTGAAAAACAACACCGTACCTATACATATCTGGATAGTGCAACTTCATATAAATTGTATGTTAAAAATTTTGTCACTCCCAGAGTAAAGATATTCAAGGATTCTTGTTCTTGAAATAATAAAGAAAAATTCTGGTTTCATGAACTCCAAAAAATAGTTGAGACTTGTAACATAAAAAAATGACTTAAAACTAATTAATATCCTTAACTGGTCAAACAATTTTGAAGATATAAATGTCAAGTTGATTACCCAGAAGACTAATTTTTAAGCCTGATAAACGAGTATGAAAAATTTCCTTCTTACAGAGTATTAAACTTTGAATTAAGCAACAATAAGTTGCTGTGGAAACATTTAGGACTTGATTCCATTTGCTGGATTGCTAGAGTTAGGGCTTTAACAGGAAGAGGATCTACATTACTTTTTGCCTAATTGCCCTAAGCTAGCTCATTTACGACAAAAATGGTTTGGAGTAAATGATTTCGAACCGCGCTGAATGGGGAATGTTGGAGATTAGTGGGTTTCTCTAGGGAAGCCAGTAAGCACAGATCAAATGAGCTCTACGTTTTTATATTTATCATTTGAATAATTTTAACAATTAATTGAGAAGTGATCAAATATAAATTATTACAATTTTGTTACTTATTCTGATGAATTTAAATTTACTTTGAGACGAATATTTTTTATTTAAGTAAGATTTATGTTGCAAATTATAAATCCTACGATAATTCCACAAAGGTCCTGTGCAACCATGTATATGCAAGTCTTTTCTTGAAATATTAATATGTATATTTTTGTTGTAAATTCTTTGAAATAAAGATTTCTATAAAAATAATATATTTATCTATTATTCTTGTATTAGCCACGGTAAAGGTTTTGGGTTCAAATCACAGCATTGCCTTTGGAATTTTATGGGAGGATAGTTTGAAAAAAATATCGTAATGTTGTCTTACGTCGACGACCCTTCTGAGAGAAATTATTTTTAAAAATGTTTGTTTTGTTCATTTATTGTTTTTTGTCGTCAAAACGCTATTTCAGTCAGTTCTTAATAAAATGGCGTATTGATTTGACCTCGAACCTTCTCATAAAAAATTTCTCAGTTCAAATTTGCTTTCGTCCGCTAAAAACGTGATTTTGTAATTCTTGTGAAGCTTTGCCGGTACGGCCGTCGTGGAGAGGGGCTGGATTCCCGTTACTGAATGGTATAAAGGCCGGTCGACGGAGGCGGCCCGAAGGAGAGATGGATCGAACCGGCCTGCAGGTCGCCGTCGCCTTGGCCCTTTTGGCACTGTGCACAGCCGCCCCCGCACAGGACGCGATTTCCACAGCAACATCCCCATCCTCATCCTCATCCGCATCCGTTTCTGCTGCTGAGGACGAGCTTGTCTACGACCAGCGGCAGAACGGCACGGACAACGTCCGGGTCCAGTTGAGCGGCCTCACCGTCGTCCTCGCCCCCGTGGAAGCCCTCGTAGGCTTCGAGTTTCCGGATGGGCTTTCAAGCCCCGCCAGGTCAGCGACTCCCAACCACAAGCCTAACTTTCAGTACGTAGCCACTTTTTTCTTTCTATCTAAATGTATTTAAAATTGATTAATGGTGTTTATTGTAGTGTTTGTATGTACTACAAGATATAGATAAACAACAAACTTAAAGAATCTTCGACTTTCTTTTAAGTTGATAGAATAGATACAGACTTCATGAAAACATTTCTTAAAAGAAAAAAAATCTTTTAAATAACATACGTTCGAAAAAGCAATTCTACCTTTCTCCATATCGGTTGGGATTGATGGTGTTGGTTGATCCATATATGTATTTTTGTTTTCAATCTTTGGAAAGAAAACACAAAGTTAAATATGGCTAATCGAATCTGAAAGACAAAACAGCGGACCAAAATTATTGAAAAAAATGAGATTATTTTATAATAAGACTTATTATTTTAATCGTACATGTCAACATATCAACATATCGACATACATATCAGTATGTCAACATACTACAAACTCCAAGCTCTTCACCAGAGATTTTTAAAAACATTATTATGCTATCAGAGTCGAATCGAACTGGTCGTTAGCGATCATTTCTGAGTTTCAGACACATTTTGACCTTTCTCCATCATCGACGTTTGCTCCGTATTTTTTTCTTTTATTCCAAAATTTCCAAAGAAAATACACTATTGAAGCGGAATGGCCACTCGCGTCTGACAGACCAAAAATGCGGAGGTAGGCGGACCAAAATGGCCGGAAACGGCTAAGCTGCAGGTCCATCACATACCTCTTTTTTTTCTAATAGGAAACATACCATTATTCTGTCAGAGCATAATACAACGAAGCTTGGTCGTTTGCGATCATTTCGGTCTGTCAGACACATTTGCCCTCTTTCCAAGATCGGTAGTTGACCCATATATTGTTTTCTTTCTTTTCTTTTTTCCAAAAAAATCCACCATTAAATATGGCGGAAGGGGACAATCTCATCTGACAGACCAAGACAACTGGGGTAGGAGGACCAAAATGACCGGAAACGACCAATCCGCAGGTTCATCACCTCAAGAAGAGTCTCATCAAAAGCTTCCTTTCCTTTATTTCTCGACTATTGATGATAAGATATATTATTTTGATCCTAACAAAAATAAGGTATAACCAGACGCCTCAGGCTCTTCACTCTGATTCTTTGTTGCTAAGCTTGACTTTTTATAACTATTTTCATTGCTTCTGATTATTTTGGTCCGCCAATTCAGCCTCGCCCTGCTTATTCCCTGACTGAATAGGGAGGTTAGGGAAGAAATCATTTCATTTCAAATCCAAATTAGTTAGCATCTATTTATTTTTTCTGCCTTCGTGTCCGACATATTTCTAACTTGCGTTATCGGTGGTTGATCCATGTATTTTCTTTACTTCTATTTTCTCCAAACTTTCGACACAAAAAAATTAAATATGGCGAAAGGGCTAGTTGCGCCTGAAATACCAAAACGGTGAGGATAGACGGATCAAAAATGATCGGAAACGACCAAGCTGCGTTCAGCCTGTCACCCTCCGATGATGCCTCTATAATCCTTCATCATCGTCTTTATGTCGTGGGTACTTCATTCTTTATAATTCCCTCATTTATTTCTCAACTATTTTATTATAAGATGTTTGATTGTAACAAAAACAACCAGAAGCACCAAGCTCGAAACATTGAGATTTTGAGCCCAAGTATGTTTTATTAGTACGAAACAAGCAAAAAATATCAGTATGACATATCGTTTCCCAAATTTTTGATCCGGCAAAAATTCATCCTCACCCTACTTATCTTGTTGTTTCTTTTCTCCACAAGCCAATCCCTCCATCCTACAGCAAAATTTAATTACTGGTTTTTAGCATCAGGTGTGCTGCATAAGCATCTATTATTTCCAAAAAACTGTTGGGTCCAGGGAGTCCAACCCTAAACAAAAATGGAACGCTAAGAGCATTTATGCTGCTTCTATGTAAATAATATTAGGACTCAAGAGACCTAACAATTCACATAAAAGCACCATGAGCTTGACAGGACAGAGATGTTTAATCGATTTTGTGAGATGTTCTGTTAGAGGTCCATAGAGTAGATTCCAGTTTACTCGTTGACGGTTATCCTTATCTGTCTAGTTTCGCCGTATAGTCAGTTGACGGTCTGTCTGTTTCCCCGTTTGACAAGGACGGAAAATGGATACACTTGAAAACTTTGTTAAACAACACGTTCAATAGGAAAATTATGAAAACAAACTTCATCAGCTTGCATACATCATTTACTCCGTATAAAACATAACATAAGAGGCAAATTAACGAACAACCAAACACAAACGTACAAAGGGAACATGACTAAGGAAAAAAGTTCAGTGTAGAAGACGAGATGCTGAAAGGCGTCTGAGAGACTAAACCAGCCAGACAAAGACCTGGACCAAACCTCTGACCTCAACAAAAATATCACAACGGAAGAAAAATTCCATACTTTTTGGGTACATTTGGAGACATTTTGTACAAAACATGAGTACAACGACCAGGCAAAGAGTCGTCCACTTAGGAAGTCGTTAGGACGAAACATGTCTGTCATCATGCCAGTAGCTAAGAGGTGGATCTAGAACCTTGAAAACAATAGTTTACTGCTATATCTCAGCAGATGAAAAATTAACTTTACTTTTTCATTCGTTCTATCAAGAATACTTGCTATTTTCGTTGTTGAAGAACATTTTGGCTTCTACAGAACTTTATTTTTATTTTATTTATTTTTTGTTGTGTTCAGCCCACTCAACACGACTCACAAGAATGACACATCTACACAGTAAACAAACATGAGCCCTGAAGATGATTTCAATAAAGATCGAAACGTAGCACGATAAAGAAAATGTTTTTCTAAGACCTACACCAGACCGCATCTCACGTTCTCCGAATAATCCTTCTTTTTAATTACATGCCTTATATGTTTCGCTTTTTAAGCGTAATTTTTCTTTTTTCCCAGGAAAAATAAACTTGTGAACGTGTTGCTTAGTTTCCTCGGCAGCAATCACAACGAGTAACAAGAGATTGGATCTGGATCTTCAAACATGGCTGTGCATTGGCTTACATGTAGTGATTTTAGTACAAATTAAATTATTTTTTATCTCTTTTCTGCTTTGATCATTCCTAACAATCCTTCGCCACCTTTTAATTAAATATATTTAAATTTTATTCGTAGATTAAATCTTGTATATATTCAAAAACTGTTGTTTTTAACAAGAAGCCAACAGAAAAGTAAAGCGTCCCTTCAAAAAAAAAAAAAAAAAAAAAAAAAAAAAAAAAAAAAAAAAAAAAAAAAAAAAAAAAAAAAAAAAAATTGGCTGTTTATTTTCATGCTAATAAAACCTTTAAAATCAAGGAAAAATAATAAAAATGTGTTAACAACTAAAATTAAATTTATTTATATATATCACATTGATGAACATGTTTCTTCAGTGTTCCTGAGGATGCAGTTTCGGAAGTCTTGGTTCTTGCCGGCGGTTCAGTTCGTTCTGAAACATAATGATCCAATCATAGAAATCATGGGGACGGAATCACAGCATCATGTGATGGGGGAAATAGGGTCCCCAGTCACATCGGCTGAGAGAAAGTACGCCGTGAAAGTGGCGTCGCTTGCTTTTTGTCACTGAGGAACTTTCAAACGCCGACTTTTGAAAGATGAAAAAAACAGCCTCTAAGAATTCCAACTGGCTCAGGTGAAAGTGAAAAACTATTCTGAAAGGTTTAATGCAAAAGAGTAATACATTCTACAAAATTGATAAGAACAGGGTCAAAATCACTGTCAAAACGTCCATTTTACTAAAAGATTAGCATAAACTTACAAATGTTATTTTCTACGCGTTTTATATAGGATAAGCAAGAGCACAAACTAGGAAGGAATATGATACAAATCATTGATGTTTTAATGTTAAATTGGAATTTAAAGTCATTGACTGATCCATAATGATCAACGTGAGATCAAGCTTTGTGCCTCAGGGCCTAGCACAAACAGCATTTTATGTTCAACCTTACACAAAAAAGGACTCATATTTATACCAAATATCTATAAAAGATTTACATACTGAATTGGATAAAATAAAAGATTGAGTACAGTTGATCTTGGTTCTCTGTGACCTATGCCACAGGATCAAACTGTTGACAAAGATTCATGCATGAGGATGAATTTCATTGGGATACCGGTCCTGCTAATTTGTACATTTCGTAAAATCTGAGATTATTTTTGATAGGAAAACTGTTCAATTGTGTACTTACGACTGGAAGCTGGAGAAGAATAGAGACACGACGAATTTTCTTTTGGCATATTTGGATTACAGTGTCATTTTGGACTAGATAAAACTGAAATATGCAGTTAAGATATTTCAGACGTTGATAAATTAAATACAGTATTGACTTTTCGAAAGTGTTTAGTATTGGTAAGACTGGTAAGACGGTCAAGTTGAAGTTCATCGCCTTGAACTTAGAACTTTACCGACTTTCTCCTGAACCGAAGGCTTGTATATGTGACGCATTCCTTACTTCGAACACTTTCCATTTTATTTTATAGTTTATTGTTTGGTTGTGTGTATTTATTATACACAAAATTCTTTGATAGCTATCAAAGTTCTAAAGTTTAAAATTGAAAAGCTTTTAATACAAAATAATTCAATTTTACAGATAATATCGTTAATTGGTCAAAGCTTTGTTTATTTTGTTTTAAAACTATAGCTATAATTACTTTTAACAATTAAACCTAGAATGAGAATGCTTAATGATAAAATTGAAAGTGGAAGTTATTTCAGCTTGCCCGGAAAGTTGGATTCGACTTACGTTCAGTTGAAGTCTTCGATTGGCACAGGTTCCATGCCGAGGCAGAACTTGAAGAATAGGAAGATGAAGACGGAAATCGTGAGGACAGAGACGACGGGGTTCTCCAGGAGAGAAGCCATGGCGAAAGACGAGTACAACCCCTGACCCGGACATTTATAGCTCCGGACCCCCTCCAGAGTTCGATTTCTCCTTCAACCCAATTCCGTTTTATTATCGTCAAGAAAAAGGGGGAAAACAATTTCGTTTTCTTTCTTGAGACCCAATAGGGAAAAAACATCGGGCGATCTCGATGATCCAGAAAAATAACTGACTTTCCTGTCCACCCACAGCCTAAACTACATGTCCAATGCAAGACGTCTAAATTATAAATCAAAACATTTCGTCCTGGCAGTCTGCATGTTGCAAAATTGCAAACTCGTTTTCCAGATTTCAAGTCACCTTGGGCTCCAAATAATGCTGAATTTACATTAAAATTGAAAAAAAGTTCAAATTTAGTTTTCGTTTTATTGCTTTCTAGAAAACAAGTCATTTTTCTTCTTAAAGTCTATGAAAGAAACAACTTTTCGTAGATTCGTAGATCTCTATGATCCAAAAATCAACATACTTCCTTGTCCATCCACAATGTCTAATGGTAGAATTTTAAATTGGAATTGGAAATTTATGCAGCCTTCTTTGGATTTGGGGTCTTCTCAAATAAAGAAATGTTTAATTTTCAGCCATGATCATTGCCAAATTTGATAAATGTTAGAGGGAGCCAAATTGCTTATTGTTTCAGCAACTCTCAAGTCGAGTTGAATACTACTTAGCTGTTAAATTTATATTAAAATTGAAGTAAGAGTGAATCTTCTTTTTATTTTATTATTCCCTAAAAAATGTCTTACGGTTCCCACAGAAAAGAGTTTTTGTAAAATCTCCTTCATCCAAAAAAATATCATAACTTCTTGTCCGTGCTAGAATCAAATCGAATTGCCTGCATTTTGATGCTAAATTTATATGAAACTTTAAAAAAGGACAAATTTTATTTTTCGTTTATTATCCTAAAAAAAAATTCTTAAGGTTCAGGCAGGAAAGATCCTTTGGAATATCTCTAAAAATTGAAGAAAGGGGGAATTTGATTTGAATTTTATTATCCCCCAAAAAACTTTCTTAAGATTCTGAAAGAAAATAACTTTTGGGACATCTCCATCATCCAAAAAATATTAGAACTTCTTGTCCATACTACAATCAAGCCGACTTGGCTGCATTTTGATGCATCGTATCGATTCACCTGTCATAAGACAAATTAAAGATTTACTGAACGATATGTCACTTAATTGTAAAAATTATTAAAGAAAGATAACATTTTGTCGCAGAATATAGAGGAGCTTTAATTTTATAGCTTTTCATAGATGACTCTGGACCAAGAATATTCTTGTTTTCAACTGGATAATACATAGGCAAACAAGCACATCTTTAGGGACCTCAAAGAAATGTTGTATTTTGATAATATGAAAGATGAATACAACTAATAATTTAGTATTATAAACAATGTTCACTGTCAGAATTGATATTTGTGAGTGTCAAATTACAAATTGGTTCTCCAGCTTTTAAGTAGCTTGGGCACCACCTAGATGCTAAATTTATATTAACATTGAAAAAAGATTTAATTTTATTTTCCGTTTTATTAACGTCGAGAAGAAAAAATTCCTCTTTGGGCCTGTTGCCTTTTTATTTTATCTTGAACTGAGTTGAAATGATGAACCTGGTTCAACTTTGAACGGCCGTCGACCATGGGTTAAACTTAGTTAGAGTTAAGCGACTTTTGTTTAAATTCAACAGGCCAACCAATTTTATTTTGAGCAATGTACAATAGCTATCTAGTGCAATTCATAGGATATCACTGGTCAAGTCATTACTATAATCTAATACTGTAAATATCCTATAGTGACAAAATATTTTTTTTTTGTTTACTAGTTATCCTTCTTTGTTCGGTATTCTTTTATTAGTTTGGTGTTTTTATGTGCATCAGAAACTTAAAAATACAAGTTTTGATTTTATAGTTTAGGGGACTTCTGCGACTCCTCTTCACTGCTTTTCTTTTGTTTGTTAAAATTATTTAACTTTGCTCCTATGTTTGAAAAAAAATCGAATTAATGCATTATTGAAGTAAATGACCATGAAACGAAAACGACATTTCTGTGATGAGAGAGGTTTCAACGAAGACATAGATTTGGCAAGAAAGTTAGTTGCTTTTCACTGTGTAGGCACGAGGATGGTTGTTTACAAGGAACATCAGGCAAAAAGGGCTTTTTTGCCTGCTAGCAGCCCGATGACTGAGGGGTGGAGGAGAGTTCAAAATAACTGTACCAAGAGGACGACGAGCCGGCGGAGAGGTGGCAGATAAATGTGGGAGCGAGGCGAAAGAAGGAGCAGTCAGAGGATGTCCCTGCTCCTGGTCTGTCTTACCCTTTACGCCGTCCTCGACATCGGGCTTTCCTCGCCGACGAGGTATGACCAGCGGCAGGACGGCGAGGTGAACCTCCACGCCCAGCTGGAAAACGTCAAGTTCGTCATTTTCGGCCTGGACTTCGGCAATACGATGACCTCCATCGTCGAGAAGCTGCCGCTGAAGGTCCCGTTCCGGCTCGCGGGGCGGAATCCGACCCGGGCCGCCTCCGGAGACGGCACGGAATCCGCCCGGGTCGAGCCGAAGCAGGTGCCAGAGATGCCGCATTTCCCAGTCTTCGAGATCATCGGGATCACCCCGTCAAAAGAGTTCGAGACCGGACCCACTGACACGCCGTCTGCGGCTTTCCAGGAGGCGGTCAACGTGGCAGCCACCGACGCTATGGAAGTGGTTACCTCGGACAAGGAGTCGCAGGTCACCTCGGACAAGCAGTCGCAGGTCACCTCGGACAAGGAGTTGCAGGCCACCTCGGACAAGGAATCGCAGCCCACCACCATCGTCGCACTTTCACCGAAGGTCGCACTTGTACAAAGCAGACGCCTAGTTAAGACTAAATAATGTACAAATAAAACAAAACTTATAATTTATCTCTATTTTTTATCCTTTATCGCCATAACTGAAAAACGGAGCCTAGCCTAATGATGAAAAAGTCCCTGATATTGTAATGTTTCATTACAATAGGACAAAAACTGTAAAAAAATTTATTTGAACTCTTAATATAGGAATTTACAATAAAACCTGATCGAACTATTAATGGATAGAGTTTTGTTATTTACTAAACTGATTAAAACACAATCAGGGATGAAATTAATTATGATAAAAACACTCAGTTCCTTAGTCCAGCTTTCGAGGAATGTATCTCTTTCATCAAGTCTAGGACACTTTAATTAATAATTTACAAGGTTAGTAAATATGAACACCTATTCACAATTTTGAAAGAAATTCACTGGTCATGTCTGACCTACTGCTACTTGGAGACTCGGATGCACCTGGATGATAAATTTACATCAAAATTGAAGAAAGGATTAACTTTATGTTAACAATGTATAAACTGCTGTAGCATATGACGCATTGGTCTTGTTCTATAAGGTGAAATACGATTTCAATTTTAAATTTTATCGACATGAAACCATAGGTTTCAAAATTGTTATTATTGATAAAATCTGTATTTTTTAATGTACACAGTATACATTCGTTATTTTCCTCCACTATACATAAACAAGAAGCTACCGGCATCCTCTCAGAATAGGTACTAGTGACTAAAAAGTCTACGAAGACTTTTAGGACAGAAATGTAATTTAACTGTAACTGTAAAAGACTATTTAATTAAGTTTGTACAAAACTTTGACCACTGAACATATTTCTTTAACTTCAAAGTCTAACAAGTCATTATGTCTTCCGGGTGCAGTAATGGTTTTAGTGTCGCTGTTTACTCGGTGAAAATAACAATTCTACTTCATTCGATATATATTACTATGATAATAACGAATAAATTATTTTAAGAAAGCTCATTTTGTAAAGAGTTCATTAGTATCTATTCCTCCATGTAACCTTCTCGGCAAAAGTGGGCTAAACCTTTTATATTTTGTCCGGTCAAATTTCTCTTCGAATTTTTTGCGTCTTATGAAGTGTTTTCTTATTTTTAAACCCCAGTGTTTATAAACGCGCACATTGCATCCCATCAGTGTTTGCTCCGTGTTTTTAAGTGTTGTCCTTCTCCTCCTATGGTTACACTAGGTTTTATGGTAATAACCAAATTTCAAACTACCAAATATCATATGTCCACCGTCATATTTCACCGTACCTACGTATGAAATACATTTTTTCAGTTCCTCGAAAATATCCTGTGACCTGATCCGAACAAACTTATCTTAAGAGTAGAAGAGAACCACGGAGTACAATGGCCTGTACATTGGAAGACCGTGAATAGTCCTGACCTCGCCTCTTCAGACTACATCAAAAAAATGTTCACCATGTGTTTTGTGGAGATGTTCAGGAACCGTACATGGATCTTCAAAAAAATAATGGATCTTCTACTGCAACCACCGGCTATTCCTGACTTGCCCAGTTGAGGACATCAAAAGTACGTTGTTTCATTGCAAAGCTTTTGGAATATGTTATTCATCATCGGGACCTAAACGGATTTTGCTTTATTTGATGCTTTAACTGAATCTTGTTAATCAATCTGCTTCTATCTTAATCGAAGGTTTAAGTTTCTTCTCATTATTTACTGTAAAGTCTAACTTATTACCTTTAACTTGGGTTTTGAGAGGTGCATGTTTGATCTATCTGATCATACTGATCTGCCAATCCTTAGCCGCTATCTTCAGCGCTGTACTAGGGATATAATCAATCGATGGCAAGAAGCCGAAACGCTTCTGACAGAACAAAATAGCGATTTTAGGAGGCCAAAAAAGACCGGAAACTACCAAATAACAACATTATTGATCTAGACGCATTTTGCCATTCGCCATCTTCAGTGTCTGTGTTTATCTCACTTTCTTTTTTGGGGACAGGCTTTTCTCAAATATTTTAATGGCAGCCCACTTTTGGAGTTGTCGAGAAGCCGAAACGCCTCTGACAGACCAAAAAACTGTCGAGTTCAAGAAGACGAAAATGATAGAAAATAAACTACAGGTCCATCAACCCGAACACACAGGCCCAAAAATGAAACCATATAAAATAACTTTCGTCTGCTAATTTTAAGTGTTAATATGTATTTATTGTAAATAATGATAATTTATTTATAATATTGGCGATAACATTTTTTTTTTGTTCGCAGACACTGTAGTCGAATTATACATTGAATTACCAAAGCATGTCGTCATCTTTGTTGATATCCTCTTGATGAGTTCCAGCCTAGAGTACGAGGATTTAAAATGGGAAGTGGTCATTTCTTCAAGAATGCCGTTTCTTTCGACCGTTCCGACTTCCACGCTTCGGTCTTGAGCCGAAGAAAAACCGGCATGTCTGAAAATGACCGTCCCGAGCAGAAATGATGATCTCGAACCGTGCGTAATTGTGAACGCTCTGTCTTCTACGTCCAAGTCTAATTACACCCAGAATGGCTTCCTTCCAATTACATTAAGAAATGCATGACCGTTCGTTGCACCTCTGGTCAAGGATCATTGACCCGAAGGGTACAAGAGAGGGATCACCGTTATAGGGACATATCACGACCGCCCGCAGGACCCGATTCCACGTGAAACGACGGGGTTCACGCATTCGGCAAAACCAGTTTACGCGATTACGTCGTCTGTAAACAAAGTTGAAAACGGACCAGTCTCATAACCGGAACCCGGTTTTAACTGCATTTAAATTCACAGGACCAACAACAAAAAGCAGAGAGCAGAACGGCCTACCCTAGACCATTTTGACAAACTTTCTGAAATATCTAGGCATTCCTTAGTCCGTTCTTACCAGGGGAATAAATCTTTTAAAAAATGTTAAATTTGAGCCAACGATGTCCACAATAGTACGCGAGGTTGAAGATGCAACCCTTTTTTCGGAATTGAGAGGCTTCCCATTGAATTCTTTGCGAAGATGAACCTGTAGTTTGGTCGTTCCCTTATTTCACATCCATGGGTCCCCATAGTATCGTTGCTTTGGTTTCTGGCTTTTGTGTATGCTGAGTGCCCTCAATGACGTTGGGAATGGACAAACGACGAACAACCTGGCTTATAGTTTGCCGGTAACAACTGAATTTGCTACTTCTTCAAGTCGATACCTTGATCCAGAGTATTCGGGAACAAGTATTTCTATAATCGATGGAAAATTGCAACTACGTTTCAATGTTAAAACCGAAACGATTGTCTTCGGAGAACTTCAAATGTCTGTACTTGTGTTTCTTCATTTTATCAATAAACGGAATTAATTAATCTTCAAAGCGGAGTCCAAATGATTTGAATTCAGTAAATGGACGAATAAAAGCGTGGGAAGAGGAATTACATTTGAGACGTTAATCTACTGCAAATCATAGCTGTTTGGTGAAATTCTTCCGAGAGAATTAAGAGTCAATACATGTTCAACGGCTATTTAAATAAAACTGCACTAGCATTTGGTTAGGGATGCCGATCGAATAGTAAATTTCGTCTAATTCCATGTAACTTCTAATTTGAGACCTCTAAAGAAAGTAACAACATTTTACGCAACAAAACACACTAGTACTATCACATACACCGTTAACACTAAATAACTATAGAAGTAAGTCTTCATTTTTTGCCACTCTTAAGGTTTATGAAACACAGAAACAACCTGAAGGAAAGTTTCAGACTTCGCAGGAACTGAACATCGCCTGAAGAATGCTTTAAAATCAACGTTACAAACGATCAAAAGTGACTGGGACGAAGAGGAAAGCGAATTGATCCTCTACCCTATAGCCCTGACCTGACGTCAAAAGAGTTTCATCTGCAAAATATTTTGAAGAGTTAGTACCCGACCATGAAATGTACTATATTCAATTTAATAACAATATAGTCCTAACCTTACCCCTTCAGAGGGCCTAACCTAGGCCTAACCTCTTTCGAGTAATGGTCATCTTCCTTACAGGAAAGTTTCATTCTTAAAATACAAAAAAAAACTACAGCAGCATTAATCAAGGTACAAGGTAGCTGATTGCATTTGGATTTAACCTTGGAATTGGGATGAGGTGTTCAAGTGGTGAGTGGTGAGCTGGATGTGAGGCGGAGGTATTGGTGGTGCAGCGGAGGCTGGCCCAGTACCGGCCTTTCTTATCTACTAGCTGGCGACTCTTTGTCCAATGTAAGGAGCATAAGCTAAGCTAAAATGTGCACTCGACTCGATGACCATATATCCTGACCCTGTCCCTTCAGTCCACCATCAGAATACTCTAGGAAGAATGTTTTCATCAAACAAGATAAAGCGCGACCACACAATACTCAATGTATAAACATATATGGATAGCTTTTACCTCGACCTCCACCTTGCCCTTTCGAACTACTATCAAAAACATTTTAACCTACAAATGTGTTTTGGCAAGATGATGTCCGAGAACGCCTGGCCATACAATTCTCAATATATAAACTAAAACATTTCCAAAATGGAACTTGTGCTGCTATAACCACAATATGGACTATATTATAGTCCTGACTTTGCCCCATCAGACTATTACCTTTATCGGGCAATACCCACATCCTTAACGTTTCATACATTAAAATACCAAACCAACTTGAGAGGTATCAAGCAAAAGCCAGAAAATTGAGCAGATTGTCACTGTTTAGTAATTAATCATGGTGCACAATGAACTATACCTAGTATAACCTGCAGTCTATTATTACTAACTAGGTCAAGGAATTCATTTTTAATTCCATTGAGAATAGTAATCAAGTTGCCGCAGTTTACGGGGATATTGCTAAAGCTTTCGATAAGGTTGATCATGGATTGCTTTTGGGTAAGCTTGAACTGTTTGGGTTTGGTGGCAGTTTCTTGTTTGGATTAGATGCTATTTTTCCAATAGAAATCTTAATGTAAAGTTCAGAGGTAAATTTTCCAGAACCGTTAGAGCAACATTTGGTGTGTCTCCCCCCGGGATCTCACTTTGGTCCAATCTTGTTTTTAATTTCACTATTTTTCGTGGTCCGCTTGACAATTAATTTCATTCAATTTTAAGTTGAGATAAAAAAAGGCAGAAGGGAAGTTAGTGCCCGAGGGGATCGAAGTCACGATAGCCCAAGTGGTAGAGTAGCGGCGTATGGTCATGGGTTCGAGTGACACTGGCTTTTTTATCTCAACTTAAAAAAAAGCCTCAATTACTTGCTTTTAATGTTCATTAGCGATGTGTCCTCCTGTTTCAAAGATTCATAATTTTTACTATTGGCATATAATGTAGAAGTTTTTGCTGTTGTAAATAACGCTGAGGAAAATGTGCGTCTGCAGGAGAATTTAAATAGGTTTTCCTCTTGGTGTCTGAGGAATTAACTTTCTCTTAATCTTGAAAAATATAAGTTTATCTCTTTTCATGGTAGGAAACATCCCTATCAATCCTCCTACTCTTTGCTGGGATCTCAATTGAGTGGAGTGTCTGAGATTAGGGTATTGAGAGTAACTTTTGACTCTGCACGTTTCCCCGCATGTTAGTTTAGTTCTGGCCAAGAGTAATAGAAGCTTGGGGGGGTCAAGAGGTCATCAGGTTTCCGAAATATTATTATATTAAAACATTTATATTTTGGGTTGGTTCAGAGCATACTTGAGTACTGTAGTTTGATCTGGTTTCCGTGGTTCAATCTAAGAATAATCTACTCGAATGTGTTAATTACCTACCTAATTTACAAGTTAGGACTTTAATGGGATAAAAACGAGTATGACGAATGGTTGAAACTGTATAGAATGTTCTTCTTTCAGGATCGATCTCTATTGATGAGGATGTGTTTCTTGTGGAAGGTGATAAACGGCCATTACTCCTGTCCACAACTTCTCAGTAGGATAAATTTCCATGCCCCTTCTCACAGTTGTCGGCAGCAACACAGTTTTTATACCCAGTTTCATAGGACTCCATTTGGTACAATTACCTTCAAAAGGCCCTTAATAAAATCTGTGACGTGCATAATTTAGATATTTTTGTATCCTCATTTAATGTATTCAAAATCGAAATAAGTAAATGCTTGTCGTCAATTATAATTAGTTTATTGATTTTGTTAATGTTTGTATTTTTTAATTTTAAATATTGTAATATGACTGTACTGATTGGGGGAAGGGGTTATCCCTCTGTAATAAATAAATGAACCCCCTTATAGTCCAGACCTCGCCCCTTCATACCACCACCAAGTCCCTTTTTGAATCAAAGTGAAATTTTGACTCTCGAGACTTTTTTTAATTAATCCGAATGCCTACTCGGACTATATCTTATGGAGCATTTACATTAAATTGATTGAGCATTGATAATATTGAATGTTTTCGCTTCAAATGTTAGGATTTTTAAAAAGTAAATAATCAACGCTATAAACGTATAAAAGAAAAGTCCTTCCACTGCCAGCATAAAATGTTCCAGTTGACCCTGCATTTTCAATAAGGTATCCATTGTCCACAGTCTCAAAGTGGCTGCACAGTACAATTAAATAGAATTACTTTCCTGAGGGAACGAGGGAAAAAATAAAAAGTCTGCCTTTTATATCAAAATATTTTATTCTTTGTGCTTTTTACACAAAATACTTTAGACTCTAAACATTATTTACAACTGCCGGCCCTGGAGTCGTTTCTCTCATGCGATAAGTTTATTCTTTGCGTGCTGCAAAATTCCTCTTAACCTGAAAACGAAAAAAAAAAATTTTTATTGGTTTAGTAATAACAGCGTGATTTCGTCTTTCATGCCAGTGAATGAAAAAGTGTGAGGTTGCTGTACAACAACAGTTCGGACGAATAACAACACAACAACAATTCACTTTTTACACGAGCCGTCGAGGAGTTCCATGAAAAAAATGAGCTCTTTCTTAAAGAAAATGGGCGAAAAATGGATTTCTTCTTTTAGTACAGGCGTAACAACCGTAAATTGAATACCGGACAAGCATGGAATTGTGGTACAAACTATCAGTTAAAATTGTTCAGATGAACTTTATTGTTTCAAAACATAATGAGGATCTTGATTCAAGCAGTTTTTTGGTACAATATTTGTTGAATATAAAAGACGTTCATATGATGAATTTCGCGATTTAGAATTGAAAATAAAACTATTATACAAGTCTAGCGATGGCATCAAATGGTTTTTTTTAACCATTTGAAAAGAAATGCACAGAGTGCCTGAAATGACGTGCTTAAATTTGGATGGATGATCCAAAAAAGATCTGAACTGCTCTGGACAAGGGAAAGAACTCACTTGATAGGCCTCCTGAGTCGGCGGCATCTGCCGTTCGGGTCTCTGTAGAACCCGGCGCCACACCTCCTGTGTGGTTTCGCCGACGTAGGCACCTCGGTCGTCACTGATGAAGATGACGGGGTCGTCGTCGAGTTGGAAGCCGTGTCAGAGCTGAGGAGGTCGACGGTCGACATCGGATCTAGTGCGTCGCTACTCGTCGTCGGCTTCTTGCTGGTGGACGGTGCAGCAGGAGGCTTCAGCGTCAGTTCTGCATAGTCATAGTCATACTGTAAAAAGAACACAAATCTATTATAAATACAAGACAAAACATAGCTTAATTAAAGAAACTATTCGTAATTTGTCGTTTTATCTGCCTAGTCGTTGTTTTGATGTATTGTTATTTTTCTTTCACCATTAGGGGTTTTTCTAAACTTTCCCTAAGAAACCCTACCAATGAAGATGACGGGAAGACGAAACGCATCAAAAATACTATAACAGCAAGAATAGCGACACAAGAATAACCGTCAACAACCCAAACTGCAGGTTCACCGCAAGAAGATATATCACATTATCAAAATGCAGTAATAATTTGAAACACCGAAAATCACAGATTTTGAAAGAACCCGGATGATTTTCCGAGTCTTTTTTGTTCAATTGTTCAATCATTCACCATCAGGAGGAGACAAAAGATAAAAAGTAAATTTACATACAAAAGTTCTATACTTACAGCACTAAGAAGTATTGTGAGATTTCTTTCTGGTGGTCTAAACCTGATGATAGTTACCTATCATTCTTGTCTGTCTATTCTTGCTGATTTTTGTTATACAGACGCGTTTTGTCATTTCAACATCTTCAGTGATTTCTGTGGAGTGAAGTTATAGTTACGAGGTACTGCTACTATAATCACTGGCGAAATGGCGAAACGCGTCTGACTAATAAAAATCAGCAAGAATAGGCAGAGGAGAATGATAGGTAACTATCAAACAATTTGGAGCATTTACTAAATAAAAGTAAATTTTTTTTAACAAATTCAGTTTAAACAAATTCTTATCTTATGTTCTTAAGTCAAACCCTTCTCATCTGGTGGGATTCATAAGCAAAGATTTTATGGGTGTACCACCAAACATTTTCTGTATTAAATAACCCAATATGTTTGCCCTGTATGTCGATTTATGACAAAAAATCATATCAAACACTATGTTAAAAAAAATAGTTTAGTGCGTAGCTGAAATAATTGAAATTATTAAGCAAACTGTAGACCATTTGCCGACTATAACGTATATCTTGCGTGATTTTAACAAATCAAAAATATTAAACTGACATTTCTACATTTCTATCTACTAAAAACAAAAGTATAGATAGAAAAATAAATGTATGAACGCTAAAAAATCGCTATATTTAATTGGAAGTCAAACAATCAGAATTTTCATTGTTGTTTTGGTAAAAAGTTTTTGTCAATTATTAAAACTTTTGGTGTGATGGAATGTTGCTTTGTTTCAAAATATTAGTCCATTCAAGAATTTCCTCCATGAGGATAACTTTCAACTAGTTGTTTTAGTAGTACATACTATGTTTACAAAAAAATAATATCTTTAGATAATGAAGACTGTTAATTGGCAGTTTGTAAGAGTCTATTCTTTAAAAATAATTTATTTTACACTTTTCAGTCAATTTGTTCCACAAGCCTCGAGAGCAATTGTAATTTTTACTTATGTTGGCTCCCGGATCGACTGCTTACCTCTCCGTTGGAGGTGTCGTCGAGAAAGGCTAGTATCTCGATGTTCTTGAGGTCGAGGTGGACGTTGTAGTCGCCGGTCTGGGTCTGGTCGTACTTTACCAGCCCTGAGGAGGCGAATCCGATGAAGAACGTGCCCAGAAGAATCGCGATCATTGTCGGGACGCGGAATGAACTCGGAGGAGGCGAGACGCCGGTCATTCCACTTGGGCCCCCTCCATGACCGCTACCCCTGGCTCATCCCGCACCCATGGCAATGCAAAGATTTTGTCCGTTAAATACGTAATATTGTGAGATTTCATCTTGTTATTCTTCTTGAGGTCTGCGAGGTGATGGCCAGTCGTTTCCGGCTATACTTGTCTGCCTAGGCTTAGCTGTTTTAATCTCACAGACGCAATTTGGCATTTCGCCATCTTCAGTGGCGTGTTGCCTAAAATCTTTGGAAAACACTACCAAAAGGAACGGAAAAACACGCAGACTAACTTCTGAAAATGGCGCAAGATGTCTGAAAGACTAACACAGCCGGCCGAATGTCTGCCTTAGTCATTGTACACCCCTAAACTTCATTATTATTTTATTTTATAAAACACTGCATTCAACTATTTTTGGAGCATAAAATTTTGTATGATTTTTATGTCATAAGTGGAAATATTTGTGGAACTCCTGTAAAATCACTGCCCAGGGCTCCAACCTGATAAAGGACAACCTAACTAACTTTTTTCTTCTTTTAAAAAAATTTGCTAAATGGTGTAAGATATTATGATTTATTATTGTTCAGTGTATTTAAATTTTTGAGTGCACGTAAATTTACTTTTGTCTTTTATCTCCTCAGATGGTAAAAAACGCTACAGAAAATTTTCAACCTGCGGTCAAATGACAATGGCAAATCTTGATAAAATAGTTAATAATAGAGACATCACACTGACAACAAAGGTTCGCATAGTTAAAGCAATGATATTCCCAGTAGGATGGGTACAAAATGCGAGCTATGAGAAAAGTCGAGTGAAGGAAGATTGATTTTGAACTGTGGTGTTGGAGGGAAATTCTGAGAGTGCCTTCGACGGCAAGAAGATCAAACAAGTCCATACTCTAGGAAATAAGGCCAGACTGCTCTCTAGAAGGAATGATATTAAAGGCACATAATGAAAAGACAGGAAATACTGGAGAAGAAGCTGATTCTAGGGAAAATGGAAGGCAAAACGAAGAATGGCCGACCATGGCAAGATGGATGGATGATATTCTGGAGGTGACGGACTCAACCAGGGGGGAACTGAGGATAGTGACGGCTGACAGGAAGTTCTGGTGTGGGCTGGTTCATAAAGTCATGACGAGTTGGTTACCCAATAAACATCATACCGAGCAAACCCCCAAAATGGAACTTCATAACAAGCGATTGATCTAGAGACTACATTAAAAAGATTGAATTTGTGAGAAAGATGCACCAATTGTGAGTGACCAGACTTGACCACACAGTATTAAGTGCCATTTTAGCACTGCACTCTTTCTCTTGAATGTGAATATTAAAGGAGAGGCAAGGAGTCAGCGTCACACCCAAGTACCTGCATGAATTTACCACATCAATTGCCTCATCATCAAACTCCCATTTTTCACTTGACGACATTATTTTCTAAAAATCATAATTTTTGACTTATTCAGGTTAACTTCAAACCCCGTTTTTCATAGTAGCCCTTAAGAATGTTAATCTTATTTTGTAATTGAAGGGCGTTTTCACGTATAATAACAATGCCATCAGTGCACATATATACATATTTAAATAACATTTTCAACAACTTGTCCTCTCCCTCCAAACAATTAGGTAAATCATCCAAAAAAATTTTAAAAATTAAAGATAAAATAAAGGCCTCAGTAGTCATCTCTTGTCAAGGGCCTGCGATAGTTAGTAGTGGTTAAGGTGCCTCTCAGCTAGAAGATCTCGGGGTCGTGGGTTTGATTCCCACCGTCTGACATCTGGACTTTTTTCTGACACTTAAGGGGATTGGAGGTCGCAATGAAAATTGACACAGCACTCATCAATGAAAGGTGAGGGGCGGGATTGGATATCAGCGACCCTTAATTTTGTCCCAACCCTCTTGACAGGAGAAAAAAAGGAGCCTGGAAGGAGTACAATAAGTTGTATAGAGCTGCAGCGCTCAGGAGGAACTGGTATCCACTAAAATAAAACAAGAAAAGAAAAAATAATAATAAACTAGTTTAAAAAAGGCATCCCTGTCTGACAACACTGTTTATAATACTTATTGATTCTAGGTTTCTTATTATTCTTCTAGGTTTATTTAGTTAAATTTTGTACAGGGTACAATTTGTAGGTCTTGCATAGCTTTTTGTCTTTGTATACCAACATATTTCTACATATAGTAAGCATCAAATTTAAAAGAACATAATTTCATTGATAATTGGTTATAATTAAAATGAGCATATTAAATAGTTGCAAATACTTTAAATATTTGAAACAACAATAAAATAGGAATTGAACTGATAGCACACGAAAGTATAATATCAAAAGCCTCTGTAACTAAAAAATTAAATCCACAATACATTTGCTAAAAACAAAAGAAAAGAAAGATGATGGTATTACATACCTACATGCAGTTCATCTGAGTTTATACATTGATTATGAATGATCTTAATGTTAATGCTTCTTTTAAAAAATTACATATGTTATTGATTTCTATTTAGCTTGAGAAAGTTAATAAGCAACAGCAGATTCAAAAAGCTTTATTTTGCATTCCAAAGCGTCAGGCCTACCCGTAACGAAAATTTCTTTAACTTATTCTAGGACATGATTACACCTTTTAATAAAATGACTAGTTGCTTTATTGAAATAGGTAAACATAATTATTCAGATATTCAATTTTATCTTTGCCATAATAAAGGTTTTTAACTTTTCTGCATTTAGGGTATGAACAGAACACTACAACTTTGGTTTTTCTAATATTGACTATCAACGAGTTTTCCAGGCAGTTCTGGCACAAGTCAAAATTCATTAGGCCTCATTGTTTGAATTCATAAACAATATGTTGTTATTAGCAAACAGGAGGGTGAGTGTTGTTTATACTGCTCATAGTAGAGAATTCGGAAATTCTATTTTGTTCTCTTATATATTATTATATAGAATACTATAGTATATATAATGTTCTGTAAATAATAATACTACAATAGATACTACAGTAGGGGCGCAATAATCTGAACACAGCTAATCTGAAGGACACAATAATCTGAATGGTCATCCCTTTCACTAACGCCTAGCACCCATCTGGTTAACTGCCCAGGTCACCCATCCTAACGAGACCTTTGAAGATGGTACATTTTTGCTATGTTCTTACCATCCAAAATGACAGCTATGATTATGATTCAACCGATGGACCAGAGTGTAATCCGGAACACGAAATTGCGCTATTTAAAAACTTTACTCTCAAACCTTCTTGGGACGCACAAAGTGGAGTTGATCTGGTGGCAGCTTTACAGAGAATTAATTTGAAAGATGACTTTTGAATTTAGAAAATTGTTGGTAATCCATCTTACCAAATTTGATTTAAATGTCTTGGAAAAATCTTAGTCTGAACTAGGTTGCTGTTAATGATATCCCTCCATCTAACAAAAATGATAATTTAGCCCACTTGTCATTCAGTTGGCCTGAGGTAAAATGACCATAACTGAATCCGAGGTTCAACGATGGACATCAGGTGGTTGTGGTAAATAAATAACAAATCACGAAATTTTAACTGATGAAGAAAGAAGAAGAAGAAGTCAATGATGAATTTCCGCCTCCAACAAAATGTACTGCTGAAGCTTTAAAACTCTTAACATGGCCAATATTTGCTCCAAGAACAACCTAAAGAGCTATGAGAAAATCAATTTGCTGAAAAGCATAATACAGAGCTTTCGATCAGCACTTGGAAACCAGTGTTCAGAAGAAGTTGTTACTTGTTTACAACTACATAAATAATTGAAACTTGAAGTTACAATTCGCTGTATGTAAAAAGTCTGTAGGTAATCAAAAAAATTCCATTCAGATTATCATGACACTATTGTATGTTAAATATAATTTATTTCATGCTAGTCTTCCATATTAAAAAAAAAAGGTTTAAAAAATTTGTTAAAACATTTAAAATATTTTAAAAAAGTTTTATTGTATTGAAAATTAATTTGCTCCCTTTGTATATTTTATGTGTCCGATATTTATTTTTTAACAATCAACTTATTATGAAGTTCCGCAAAATTAGGATGGACACTGTCAAAAAATTTCCAATATTTTTTAAATTTATTTTATAAAATATTATAGTTTACCTACATTTTATGTCTTTCCGTAAATAAGGCAATCAGCCTGTATATGCAAATAAATAAACAACATGGATTATATACGGTGTAGTTTAAAAAATTCCCTGTTTTGAATTTTGGCGGCATTATTGAAACGAAAAATAAAAAGCTGTATTTTACTTTGATGGTCAAGAAAATTTGAATTTTGATGATATCCCATGTAAATTTTAACCATTTTTTTATATTTTGCCTGCTTATGATTGAAATTAAGCAATTTTTAAAGTTAACAAAGGGCTGCTGTTGTTTTTTTAATAGTCTAGATGTGTTTGTGAAGACTTGAGATTTTGGCGAAATATTTTTTTATTTTTAAATGGGAAATATTATATAGATGCTTTTCTTTTTACGTGACTGTTAATTTTTCTCTTAATTTTCTGTTTTTCTGCTTATTTATTTATATTTTTTTGTCATTTTCATGATTATTTTCCATGTTAAACCAGTCAAATTAAGATGTTAAACTTAATTATTAATTGTTTATTTAATTATTTATTAATTATTATCAAATAAATCGTATATCTAGGGAGCTTTTATTCGACTAAAAAGTAATTATTTAAGAGAGAGAGAGTGAGAAAAAAAGGAAACCTCTTTGTTTGAGTTGGGTGGCTTTTCCGGAGACGGTCTGTTTACTGACAGACGCCCTCTAAGCGAGCTGTATGGTGATATTCTTTCCAATTGAATAAAACACCCAAGTTTTTCTATTTTCCTTCAGTAAAACTTTTTTTTGTTGGAAAATAGAGAAAATCGTCGAATTGTTTAATTTCCACCTCGTCTCCCGGTCCGGCTTCGCCCTATTGATATACGTTCACGGGCCTGTTGGGTTTGATGGCGGCCGGACGACCGGTTCACTCGGCTTCTTTTTGGAAATGAATCGCCCAGTTTCTTAGCTGGTGATCTCGGAAATAGCGTTCCGAGAAATCAACACGAAAGGCGGTGAGTGGTTTAATTTCTTCAATTTTTAAAAAATAATTTTTATTTTCCCCCCTGACTTTTTTGGCCGAGAGTCCGGGGCGTATCGATTTGTGCCACCCTTTGGCTTTACTTTTATAGGTTGCCTTTTGTTCCTTCTGAGGTGTGGTCCGCCTTATATTTACGACTTACGGCCTTTTACCCTGAATTTGAACAATTTCGTCCGCATGACGTTTTTCCCTTTATTTATATCCGAGAGGCTCGGCTTATCTTAAATCGCGTCTCGTGAGCTTTAATCAGGCTTGGGATTCCTTCAAGGTGTCATACCTCAAGTGCGTTGAACTTTAATTTTAACATTATTTCTACGTTTTTCACCCTGCATTTACACACACAACGAAGGCCTCTATTTTTATAACCTGTCCTAATTAAACCTTGGTTTTGATTTCTGATCCTGTGAAATTTTTATTCTAACTTTAAAATATTACTTTTTCCAGTTGGCTGTGAAAATGTCTGGTGCTGGATCCAGTGGTACAGGTAGAGGCAGAGGTGCGGCATCGGTGCCAGAGACTGCAAAAACTGAGAGCAAGGAAGTAAAGCCAAATCCAAAAATGTCCAAAGCTTTGTCGACATCTGCCAAAAGGTGAGCTATTTCCCTTGACCATTTCCTTACACTTCGATGGGTGTTGTCAGGTAGTTAATCTTTTAGTTATAATAAAAATTACAATCTGTCTGTTCCCGTAATACTAAGGGACCATTTTGCTTAATAAAAGCCCTGTATGACTGACAGCACCCTGAACATTTTAGTGAAGTAGGTAAAGGAAGCCATTATTGAACAGCAGTGGATCGTCAACAACTGAAGTACTTAAGGTGGAACTTACAGAAACAATCATATTGTTTTTAAATACAAATCAACTAGGATGCCCAGAAGATACAACCACTTACTTCTCTTCTTGTTGGCCTATCTTTTTATCTAAAAAACAGCACCACCAAGACAAAAATTAAAATAAATGTTGTTGTTCTTGGTCTAAGAGATCGTTATGTATAATGAAAGTCTATGCGTAATCAACAGCTCCATGAACCTTTTGTAGTAAACGAGGCACTTGACAATACATGTGATAACCTCTGTCACAGTCAATACAAAACAGATTTGGATTGTCATTGTCTGAAGTGTCGCAGACAGAGAAACTTATTTTTTTCTCATAGAAACAATCATATATGCCTGGAATGTACCACATCTTGGCGGATTTTTTGTTAGAGACAGTTAAGATAAAAATCACAATAATATGACAGTTTCATCCTTGGCATTTCATTTTACTCCATTTATACATATTTTTCCTTATAAGGGTTGAAGTGAGGTTAGCTGATATTGATTTATCCTAATTAGTGGTCGATCACAATTTTTACATAATTTTTATTCTTTTTTTCCCCCATGGCTCTTTACTGCCCCCCTTTCTTGGGTTGGGGTGAATCTGTTCAGTTTCATTCCACATTGACGAGTGTTTATTGCCTTTTTTTCCTATTTTCTTTTTGCGATGTCATGTTCTTTATGGCTGAGCTCTGGTACTTCAGTTCCCTCATTGGGGTCATAAAAGTGTTTTTGGCCTATCTTATACCCAAAATTGAATAAGATTTCTTTGAAGTAATATTTAATTTAAAAGATTTATTCAAGCTTTAGTTAAACAAGTTATTCGCATAAAGAAAGGAAAACATTAGTACATCCCATAATGTGGGACAGAATTTCAATTTTCTTCCTTATGGGCAGTAGATAGCTTTAAACTTTTATTTTCTTAGGTTAGCTGCATTGTATATGTTATATATGTAAACAAAATATTTATATGATAGGATTTCTTTCTTCTGGGTCTTATAGCATTTATATTTTTTCATATATTCCATTCCATGTAATCCTAATAATGATATTTTACAGTCAGATACGATTTATTATTAATAAATCACTCAATTGTTGTAAGTGCCTGTTCGTTGGATCAGTGCTAGTCTCCCCCCCCCAGCCTGATTTGCATAACTCAAAACAACTAAGAATTCTATTGGAATTACCATTAATGAAATTTAATGAGATCCTTAACACATTGACTGCAGAGCTTTTTACAGCAAAATGTTTCCTCAACCTGAATAAGGGGAAGGAAGCAATGAAAAGGTCACTCGTCCTACATGCGTGAGCGAGTCACCCGAGCAAGTTAGTGTTCCATAGTCAACTCGCTAAGTTCGATGCTGTAAAGCTAAATGTTTTTGAGCTTGTATTTTGTACTTAAAATACAAATGCCCAAACATATGATTTTTTCAGGGTCAAAATTTGGCTTTGTTATAAGCCAAAATTTGAGATATGAGCCAAAGTCACAACCTCCACTCAGCTTAGATTTTCGCTGCTCTGCCAAATTGTTTACTTCTTTAGATTCTGCTTTTCACATACATATGTTTGTGTGGTAAATATTGCCTTTCAACAAGTAGTGAAAGTTCTCCCACCTTTTATGCACACACCTTTGGCAATTTATCTACGTCTAAAATAAAACTTTTAAAAAATGTCAATATGGGTTTTCCGGCTCTTTTGGCCTTGTACTGGACTACAGAAAATGAATCATTGTGTCTGGAACCTTGTCAATAGCAGCAGCCAGTTGTTTCTTGAAAGAAGAGGCATAGGACTCGGAAAAAAATGCGTAATGTTTAAATCACAACTATACCAGGCAATGACTGATTGTGCCTGGAGCAGATTGAAGCAGGGACAAAACATTTGACTTGGTCGGTGTAGTTTATCACCACTTGAACGAACCTATACTAAAACGGTCATTCCAGTTTCCATTATCCAGCTTGTTTTGACTAATCTGGTGTATTTTGGGCCTTATTTTATTTATTTATTTTAATTATTAATGAAAATTTACCTTATCAGTTGATCATTATAATTTGAATAATGAGAAAAACCTTTTTAATCTTGATTAACTTATAGAAATGAAAATTACCTGTTTTTGATATTGTACTTACCAGTAAAAAGGTGGAGTTCAATCTCAGCAAGCCAAATACGGAATCGAAATATAACTAGGCTTGAATTTGTTAATAATTAAATTTAATTGTTTAAGAAAAGACACTATGAATTAAAAAAAAAAAATCTTCAATTGCAGGATTCAAAAGGAGCTTGCTGAAATCACGTTAGATCCTCCTCCAAACTGCAGGTAAATAATTATTACTTTTATGCATGTTGTATTTATTTGATCATTTCAGATCATCTTGGTCTCCGTAGCTGTATATTTTAGTTTGCTGTTCACCAAATTTGGCAAAATGCTGAAATTTTATCTAATCAAAACATATGGTGAGAGTGAGTTAGATCAGTTTTAATATATCATGATTGGCTTGTATGATAGTACACCAATGAAATGATAGTTAACAGAAGAAAATTGATTTGATCATTACTGATATTTTGATCTGTCTATTCTCCCTTATTTGGTACACAAAGAGAGAATTGATTAATAAATCAGTGTTTAGATTCTGCCTTATATTGTTGTATATAATATTAATTTTATTCAGTATAATAATTTTGTAGGATGACTCCAGGTCATGTTAAAAAATAATTTCTTTTTGTATAGTGCGGGGCCTAAAGGTGATAATTTATATGAGTGGGTGTCCACAATTCTTGGTCCTCCTGGCTCGGTCTACGAAGGAGGAGTATTTTTTTTAGATATACATTTTTCACCCGAGTATCCGTTCAAGCCACCTAAGGTAATTAAGATTTGTTTTAATCTTTTTGTAAAATGTTAACGTTTCCTTTGACACCAGGTCACATTCCGAACTCGAATTTACCACTGTAACATTAACAGCCAAGGTGTTATCTGCTTGGACATCCTCAAAGATAACTGGTCACCGGCTTTAACTATTTCGAAAGTCTTATTGTCAATTTGTTCACTGTTGACTGACTGCAATCCAGGTTCATAAAGATATATATTTTTTTTTTTAAGGATCGTTTTATGATTTTTTTGTTTTTTCTACAGCTGATCCTCTAGTAGGAAGTATAGCAACTCAGTATCTTCAAAACAGGGAAGAACACGACCGCATAGCCCGACTGTGGACAAAACGCTATGCCACGTGATTTAACATGGTCTGTTTGTATTATCAACATTACCTTGTCATCGTAGACCTTGGGAAAACCAATCTAGTTCCTGCTAATGTGCTCACTGTGCTCTCTACCTCTTTTTATTTGTCACTTATATAATTTAATAATTATTTCTCTTGTTTCGTATGTCAGGGCAGAGTAATGATTACAAAGAAAAATTTGCCAATTATAAAGCTGTGGTTTTCCCATTGTCCAAAACACAAACAAAAAAAAGATAAAAGATAAAATTAAAAAAAAAATTGTACTAAGCTAGATAATTGTGTTTGTTCTCTTCCCTTATTGTTTACAACTGAACTGTATCCATCTAGTTCTATTGTTTTTTTGTTTTGTTTTTTTCTTATTTCCTCTGAAACAACTTTCAATTTTTGTGTATTGTGTTGCAGAGGTGAAGAATTTTTTTAATTCGTAGGAAGTCATGGATAATTTAAAAAATATTGTGATTTAATAATGTAAAAGGGAAAAAATTGAATTGACACCATTTGAAAGTCAGACTTTGTGTAATATATAACTAGGTTATAGATTTAATTTTTTATTACATTTTTCTTTTAGTTGTACAATATTTGAGTATTCAGAAAAAAAAATTCAAAATGATGTTTTCCCCCAAAATATATGTGAACGATATTTTATCCATTTATTTTTATTTTAATCACTACTTAGTTCCTTTAAAATAGGTTTATAAGATAAATTCTGAAGAATGCAATTTAGCCCAGAGTGTTAGAACAGAGATAATTATATTGTACAATTAATACGTCTAAGTGTAAATAATGTTGGTGTGTCTTTGTGAAAGACAGTCTTTTGTTGGTTGTGGCTGCCTAGGAAGCGTAAACGAGATAATTTTTATTTAAAGTAGTCAAATTTGGCTACTTTACATTGTACATATTTTGCCTGTACGTTAGTTTATCTTGTGAACGAGAAAAAGTTATTCTTCCAAACTCCAGTCTGTATTACAATAAATTCCCCCTCATTATTTTTTTCTTCCAATTAATCATAATTGTTTGTAATTATAAGTTGTCTAATGTTTCTATATCAATGTAGGTTGCTCATTGCAGCTTGTCTAAGCTACAATTATTACAGAAACCGGAGATTTTATGTACATGCGTATTAAGACATGTACATCAAAACTTTTTCAAACAGTAAACCTTTACAAATTGTTCATGTAATTGTCATAATCTCTTTTTATGATAGGACAACCAATGGAGATCACCATCATCTCAGATATTTACTTTTCTATATAGTGGTAATGCCTAATATCTATACTACCACAGACTGTATGATCGACCAGTGTGTTTTATCTTTCCTAAAGTAGTTGAATTACTTTACAGCTAGTAATGAGAATTTTATGTAACATCACAATTCAGATTTCAAGGGAATAAAATTTAGTTTTGTGTGAGTACTTTTCTTGTATAAATTTATAATAGTAAGTCGTACAGTTTGATAATTAAACATTAGAAAGACTTGAAAGTAAAATTTTGCATTTCCTAGCATTAATTATCTTGAGGAGGCACAATTGGTCGGTCAATGGTACAATTTAGTTGAATTGTGATGGTATTAAGAATCTCAGATGAGCAAACGAAATGGATTGTGCAGTTATGAGCAGTAATAGTAAAACAAATTTCATTGAGTGATAGGAGGGCATATTTTGTAATATTGTGGACTTTCTGAATTCTCGTTTGATTTATTTACATATTGGTGCTAGGTAGAATGATTGGGCACGGCTCAAATGTGAACAGAATACTAAGGTTTCCTAAAATTAATATTTCAAAAGTTATGGTTGTTTAAATCATTTTTAAGTCTGATGTAGAGATAAGAAATTTCTTTGCTTCCTTTGTAGAAAGAAAAAACTGAAATCTTGTGTATAAAAATATTTTTTGGCGATAGTAATCACAATAAAAGGAGATTTGGTTTAATGTGTTTTCCTTGATAAATTTTGAAAGTGATAATTTTATACATCTTCAAATAATTAAACAGATGCAGTAGAGTCGTTTCATGAGGGGGGAAAACATCTGTTGTGATATTTTGTCCAAATCGATGGGTAAAAAACTACCTGCAAAAGACTATATACACCCAATTGCAAAATTTGAAGAATTTCTTGAAAAGTAGGAGGCGAGCCATTCCTGTCAATTTGACAGGAGTGTATTGCATATGTCCTAGTTCCATATCAATGTAAATTAGTCTACTTACCATTTACATTTGTTTATATTAAAAATGCTAAAACTGTATATTTAATAAAAATACAATTTGAAATTATTTTGTCTTTTTCATTGTTTATACATTATAAATTATTTTCCAAATTAAAGTTCGAGCACGAAGTATTTTGAATGTGATGGTGGGTATCAGAACATGTTTGAACTGGAAACAGTAATATATATATTATGCAGGGTGGGCGACCAAGACCCGAGGGGTTAAATGCTTGGGTACTCGTACCCCATCCCTAAAAGGTCTGGGACTTGGTCGCCTCATGGGTCTTGCATAAACCTCTTGGACTGTTCACAAACCCCAAGATTTTGGACCATTTAATCTCGGGGAGTGATTTGGTGATGTCCTCTCCTTCAAAAGTCTCAAATCTAGATCTACCGCACTCTGCGAGGTAGTGCCGTGCCATTTCTTCTTTTATTTCACAAAAACGGCAATAGGGGTCTGGTAGAATACCCATTACGAAGAGGTGTCTTCTCAGTGGGCAATGGCCCGTCAGGATACGTATCAGCCTCCTAATTCCCTTCCTTGAATTTATGGAGAATAGCCATTTCGATTCTACTGGTTTGATCTCCTTAATGAAATCCTTCGATCTGGGGGTTCGAATCCAGCGGCCCTGCATTCGAACCCGACGTACTTACAAATGGGCTTTTTTTTCAAAAACACCGGCACACTAACCTTCCATCTCTACCCGGCTCATGAGTTCAAATCCCACTCGTGACACTGACTTTTTTATCTCAACAAATATCTTACATAAATAATTAAGGTTTTTAGTTGAGATAAAAAAAGTCAATGGCACGAGCGGGATTCGAACCCACGATCTTCGGTTTAATACGCCGCTTTGAGATGGGAAGTTGGTGTCCAAGTGGATCGAGGTCATGATAGCTCAAGTAGTAGAGCAGCGATCAAGCTGAAGATCGTGGGTTCGAATCCCGCTCGTGCCATTGACTTTTTTATCTCAACGAAAAACCTTAATTAATTATAATATATTAATTGGTCAAGCGACCACGAAATTAGTAGTGAATTTGAATCTTACATAAAGATTAATTTGTGAGAATAGTGAAATAAGACCTAAGAAGGGGTTTTATATTCTTGGTCAGTATATCTAAAATGTTCTCTTCCAGTCCTTGCAGCCTGTTTCAGATTTTGAATTAAACCTTCTTTTTTCTTTTTTTTTTATAGAACTTTTTTATGCTTCCCCTGAAAATCAATAGTTTTTTTTTTTAATATTTTGCACGATAAATGTGATTTTACATAAAAATCCTTCAAACATGCAATATTCGTCAAATAAGCAAAAATACGCTCTATAAAATTGAACCTATAGCTTCCTAGATACATGATGTGAATAGATAATTGATTTCCTCAGTTGTAACGGCAAACAAAATGTGCAACTGCATAAAAATCCTCATAGTGGTTCTAAGATGGAAAAATAGTTGGTTTTGGGTAGTTGGCACCGGAATCAAATAAAATATCCATCAATACAAAATTTTTAATTACATTTTAAGAACAATTTTGATACAAAAGGGTTACGATTAAAGTAAACACAGCTCTCACAAATTAAGCAATAATTGTGAGTGTCTGACAAATAAATATCACTTTGAATGGTCTAAATGCCAACATAATAGATAAGATCCAAAAATTCCTTATACTAACACCATCTACTACCATACCACAAAAATATGAGTCCAGTATAAAATGTTAGTACACAAAACTGTATTCTTAGACCTAATTGTTTTTTGTTGGTTTTTATGATAATGTAATGCTAAAGGTTTACAATAACGTTGTTGAGTTGAGATTCTATTTTAGATGTATAATGATGTATCACTTAGATCTGGAGTGTTTCAGTATTTGTTAACTACAATAACGTGATAAGGCGAACAAGATACAAATGTAAAAACGTACTGACACATTCATGAAGGCATTTAATAAAACTGGTCAACGATTATTCGGCTGTTACTCTCAGCCAAAACAATTCGCTATTGCACACATCTTAAAATTAGAAACTTATTTTGATTCTTATCAGGTAAATAACGAAAACTTTATTGACTAATAAATCCTAAATAAGTCATAATAAAAATAATATCACCATAAGTACAGTACAAAAAAACAAAACAAAACAAAAACAGCCAACTTAAAATTAACTTTGGTATAATAATACTTCAATTATGCGTACGTTTTGAACACAAGGTTTTTTTCCAATGCGGTAACATTGAACAAAAGGGTAAAATGCTTGTAAAAATGGAAGAACACAAAATACAGTATGATATACACCTCACACTGTTTCATATTTGCGGATTGATCTAGACATACAACAAGCGAAGATGACACCGATAAACTGAAACAAACAAAAAATTAATAAATTGATCAAATTTAATATCAGAATATCCGGAGTGCATACCTGGATGAATCCAACGAGCAGTCCAAAAATAATGATCCCAAAGACATTATGCTCCAAAGTACTTGCAAGAGCAGGAAGACAACCGCGTTTGCTCACTTTTGCCCTACTGTTGCCTTCTGCACAGTCTTCACCCATCGGCAGTAAAGGACAGCAGGTGGGTGGAAGCGAACCGTTAGCATTCCTCTGTTTGAACCAGTCGGTGAATGAGTTGACGCCACAGCAGGAGAACTGAAACACTTTTCTGTCAACGGAGCACAACAACAAATACAAAACTATCTACATCAAACTGAAGTGCATTCCAAGTCTTCTTGTGGTAGATGTTGGTTTTCGATAAGGACAGTGAATGGTTCATCTTCATTTCCAACATTTGGTTCAGATCATCCTTCTTCATATAACCTGCTATCCCACCGACAGCCTCCATCACAAAAATCAAACAGAGCAATCCAGCAAACTGGAAAAAAAGAAATGTATTTGACACTTAAGGTCTGACCTCTTAACAATTCCATTTGCCAAATCATTTATACAAATTAACTAAGTTAATATTCATGAAATTTCAATAATCAATGCGAGAAATAATCTTAAAACTTGAAAAAAAGATTTCATGTTTATTTACTTCAATGAAATAGACAGTGACCCTGTAACGTCTGTATAATCAGAAATATTAAATAGTTTAAGAGAAAACTACTACTACATCTTTTATCACAAATTATTTTATGTTGTGCTCCAAAATTATGATATAAAAGTAAGTAATTCCTGGGGGCTGCGATAGCTATGTCAGACTGCTCATAAATATGTGGTCATGGGTTCAATTCCCACCCAGTAGGTGAGTGAGGACACCCATTGGCCCTGAACCCTTTTGTGGCTTACCAAACTGCCAAAATAGCGGGACCATTAGACAATGGATTAATAAAAATGTTTAATAAATAGGAATGTAGGATGTGAAAAAATTTATCAAAGGACCATTGCAGAAACTAACAGCAGAACTACTAAATCTAGGACGTGCTAGGGCTAGAATAATAGTTGGACTACTAACTGGACACTGCAGACTCCGGAGCATATGTACAGACTAGAAGAGGCAGAAACAAGCCTGTGCAGATATTACCAAGAAGAAGAAGAAACAGTTGAACACATCCTCTGTTGGTACAAAGTCCTATGTAGGCTGAGATTTGTAATTCTGGGAGAGGTAAAGCCAGGGCCTGAAGGAACACACAGGAATCCTTGAAAAAGTTTGGTGGTCAAGCCTCAAGCTTAAGGAGGAGCTCTATTAAAAAAATTGAGATGGACAATAGACTAATACTGGTCACAGCGAACAGGTTGTAAAGAGGCCAGCTCCTATATAATCTAATCCCCCTCCCCACGAAATATAATAACTACTGCTCATATACATATGAACTCAGGCTGATAGAAGAAACATAAGGTCAATAAAAAAATAATAAAGGAGGGCTTAACATCCATGTTTGGTGTCACACCATTTAATAATACTTTCTTTTTTCTTTTTTTAAATTATGCTCAACTAAAATTCCATAGGCTATGTCGGGATTTGAACCCAAAACCACTAGCAAATACGAGTCTGAATATTTTCTGGTCATCTTATCAGGTACATTTATTTTTTCTAATAATTCTGAGCAATAAATTAATTGGTTTATTTAAATAACACTATGACATCACAGGTCATTCTTAATGTAGGAGACAACCTCGAATCTATTTTGCACAATTTTTTACATAAAGTACAGCAAATTTTCTCTTGTTTTCTATTAAAACAAATATAAATTATATTAACTGCAGTTGAACATATGAAATTGATAACATATAATATTGTCTACACACCCTGAAATATCACATCTAGATAATATTGATGGTTGGTTGGTTTGACTGATTTTTACACATATTAATTCTAACTGCAAAGATTATTCTAGACTCTCCACAGCTAGAAAAAAAAGAAACATAGTCTAATGCTAAAATGAGTCCCACACGGCCATTAGGGCATTTCAAAGTACAGGCAACAATACAGCATATTATACTAGGTAAGTAAAAAGGAAGTCTTGGAACCACTCATAGGCCCAAATCCATTCCGTGCCATAAACTACAGTTATATTAAACAATAAATGAAATCTTGGGTAAGTACAGAACACAAAAAATACTGGAAGTGAAAAATGAGGCATGTGACAAGCAAAAAGACTACTCGCAAAAACAATCCAATATGACAACAGAACAGAAAGAAATTAAAAACTGGTATATGAACAGGAAATGCTCCTGTAGAGTAGCACCTTAAAAAAATTGGACAATCAACATGTGACCAATGTCGATTAGGTCTAAATAGACAGAAACGACGGAACATGTCCTATGCAACTACGCACCAAAAGCGAGACAAAGGCAATGACACCTAGGAAAACCGTTCTTGAGCAATTTAGACCTCGATACCTTACCCCTTCAAAGGTCTAAGGCTGCCTGTACCTATGTCCGTTTCCGGAATGTGATCTCATGTTAGGAACATGATACCTTACCCCTGAGAATTCCCTACTACATAAAAGTAACGAAAATCCATTAGCAAAGATCACCACAACAGACAAGGGTTAAAATGAGAGATCCCTATTACTACAATTGGGAAAAAACAGCAGTTTTAAGTAAATTCATAACTAGACGTAACAGTTTGCAGAGGTGAAGTTTCAGCATTTCTCTATCACCAGGGTGGGTTTGAATATTGACAGTTCCTTATTGCAATTTTATAATTTAATAAATTGTTTCGTTTAATATTAAAATATACTGTTTTGAGTTAATAGTACTTACGGTCATTAGCATGTAGTTGCTTTCTTTGATGGCGCCGCAGCAGCCGAAGAAGGCGACTATGAAGATGAAGATGCCGATTATGATGAATATGAGCGACAAAGAGAACATCTTCTCTTCCATGAGGAAGGAGTAGTTGGAGAACATGTTCTGAACCATGATCCCAACTGTCAGGATAACTATTCCCGATATCTAAAAGAGAAACGAAAAAGCATTTAAAAAAAAGATCAAAACTTTATTATAACGCTAACTCACCGCGAATAACAAATTAAAAAGAAATAGGAGATATTTGATGCAGCTCATCCCGATCGAGTCCATTTTTTATGGATTCCCGGCGACGCCTTTTACCGGTGGATACGTTCAATAATCAACAGCTAAACTGACCAAGACGAAAGGATTCGCCAAAATTTGACTTTAATATTGAAATTCTCTCATAATTACAGACCCCAAATTGTTCATCGGGGGGTAAACCAGCCCTGTTTATGAGTCTGCCAGGTTGTCAAAACGCATAAGAGTCGAGGAATGAGATGCAGTGTTGAATGTTGATGAGCATGTCAGCCTGCATATTGTTGATGTTCATCCAAAATAAAACATTGGTTAAAAAAGTCTTAATCGATGGCAAGAAGTAAATTTAATTAAATTGATTTTTTAAATTATTATTTCAGTTTGGGGGAAATACGGCGTGGGGGTGAATTCTGATACGGATCGATAATAATAGACAAAAATGTCCAAAATATTCAAGAAATTCAAATGATCTTAAAGACTGAAACAAAATCAACTTGTAAATTCATGTCTACATAATAAAAAACTTACTCTTCTAATTAACTTCTACATTTTTAATTAAAAAGAAAATAATGCTAACTGTAATAGCCAAAAGACAAATAAAATTCCTCAATGACTTTTTGTATTATTTAGACAGTTAAAAATTACATTTCTTTGTAGGATTTATTTAAAAAAAATACAGTTGGGACGTTTGTGATCCCTCTTTGTGACGATTGTCCACAAAACGATTGACTCCCCTCTGTTTCATTTAGATTTAAGATCACCGGCGTAGCGCCTTTTCAACCTTTTCAACGACTTCCCTAATCGCTTCGTATTACTATTTCATAAATTGTACCCTTCTTTTGGAATATTCCATAATGAATTTATGATACATTTTCTCTTCATGGAATTGCTGGAGTCGACGCAGATTTTAGAAACCTCTGACAAAACCCTGCCAGATCTCAACGACAAAGTGGTGAGTGTTAACAGACTTTTTTTCCATACCAGTTCCTTTAAAGAATTCAAACTCATTCAACAAATTTGGTTTTATTTGGCAATTAATAGAATCGGACTAGTAAGCAAAATAAACTAGACATTTTACTTATAAAAGATTTACATTTGTTATCAGTGTTTTGTACTTTATATTTACATTGGTTGTCTCAGAGATGATACGATTTTTTTTTTAAATTGAACATTAGAGTCATACATACATCAACAATAAACAATACACAAATGTATATTGATATTTGTTTTAATAGAGGATAACATAAAATAGCAATACTTATGGAGAAAAAAGTATAAAGTTTACTTTTGTTGTTATGTTTTAATCAATAAATATTTCACCTAAGTAAATTGATAAGACTTGTTTGTTATGATTTCGTTTAAACCGAATCAAATGTGAAAAATCAGAAAAAAAACATTTTAATCCATAATTAATAAAACAAAAGATATAAAAAAAAGTTTATTTTTGACAAATAGTCAAGCATAAAGTGCGTTTCAATTAATTATGCTTTTATCTAGTCTTGGTTGAGATGAAAAAGCTAGTGTCATGAGCGTTATTCGAACCCACGACCTTTGGCTCAATACGCCGCTGCTCTTACCACTTGTGCTATCGTGACTTCGATCCACTCGGACACCAACTCCCCATCTCGACCTACAATCTTTCGAATATGCTCTCTTTTTGTCATATTTTCAGCCAAAAACCCGGTTAAAAAAATTAATTGGAATAATTAATAAGTCAGTTATGACCACTAAGCAAATATGGATTATCTTACATGTATTTCGTATTATTTCTATATTATTATTTGTATTATTTTAACCAATTGAGCTATGTTAGAGTAGAGGTGTATTGAGCCGAAGGACGTGGGTTCAAATCCAGCTTGTGACACTAGCTTTTTCATCTCAACCAAGACTTTATAAATTATAATTTAATGAAATAATTAAATACAGTCAATTATGACCACTAAACATAAGAGTTAATAACATAACAGTTAATAGCAACATAAGAGTTGCTTTGTTGATATTTTCAAGATGTTTCAAATTTAATCTCTACCGAGAGAAATATATTTCATACTGTTTTTGCCAGCCGTGTTAGATTCTATTTTTATGGAATGCAGTCAAGGAGTCAGCCTGGGAAGAATTTTTTTTAATATATTGTTACATACTCTGATTAAGGTGTTTTTTATTCATTTGAGGTCGAAAAACAGGAATTGTTTATTACTGTATATAAAATTTAGACAAAGAAAAGGCAGTACTGTGATATGTGCTCTTATCTCTGTCTCTTCTAGACATAATTGACATTGGTCATCTGTTGATAGTTCCATTTTTTTAAGGTAGTACATTAATTGCTTAAAGTGTTAAATGTATCGACCACTGTTCCACTGATGAACAATCTGGAGTTCATCTTGGTAAAAAAAAAAAATCAGTTGTTACTGCCAAGTTTTAACTTTGTTTAAAGTCATCATCAAGGCAAAACTATCTTAAATATGTCTACAAATCAATGGAATTAAATTTTTAATAGATGGTTTGAAGACAATTTTTCATTACTTTGAAGACCGACTCAATCCCAACATTTACAAGGACTGTAACACTATTTCTGCACAAATGTATTTTTTTGATCTGTAAATATACAAGTTTTTTCATTCTTTTCTGTTAAGTATGGTGGGTTGTTTTTGCAAGTAGTCTTTTTGCTTGCTTGGTTTATGCTCCCAGTATTTGTCGTGTTTATTAGTTAACTAAAATTCCAGCTCTTTCTTCATGTGGCTATAGTTATGTCACAAAATGCATTTGGTCTATGAGTGGTCCCAACGCTCCCTTTTCACCAAATATCTGTTTCCCCGTCACCAGAAATTCCTAGGTTTTAGGGAATTTAAGCTGTTCCAGACAAATTTGGAACATTTGAAAATTGGGTCCCAGCTAGAGGGTGTCTTCTATGAGGACCTCAAGTTGGTAACGAACAGCTTGTTCATTACAAAGTAGAAGAATAGCCTGTGATACCATAGTGTTATTTAAATTATTAAACCAATTAATTTATCATTTATCATTGTTAGAAAAATAATCAGTATAAATGTAGCTGATAGGAGAATCAGAAATACTAATTTATTTCGTGAACTAATGCATCACACATACTACTTGCTTAATAAACCAATAAATTCTTTAAATATGTTTGAGTCATAAATAATGTATAAAATTTCATCAATGTAATATTTTGTAAAACTTTGCTATTTGCCTTTAATAAAGCTATTGTAATATATGAACCTAACAATATAAACCTCAGAATATATAATACCACACAAGGTAGCAAAATGCCAAAACTTCACATTTGCTAACTGCTAAGTCTTTTTTGTTGTGAATTTATTTGAACTGTACAATGCATTCAACTGTAAAAATATTATGTTTTTATTAATAGAGGAGAAGAAAAAATTGACAATATTTTATTTAAAGTTTAATTATTATAATTTAATTTGTAACTTACAATAAATACAATCTTGAATCTTTTTATATTGCAAACGAGAGAATAATGAAGAAATAATTAACCAAAAAGTCAGCATATATCCAAACTGGACATAATTGTTCTATTGTCAGTTTAAACTGTTTAAATCAGTCATATTTTATTGTGAAATTGCTTGTTTCTGCAGGGTGATGACTGTTGTCTGACAGAATAAAACAGCAAGGATAGGCAGAAAAGGATTTTCCAAAACGACCAAAATACAAATAAATATTAATATGACTCTTGAAATATTATAATTTATATTACAAGGAAAAGGTGGCTGGACAGCTTCTAGATTTATCATAGATGCACTGATGGGCCACTCTTGAAATTGTCACTATTGTCTTACTGTTTGAAATACGTATGAACTTTGTCGACAGTTCTGCTACTTTATCAATTTTTTCAGCTAGTTTATTTCCTTCGAATCCCTTGTGTTTGGCAGCCTAACATTATTTTTTACAAATGTTGGAGAAGTGTAAAACATTAAATATCCATTCAGGCTGGTCAGTTTTCAATCACTTCTTAACTACAATTTGCAAACAACAGTCAATTGCAGTTTGAAAAATTAAAAAAAAAGAGGATAAATTTTGTCCTTTTACCCTAGTTTCCACACTTTAAATCCCACCTTTTATATTTTGGAGTTGTATTCTTACAAAAATTCAAATGAAGTTTTGTGTTCAAATCACGTGTTCTTACTTTTCTTGTCAAATTGAATATAAAATATATATTTTCGTTTACATTTTGCAGGCAGCAGTGCTGACCATCAAAGATGAGAAACATAACATTTTTTACACTGAAAATTCCATTGGAAGGGATTCAAGTTGCAACATTGTTATCGTCGACAAGGTACAATCGTTGAACAAAACTTATAACATAAATGATAATTCATCTATTGTTTAGACAATATCTGCTAGGCATGCAGTCATTGAAGTCGAGGATAAAGATTCACATTTTATCTATGATTTGAACAGTTCAAATAAGACAAAACTTGGAAAGGTGAGTTACTGGGTTATAAATTGTGTACCTGGTTGGTTGTTTTTAATTCTTTTATTTTTTATAGACATTTCTGAAACCAAACGTAAGGTATTTAGTTCATGATGGTGATGAGTTGTTATTTGCAAATATAAAAGCAATTTATACTTATGTAAGTAATTAAAAACAAACATGTTATGTAAAAATTTGATTTTTTTTTAATAGCTACTGTTTTGGATAGGCAAAAGATTCCAACAAAACTGCTGATTTAGAAGGTAATATTAACACACAAAAAATACAAGCAATTCAATTATTTGTCAATAGTAAATAGATATTTTGTTAATTATTAGATGACACTACACAGTTGATTTGTATTCCTGAGACTCCAGAGAAGGATGATAGCAAAATTATTATTGCAGAAACACCTGCCAGGGTAAATGTATTTCATTTATTAATTAAATTTGAATAAATAATTATAAATATGGGGACTATGACTAAAGACCTACAACACTGACTCAATTTGGGGGGGGGGCATCCTACAAGTTTCTAAAAACAGGGTTTTCTAATGAGGTGCGTTGTTCTGGAGCAACATCCGTTTATATGTCATTCCAGAACATGCCCTTAATGAACATGTTAAGAACTATAGACATGTCTACTATGGTTGCAATAATAATGGTCTAAACGCCCTACACTCTTTTCCTTCCTTCATCATTTTTAGGTAGTGGTAGTACATGGAAGCTGACAATTCATTCTAATAAGAAATATATAAATATCCACGAAAACAGTTTTCATATGAATAAAAATTAAAAATTGTATGTAAAAATAAAGTAATCATGTACTCAGAACTTAGATTTTCCTCTCTTTTAAATTTATCACATACACAAATCAAATTGCTTTATTTGTTAAATTTTCTGTTTTTTTATCATCATCATCAGGGTTGTGCAATATTGAATCAGAATCTAAATTTGTCATTTAGCTCATATAGGCAAATAAATTTAAGGAGATGCTATCTTCCAAACAGAAAAGTTTCCAAAGTAAACAGTGATATATTTTCTTTCTTTAACATAGCATACAAAGATATATCTGCTTTTCCCTCATTTATTATGTACATATAGTTACTATTTTATTTCTTTTAAGTGCGCTCGTTTTTGTTTAATAGAAAGGATCACCTGATGAATGCGAAGATTCAGATGTTGATTTATTTCAAGAATCTCCTCCTCCAAGTGCCATAAAAATACAAGACAGTACATTTTTTAACCCAGAAGACAAAGGGAGAAAACAAGGTTGTCTTTCCATCTATGATATCGCAACACAAAGTATCATACAAGGCGAAGAGCATGAGCAAATCGAAGAGACAGCATACTCAAACATTGATGATACCATGACAGAGGATTTTGCAAAGGTAGGCTTTCATAAAAGAATTGACAGTACACGCTTTAAAGAAGGAAGATCGGATGTACCAAAAACAAACATTTACATGGAAGAGACTGAAGAATTTGCAATTGAGAAAATTTCTAAAAAACTAAGTTTATTTGATGAATCAGAAAGGGAAAATGAAAAGAAACTGAATTTAATAAATAGTAGTAGGACAGAACAAGCTTGTCAAAATGTAACTAATAACAAAGAAACAAGTTTATCTGACGCTAAAAAAATAAATGAACCAAAAGTTAAAGAAGAACCAATAGAAAACAAGAATTCACAGGATTGTGAGTTAATTTTGTCAGAGTGCATAGAATTTAATAATCATAACATTCAAAGAAAAATCGACAATTTAGATATTAGCGTAGGATCAACAACTTCAAAACTTCACGGACTTTCTATCATGGATAACAGAAATTCATTTGAGCCAAATGATAAGGAAAACTCGATTGATGATCTATTCATCCCATCTCAAGAATTTCCAAGAAAAGATGAGTGTACGGAAAAATTTCAATTACACATGTCTGAAAGTTTTTTTATCTGTACTTCTCATGAGAAAATGGTTAGTGAAAACAATTTAAAAAGTGAACAATTGGTAAAAGGACAATTTAAAGACACACCTTCTGTCTTTACTATAACTGTCCAAGATGAACCTATTCAGAGCCAAAATTTTGAAATTAAAGATCGAGGAGATGATGAAATCAGGGACACTAAGATTGGTGAAAAAATTCCCGAATTGTGTGAAGAGAAAAGCTTTGTTAACAAAGCATTGGTCGAAACAGTAATTTCAGAGAAAAAGGACAGTTTTCAATCTAATGCCAATAATACACTCAGTCAGTATGTAAATAGTTTAATAGAAAAAGACATAAACAATGTATTTTCTGAAGAATTATTCCAAAATTCTCAACAGTTTTGTCTTGTGAAAGATATAATTGAAAATGAAGCTCAGAGTACAGAAGATATAGTTGTTGAAACTTTCGATAATGACAAGCTTCAAATAGGAATCAAATCCACAATAAAACAGGAAGTAACAACCAAATGTCTCAAATTCGATGATAGTTCATTGGATGTTTTTGGAAGTCAGAATAGCGCAGGTTCGCAAAGAAAGGTTGATAAATTCAAATCTGATTATCAGGAAAAAGGATCAGAAGAGAACACTTTTAATGTTGAGACAAAGAAAAAAGAAGTGTCAACGGCTAGTGTTACAGAAGAGGACACATCTTTAGAAGAGTTTGAAGGCTTTGAGGAGGGCATTGCAAAAATTAATAATACAAATAGTTTTAGGATTATGAGTGAAATTAATAATATTCCTTTTAATTCCATCTCTAATGAACAATCTACTATTAAAGATCAAATTATAAATGAATTACAAAAGGAAAACAGTGAGGAATGTTTCAATGGAAAAAGTAATGAAGTCCATTCAGCTCAAGCTGATAAAAGCAGAGAATCAATGTGTTTTGAAGAAAAAGAACCAGATCTTTTAAAAAATAAGAAAGGTGCTGAAAATCATATGCTTGAAGATGATAAAGAGTTAAGCCTCACATTTTCCGTTTGTTCAAAATACGATGAAAACAAAAGAGAAGTCGGGAAGGCAGGTCTTAATGAATCAAAAGTTGAAGAGGCAAATTGTCCAGTCTCGGATATTATAGATATTCCCAAAATCAGCGAAACTGAGGATCTGAACAATAAAAATGATGCAATCCGTCAATCAAATTGTTTTGAAGAAGAGACAAGTGATTCAAAAATTACTGAAAATCAAATGCTTGAAGATGAAAAAGTGTTGAGCCTCCCTTTTTCAGTTTGTACAAAATCTGATGAAAACAAGAGAGAAGTTGAGGCAAGTCTTTATCAATCAAAAGTTGAAGAAGTAAATTGTTCAATCTCGGATAATATAGAAATTCCCAAATGTAGTGAAATTGAGGGTCTGAACAATACAAATACAAATGAAAAAAATGAAGGAGATGAAAAGCCGATCGAAATAAAAACTTCCATAAAGGCAAATGATTTTGAAACAAGTGAAAAAAGTATTGACAAACAAATTACTGATACAAAAAAAATCTTTGATAATGAGAATGTGACCAAACTTAAAAATAGTGAGCTTGATGGAGTCATCCTTGATGAAAATACAATACAAATTCAAAATTTTGATAAAGTAACTACAGTTGAAAGTTGTGATGAATTTAAAAATGAAGATGAGAATTCTTTAGATGAAGACTTTGAAGGTTTCGATTCATGTGAGAAACAAAAACAAAGAATACCAACTTCAGTTTTGCAGACTACAACTACAAATGATTATTTTAAACATTATAGTATAATGGCAACTGAATATTTTTCACAAACTCCGAGAAGAAACATATGCAATATTCTCACCCAAGAACTTATTTGTAAATCAAGAGATTCAGACTGTGATGATGATTTTGACTCCCAGATTCTGGCTCATGAAACGGAAGGAATAAAAGTTGATTTAAATGAATTGTCTGCTGATCCTTCCAATGTCTTTCCTTCTACAAACACTGAGTTTAAAGATCCTTTTGATCATGTGCAAAACAAAGCCACAAGTTTTCCAAATAAATCTGTAGTCCGTAGTAATATACCTGAAAATAATATCTGCACAGAAAGTTGTGTTGATCTAAAATCCAGTGGTATTCAAGAATTAAAACAGCCCCCGAAAAATGCAGAATTAAAACAAAAATTAGAACCTAGTGTTTCTGTTATAGACGATCAAATTATTAACATACAGGACATGGGGAAATCAGACTGTGGAAAGAAATTAACAGTAGAAACTGGCATTCCTGATTTATGCACAGAAGTCGTAAATGTACAGGATTTGAAAAACACTTTGAAAATAAATGAGCCCAATGATTTGGAAATGAGTATTTATGACATGAGCACCCAATTTGAAGATTTCCAGTGCTTACAAAAATCTGATGAAGATACTAAAGTTGTTGAAGAATGTAAGGTGAGTAATTCTAACTCATGCACACAACCTGCCAACTTACATAAAACAAAACCAATAAATGAGATTAACACTGAGGTGACTACTAGTTCAAATACCAAAGAAGTTAATGTACACCCTTTAGAGAAATTATCTGGAAATATGAATGTTTTTGATTTGGAATCCAGTGTTTATAATGTATGTACTCAACCATTTGAAATTGAGCTGTTGAAAACCAGTACTTATGATTTACAAACTGAATTGGTCAGTGCTCAGATTTTGATGAAATCATCAGAGAATAGAAATGTTTCTGATGATTTGGAAACCAGTATGTCCAAATTATGTGCACAACCTGTCAATATTCAGAGTTTAAGAAAATCACCATCACTTGATACAAAACCTGTCGATGACTTAGAAGCTAGTATTTCTAACCTATGCACACAACCAGTCAACTTACAAAGTTTGGAGAACTCCGGCATAAAACCTGTCGATGACTTAGAAGCTAGTATTTCTAATCCAAGCACACAACCTGTCAATTTACAGAATTTGAAGAAATTACCATCACATGATACAAAACCTGTCGATGACTTAGAAGCTAGTATTTCTAACCTATGCACGCAACCTGTCAACTTACAGAATTTGAAGAAATTGTCATCATATGATACTAAACCTGTCGATGACTTAGAAGCCAGTATTTCTAACCTGTACACACAACCTGTCAACTTACAGAATTTGAAGAAATTGTCATCACATGATACTAAACCTGTCGATGACTTAGAAGCCAGTATTTCTAACCTATGCACACAACCTGTCAACTTACAGAATTTAAAGAAATTGTCATCACTTGATACTAAACCTTTCGATGACTTAGAAGCTAGTATTTCTAACATATGCACCCAACCTGTCAACTTACAGAATGTGAAGAAATTGTCATCACACAATACTAAACCTGTTGATGACTTAGAAGCCAGTATTTCTAACCTGTGCACCCAACCTGTCAACTTACAGAATGTGAAGAAATTGTCATCACACAATACTAAACCTGTTGATGACTTAGAAGCCAGTATTTCTAACCTGTGCACACAACCTGTCAACTTGCAGAATTTGAAGAAATCGTCAGCACAGGATATGAAAATTATTGATGACTTAGAAGCTAGTATTTCTAATCTAAGTACACAACCTGTAAATTTACAGAATTTAAAAAAATTGTCATCTGACAATATGCATGCATTTGATGTCTTGGAAGTTAGTATTTCTGATATTTGCACTCAGCCTGTCAACATAGAAAATTTAATTAAAACAAATTTGAAAACTAGGACTGACAATAAGAACGATTTAGACTCTGAATTTGCAAATACACAGAACTCCGAGAAATCCTTTGGAAATATGAAGGTTTCTGATCACTTGGAAGCCAGTATTTCTAGTATGTCCACACAACCTGTCAACTTACAAAATTTAAGAAAATCATCAGAGAATAAAAAAGTTTGTAACAACATGGAAAATACAACTATTTCTGACTTATGCACGCAACCAGAAAATATTCAAACTTTACAGATAACATCAAAAAATAAGACAGTCTCTGATGTTTTGGATGTCTCTATTTCCAATATTTGCACACAACCCGTAAATTTACAGAATTTAAAAAAACTCTCAGATAAAGTGCAATCGAATGAGAAGGCCGATATATCTGACATGTCTGTTCAGTTTGTAAATCAACAATCATCACCAAAAATAACCAAAATCTTTGAAACCACTATATCTGATATGTGTACCGCCGAGATGGTCAACCATGTTATTTCTAGAGCTAACCATTTTTACACAAGCACTCCAAAACCAGTGCACAATATTCAGTTAAGGGACAAAAAATGCAATAAAGCAATTGCCGAACAAAGAGATGATTCTGTAGAAACTTGCAAACTGCCAGCAGTTGAAAAACATTTCAATGTCAAAACAAACTGTAAAAATTCTTCCCGAGAAAAACTCTTGGATGTTAAACTTGAACTAAATAAAATGGGTGAAAATTGTAATGGTCCATCAGTTCTCATAAACGTACCAGTGCAACGGACTACAAATAATTCTATTAAAAAATTTGATCCGGATATGGATGAAGACAGCGATGTCATTGAGAGCAGGAAAACAAAAGTTTATAATCTATCCAGTGATTCTGAGGATGATTCTCCACTATCTTTTATTCCTTCTAAAAGGCCAAAACTCTTTTTAAACAATGAAGATGAAGGAGAAGAAAAAAATAAAGTCAAAAGAACAAATGATTACAATGACATAAAAACGATGGACGAGTTACATGGAGCTCCAATATCTTTCTTCAAAAAGAAAAAAACTTTTCAGATTGAAATTAAACAAGAATCTGTATCACCAGGTAAAAACATTTCAAGCTATAGAACTGTTAGCATGGAAGAAACCAATCCCGTACACTGTAATACTTCATTGGAAGGCACCGTTTGTAGTATGGAAGAAACTTTAATCTCGACAAAGCCTGTGTGTCAAAAAACTTTCAAGAAATTTACAAGAAAACAATTTCCATTGACTAAAATCCAAGAAGAATGTTCTGACTCATTGAAAGGCATAGAAAGTAATGATAATGTGGTCGATAAAGATCTTGGAAGAGGTAAACGTTCGCGAGTATTGAAGAACTTTTCAGATTTCGAAACTGAGCAGAGTCTTAAAGTCATTCCAGCTGATAAAAGTTCAGTGTGTCTCCCTCTTCCCAAAAAAAGAAAACTTGAAACTGCTAAAGAAACAACTGACATTTCAAGTTCATCTAGTGGTATAAAACAAATGGAATTGATTGTAGAAAAACCAAAAAAGCGTTCTGCTAAAAAGGAAAAAACAGACCTGACTAATGAAAATGCGAAAACTGATAAAGTTTCTTTAAAATCAACACTGCCAGAAATTGTGTGCACCCAAGATCTTGTAAAAAACAATTCTTTGAAAAAGACAGAAGAAAATGATGTCTCATTAAATAAAAGTTCACCAAAAGGTAAAGTATTTAAAAAAAATAAAATATTAAAACAAAATGCTACTTCAAGTGTTGATACACAAAATAAACATCCTGGAAATGTACTCGATGATGTAAAGGCTGAGAATTCTTCCAAAGAGAACTTGAACAAATGTTCAGCTGATTCCCAAAGCCTAAATAAAAGAGGAAGAAATATTAGAAAAAAACCAGAGGTGAAAGAAGCTATAAATGTTGAACAGGTAAATGTGAATGAACACGAAAAGATGCAAATAGAAGATCTTCCATTGGGAAGGAGTCTGAGAAGTAAAAGGACACAACCAGAAAACAAAAACCTTCCAGAAAAGAAAGTAAAGAATATAAGGAACTTAAAACAGAAGAAACCTGACTCTGAGGAAGTTTTAAATCAAAAGCCTCTTGGCTCAAGCACAAGTTCATTGAATATTGAACACTCTAAGAAAAATGAAGAAGTGAAATGTAACAAAAGAACAAAAAAGGGTATAAGTAAAAAGGAAACTAAGAAAGTTACAAATAATTCTGCCGAAACTGCCTATTTAGCCGGCTCTACTACTGGTTCATCTGAAAACCACACTTCTCTTGATTTAGAACAACACAATTTTGCAACGGCGAAAAAGTCACCGAAGAATAATAAAAAAACTAGAAAAATAAAAAATGCTGATCCTTCAATTTCCTCTGGATCAACTCAAACAAGTCTTGTAAGTTTTCACTTAAGCAATGTGTAATTAGATTTATAATATTTTAATACATTTATTTATTTATTTAGAGCAAGACTTTCGATGAACCTTTTAGAATTATGTTCGCTGGATATTCAGACCCAACTATGTTAGCTCTTATTGAGCGTTTAAGTATGTAACGACAAAAAATTTAAACTTGTTTATGATGATGTTAGACATTTGTGATTTATTTTAAGATGGGGAGGTTGTGGAGAATGCTCTCACTTGTACAATTGTTGTTGCTGACAAAGTGAAAAAGACTACAAAGTTCTTGTGTGGCCTTGCTCTAGGCCGTCCGATCGTACCTCCAAAATGGCTGCAAGGCTGTGAAGATTCTGATTATTTTATTGGTAGTATTTACAATTTGGAATATATTATATAAATGTACTAATAATATTGTTTTTGTTTTTTTAGATCCTTTTAAACACATTCTTCTAGATAACGAGACTGAAGAAAAGTATTCATTCCATCTCAGTGAAAGCATAAACAAGGCTAAGCATTCAAAACTTCTTGAAAGTTGGTCTGTTTATGCAACCCCTTCAACTAAGCCACCTCCAATAGAAATAAAAAGTAATTTTATACTCTTAAAGTTAAAGTTCTTCAATAAACCGTCTTTTTATTTAGGCATCATAGAGTGCAGTGGAGGGAAATTCTTGCAAAAGGAGCCGGCGCGATGGCCGAAAAACAGTTTTGTCATTTCATGCATTGAGGATAAAGAAAAGTGGGCCAAGTTGAAAAAGCGCGGTACGATTCCGCCTATCGTCTCAACAGAAGTCCTTCTAACTGGTGTTCTACAGCAGACGTTGGACCTGACCAGCCATGCTTTGAAATTATAAAATATACCTCTGAGCCTGTGGAGGATAAAGAATTCATTCATCAGTTAACCTACCAGTACAAGTATATTATATCATTGTAAATTTTCTTACATAAATATCAATTTTAGAAATGAAATGTACATAATATAGCAAGAATTTAACTTTTTATATGCAGTTAAACTGAATATACCTAGTTGTTTTACCGTTTATCACATTATAAAATGAATTTTATTTTTATTACCTCAATTATTTTTATATTTGTTATTTTATCATTAATTAATTAAGGATAACATTAGCCAGCAAAGAAGTAAGCAATGTACATTTGTACAAAAATTAAATACTTTTTTATTTTTTGCGTTTTGATTTTGATGTTGTTAGACATTTGCTTATGTTTAAGATGTGGTGGTTGTGGAAACACTCTTCACTTGAACTGTTGTGGTTTCTGACAAAGTGAAAAGGGATATGAAGTCCATGTGCGTTACTTGTTCTAGGCCATCCGATCGTACTTTCAAAGTGCAAGGATAACAAGATCCTTATTTATTGGTAAGACAAGTTTGAATATAAATATTGATTTACCTGTACTAATAATGATGGTTTTTAGACCCTTTTAAACACCTGTCGGACAGAGGTAAAAGAGGTTTGTTCTTTCTCGGTGAAAGGATAAACAAGGCCTATAATTCATCTTCCTTAAGTTTGGCCTGTTTATTCAATAAATCTACAATTTTATAATTTTCAAATAACGGATTTTCAAATATAAAAATCCATTTTTAAAAAGATATGTACATGATATTATAGCAAGATTAAAAAATTTTGGTACATAATTAATCCGAACATATCAACTTGCTTTACCAATATAATATAAGGTTAATTTTATTTTTATGCTGCCATTATTTTAATATATTAAAGTTATGTTTAACATTTACCAGTTAAAAAGTTTTCTCTATGTAAATTAATATTTTTAAAAGAAAAAAATTATTTATGTTTATGTATCAAGAGTTTTTCACTTTGTACCTTCTTTTATTTATTTATGTTACATAGAAAATCCCATATGTATTAGATGTATCTAATTTTCTACTTTTTTTTACTCGAGTATACTGTAGATCTCAGATGGCATGGATGAAAAAGCAAATTCAGTTGTTATCTGCCAAGGTTTCGATCTATTTTAATATCAACAGGGCAAAACAATCTTAAATATGTCTATAAACTTCTAATATAAACTATAAACTGTGTCAATTCATAGACAAATTTTAGATTGTTTTGCCCTGATTGACTTTAAAATAGGACAACGCTAGGCAGAAAACAATTTGTTTATTTATTTTTCCCCCCACCGAGACTATACCAAGGTTCAGAATATTCATGAATTCTGGATATTCATATGACAAAAAAATCATTACACACTTCAGTCTTGTTTCACCATTTTTATTTCATTGGATATTTAATTCTGAAATTATTTGATGATAGGAGGGTTTTTAACACAATGATTCAGATTTTCAAATACCTTAGCCACCTACTAACATCTCAGTGTAGAACTGAATTGTATACATATTTAAGATATGCACAGAATAAAGCCGAATTTATCAATTGATGAAAAATGAGGTGTCTGCGGCATGCCGAAGAGTGAACATAAAATCCAGATAAGTCAAAATATTAAGCACACAACTTGCATCTACTAAGATTAACCATGCAAAAATTAATGGGCAAGAAAACTTTTAGAAGAAAATTAATTTATTATATTTTATATAAATTATACAAGAGAATATACAAATTAATTGGGTTTAAATAAATAGCACTAATCCCGGGGAGCACTAAAGCCTCAAACTGCACCTCGAGCTCTACCTTCAAGAAGGCCGTTTTACAATAAACTTTTTTTTGGTTGATTTAAGCCACAATGTGTTGCTTGCTTTTAATACTTTGAAACTGATGAGACATTAATGTAAGCAAATTTCAGAAACTTATCAGAGTGGGGTTTCATTTTTATAATATGTTATTTTTAAAAAGTCATACAAGTGTAAGTTTAAAAAAAAACATTGAAATGTAAACAAACAAAATAATATAGAAAATAGAGATCAACACATAATTTAAATTAAATTGTGCCCATTTCCTTAGCTTTGTTGTACAATTCTTGGTACACCTTGTAATTCGTTAAGGCTGTGTTGTACTTTGCAAGAGCTTCATTGTATTTTTCATTGACAAAGTGTAAGAACTCAATCGAGACGATGCCGCTGTCAAAAATGACCTCTTTAGTATCTGGATCTATGGTAAAGACCTCTTTTTTATTGTCAGGTGGACCAGTTGTCGGCACTTGCAAGTCTGATGTGTTTATTCCGGCGTTCGTTATGTCGACAGTTTTTTTGTCTTTTAGGCCTGAAGGTGGGCTGATAATTGGCAATGTGGAAATTGGTTTAACCTCCTGCTCCTTTCTCCCAGGCCTAAATTTGTGAATTGATGGGTATTCCAGTACTTTTTGAGGCATTTTTGCTTTTAACCAATCTGTTGATATCAAACCGAAACCAGGCTTAGTTAAATTGAATCCCCGTAAAAGTGATGGTGAATCAACTCCTAATAAACTCATGGTTTTTTCATTATTAAAAATTCCCCACCTTTTCGGTTGTTGGACTTCTTTCACTCTGCTGTTTATTATTTCCATATTTTTATAGTTTTTCTTTAACGCACTGTACTTTTTAATCATTTCATTAACAACAGTTTGCTCTAAATGGGTTAGCTCTTGGCTGTTTAGATCTTCTGACGTTCTCCTCATCACTTCTGAATTTTTAAATGGATGAATAAGCTTAACTAGCGGCGTTGGCATTGATGCAATCCCGCTGGATTCTACTTTATTATGTCCCATTGTAGATTTTTCAAGAGAAATATTTTGTGCAGTCAAATTTTGGTTAATACTGTTTGTAGATTTGTCTGTTCCATTACCCTGGGAATGCACCCTCGATTTAGAGATATTTAGATTTAATTTCTCCTTAAATGAGCTTGTGGGAAAAATCAATTTGATTTTTTCTTTTCTTATATTATTCATATCTTTATCTAATGTATCATTATGGGACAATTTTTTCAATGTCATTTCACTTATTTCTTTTTCAGCGTCTTTCAAATTCACCATTGGATCGTTGGAAATTTCCGTAATGTCGATGGGAACATTGATATTTTCACGTCGGTTCTCATCATTTGACATTGAAGTAAGATTATTTACCATTTCGACAAATACTGGGTTGTACACTGGATGATGGCTTTCAGCGTTCTCAAACCCTTCAACATCGCATAATACTAAACAGATAAAGTTGAAGTAAATCAAAGAAGCCAACGTCCTAGAAAAAAAGAAAAACAAATAATTTAACTATTGTAATCTAAATATTTTTCATATTTGTTGAATACTGATTCACAAGTTTTTTAAATGTTTAAATGATTCTATTTAAATTTTGGCTTTAAACAAGATTAACGGGAAAAAATTTCATTGCCACATTATTTGGCTGGAAAAACTCGGTCATTTATTTACGGAAATCTGGTTCTAAAATAGCAAAGGTGCTTGTTTAATGAGGAAATCTTATTTTGCTTGTTTAATGAGGAAAATTAATCACTTTCACAACATTGCAAATTAATTTAAAGAAAAGAAAACTGAGTGTTATTTGTTTAGCTGGTAATAACTTAATTTTTTGTCAAAAACACTGGCACCCTGAGGGTTTATATGACCTCTGCTGTTGTGAACCCTCGTAAAATAAAAAATTAAAATAAGTGAATATAAATTATAACAGTAAATGGTTAAAATTGGTAATTAAAGTAATTATTATAAGTATATTAATTTATATTAAAGTAATTATAATAGAGAGGCCATATTAGCAATACACAGTAACTAACAACATGATTGTTGATTTCTCGGTGACCAAGTTCTCTTTATTCCACTGTAACCTAAAAGACCGATGGTGGAACCCTACTTTATTTCCAAATCCTGAAAAGTCCACTACGCTTAAGATAGACCAGCACTTCACTCTGTGTTAGTATCGCCCTTGCCAAGGAAAGTTCAACAAAGACACCATTAGAGAATAGGTTTAAAATAAGTCTTCGGTACAATGAGAATGTAGCCCAGGACAGAGGCATGTGAAAAAATTCACAATTTTTTGGGGGGCCATCGCAGAAACTAACATTCTGCTATTAGTTGGACTGCATACTCCAGTAATATGAAGAGACGCAGAGCTTTATGTATTATCTGAAAGAAAAGCCAGCAGAACATCTCTTTAGTTGGTGAGTTTTATGTATGCTGGCATTCCTACTCCTGGGAGAGGAAAAGTCTAGGTTTGAAAGTTACACCCAGAGTGCTTGAAAAGCTTTGGTATCTGAAAAAAGGCTTTTAACCTTAATGAGGAGCTCTAAACAATGGAGATGGACAATAGATAATAATATTGGTTGTGATGAGCAGATCATAAAAAGGCCAACTCTTTTTTTCTAATCTAATCTAGTATCTCCTTTATGAAGGGCATGAGAGAGTTAGCAGGTTTCTATTTTAGTTTTGCCTATTTTTTTGAGGTGGTCATTGAATGGGCTATGGCCTTTAAGACATATTTCCCTTGATTCTTGCCTACTGAGAGAGTGAGAAACAGATTTTTGTTTTACGGATTGAGATATTGATGAACTTTTTTCATTATTTTGCACCTGGTGAATTCATACAGTCTCTGGTCATTTTTTTCTCTATCCCTTTGTTCCGCTTTTAGCACACCAATTTGCGGTTCTGGCACAAAGGATGTGAAGGCTAATCGTGTTTCTACGTTTTTGCTAGTTCATTGCCTCCAAACCTGGCTCCCACATAAGAATTACCTGATTTCCTTTTCCCACCAGCTGGAGGTTAAGCATTTCCAGACCAGCTTCGCATTGAAAGTGGAGAAAAGGCATTTTTTAGTTATAATTTTAACATACAATTATGTAAGATGACGATTTAATCAACTAGGGGAAATTTTACGTTATATGATCAATACGCACCTTGGTAAGTAGGGAATAAAGACTTACATGGGGATCTTAAGATATGATATAAATATTTCCACCAAACACCCGTCTCACCTCAGCGTAGAATATGGAAACGACCAAACTACTACACAATCAAAAAGGTTGAAAATATAGAACCCTAAGAACTAGTATAGTTAATAATTTTGGGAATAGTGGGGTGTAAATCTACTGGTACCAATAGGCTTGTAAAAATATGTAAATATGTATTTATTAAAATTTTATGTATAATTAATGGATGGTCTAGATCAGTTTTACTAAACTAAAGGAAAACATAAAAAAAAATGTGGAGAGTATTAAGACCTCATGAATTATTCAAATCTTTGTAGGGTAATATCAAGTCAGAAAGCCCAATTTCAATTTCTTATTGTCCGTATTTTTTCCATTTTTCTCTTGTAAAATGTAAATTTTTAAGGATTCAGGCGTTCCCCAAAAGCATTTCTATTTTTAACGAAAAACCGCATTTGCCCACCGTTTTTATAAAACTAGAAATAATTAAACTGTTCATTGACATTTTAAATTGATTGATACACGTAAAATAAGATATAAAATAAACTGCCTAACAGCCTTATTTCTAAAAAAAAGATCATATTAGAGATTAGATCCAGGTGTATCCTGCTCCCACGTGTGCGTATATGTGTTTAATAAAATATTTTGTTTAATAAATATTTTTAATAAAATTCAATAAATTTCTATTATTTAATTTATATTTTTAACGGTTTAAATGAGAAATCATCTATGGAAATTTTAGTGTTATCGTTATTTCGACGTTATGATTTATAAGGATAATACAGAGAAAAAAATTTATTGGACATTTCCTATTTTATTATATTGTTGCTGCAAACGGATTAAATTTTTTTTAATCAAATAAAGAACAAACATTTATATTAATCGTCTTAAACATAAAATATCGTATTACTTTGAAATTGTTTAAATTGTAGCTTACCTTAAAAGAAACATGATTTCAACTATTCGTGGAACGTCGTGTAAAATATTTGACCTAAATTTCTACCAGCCCTTTTATAAAGGTTCGGTTGAAGCGGTCCAAGGGTGGGTTTAACTTTCATTTAGGAATTAATGACACAAAAGTCAGCCTGTTCACTTTCACAAGTCTTGTTTGAAAATTATATTTCAACAGTTAAGTTAAAATTCAGTCGATTTATTTGTTGTTGTTTTTTTCGGAAAAAAAATTTGACTTATAATATTGCAGAATACTATTATGAGAAAATATTCTTATTTAAAAGGAATGGGGTGTGTGTGGTTAAAGCAAATGGCACGTTTATTTTTGATTTTTAATGCAAAATCTGGAATTAGTTTTTGTTGTTGGAGAAGGTCAAAAGTTTTCCCATAAAAGCCACCGGATTTAAATCACGAGAGCCATTTTGAGACAATTTCAATTTTCGCCTCTTTTAAAAGTTTTGGTCTTAAAATATTTATATTATTATCATTATACATTGCTTGTTATTGTTTATCCAAAGTCAGTTCTGCGTAAACTTCGTCTTTATTTGAAGCTTTCAGCTTCTAGTTGTTCTTGTAGTACAATGCTGTTGAAAAAAAGGCCATGATGAGTATGTCGGAACCTCAGTTGAATTATATTCTTGATAGTATCGACCAGCCAGTTATAATTATACGTAGTTACATAGTGATAAAGTGGTCTTTGGATTAAGAAACACCTCCAACAACTATTACTTTCGTATAATTACAACTAATTTTCGATACTATCTACATATATTTTTTTTAAACATTTATTATGGTTTTTACAGCTGCGATTTTTAGACGCAACACTTAATGACAATCTGGCATGCTACAAATGATAGAAGACACCCAGCAGTGACATTCCCTCACAGTGAGTCAATCTCTCGAGAGATTCTTGGGACTAAACAGTGGGTTGGGGGAAAGGTTTAAATTTTTGTAGAAGTTTGTGTATCGGGATTTAGTAATGTCAATTACAAATAGGATTTGTAGGTCATTAGGTTTGAAACGTAGAAGGGACAGTTTAATTATTTTTCTTAGTATTTTTGATTGGATGAATATTGTGAATAGGATGGGCCCTAGAAAGCTGCCCTGGGGGACATCCGCTCGAACGGGAATATAAGAGGAAAAGGCAGCCTCCTGAGCAATGTTTTCAGATGATGAACTTTTGATTATCGCATTGATTTTGGGTGAAGAAGAGGAACCACCAAGCGAGAAAAAGGAAATGTGTTCATCAAGCATAGAACAAGAGGGGGACGGAAGGGGAATTTGCTACACTTTACTAAGAATTAGTGGACGACTGAGCAAGATTTTGCTTGTTGCATAACTTAAAACTTAAACTTCTTAATCATTAAGAAATACAATATATGCACATGGAAGTAGATTCGAGGAGTGAAAGTCGAACATTACAAAATTTACTTTTACAGGGAGGGAACGCAACGACAAATGCATTTCGTGGACAAGAACTTAATGTTGCGTCATTAATGTTGTACGGCTTTGAAAACTGTAAAATATCGTCAACAAGAAAAACGATGATCACAATCCGGTGACAACGGCAGCCGCAGCACTGATGGAACGGCCACAGTCGCCAAGAAGGATATTTTCAAAGTCAAACCCGCCGGTGGAACAAAAAGCCGATCACGACACTGCACGTCACTGATGTGTGTGAATCGAGTTTTGACACGGCGCTCATCACTGTAGGGTCTCCAACGGGATCCAGCGGCCCTGCAATCGAACCCGATATACTTACAAATGGGCTTTTTTTCAAAAACACCCGCACCCCAAAGATTCATATAACCTCGTCAAAAAATGTTTTGATTTCATTTCCAACGTTTTAGTCTCATACTTCAGATCTATACAATAAAACTGAAGCAAAAAAAAAAGTCTCCGTTTATAATAAAACTAATAAACAGAATAGGAAAATCATCGAATTTTGTTCACCAGGGATACACGTGACGTTAACCTGTTGCGAGTCCGCTTGGTACTATCGAAGCCTCCGCTTTTCAACCGCCAATACGCCAATTGCCAAAGAGGACACACGAGACACGCCATCAACTTGTTTTCTTCGTCGAGTTCTTTGTAAATGATAAGTTACGGTGTTACGGCCCGTTTTTGGGTCCCTTCGTAGTTTCCGTTTTCTGTCCGGACTTAGTTTATTCTGGAGATGTCAACAGGCGACAAGACGCCGGGCTTTACACCTTTATTGACTAATGACGAGAACGGCTCGCCCTTTAGAGTTCCGCCGACTCCTTTTTTGAAAAAAATCGGCTACGGGACAGGTAACTTGTTGAAAAATAGTTTTAAAAAGTATGATCAGTCTTTTATTTTACCATTTAATTGTTTTTATTTTGTACATACATATTTAAAAAAGTACAAAAAAAATACAAACATCTATGAATTAAATTAACAAACATTTTAATATTTTGTCTAAAGTAGTACAGTCCAAGCTATGGAACTCCGAGAATCTGTGTTTGAAAAAACTTCTTTTAGTTCCAGCACTGCTTTTCTTTTTCTTCTCTGCTTTTTCTTCAAACAGATTCTCTAACAACCATTTTATTATTTCAAAGAAAAAATAACAGGTCTGGACTATCTTGTCATATACTTGTTAGAAAAATATTCAGAACCAGAGCGTCTTGGCAAGACACAGGACAAAGGTAAGAAGAAAAAAAGACACGAAGGCCAGGACATCCAAACTTACTGACCTGTCCACTACATTATGATGCTAAAAATGCTTGAAACCTTAAGCTATTAATATCAAGAGCAACTACTTCGGTGATTCTAAAGTCAACGTTTCTTTTCTCTTCTCTCCTTCTCCCATTATAATGCCATTATTGACCTAAAAATATGTTAAAACACCTATGACGGAGGTAGTGTGGCATGGATCGTAATAGGTGGTAATCAGCATTCAGGGTTAAATTTCAACTCATTCAGTTTTGATTTGATAGTCTTGAAGGTGTGCAGTATTGTTTGGGACGCTTTTGAAACTCAATATATTGCCATGCAAATGTCGTCAAATTGTGTAGGACACATTTGCAGCTTCTGGAACTTAATCCAATGCCATGCAAGTGCGTCAATTGTGCGGGAAACTTTTGCAGCTTCTGGAACTTTATCTAATATCGTGTAAGTACTGGAAAACTGTTAGTTTTATGTATAATTTAAAAATAGAGGACTTTTCTGGAGCCATATTATATTTTATTTAGGTAAGTTGTATTCTGAAAAACCCCTTGGACATTCTGCATGTTCAAGATAACTACAGTTTTTCAAGAATGTGAGTTTTGAAGTGTTCGATGTTACTAATTATATCACACTTCTTTGGCATTTAGTTATATTGGCCTTTCCACATTTATTTGGCAATATTTGTATTTAATGTGTGGGGTTTAGTGACCGTTAGCCAATATTATGGAGATTGTGAGATGCGGTCTGGTGTGACGTAAGTTTTTGAAAAACATTTTCTTTATCGTTCCAACGTTTTGTTCTTAATTGAGATCATCTTCAGGGGCTGGGATTTATAATGCAGATCTATGATGCACATCTACACAGAAAACAAACACTTTGAGTGAGTACAAATACATTGATTGAATTTAAAAATTCTAGCATTGTATAAATTCATTTTTTCCCACATCCTACATGTATTTGTAAAATTTAAACAATGTTTATAAATCCCATGCTCTGATGATGATCTCAATAAAGATCGAAGCGTTGGCACGATAAAGAAAATGTTTTTCTAAAACCTATGTCAAACCAGACCACATCTTACAATCTCCAAATAATCATTTGTATTTAAATTATATATTATAACAGGATGTTGAACAATAATTTTAGGAGTTTAATGATCTTGAAAAAATCCTATACAAGCATCCAATAATGTATTTAATATCAAACTTGTTATACCTGTACTTCATTTAATGAGTAAACTCATTAGTTTATTGAATAGGAGTTGGAGTCTACCGCATGGATCGTTCTCCCAGAACGGGCAACACGAGGTCACCATGGGCATTGAAGAAAGTCAACCCGAAGATCAGGGCCAATGTGAGGCACCGGTTGAAAAAGGAAGCAGACTTGTTGCAGACGCTGAACCATCCGAATATAATTGGCTTCCGTGCTTTTACGACAGCAGAAGGCCGTGAGGTGATTTGACGACTTATCCGACATTTTACATTTTAATTTCAATGTTGTTGAAAACAAAACAAAAAAAGGTGCTAGCCATGGAAGAAGGAGGACATTCGCTTGGTGACTTGATTGAAAAGAGACGAGAGGAGGATATACCTCCATTTTCTCCTCATGAAATAATGAAAGTGATTATCGGCGTATCCAAAGCCCTTCATTACATCCATAACGAAAAGAAAATTATCCATGGTGACATCAAGTCCTTCAATGTATTAATTAAAGGTACCTAATACTACAAACTTAAAATATGTCTAATTTTCAGCAACTATGCTGGACAGTGGGGTTCCATCCAAGCCATCCAATATCCAGCACATCCAATCCTTTCAATCAAAATTAAAGCTCCTTACTACGTCACCAACCGCACTATCCATAACAATCCTAACACTCATTTTGTCAATGAACTGACCAACAGGGTTTTCAAAATTTCAACATCAAATTTTCAATCTATTCTAACCCTACTGCCCATGCCCTCTCTACACTTTCCGATCCTGAGAACCCATTTAACCTTAAACTATGAATCCAGACCAGCTCATCCCTTAATTACTCATATTGAGTGCCTGGTTTCTCTTAACCTTAACTTCTCAGTGCTTTTCTATGAGGTAGAATAGTGTAAGTGTTGTAACTGGGGAAAAGAACTTAAAAAACATGGACAAATTTGTAATAATCTATTTTTAAATATTTTTTCTTTCGCACATTTTTCACTCTTATATTGTCTTTTTTCCTTCAAATTTAATTAAAGCAAAAAATTTCATATCTTACTAAAAATATTCCAGAGAATTTTGATGTAGTCAAGCTATGCGATTTTGGTGTAAGCCATCCACTGGATGAAGCGGGAGAAGCTGAAGACTACATCGGAACTGAATGCTGGTGCGCACCGGAGGTAATAATCGGTGACTCAGTTACTTTGAAAGCTGATATATTCTCTTTCGGTCTCACTATATGGGAGATGATGACCCTCCAGATTCCACACAGCGGGTTTGAAGAGACTGACCCTCAGATAAACGAATCGCAGATCGTCGACCCTTCGGACAACTACGGTATGTTTATCCTGTTGTGGTTTTGATTTCATTCACTTTTCAATTTCAATTCAATACAGGCACAAGGCCTCCACTCCCAGACTACTTGGGACCGGATTACACTGTGGTTAAAGAGATCTTCATGTGGTGCACCGAAGAAAACCCCAATAGGAGACCTACAGCACAGGATATTCTTAAAAGGGTCGGAGTAAAATGCTAGCCTCTGTTACCCATTGTTCACCTATTTATGCAATAATGATATTTTTATATTTGATGTACTTTTTTAAATAAAAGGTTAGCATAGTTTTCTATAAACATGATAAACATGAGATGTAAATAGTTTGTTTTGTTAAAAATGTGATAATGTGCATGATGCAGTTGTATTGCTTTTCCACATCCAATCATCTTTGGGGTTTGTATACCACTTACATCTCTTATAATAAATTAATTATACACCAAAATACTATTACTTAAACATTTAAATTAGTAATATAAAAATATGTTGAGCAATAATAACAAATACAAAAAGATTGGACTCAATTCAAAATTTTGTGGTTGGACAGGATAATTTTAAATAACTTAAAATATGAGGGTGGAGAGGGATGGAAAAAAAATTGCATTGTGTAAAAAAGTTATAAATCTATATTAAATTGTAACATTGTAACTAACTAATAATAACAATTAAAAACCTAGTGAAGAGACCAAACTGATTAGGAGAATGGCGATGACTGAACTCAAACAAATAATAAGGTATATTTTTCTCTAAAGATGAAAATATCGTTAGAATACATTATCCAAATAAATTTGAACTGACATTTATCTTACCCTTCTTGCTCCTTGTCTCATTTTGTTAGCTTTGAACAAACGCTTGTTGCCTTTGTTCGTCATGATAATCCCGTTGCCGATGTGATACTCAATCGTATCGATCATTTCACCCTGAAGTAATGAAATTTTTAAAACTTCATTCAATTTAATTGTTAAATTCTGCTCTTTTACCTGCTTTGTTATATTTAGTGCGAGGTCACAAAACATGTCACGGATTTTCAATATGTCCCTCTCAATAGCCAGGATCTCTTTGTGCCTGTCCCTCGCATCTTGAAGCAGTTGCCTGGCTTCAGTTGTTTCTTTAATGTACTGGAAAAAAAATCATAAAATGACGGACTTATACTTTTAATTAGAGTGTGTTGTAAAAATTATTACGTCTTCTACAAAAACGGCTGTGTCTTCTGTGTCTATGATTGCCATGAGTTCATCCTCGGTCACTTCTTTATGAGCTGGAACAATTCCGACTCTCCTTACAACCTTCTTTATGACTAAGAACAAAATAAGCCTGACTATGGAACTTAATGAAAATTAATACAACGTTGTCCTAAAACCTGATAACATTATTTTTTATAGTAATACGGCTAATAGCTGGCTAGTTCCTTGATTAAGTTACAGGTTCATCTTGCAGACACCACATTTCACAAGCAGCTTTTGAAAAGAAAACTGTTATTTGACATATACATCAGCCGATTTTAACCGAACCAATAGTCATTTTAAAACTTGTCAGAAAAAAATATTTTAAGTGGATTAAAATCAAAAACTAATAATTTTTTAGCAATCTTTCCTCTAAAGGTTATTTGTAGCGCTTTGCAGCATTAGTTTTAGGACAACACATTTTAAGCAAAGGCGAATAACAATTGAATTACCTATGTGAAGCTGTTTTTTTATTAAACTTTCACAGAACTGCTTATGAGCTTGAAGTGACTTGTCATAGAATTCGACAGCTTCCTGAAGCATCTGTGTCAACAAGGCTGTCTGCGTCTTTATTACTCTGTCGATCGCAGAATCTGGGTGTCCGGTTTTATTTTGTTCCAGATCTTAAACGAAGAACTTTTTAATAATCGTGTTTTAAAAATGTTCCATTTTCTGTTGAATACATACCCTTTATTTTCTGTTTGGCGAGGTTGGCTTCTTTTTTTATCTCCTCATTCAACTCTTCAGCTTCTTCTTTGAGCACTTGGATAAAATAAAACAAAATTGGGTAAAAACATTACAAAAATTGCAAGTCCTTTATTGTTTTTACATATTATAGTTTGATAATAAAAATAGCAATTCACATAATCATCGATGGGGTTTGTGAGTTTCTAAGTTCTAATTGTTTTTCCAACCACATCAAACAATTTCTTCTCTTTTGTTCATTGCATACAGAATCAATAAGTAGATGAAAAACTATTACAAAATAGCCAGTAAGAGGGAAGTATTTTTCCAACCCCCCCCCTCTTACAAAGCAAGTCTATGCTGACATTGGAATCTGCTCATTCTACGAATTTGACTTTGTGCTCTGCTTTTCATACAAGGCAAGTATACCGATCAGTTCGACGATACCAAAAAATTTTTACCAAGCAAGCAGTTACAGAACTAGTAACTCCCTGGAAACTAAAAACAATTATAAAGAAGAGGCCCTCAAAAAAATAATCCGGATTGGACGAAATAAATAATATCATGCTAAAAAAACATACCACTTAGAAACTTTGTTTAATTGTTTTCTATTTTCAACAAACTCCCTGCATTTGAACCAGACTGACAAATGACCTTTTTCTCAAAAACATCAGCACACCGCATGATCTCTGATGTTGCACACCTTCGTTTCAAAAAAAATCTTAATTTTAATCAGATTGTCCAATCTTTCTAATATTTCAATGGAATACTACATCCTTAAAAAATGTTAATTATGATGACACAATTAATAGATTTTCTGAAATGGAAGAAAAGTGCAATAAATTAAATTAAATTGATGTCTGATTAAAAATTTATTTTACTGTATGAGTTTTATTTTCTCAAATGTAATTAATTAAGATTCAAATTCTTGCACAGGAATGTCTGGTTAGAGCATTGATAATTATTATAATTGTATATAGTAATAAACAAATACATTTTAAAAATTTAGCAAAGAAATCCTTTTAGCCTAGGAATTGAAGAAATATGATTTAAAAAATAAATAACTGGCAAAATTGATTATAAAATTATTAATAATAAGGATAAAAGTAAAAAATTTAGTGTATAACATTCGAATAAAGGCAAGAAATGAATGAATGAAAGGAAAAATTAATCAGATAGCAGCCTTGAGCGATAACCTCAGTTTCACTTTTCGAACGTGGGTGTGACTATTTGAGCCACTTTTCACCAGTCAGTAAGTTAGTTATTCTCTTAAAAACTATGGGCACCAGAGAAAAAGTGTAATTTCTAGTTTCAAAATTATCTAGTGAGTAAGGATTTGTTTATTGCCGAGTGAGTAAGTTTGGACACAACGGTTACAATGGGTTTTCTTAGCATTCTTAAAAAGTTGAAAGAGAAAGAAAGGGAGATGCGTGTGCTCATTCTCGGTCTGGACAACGCTGGGAAGACGACACTGTTGAAGCAGCTGAACAACGAAGACCCCACGACGATATCGCCGACATTGGGTTTCAACATCAAGACTGTCTGCTATGGGGAGTACAAGCTCAACCTATGGGACGTCGGAGGTCAAAAATCCCTGCGGTCCTATTGGAAGAACTATTTCGAACAGACAGACGGCGTGATATGGGTTGTGGACAGCACTGACATCCGCAGGCTCTCGGACTGTGCTGTCGAGCTGCACAAGATTATCAGGGAGGAGCGTCTTGTCGGCGCTTCAGTCCTCATCCTCGCCAACAAGGCCGACCTCGAGAGTGCGCTTTCCCTGTCCAAAATCAAAAGCGCACTCGAATTGCATAAAATCACCTCGCAGCATTGGAAACTCATGAAATGTTCTGCTGTCACTGGTGAAAATGTAATTACAGCGATGGACTGGATTGTTGGAGACATCTCTGACAGATTGTTTACTTATTCCGGTTAAAAGATTTTAAATATTTTATTTACATCCCTAAACTATCGTGCTTTAGTCAACATGTATTGCATTAAATTATCCAATTACGCGAAAATTTTTTACAGTAAAACAACAATAGTTCAATTTGTACTACATAACAAAGCATACAAAATCTTTGTTAACATTGTGGAAAATTTGACAATGAAATTGCTTTTTGTATCTGAAGTAACAATCATAAGATTCAATATACTAGTTCCTTAAAACAAAGTAAAATACTTATTAATTTTATTTTTATATTGAACATTATGGTGTGGGTGAAAGAACAGAGTGAATGTTTATATTGTTGATGGTGTAATTTATTAAATTTCTCTATGTATTTTTATTTTAAAAAATGTTCAAATCCAGGAGAGAAAGTTTTATAATTGTATATAGTGTAATTTTTATTTTCGCTTTAAACTAATAAAAGTGAATTAATATCTTTTAATAGTTTTTGTTTTTATAGTTTGATAGTTATCTATCATCTTGGTCTGGTTATCCTTGGTGATTTGTCAGTTAGATGCGTTTCGGCATTTTGGCGCAAGATGCATCAACTGACAAAATTAGTGAGGAGGGGAAGACCAAGATTTTAACTATCAAACTACAGATTCATCACTCCAAAGACAAGAAGAAATATCGCAAGTTATTGTTTTTAAAGTTTTCATAATTTTTTAAATTTTTATTATCAATGACGCCTTATCAATTAAATTTTCAAAATAAAGGTGAAGGATTTTTTTTTATATTAAAAACAAGAAAACCAAATTATCAACTTGGGTTTCTTTGATCTCACTTATTTCTCATATTTTTTGCATTTCCATTGCTAGAAGACAAACAAGGTTTTGTAACGCAGTGGATCTGTCGTTTTATGCAATTTTTCTAGCAATATGTTTGTATTTGATCGCAAAACAATTATTGACATGATATATTGACTTGGAGATAAATCTTATAGTTACTAACATTGCAATACTTTTTTTTATAGATGTCTAAATGTTTCTCTTTGTTCATCTGATGATACTTATGCTAAAAAGGCCAAAAATGGCAAATTCCAATGAGGTAACATTTTAATAATGGAAATAGAAATGAGCTCATAGGATTTCAAGGACAAAATACATCTTATAATACAATATTATTTTCATTAATGAAACACCATTTAACAACTTTTTGTAATTAGAAAAATTAACTCTTGAGTAAATCAGTTTCTGAACTATTATAAAGAGTAAATTTAACCTTTATAAACAAGTTTAAAATTAAAGTTAACTATATAGCAGTAAATACTAGATGCCTTAGAATTTTCTATTTTGACAATCCTTTCAGCTTGATGATCGTTCAACACAAATCATTTTAATGTTGTGCATATTTGTTTGTTCAGTCATTTTTCTTTCATAAACAATATATTTTGTTTTTTCTTTCCCCACATTAAGTAAGTTGAAAAACTTATTTTTATTTATCGTAAGATTTTTATTTTTCTGCCAATGTCAAAAACAGTATTCCTTGACAATATTAAGTTGAATAAATAAGTTAAATTGTTGGTATTTTCTGCAGTTTAAGTAAGAAAGTGAAAAAAAATTAACTCTTATCATGACATGTATTTACACAGTGATAATGTTAAATAAAGTTTAACAGTCCAATTCAATTTTGATATGGGGGAGAGGGTAAAAAGGCGTAGAAGTAAACAACCAATTGGACTAATAACTTCAACGGGAATAGAATGCGTCAAATAGGCTAAACTGGCTATGATTAATAATGATCCAAATTGTTCAACTCTCATTCTCCGCTTATCTGTTATTTACAGTTGTCCAGGACTAGTTTGGAGAAAGTTATACTCACCGGGCTCAACTCGCGTCGAACGCTGTAGTAGAACATGCTTTTTTTGAAGTTGAACAATATTCTCTTTCAAGCCTTCCACGGAGACTATGATATCGTTGACCTTAAGCAAAAATCGTTTATTTTCTTGATTTGTTTCTACCCTGGCAAAATTGTCACTACCTTTTTAAAAACGTCCTCTAGTTTTTGGCATTCTTTATTTTTTGCCTTCAAAACAACTGGCTTTGTCCACTTTGGGTTGAGGCTTGTCTATAATTAGAAATCAGAAAGTTTTTTTCTTGTTAAATAATAGCATCATAGTGACAAAAATATGACTGTAAACATTTTCATTTGAAGGTCAACCTCTGTGTCCTTCAAAAGGATTGAAGGAATTGATATATTAGCATCTTATTCAGGAAACAATAGAATATCAATGTCAATGTACTTAATAATAAAGTAGATTTCTAAGTTCCTTCATGAATAACCATGATTTTAGACAATATAATTGATTAACTTTCTCAATTAAAATTGATTGATAATATTATTAATATTTAAACATTTATAACTTTTTTCCTTAGATGTATCATGAAGTGTTATATGCTTAATTACTAATAGATTTAAACAAGACAAACATGAGAAAAATCCTAATAAAATATAATTTTCATGGAAGTAAGTTAATTGTTATTAATTCACCTCTTCGTCGGATTCTTCCCCAGCTTCCAAATCCCTCTCTTCATTGTTCTTCTTCTTTACCCTTTTTCCCTGCAGAGAAAATGAAAGATTTCAATGAGACACATGCGTTTATGCGTATGTAAATAAATTTTAACACTATTAATGTGTTGTAATTTGGTTTTACCAATCATTTTAGTCAGCGTATCCTCACTGAGTTAGCCTGTAAGAGACAGTTTGATCTCTTTACCAGATTATCAGTAATAACAAAATTATAAATTAATATTTTAATAATAATGTATCTACTATAATTATTATACATAGATTTATTATGCACCGCACTGAGAGTGCTATGCAAATGCAGCCAGGAAGAGAGAGACAGACAGACAGAGAAAGATTAAAAAAGAGAGTGCACAAAGCCAGAGAGGGGGAGAGAAGAAAACCCACAAATGCAACAAAGAATTAAGAGAAGCACACAAACAAAGACACTGAGAGGTGAGAGAATGAATGAATTTTATTTTAAAAATCTCTCAAATTCATTTCTCTTACAATTATCTAGAAAAGTAGGTATAGAGTAGTAGAAAAGTAGTAGTAGAAAGAAAGAAAGAGAGCAATGGGGAAAAAAAGAGAGAGAATGAATTAATGAATACCATTTTATTTTAAAAATTTTACAAATTTATTTCCCTTACAATTAACAAGAAACGTAGGTATAGGTTAGTAATAAAAAGTATAAGTACTAGTTGCAGCAGAAGTAGTAGTAGGTCTTCTAGAAAGATAGAGAAAGAAGAGGCGAGGGAGAAAAAGAGAGATTGAGTGAGAGAAAAGGGGGAGAGAAGAGAGAGAAAAAAAGAGATTGAGTGAGAAATATAGAGTGAAAGAGTGGAAAAAAGAGAGATTGAATGAGAGAAGAAAGAGGGGGGGAATTTGTGTTAGAGAAAGAGAGTTTGAGCGAGCAGAGGGAAAAAGAATGGAAAGAGGGATCGATAAAAGTAGATAAATAGATAGACAGGTAGATAGGGATAGACATAAAAATACTTTTAAAAAGCTATTGAGCCTTTTATTTGTCAACTAATTCACTCAGGAGGCTGAGTTTGCATAAACTAGGATTTTTATTTTATTTTGTTAGGAAAACTAAATAAAAATATGTCGAGATATCTATAAGTGACAGTATCGATTTTTAGCCATGGTCGTAATTTGTGGTGTTCAACGTAATATTGACCTAGTTTAGCTGAATTTTGTTTTGTAATAAAATGGACGAAGTATAAGCTTGTAGCTTGATGTCAGGCAAACAGTGATATCATAACTGACCGGAAGTCTCGAGAAAATGTCAATAAACATAAATCAATCTCACAGATCCATTGTTCATAAGAAAGTTTCATATCGCCATTATCTCGTCCGTTAATGCTTAAGCAGTTTTATCGTCAACTCATGTGGATTAGATTACGATTGAGTCATTGGTCTTAGTCGTAAGAAATTCATATTCCAAAATACAAAATTTATCGAAGTTACTGTATTGACTATTGATGACTAACAATTTCGAAAACCCGATTCACGTTTTCTTACTCATCGTATCTCATTTTGGAACCAACCTTATATTAATTAAATATATATTTCTAATTAAATATATAATTCACTACGTTTTGATTAATGTGACCTACATTCTTTGCTTTCAAGACACTGAATACACACAAAAAAATTTTTTTAGTGTTATTTTATAAATGTTTTATTATGCATATTTACTTTTTGTGTCTATTTACCGTTTATCAGGACTTGGCTTATCAGCGGTTATTTATTTTTTGAATATATTTATTTATTTTTTAAATTGACAATAGCTTATAATTAATAACTATTTTTAAAATTCATGGAAATATAACTGACTGATAGTTTCATAGAAGTAATTTACAAAAACAATTACAATAATAGACAAAAAAATGGAAAACTAAAACTTCTATGAAAATTTCTAACTCGTCTTAGATAAAGTTCTTTTTTGTGTTGATCTGAAAGGAGACTGAATTTTTATTATTATTCCATTTGTTTCATCCAAGAAAATAATCGTTTTGCGTAGATTCCTGACATTTCACAGAAGATTTTGCTTTTTGTTATCTTTTTACAGGTTTTTATAGTTTTTTGTTATTCATTTTTTTATACGCGCGCGCGCGCGTCAACAAACCCGCACAAAGGTTGAAAGGGAGGGAAGAAAGAAAGAAAGAAAGAGAGAGAGAGAGAGAGAGAGAGGGAGAGAGAGAGAGAGAGAAAAAGATAGATAGAGAGAGTGAGGAGAGAAGAAGAAAAAGAGAGTGAGTGAGAGACAAAAAGATAAAGTGGAGAGAGAGCGGAAAAAAAGAGAAATAGAGCGAGAAATTATCTACCTCTTCTTTGGAGTAGACAAAACCTACCAAGATATGACACACTGTATCTGATTGTTTTAAAGAAATAATTTACATAAACTATTACAATAATAATATAAAAAAACTGAAAAAATTATACTTTCTTCTTTGGAGTTGACAAAGTTCTTTCTGTGTTGTTCTGAAAGGGATGTGAATTTTTATTATTATTCCGTTTGTTTCATCCAAGAAAATACTTTTTTTTTGTAGATTCCGGCCATTTTTCAGAAGATTTTGTTTTTTGCTATCTTTTTTACAAGTTCTGGAGTGAAGAATGTAAAATTCTTGTAGTGAACCATTTTTTTTGCTCTTCTTCGGCTAAAAGGTACTGGTTTAAATGGCTTAAGCATGGCTTGGTTATTTGAAAGTAGGCCACAAAGGTCTGGCCCTGATGACGACTAAGTACAGACTAACATACCATTATTGTATAACTTAAATTCTTAACATCTCAAGGCCTTCCTGGCCCAATAACAGCGTCCTCACCACCTTCTCGACTCTGCTTATTCAGAAAAAAATTAAGTTACGAAAATAAACTTGGTTCTGTTATAGCAATTATGAGAATGAAGTCAAAGTGCTTACTATCGAAGCGGAAGTGTTCACAAACAAACACAAATAAAATGTAAATAAATTTAATCATCTAAAAAGGCGGGTTTTTAAAAAAAATAAGGCAAGTAATACGCTTCATCTTTTAGCCAATTTGGCCACAACGAATAAACACCACACTTATTTATTGTAGCATCAATATACCTTTTTTCTTTATTTATTATTATTTATTTAACACGGTGACTGCAAAAAAAAAAAAATAAATTAAAAAAAAAATCTGCCTTGTAACAGCACGAAATACTAAGACTTCATTTGACTATACAAATCATGCTTCTTCCTTTTCAACTAACGATTAATTATTTTCTTGTGTTTGTGTTTTAAAAGCATTATAACTAAACACTTCGGGCACACATCATTAATTAATAAATTTGATGACAGGAGGGTTTAACAGAAAGAAGGACGCGAAGCTGTAATTGGACGAATGCATGCATTATTTTTTTGAAGATCCTAACGCAGATTCGAGTTGCTGTGAGAAGGGGCATACCTTCCATCTTCTTGACGTATAACTGTCGTTTTGTAATGTTCTTCACAAGCAGTCTCTTCTTCTGATTTGAGAGTAATAGTCATGATTTCTTCCATTTTTCAAACGTTTGCAATATGGTCTTCAAGGTGTGAGTTGTCATACTGTACGGTAGTTAAAAAATTGCATTTTTATCAAGGCCAGCATACAAACTACCCTTTGACATGCGCCTTTTCCGACCAAAGTCTCCTTAAAGCATGCGACTTAATGATAAACGTTTGAGGACAGCTTCGCGTCCTTTTTTCTGCTAAACTTTCCAACCCTTCCTCAAACATCTAAAAGCATGATCCCGAAAACCTTCTCTACAACATTGTATAAAGTCTCAACAGACTACAAAGGAGAAGAATTCAGGAGGAAATTAGATATAATGATATGGCATACAGGATCCAAAACAAACGAAGGACCCGGATCAGGCGTTTTCTACACAAGTCCATAATATGAGCAATCAAACTCATTTGGGAAGCACACCTGTCTTTCAAGCCGAAATACACGCCATCAAAGCTTGAACTTTAGAAAATCTTAAAAGAGTTATCTGACAAAAGATCCTCATATGATCGGCTAGGCAAGCAACTATGAAAGCACTAGCATGTAAAAACATAAAGATTAGTCAATAAAAGGATTCAAAATGTCCCGAATCTGTGTAAACTCAATAACCTCATGATATCTTGGGTACCAAGACACAAAGAAATTTTGGGTAACGAAAAGAGCAGACTCATAGGCCAGAGTTGGATCTGCAAGTCCGTGTGAAAACAATACTAACGAGACTAGCAAACTCACAGCTACAGTTAGAGGACTACCGGTCACTGGCATCTGAAAAAACATCTACATAACACGATATATTCAACGATGGTCCCATTTGTACGTTGTGCAATGAAGAAGAAGAAACAGCTACCCATGTCATCTTCGAATGTAAAGCAACTGCTCAACGGAGATATAACCTGGGATACAAAGAAAACCCAAGAAAAGGAATTGTAGCAACGACAATGAATGACCTAGAACTAGGATAGGAAAAGGATAGATTAGATTGCACTGAACTAAGGAACAAGTAAAATACAATAAGCAAGAAGGCTGCAGTGTTTGGGGAAGAACAAGAAATGTATCTATTCCTAGTATCTGTTATCAGCATCTTCTACAGACTTCGTTATGAAGCTTGACAATAATTCTAAGCCGGATTTCTGTCATTATTAATAGTCGAAATTGTGCTTAAATTCACTTGGAAGAGAAATTTCTGTGTCCGCCATATTCTTAAGAACTTACTGCAGCTAAATGTTAAGGTCAAAAAGTTCATCTTGTTTTGTATGACGACAAAATTGATAAATTCATCCTATTTATTTTTAGGTTTAATTTATATACAATATGAACAATCAGGACATTTTAAAAATGTGTACACTTGATTATTCTTATGAAATCGTTGAAATTGAGCTTATACTGCACGCTCTCACATTACGCAATGGGAATTGTAAATCGTTGCATGCTAATTAGTGGAAAAGCCGCGTTTTCACGGATAATTAAGAAAATTTAATAAATGTAAGTTTTTTTGTATACTTACGCTTACGAGTTGATCTGTCCGATCTTTCACCATGTTTTCGTTTTTTCTCAGAGTGAGGCCATAATTTTTCTAACAAGTCGTAAAGAGGAAGTCCTTCATTAAACTCGCATTTCAAGAGCTGAGGTGAAGATAAGCTGAGACATCAGCCCCACCAACGTTCAATAATTGCTTACTTTTTCTCTTCGGGCAAATATTAATTTTTTTGTGGGGCAACAATCGAGCCAGAGGGATTTTACAGTTAAGTCTAACACTTAAGTCCGGATTGTCATGAAAACGGGTTAATTTTTACAGTTTCGATCACAAGTAAAAGTCGTCTATTTTTGGCGCCGGGCCGGTCTCAGTTGGCAAAAGCCGGGTTTCGGATCCGCGGACAGAAGATCGGCGAACCCGCCCGATGGTCGGTTTTGAACTGGTGACAGAGACAGACTTGACAGGATCGTCCCACCACGATTTCAATTTCCCACTCTCGCACCCGCAGTGGGGCAAGTTTTTGCGTTGGATTTACCTCCAATTATACCTTTTTTTCAACCTAAAATATTAAAGCGAATTTAATTAACGTAATTTTAGAGGGGATTAAGCATGACATTATAATAAAGACAACGCCCTACCTTACACAACAGGCTCAGAAGGTCTGGGTCAGCCTATCTGCCACTGTAATGAAAAAGTGTCAACTATCAGTAATGACAACCACCTCAGCCACCACTTACTTAGCTTACCTCATTACGAAGTTTGACAAATCCAAAACCGGATTTCTGTCATTATTAATAGACTAAACTGTGCTTATATACACTTGGAAGAGAAATTTCTGTGTCCGCCATACTCTTAAGACCTTACTGTGGCCAAAGGTTAAGGTCAAAAAGTTTATATTGTATATTTATGAAGACAAAATTGATAAAATCATCCTATTTATTTTTATATTTAATTTATATTAGGACATTCTAAAAAAGTGTACACTGATTTTTATATGAAATCATTTGAAATTAAGCTAATACTTATGGAAGCTAAAAGAATCTCCTCAGAAAAGGTTGACATAAAAGAGGAAAAACAAAATTTAAATAAAATAAGCTAAACCTTTTAATTGAAAAATAACAGAAAAACGTACATACATTAATTATCAAACAATAAATAAAATAAGACTACTCACAATTTATATTTACAGAAGAATTTACACTCAGCTGAGAGACAAAGTATTAATTTTTAAGTTTAAGAGAGACAAAAAGGAACAGCCTGAGCTCACGTGGTCAACCCGCAAGAGAAGAGAAAAATTCCTCTTTCTTTTCTCAGAGGTTTCGATGAACCCGCAAAAAACTGTCGATCTTTTGTTGGCCCTCTTTCAGGCTGGCGCCCCTTTCAAAAAAACTCTCCAATATTATTATACATGTTATATACTGCACGCTCTTACATTAAGCAATAGGAATTGTAAATCGTTGCATGTTAATTAGGGGAAAAGTCACGTTTTCACGGATAATTAACACAATTTAATAAATGTAAGATTATTTCTTGGGTATACTTACTGTTCTGAAAAGTAAGAAAATGCTGATTAAGCTTTTTTTCAATCTAAAATTTTAAAACAAATTTAATTATGAAACTGTGTAATTTTAGAGTAGGATTAAGCATGACTTTATAATAAAGACAACACGCTTTCTTGATTTTTCTTTACACAACAGGCTCAGAAGGTCAGGGTCAGCCCATCTGTGACTGTAATGAAGAAGTGTCAACTATAATTCAGTAATGACATTCACCCCAGTCACTACTTACCTAGCATAACAGCGCACATCTATAGAGTATTGTAAAAAAAATTTAAATTAATCCATAAATAGCCCATTTGTACATATAAAAAAATGTAGAGATTAGTGACCGTTAATCGATAGTTATTCTGATATCGTGAGATGCGGTCGGGTGTGATGTAGGTATGTAGGATGTAGCCCTGAAGATGATCTCAATAAAAGATCGAAACGTTGGCACGATAAAGAAAATGTTTTTCTGAAACCTACATCACATCCGACCGTATCTCATGATATCTGAATAAATATAAAAATATTTTTATTTTTAATAGGGAAGACTTAAACTACAATAAAGACAAGCATAAAAGACTGACAAAATTTTGGTGTGGTGTGCACAACTGTTTGACACAAGAACAGCCACGCAGCAGTTGATGTAGAGTTTATCGCAGTACTATTCATGAAATGGATAACTCTGAGGAAGAATGTGAGGAAGGCTGGAAGTAATGGGTACAGCAGCAATCTGCTTGCTTTCACTGTTGAACAGATAACCTTAGGTTCTTGAAGTTTCAAATGATATATTTGAAAAGGAAGAAAATGCTGATTGATTCACCTTTTCAGTATTTGTATTTTCAGATGACGAAACATGAATTTGATTATCTGCGTGGAACAATATAGAAACAGATGTAAGCCAAATTAATCGAGTTCATAAAAAAAATTCATGAGTCATAACAAATATTTGATTATGATAGATTCAAAGAAAATTCACCAGAACACTGGAAAATCATTTAGTGAGTAAGTAATATTCAACAATTTTAATGCGTTATTATGAGCAAAATCAGGTGATAAAATGTTGTCGCTCATGTTGTGGGTTCAAATCCAGCCTGTAACACTAACTTTTCATTTTGAATCAGTCAATTGAATATGTTAGTTATTTGTTGTGTACAGTATGTACTTGCACATTCTTATTCTCTTATTTATTTATTGAATCATGTGAAATTCAACATCTTTATGTTATTTCAATTTTTTTTTATTATCTAAGGTCCTGGTTAATTGAAATAATTAGTATAGTCAATTATGACCGCTATTAATCTAATGTTGTGTTTAATACTTTTATTGTTTTGTGTAATGCCTGGGTTTTTTAAATATATTTTTCCCCTAAACCATTTTGTGTGTAATGTATATTTTAAGATAAAAATTTTCTTACATTTAATGCAGACTAGGTGAAAAAGTTGCAATGATGCTCTGGAACCAACTGAATACCTATGTAAACAAATACTGTAAATAAAAAATTATATCCAATAAAATTCATACATCCATACATGCTTTAGTTATAAACCATCATGATATAACAAATAGTGCGTAATACATAAAGGGCATAGTTGCACTTTCTCCTCCTCCAGGAGAATTCTTGTTCCATTCTCTCCTGAAACTACTTGATTATTATGTTACTAGCTGTAGCCGAATGCATATCGACAATAGTTGTAATTAACCATAAATAAAATTTAAAACACCAATAGTGATGTTTATTTATAACTCATATACGTCACTATAGCACCAGATCAATTGAATTTGATTTTAAATCTTTGAGAATTAATTTGCAGTATTTGTTACTTAGATCAACCAAAATCCATCATTCCAGCGCATTAGTAATCATTTTGCCAAGCTAGTATCATTAAAAAAATATATGAACAGACTTCCATTTAAACAAAGATCAAGCTTTAACAAAATGAAAATAAATAAAAAATGGACACAGCCTGTCAAATAATAATAATATTTTTTTTTATCTTGTAGATTTGCACAAGTTGCAGCATTGACTTGGCAAACTGATAAATATGTTAAGTGATAAACTGATAAATACAAAATGATTAAGAGGATTTTTTTAGAGGGGGATAAGAAATTAAAAGAAAAAAATAGGATAAAGCTCGCTTAATACATTTAAGATTAAAACAATAATAATAATAATAATTATTATTATTTTACAATTATCCCCCCCAAAAAAATATATATAGCCTGTTTACTTCTTTCAATTAATTATACTTTTTATCTCAACCAAGATCTTACATAAAAAGAATAATTAATTGAAATAAGTAACTTGGTCAATTGACCACTAAAACGTAAATGGATTAATCTTGTTTACCTTATTATTTTTGTATCTTTACATTATTTTGAGTTTACTTAAAGCTTTAAAACCATTTTTATGTGTTAATTTTTTTAAACTTTTTAAATTTATTTTAAAAATTAAATTTAGTATTATTTATATTAAAGGAAAATTGTTAAAGAGGTATTACTTGCTACAGGCTGCATGGTTTAACAATTTTATTTAAATTTAAATAATATTAAATTTAAAAAATGTTAAATTTACAGATGAAAAATGGTCCTAAATCAGTAATAAACCTCAAAATAATGTAGTTATAAAAATAATGAAGTTTTACAATTTGAAGTTGAAACAATACTGCATTCTTAGTTTGACAAAACAACAACAATCAATCACATCACTAGTAAACACAATGTAAACGTAAATTGGAATTACTACACAAAAAATTTATATTGTTTGGCCATAAAACACAAAATCAATTTGAACATAACTACTTTACTTATACATATTATTCCTTTTGTTTCAACATACTATTTCTTTTTTTTTTTTTTTACACAAGATGAAATTAATAAATCAGAAAAAGCCAATTTGAACTGTTAGAATTTAACGAAATTTTCAGCTATAAAATATGTTTTTATCATAATTTTTAAAAATTTAATTACTAAGTTTCTGATATTAATGAACTGAATATTCTTTCTTTTCTTTTTTGAAAATCACGGATAAAACACTAGCACTATGAGGAATGATATGACCTCTGCTGTTGCAAACCCTAGTAAAAAAATATGATACAGAATGAAACAAATATACTGATCATATAGCCATAGAGGGAGCATCCACAACTAGGTCCACTGGAGAGTGTACTAAAGCTATATATATATATTTTTTAAATGCCAAATAGTACTGTGGAGAGGTAAAGGTCCATACTTCAAAACTTCCCACTTGTCACCATGACAACGGTTATTTACATGCTGCTGTCCTTGAAATGAGGTTAATTGTTGGTTCACTCCAAGATTGACTTTACTTATGTTTTCATGTTTAACAATACATCTTTCTTAGTTTGTACAAATATTTAGTAACAAAATGCGACCTGTGCAGAGTTATAGCGCAATAATGGAATTCTTGTGGTTCTTCTTTGGGAAAACGTTTCTGCCAGTCCTAGTGCCAATTTTGGTCTATCAGTTGTACAAGGGAAGGAAGATCCCCAGGAAAAAACTCTGTGGGAAGGTGACCAATTTTCCTTTTTACAACAGCCACTAGCTTAAGTAATTCAGATGTGACAGGTCATTAACTAAATGTATTTAAACACTTGGATAAACTATTTCAAACATAATCAGACTGATTACTGTCATCGATGACCTCAGTTTTTATTTTTTTTGGGAAAGTCGGGTGATGCGGTCAGCAATAAATGTGGCCGGAAGAGCTGAGGAAACAGAATTCTCCTTTTTTGCGTTGAAAACCATGTGCGTCCACTTTTATGGACTGGGCGCACAGCTCTCTGCAACTCTGCATGAGGGTACGTTGAGTCGTTGAGGTTCCTCAGCTTCAAGTTTGAGGGGAGATCCTCCTGAAAATGACTCGCTGCTGTTAGATAGACCTTACTTTATGTGCATGGGTTACAATTCTGCCTGAACAATGGACCTACAGAAGAAGAATAAATAGGCTCTAATTTGTGACCTTTGAGCAGTCAGGTGCATTTAGAACAAGCCCTTTTGCCAGCCTGTGCTATAGCTGAGGGTGCTGTTGCCCGAACTTCAGAGAGCAGCTTACCCTCAGCTGTACGGTGTGGTTCTTTGCCAAACTGGGGCTTTAGGGTGTGATCCTTAGATGCCAGTACAGCAGAATATTCATTGGACCCAGATGTGACCCCTTGCAATGTGCTTCAGTGAAGCCTTAGGAAGGGCAGGGACACTGGGAATGATACTCAAGCTGGTATCATATAGCTCTATTATATTCTCCACCCTGAGACCATTTTTGTGTCCCCTAGTGTGTTGAAAGTAAATGTATTTATTTGAGTGAACGTGTAGTGTGAGAGGATCAATGGTGAAATATTGAGTACCCCTTCAACATTCAATTAAGCTTATATAATAGGTGTAAAAGGTACGGAGGAATGTCAAGGACCCCACCACCCTAACTGAGTGGTAGCCCCTGGAGCCCAATCTCAGCATACAAGACCTGGAGTGGGTAATTCTCGGTACTTAACAGTAATTTATTGTAAATTACACAAAAGCTGAACTTTCCAGTGGACTGCGAGAAGTGATAGTCTCGACTCTGTAAATCCAAATATACATGCACATACAGAATTGAGTTTATATTAATTTAATTAATAAGCGTGTTTCAAACATATTTGCATGTTTTTATGAACTTTCTTGCTTAGTTGACAATGTTGTCAATAAGGCCAGACTTAGACGTAAGTTTTTTGTTAGGTTGTTTTGATAACTGGGGCCAGCTCAGGGCTTGGAGAGGCGATAGCACAGTTGTTTTATCTTGCAGGCTGCAAAGTTATTCTAGCATCTAGGAGAGTCAAAGAGCTAGAAAAAGTCAAGTCCAAGTTGATGTCACTCAAACCGGTACATCATATGATGCAGAAAACAAGCATATAAGTTAATACTGAATTCATTCAAGGATGCGGTGTACATTCCCAAAATCCTCCAACTTGACCTGCTCGACGTCGATTCACTTTCGATGAAAGCTTCTGAGGCAGAGTCTATGTTTGGACAAGTCGATATTTTGGTGAACAACGGTGGGGTATCATTTCGAGGTGATATTCTAAACACTTCTATGGATGTGCACATAAACGTAATGACTGTCAATTATTTTGGACCACTCGCTTTGACAAAAGGTATTGATTCAATGATATAATTTATTATTTAACTTAATTTTATTTGTATTATTTTCAGCTTTACTTCCTGGGATGATAAAGAGAGGAGAAGGACACATCATTGGTATAAGCAGTGTTCAGGGTCAAATAGCAATTCCTCACAGGTCTTTTATGTTTTAAGCTTCCTAAAAAAAATATTACAAAATATTTGTTTTAGATCTGCATATGCTTCTTCCAAGCATGCGTTTCAAGCGTTCTTAGACTGCCTGAGATCAGAAGTCGCCCATAAAAACATACTCGTGACAGTCGTGAGCCCAGGTTATATAAACACAAGCCTTTCTAAAAACGCTCTCACAGAATCTGGTTCAACATATGGAGGTAATACTCCTCTTCATCATTTTTAATTGTTATAAATAATAAATAATAAATTTATAGTCACCGATCCTACAACAGCGAGTGGCTATGAACCTAAGTACGTTGCAGAAAAAGTCCTGTTGGCAGTCTCTCAAGAAAATCCTGAAATTATAGTTTCAACATTGGGACCGAAAATTGCGATCATCCTCCGAGTCCTCTGCCCTAAGTTGTATTTTCATATAATGAAGAATCGAGCAAAGAAATATCAGTTCACATATTAATACTTATGTGACTGAAACATTGCTTCCTATGAAGGATGATTGTATTAGATTAAATTATAATTTATTTTTTAACATTTGTTTACTAAAAAAAAAAAAAAAAATACCTGAACCAAAACTCTTGATTAGTCGTATGTATGATGTTGATGATGTGAATATATACTAGGAAGCCGAGGGTTTTTTCTTCCTCAAGCGCCCCTTTTGGCTTATTTTGCTTCCTTATTTCAGGTCATTTGACTCTATCATTCACCTAAGGAGTATGTCTATATTGTCTTTGCTACAATTCCTTTACTGCGTTTTCTTTGTAACTCTGGTTAGGTCTCCATTGACTGGTTGCTTCACATTCGACTATGCACATGTGTAGATGTTTTCTCAAATGCCAGTGAGTTTGTCAGTCTTGTTGAGGGTTGTTTACAAAGTAGGCTTACTATGTCTAGCATGGCTTGAATAGTAGTTTATCCACTTATTTTTTGTAATCCATTCTGTGAACCCTGTTTGTTTTTGTTATCCCAAGGATCGGTTCAGGACGTATATATGGCCTTGCAGAACTCTGGGCAGTATGTTTGCTTTTTTCGTTACTCAAAATTCCTTTGTGTCTTGGTACCCGAGGTTGTTGTGCTTACACAGGTTTTGGACGTTCTGGATCCATTCACTGACTAATCTTGATATTTTTTTTTACATGGTAGTGATTTAATAGGTTCTTGGCTATCCAACATTATGAGGATTTTTTGGCAGTGTAACTCTTTTAATTTTTTCTAAGGCTAAGCTTTGATGGCATGTATTTCAGCTTGAAATGAACCTAATGAATTTGCTCATATTTTGGACATGTATACAAAACGCCTGATCCGGTTCCTTCGTTTGTTTTGGATCCTGTATGCCATATCATTATATCTAATTTCCTCCTGAATTTTTCTCCTTTGTAGTCTGTTGAGACTTTATACAATGTTGTAAAGAGATCATGTAGTCAGTCAGAAAAAGTTTTTAATAATTATTGTTTGCCCAATCAAGTTCCATTCAATTTGATTGTTTCTGGAGCGTACCTGAGCTTTTCCTTGCATAATATTTCCAATAGAGGTAGGTTTAGCAGTTTTCTAGTGCAATTGAATTATTTTCATTGCCTCTGTAATACATAGGTTTGCCAGTCTTTGTGTGCTGCTTAATGTTTGGGTAGCTTGTTTTTGGTGAGTTTTGGTCCACCAGACTGGTGAGCCATAGGATACATACAGCCTTATCTTATTTTCAGTCCCTAAGATTTGCCTAGACTTCTCGTGGTCATTGGTAATATTTTTATTATTGTTATGATGCGCTGCCGGTGAGCGTTTCAAGTTAATTTCTTATAGATTATCCCTAGGAATTTAACCTTTTTTTTTACCAGCAACACTTCCGTATACCTTGTTTCTGTTTCTTTTCCTGGTAAATGGAATTAGTGTAGTTTTCGAAAGATTTTCTTTAAATCTCTACTGTGAGCACCATTTTTCCTTGTCTTGTATAACTGTCATTTGCATAGCCTTGGGTTTAGATTCCGCTTTCATTTAGTTTGCATATGAGATCGTCCACAACCACGTTTCACTGTACAGGTGTTTTCCTCCTTGTGGTCATCTTGCCACTGCTGCTTCAACTTTTTTGTGGAACATGGAGGCCTGCCCTTGTCTGCATTTTAGCATCGATCAGGGCCTCGATGTCTCAGTGATGTGACCATTGCTTCAAAAGAAGTATTCCTATGTAAAGGAGATTATTAGTGTATTTATTTTGTAATGAGAGTATTTCAACTATAAGGCATCCCTCGAAACACTATCAGTGTTTTTGAGAAAAAAAATTGTATGCTGGGTCCACAACCCTGACCATCCGATCATTGTATTAGTTTGCTTACCTTTACATATTTTGTGCCTGGCTACATTCAAATATCAATAGTTCCCAAATATATAAATCTAAACTGGTAAATTTCGGACTCGATACCAGAAACTGAATATCTTTTGTCATGATCAATAAAAATACAACTGAAATATAATCAAGTTTTATTAAAAGTAGTTTACAAAAATAAAAAGTATAGAGTTAATTAATAATTAATTTTATATAACACATATGTTTTCAATTGCACTTTCAGTTAATAGACAAGAGAGCTACAACTATTTAAATATTGTTTACCTTTTCATTAAATAAAATGTTTCACTTTTTTAATGAAAAATTGTATTGCATAACAGTACAGAGGCGAACATAAAAATGTTTTTTGTTCCGTTCTACAAATATAAATTAAGAGATTCCAAGTGTTTAGGGATGTATTGAGTGATGTACAAATACTGTAAATATTTTGTGAAATTGACATGATTGCTCACTTTTTATTGAAGTATTTAAATTACTTACTTAAAGATTGAGTGGATTATTAAAAATTGCATTTTATAATAAGTACCTCCTCCAAATAAATGTATTTTGCCTTAATTTTACTTCTAAAGGAACTTCTACTTAAAATTGTCAAACTTATAAAAGTATATGAATTAAAAAAATTACAAAATATATTAAAGATAATAAATACATAAAATATATATATGTTAAATAAGTTATATAACGAACTCGAAAAAAAAATCTTACCGAGGTTGTACAAATCTAATTAGATGGCACAACCACAATAAAAGTTAAAATATGGATGATCGCAAAAAATGCTCAGATCTTTGATAAATTTTCTTTAAGATGGTGCTGTCAACTTGATCCATAAAGTTAAAGTTGGTAAGCGCACAGCAGACGAGCATCACTTTCGCAATATCAATGTCATCAGTAAACCTGTCAATAAATGTGCAATATAAATTAGTCTTTCAAAAATAGCATATTCCCTGTTTTTATCACACTTTTATAAAATAATATCCTTTACAAATGCCACACAGTAATATGGAAGAGGCATTCCTTAGTGATATTATAATAAGGTTTAATGAAAATACTGCGAGTAGAAAATTATCTTGGCATCAAAATAATTGAAAAAATAGATTAGTTGGATGAGAAAAGATGTGTACAAATCAGGTTAGCCTATGAATAGACTGCCATGCTTTAAACCCGTACAAGGTCGCGAATCTCATAGAGATGACTTGTCTTCACCACTTGGCAGTGTGTCCTCAATGAGGACATTTTTTGAACACACCACTTTCTGTTGGCTATTACTTTCCCGACATTTAAATATTTTTGATGAGTGTGAAACCAGCCTTCAAACATTGTGCACCATTCTGGTACAGCTCCATTGCTGATGTCTGCAAAAATGTGGTGTGAAATTGTTTTTTTCAAATTTTTAAAAATAGTTATTTAGACAAAATATAAAGGGGAAAAAAACTCAAACTGTGATTTATAATTAATATTAAGGTATTAATGGGTGGGGGAAAGCCTCAGAGGGTTGACAGGTTTGTGCCTTCAATGTGTTAAAAAATTAATACAAAGTGAGAAGAACAAACAGGACTTTTTTTCATAGAAAATATACATTTTTAAACCTTTACTTTTATAATTTACACCAACCTTGATGTTTTTGTCAGGACATAATTTGACAATTTGGATATGACACATTGTATGTCCTGGTTGAAAGTGTCACCTTGAGTGATTTTGCCGATTTGTGTGAAAACCAATTGGCCACCCTCCTCAGAGACCCTTAAAAAAAGAATAATAATTTATAATGTCGACCGACAAATTTACAGATGCAACATACTGGTAGAACTCTAAAGGATCTGATATGCAAATAATGTCACCGGGAATGAAGTACTTGCTGCACTGAATATACAACATTAGTGATGGAGGCTGAGTGCTCGTGTACCAGGGTGTCACAAAAAAAATCGGGATCTTCTCATTGCTGATTACAATAAGCACCTAGCATTAAAACAAACTTTTAAAATTGATTCAATTATTATTTATTAAGATCACAACATTATTTTTGTTTTCAGTATAACTGTATACATTGGGTATTGCAAGTAAAAATACAGAAATTTAAAATTTTACAATTCACATTGAAGGTCAAACAAGAACACTACCTTTCCTGAGCTATTCTCAGCAACAAACGCATAAAAGTTCATTGCTGTTACCCTATTGTTTACCCTTTGAACGTGCCAAGGAAGGAGGTCAAGAACAGATTTTGATAATACACTTAGTGTTTTATCAAAAATACTCTGTGCCTCTGTAACATCAATCTCGAACCTGAAATACATTTAGGCATTATCTAATCTGAAAATATTTTACAATAAACACCTTTTAGTCATTTCAAAAGAACTGTTTCATTTAAAATATGTTGAAAAAAGAATTTAGAGATGAGAATGTACGTAGAAATATATTAAATTACAACAACATTGATTCTTAATCCATCTAGAACACTACCTGTATGCAAGATCTTTCCATTCTAGGTCAAGCCGCAACTTCATAAACGTAAGCAACATCATTTTATACTTAGAGAGCTCAGAAGTCGGGAGATGAATATACTTCACAATTCCAACTGCATTTTCATAAACGTTAAGGCCAGAATAATACACCAACTGCTCTCTGGCAATTTTGTCATTTTTATCTATAAACCAGTATTATAATTTATTTTTTATTACACTAGTTGAAATTGAAAAAATAATTTACTCCGGTTGCTGAGAGAGGAAGATGATGGAGTCGGAAAGGCAACATTGACTTTTCTCCTTATTATAGGAATATTTCTCGATATTTTTGATGTGTTCAATGTGGTGATAACTGGTGATGCCTCTTGTTTACAACGTTTAACCGGGGTTGTCTGGAATTGGCAGGAAATGCCAGAAATTTCCCTTCCTGCGACATCTGTGATGCTTATAAATGAATCATTGGCTCCTTGAATGTTGAATTTATGTGAATCTGTGATGTCATGTAAGACAGTCTGCTCAACAAACAAAATTGTGAAATAAACTTTTAAAAAAGTCTAAATTAAATTTCGGTTGACTGACTTTGTACTCTTCCCTGGGAGTTTTCCCATGAAAAACCGATGTCTCTCCTATGCCTGAATCACCACAAAAGGTGGTTCCTGACTTTGGAGTTGAAGTGAATTTGAGGTCTTGGAAAGTTTCCTTGTTTTCAACTGTCGCCGTTCCTTCTTCCTCCAATAAAGAAAGAGCAGTCTCATCAAGACCTAGATATGAAAACAATTACAGACCAAAATTTAGGCATTTGTGAATACAACAATTACTAGGTTTTGTTTTCTCAGAAGAAATGTCATGTGGTTGACCTAGAATAGTGTAATAATAATGTAGTTTCTTTGAAATAGTTTATACTACATCATTATCATTTACATGAAAAAAGAAAAATTTAAAATATTAAAATTTAATTTTTATTTATTTAAAAATGACATTGTTTTTGAAATTATTACTTATTACTAAATTTTCAGGAAATTATTTTATAATTAACACTATTTTATAAGATTACATTGTTTTAATTTTTAGTTCTCACCTAACAGTGAGTTGACATCAAGCAGTTCGTCAGGATAAAGAGGTGAAGGGTTGTCAAAAAGCCAGTCGCTAGGGCTCTCCACCTGCTCGCCAGAAGACTGGACAATGCTTTGAAGGAAATCGCTGTAGTCTGGTGTTGTACAGGAAGTCACCTCAGCAGAATTCCCCTCTTTTAACAAATTGAGAAATGGGTCTCGACCTTGTGCCATCCCTGGTCCGACACTTCGGCTAGCAAGCTTCTGCTTTCTCTGCCTTGACATTTCTTACATCCTCCGTGCTATTTTATTTTGTTTTAACCACTGAGGAGACAAAGTGTATAATCTTAGAATTAGGAAAACATATACATCAAGACTTATGTAAAAACTAAAATTAACAGATAAATTCAGGGGCTTATTGCAATGTTGATTATTTATCTGATAAAATTACCTATTAAGCGTTAATGCTTCTCTATTGTTCTACACCAATTGCAAACCAAAATGATCCAAAACAACCAAGATAGTATGTGGAAAATGTGAAGAGAATAAGGACATAAACATGTCCTGCCATTGTGTGCAGTACAAACACCACAGAGCTACTTAAAAAATAAGTTTCCAAGTTGGCCATCAGAAAAACACCAGAAAACATGAAATATTAAATACTCAACAGTTACTGATAGGATCAAACAAGAAGCACAATAAAAATTAAGCAATGTATATTTTGGCAAGACTGAAGCAAGCACACAAAGAGAGAGAGGAGGGAGAGAGAGGGAGAGAGAGAGAGAGAGAGAGAGAGAGAGAGAGAGAGAGAGAGAGAGAGAGAGAGAGAGAGAGAGAGAGAGAGAGAGGGGATACATAACAAAACTTTAGAATTAGGCTATTAGGAGCCAGACTCATTAAGACCTTGTATATTTATATCAACTGTCTATTGCTATGCAATGAAACAAATTTTGGTCTATTGTGCATCTACATCATAGTCTAAGTCTCTTCATTAGCTAAGAACAGCGGTATGTCTGAAAAATAATTTTATAGATTTTTTCTTTACTGATTTTGTAGGAATTTTATTTCTGAACAAACTAAAATTATTTTAGAGATGTTCTGTTCATTTCCTATTAAAAAAATGTTTTTGTGGGAAAAGCTGAGGGATTGATGGATTCCAGGTAGATTGACCTTACTCTTTCCCTTTGTTGAACTGCCTCTTGGTTTCCCTTCTGTTTTCCAGTTTGTTTCTATTTTGTGGTGTGTTTTCTGTTGGAAATGCCAAGGAAAAAACCTTTGATTAGATTAAGATTATGATTTTAAAAACCACCTCTAGCAATGCCAGGAGTGACTTCAAATTTATGAACTTATTCAATTAGACTTTTTCCCTATTCATGGCAATTATTTTTACAATATTTAGGCATTATTCTCACCTTTGGAGAGGCAATTCAACTAAGTACAGAACTGTGTGGTGATTAGTGACCATTAATCGATAATTATTCAGAAATCGTGAGATGCGGTCTAGTGTGATATAGGTTTCAGAAAAACATTTTCTTTATCGTGCCAACGTTTCGATCTTTTTTGAGATCATCTTCAGGGCTCAAAGTGTTTGTCTTTTGTGTAATTGTGCCATTCTTGTGTGTTGTGTTGAGAGTGCCCCTGAACACAAACATTACACAGAAGACAAACACTTTGATCCCTGAAAATGATCTCAATAAAGATCGAAATGTTGGCACGATAAAGAAATTTTTTTTCTGAAACCTACATCACACTAGACCACATCTCACGATTTCTGAATAATTAAGTACAGAACTTTTACATATGCTTCTTTATATTGTGACCCATCCCCAAGACTAACTGTTTCAAGGATCAATTTTGAGGATCTGAGCAGCCTGAGGATAGTTCACCTTGGGTTGCTAACACAACTGTGGACATGAGGTGTCTTATTGAGGGCATTTAAAACACAACAGGAGGAAAAGAAAGATTTACGCGGAAGGTGAATTTTAATGAGATGCATATACATTTGATCATTGTTTTCTAAAAGATGTGTTTTTAGGTACTTCAGTATCGTTTATTCCTGCTGTTCTATTGGTTAAGAATTTATTTTTATGGGTTCATATATTATTTGGTTTACAACATAAAATTGTAACTTTTTCATATATTTGACTGGGATTATATTCAGTAAACAGTAATGTGGATAAACAATAGCTTTTTTTAAAGAGTTCTAGGGAAAATAAAAAATTGGTTTATTGATTTTTTATGAGTTTTCATACAATATATATTAATATTTCATATTTTCTTGTCTGTTCCTCTGTTGTTCTGGTGGCAAGCTTAAGAACTTTTTTTTATTGGCTGTAACTGCGCACAGAGGCAAGACATGCTTTATTTCCTTATTCTCTTTGCATTTTGTTTGTTTTGGATCATTCTGGTCGTCAGATGTACTTTGGCATTTCACAATCTTCAGTCCTGCGTCCTGGGCAGTAAAGTATATGATAATTGTGATAGGTAATTCAGATAGTTTTTTTCTAATCTCAAATATTTATTTTGTTTCGTTTATTCAATCATGTATTGAATTGACTTTTCTAATTGTTTAAAAGAAAACTACCAAAACAAATCTAATTATCAGTGCTTTTTTTACCAAGTATGTATTCAGGGTACAAGGTCATCATAAGAAACGGTGGGAAGGTCGAGGGCTCTGTAATAACAAAATTACAACTGAGCTTCCTCGGGCAGTTTAAGCACAAAAGATGCAGTCCTAGAGAAACTTCAAAATGCATTGTTATAAAAGTGAGTTGGATACGTGGACATTTTAAATTTCTGCTGAAACTTATAGTGCAGTTTAAAATAACAATGGAACATCAATAATACTAATAAGACAGTTATTTAATAAATAAGAACGTTCTGGCCTATATTTTTATCACATTGGATTTTCATTGGTTTGTTGTTTATTACTATTTTTTCTTTAATGGGCGTGGAATTTAAGTAAAATATTGGTTTTTTTTTGTTTATTTACGTTCCAAGAGATTTAAATCATTTTATAAGGACTTATCCACTAGAATTAATGTAAAAATAAATACATTGTGTGTAGCATGAAATAACTGTTTTTCTGCTTATACTGCAAAACAAATCTCACACGTATGCACAAAAACACTAAGCTTCGAGCATAATTAAATAAAATAACATGTCAAAAGTTATTTTACTTAGTAACTAAGCCGAGAAAAGAAATTTATACTCAAAGAAATGGAATATGTTCATTTCTGCAAAACTAACATACCAAAACCGAGTACTAGAAAAAATAGGAGTGATTTTTCTCTCTTTCGTAAATGAAAGATCTTTCACGCTTTCTGGAACATATCAAACACTTCATTTACTTACAATCCGAGGAGTCTAAGAGGTCGACATTTACAGGAGAGTTCAATGCTGAATGAAAAAATAAGTTGAAACGGAACGGGACGGATTGACAATTCGGATGCCAACAATGGCGGCGTTTGACACTTGATAGGATTTTCGGCGGCAAAAAGCCGCACGACCTGGCGCCTTAGGGGCCTCGATTGGGAGGTTACGCAACAAAGTCTGATCACTTTTAAGTTCACCAATTGAATAAGTAAATGTTAAATAATAAATATAAACAATATATATATGCAATATAAAGATACAATATAAAATACGAGAGACAAAGAAAATAGCCCACCCTAGGTGTTTTTTTCTCCCTTTACTAAATACTTGCAATCGTTATAATTTTTCTTTTTTGTTATTTACTGGATACTTTTAAAAGAAAAGTATGTGATATAGCTAAATAAAAAAAGTAAATTAAAAATTAAACTCAGTAAAACAATTTTACCAAAAATGTTGCTATGGAAATAATGAAGAAATTCAATTCAGATCGGAATATTTCATCCTATTGTATTGATCACCGCTTGCATACTCGACGTGGCATCAATTTCAAAGTCAATAAAATGTTTTTCGATGTTTTTGGGTTTTTCTTGGGAAGAAAAAATAAAATAAACGTCCTACGAGCCTTTTACATAGAAAAAGACAATAAAAATTTTTTCGATTTTTTTTTGCGTTTTTGTTGGAAAAAAACAACGTATCCTACGGGCCTTTTACATCGAAAAAGACAATAAAATTTTTTTAGATTTTTTTGGGTTTTTGGGGTTTTTCTTGAAAAAAAGTGTCCGGGCATTTTACATCGAAAAAGGCGTTTTTTTTCGACTTTTTTTTCGTTTTTCTTGAAAAATACGCGTCCTACGAGCCTTTTACATCGATAAAGACAATAAATTTATTTTTAGATTTTTTGGGGTTTTTTGCTTTTTTCTTGAAAAATACATTTAAAAAACTTGCCTACGAGCCTTTTGTATCTAAAAAGACAATACAAAATTTTTCGATTTTTTTTTTTGCATTTTTCTTGAACATGAGTATACGCACTGCATCACAGTTTTAAAGTTCTTTCTGACTTTTTGAAGTTTTCAAGTTTTATTCCGGATCTTTTGATTGCATGTGCATTGAAAACCGTAGTGTTACCTCCTTGAAAGGTGAACACAACACGTGATTTTCAAGTTGTGGTGTTTTCAATATAAACAACTGCGCAGTTTGTTATTCCATACTTAAAATATTTTTTAAATAAAATTTATACATTAATTCATGCTATTTTAATTGAGGAATAAAAATGAGCTCGACAGGAGTGAAGAGGAAATCGAAAAAACAGCCGAAGATAAGCGAGAGGAAAGTTCGTAGGAAAGAGTGGTTCAAGAAGCAAAAAGAGAATCCTCAAAAGCCCAAAATTGGCTTGGAAGACCTCTCGGAATCGGATTTCGACACTGACGACGATCTGTCACTTGACGACGAAGAATACGGAACCCTAACCGATACGGAGGATGAGAGCGTCGAAGAAGAAGAGATACTGGAGCCGGAAGGTTTCGTCAGCGAAGAAGAATCGGAAGACGAGGTGAAGATTAAAAAACGGGCGGAGAGGCAGCCGGCTGAAGAAGATTCGAGGACTGTATTCGTTGGGAATCTTCCGAATACCATAACGAAGAAGAAACTGAGAAAATGGTTCTCCAAATATGGAAAGGTGGAGAATGCGAGGCTGAGATGCCCTCCGAGGGCCGACCCTTCCATTCCGAAGAAGGTCGCCACGATTAAAAAAGACTTTCACGAAGGGCGGACCAACATTATTGGTTTCGTCTGCTTCAAGGATGAAGAGAGTGCACAGAAAGCATTACAAGCGGACGGTTCAAAATTTGACGAAGAGCATCACATCCGAGTAGATCTGGCTGGGAAGAAAGAAAATGACCCAAAAAAAGCTATCTTCATTGGAAATCTTCCATTTGGAGCAGAGGAAGAACAGCTCAGAGATATATTTTCCAAATGCGGAGATATCAAAAGTATAAGAATAGTGCGGGATAAGACTACTTGTGTCGGAAAAGGTTTCGGGTATATTAATTTCAAAGAAAGACATTCTGTCCAACTGGCACTTGAACAGGATGGAGTGACATTGGGAAAACGAGAATTAAGGGTGAAAAGGGCTGACAATTCCAAACAGGAGAAATCGCCCCGCACGACTGAAAAACCCTTCATGAACAATAAACAAGGCAAAATGAAAAATAGTTTTAAAAAAGACTCCACACAGAAAAAGAAGAAATTCACCTTCGCCAACAAAGAAGAGAAGAGCAAAGTGAGGAAGGCTTTTTACCAAGGGGAATTGAGTAAAATGAAAGAAAAACGTAAAACCAAGAAGAAAAACAAATTTCAAAAGAAGCATGAAGTTCTGAAGAAGATTTTAAATTCTACAAAAGATAACAAAAAAAGTGTAAATAATTAAATTGTTAATGCTTTGTATTTTTTATTGAAGGACTTTACTATGTTCGTTTATAATTAAGACAAAATTATAAATTATTCTATGTAATAATATATATTTTAAAAAAATACTTTAAAAAATATTTTATTTATATACTTCCAGTACATAAAAAGTCATTTAGTGCCTTTTTATTACTTACATGAGTATTGTAAAAAAATAACTTTCAACAAAGGGAGGGAGGGAACTTACGATAACAAAAAAATTGTAGTTGGGTCATTTTATCTCCAGCAATTGTTGTTTTTTTTTTAACACAAAACCGTTATTGAAGATGATGAAAAGACACAGTGCAACTAACAGACCAAAATATTTGGAATTAATCAAACTACAGGTTCATCATCCTGCATAACTCAAGAGGAATTGTATTTGTTTAGCACTTTGTTGGCTATTGTATTCTGGGTATTGTTAAAATTCACCCTAACACCTAAGAAAGCTGGACTACATCAGTTAATGAAGTACGGTGGCTCAGCCATACTCTTGTCAAATTGACCCCTACTTTCATCTTGCCAATCAAGACACCCTAAAATATAAATAAAAATATTCTTTTATTGCAAAAAAAGAAAAGTTATAAACATGCATAATATATAATTTAAAGTAAATTTATGGCATGGGGGACTGTCTGCCGGATGTCGATTTCATTTGACTTAAATTTTAGGTCGACACAGAGAAAAAATAAAAAAAAGAGAAAAATTGATCATTAAATAAATATTACAATTAATAATTACATTAAGCACTAACAAACATAAACCATAATTTTTTGTTCTTAGTTTAATTTACTATAAGTATAGATTTATAAATTATTTGGGCCAGCAATTTATTATGAAAAAGCTTTAAAATATTCAAAAATTAAATTCTAATATTAACTCTTGGCGATAGTGGCGCTTATACTTGGTTAAATTTTTGTAATCATTAAGCAACAAGTCAATAAGCTGTGTCTTATTCAATTTAACAAAATTTAGATGCAGAAGCCGAATCTCCGATAAGATAGTGCATTTTGCAATAAAATGCACTATGTCTTCTTTAACAGTTTTATAAAAACTGACAAACACAAACATTCTTTGTGTACACACTGGTCGGTGGAAATAAAAATAAAATAAATATTTTCTCAACTACCAAGGAGGAAAGCAGTTTAAAAGCTAGAACCTGCAATAACTCTGGCCAAAGGTAAAACAATCCTAGTCTATTAATTACCTTCGGGGCTCTGTCCGAACCCTGGATGATGTGTCACATTACGTATGCGGGAGGAGGCACTCGCATTATTTTGAACACGATAATTATCAAAATGAAAAAAAAAAACCTTGAAAATAAGACAAACTGAAGGAAAATAACTCTTGGAGGCTAATTAACAGTGGACTGTATGGAAGCAAGGCGGAAGGGAACATAACTAGAACAGGAAAAAAAAAACAAATTGTGTGGTGGGAGCAGAGCTAGGATAAATTCTAGCTTTAAAAAAGTGGCACTAGGGAAACAAAATAAACAATTATAATTCACGATATTTGGTACAAACATTCTTTATGGTTTTTTTTGCAAGGAATGTTCAATTTTAGTGAACGTGCTCAATAGAACAAGTTGCTTCATGCCTTTGTGTTAACACAATGCCAAGTATGACGTATCTGTGTGTTCAAGTTGTATACCTTCTATGGCCCTACAAGCACGTTCAAATACCCTACTTTTCTAAAGTATTGCCTGACTTTATTAGCTTCAATAAATCCTTCAAATCTCCAGGTACTTCACAAATAACAAACATGAATAATTGTCTTAATTCAGTAATTACAAAAATCAACCAAACCGTATGAAAGGTCACAATAACAAGAGAAAAAACTGCAGATAATTAAGAGAAAAAATAAAGTCCACCACTGAAGAAGGCGAAAAGTTGACATGCCTAAGTTAGCGGGAAATACATAACCCCCACATTCCTAGAGAAAATTCTAACAATGCAACAAAAATGTTTATTCTTTAAAAAAAAGTTCATTTATTAATGTTGATAAGAATAGTTTTTTAATTAAATTTAATTTTATACAGTAAACTTAAAACTACCATTAACAACTAATGCACAATAACTTTTCTTAATGGTTTCCAATCAAACTAAAATTATTCACAAAATGAATTTACAAAAAAAGAAAAAATGCAATTACAATTTTAAAGAATGTTTAAGCGAACAGATCCTCCCTGTCTGCTCCAAGACTCAGCCCAGCTTCCTCAAGTGAAGAAAAGTTAAGAAAATGTGCAGGCCTGTGGATTTCATGGTAGAATTCCTTTGGGTTCGCAAGCGTCAACTCATATTTCATATTCGGGTCATGACGCACACCTAAACATAAACATTTAAAATGTATATATTCATTATAAAACAAAAATCCATGTTCAATGCATACCCATAAAATTGTAATTCCAAGATCCCTGAGCGGGCACCATAAAGAAACCTAAAAATCTATCGGAGAGTAACATTTGTACTTTTTCATAATGACTTGGCAAGTAACCCTTGGGATTGTTCCCTTTGTCTGTATTTTGCCTTCCCCACTCAAAACCACTGAAAAGAAACAAAATCAATTAAAGTTTATTAATAAATACAAATATATAAATAAAATCATAAAGTACCTTGGAGTAAGTTTGTAAGCAGTTAGGGAACAGGATCCTGGCGTGAAACTGCATGTGATAACAACTGTCTTTTCCCCATCCCAAGACGGGTTATCAGCCATGACTTTGGCATGTGTAGTTATATCCTGTAAACCAAAGAGTAATTAAATAAAATAGTTTGTAGTTTGAGGAAATAAATAAAAGTACCTGAGGGGATAACTGAGGAAGTTCGTTGGGCTGAGTGTGTATCCAGCCGAGTGGCTCCATATCTCGTAAGAACTGGTGATTTGGTAATGCCTGGGGGAGGTGGACAGTCTGATGGGTTCCCCACTGAGGCGGCATAACAATGCATCTTATTTCCTTCACCTGCGGATTGTCGGCAGGGCTCACACCGTACAAATAACCTGCAATCTACAAGGAGTTGGTTAGACACCATAGTTTTTAGTTAAGTAAAAATAAAACAAATCCATACTTGTGCTCTTAAATCTGAAATTGTAACAAATTTCTTGAGAACATTCTTCGGAAGAATGTATGTATATCCTGTTTCTTTTATGTCATCAGAAGACACATAAATGTAGTTGGTCCGGAGGTGAAGATTAGTAGCGGAAATAGCTCTTACTCTCCATTCAGTCTTTGAACTGCAAAAAAACAAGAACACAGCCGTTATTAAATTTGTATGTTGATTGCATGTAAAAATTCAACAAACCTAAATGTTTGTGTTTCATAATTAGAAGTAGTTGCAGTTATGATTTCATCTCCATGTTTGTTGACAGTTCTTGTCGTCGTGGCTGTCAACTGCGACTGTTCCTTGGTCTGCTTTTCAATCTCGGCAATTTGTTGCCTCTGAGCAGAAGGTGCACTTATCTCCATACCCAAGATGATATCACGAATTTCAGACTGTGTCAATGATGCAACATTTACACTAAAATAAGAAAAAAAATTAAACTTTACAGTAAAAATGTGAATTTTTTTCAGTGAAACTTAAAAAACTTACTTGTTCTTTTTACCATAATCTGCAAGAATGAGATCTTTAAGCTGGACTTCAACTTTAATCCACTCGTCATCAGACAAAGTAGGCCATATGTGATGTGGCTCTGTTATTGTTGTTTTATCGGGTTTGAGCATAACTTTAGTCCTTTCTGTATTAACGTGAAGCGCCCTCAAAATCAAAATAAGACGTGAAAAGGCCTAAAAAATATTTTAAAAAACTTAGATCACAAGAAAAGCAAAATTTCAAAACAAACTGAATACCGTATAAGAAGAGATAGTCTTGAGCCAGTCGTCATACAAGTTGAACAATACCATCTGCGGCTCTGTGGCTTTCAAAATAAGATCTCCAAATTTCTCAACTTTAAGGCAGGCTTGGAAGGGTAACTGCAGTTCAGATCCTTTGATAACGATGTTAGGGAAATCCAGCAAGTGGACCTATATCCAATCATTTATTTTTTTTTTAGTATATTAAACATTTCATAATACTCCATATAACAAACCTCAAGAGGATCCAACATTCCTTTTCTTGTTACGATGATCTGTTTAGGCTGTTCTTCAACTGGTAACGATCTAATTAAAGCAGCGACTTCTTCAGCTGTTTTCCATTTGGCCAGCTACATTTTTTCAACATATTTAATTAATGAAATGATACAATCAAGTATTTTAAAATGGCTAACCTGGCCAAGACGTTTCTGCCCTGCCCAGACGGAAGTGTGGATGATCTTCAAGAAAAGCTGTCCTGTTCTGGGATTGAATATGAAAATTGCTCCATTGATGGGCTTGGTTGTCAGATTACCCTCAAAGGTTTTGTGGATTGTGACTCGATACACATTGGTGTCATCAACGAACCTATTTAAAATTTGATTAAATACCATGTTTTATAAGAATAGTAAATGTATGTTAATTTTTTCTTACCAGATAATTTGATTAGAAAATAGTTCTCCGTAGTTTTGTGAAGACAAGTAAGGCTCAGTCGGCTCTGAAGAATAAAGTTGGAGTGCTTTCCTGATTCTCTCTCTCAACACATATAAGGCTGGGTTCGCCTTCATTATTTTAGCCATGGCCTGTTGTATTAAAGGCTTGCACCCTGGGTACCAATTCCCGTAAGCACTGGACCAAATATAATTAGTTTTTGGTACAAACGACGCTGGGAGAGAAAAATTAAAAAACAAACCTGTGCAAGTTGTAAGCTAAATCGATGGCAATAAGCACTCCCGTGGGCGAGGGATAGATTGACATATTATCTGTGGTGTAGTCTAGAAACTTTGCTCTGGCGTATCTTTCAATATCGTGGGAATCATAGTCTCCCCACCTCAGTTGTACATCAATCCAGTATTTCTGAGTTGTAGTGTTATCCATAGTGTCTCTACAATTTACAAAATAACATTTAACCAAAGCCATTTTTGTCAAAACAAAATTGATGTAAGTGCAATCACAGTACTAATTTAATGCAAGAGGGTAATTTTTTTTTATTATTACTTTGAATCAGCTAGTAAAGATGGTCTTGATACATTCCATTTGTAAGCAGCAAACAGCAAAATGTCAGCACAACTCGAATTCATTTTGTACGACTTCCTAGGATGGATGGTTTCCTTCTGTACGGTTTCAATTTCAAGCGCATCTAACTCTTGATCGAACACCTAAACAAAAACAAAACAATTGGAAACGCCTTTCTTTTAATTTTGATCCAAAATATGCATTTTATTGATACCTGGCATAAATCCATAACAATTGATTCATGAACTTTCTGCCATAAATGGGCTCTAAAGATTTGAATAAGAGAAATCTTGAGTGTAGGAATTTTTCCGTGCATGAAAATTCCTGTCAAATCCAGTTGTACCTATAACAAGAAAACAAATGACCAGAACTTTAAAAATAAGGACAATCAGGAAGCGATGAAAATTCTAGGACAACACAACATTATATATTATAATTATTTATTACAATATATTGAGGGGTTGTGGTAAATTAGTGGTCAGAACTACAAGAAAATAATAATGGTACGTTTTAATACATAGAAGGGAAATTAAGAGCTTTAGCATAAACATATCAAAACTATTGTGATTTTTTATTCAATTTACCTGGAAACCAACGTAGACATTGGCTCTGTTAATTGTAGGCGACCACCACAATGTAAATCTTCTGTTTGGAATTTGGTTCAGACCAGATCTCTGAGCGTTAGTAAGTTTTTTGTATTTCATAGACTCTTCGAACCCTGATGCTTTTTCCCTATTTAAAAAATAAATAAATAAAAAATTGGTAAAAAATAAAGCGTGTTAAAAACAATAATAAAACCTCACCAAAAGAGACCTTCCCAAGTGGGAAAGTATGTGCCTTTAAATAGCGTGTGCTCGAGGATGCCTTCAACGCCGCCAAGGGCTTGAATCATGTCCGTCCTGTAGTTGTTCAGATTCCACAGCTTTCCATCGTGCCTTTGATGCGTCCACCAGAATGGGTTCTGTTTAAGTACTTGATACATTTTAAATTCTGTCCTGATCCTCCACCCCTTGTCATATGCAAGCGTGTGCCTGTCTTTCTGGAAGAGCGTATTAATCCTGGGAATACCCCTGTCCCAACTGTCTTCGAGATCTTCGAGGGTCAGACGCCTGTTCTGCGCGTTCGCCTCTTGTCTTTTAAGGGCGTATTCTGCCCACACTCTCTGTGAATCGATAAATTCAGATTCCCAAGGTTGGATGTAACGATACAAGTTAGGGATCAGCTGGTCCTCATCGTGACTCATACCCGATCTAAAATGGGTTATTCCTACATCCGTCTGTTTGGACCACCTCAAATCCGACTATGAAAAAGAAATAAATAAAAAAAACTGCCAAATATACCAATTTAAAATGTATATAAAGAATTTCGTATCTTACTTGTGGAATAAGAACGTGACCCATAGAAAGCATACCAAGACCTCCTAATTCTTTAGGTGTGTAAAACACCACAGGAGGGAATCTTGAAGGCATTTTAGAATTCAAACCTATCTTTATACGTGTTTGAATCTTGTTTTCGCATTTCACTAATAAGTCCAGCAGCTCTTGAGTGTTGACAACAGCTTCTCTAAAGTAAGTCATCAGACCTATTAAAGCTGTATTCCACTTGTTGACAATCTAGTTAAAATAAAAAAATAAACAATTATGAGGTTATAGAAAATAAAATATATCTTATTCAATATGTTGTCAAATCTTCTATAATTTTGATTTTTGATCTAAAATGAAGTGGTCTTGTCTTGATAACTGTCTAAATATTAGTCTCAGGGCTGTAAATGTGGTTCGCTGATATGGCCTTTAATTTGCACTCAAAGGTTGGCGGTGGGGACCGCGGTAGCCGAGTGGTTAGCATGAGAAACTCTCACGCCGCGGTCGTGGGTTCGATTCCCACCGTCGCCTCTGGCCCTTTTTTCCCGATAACCCCCAATTTGAATTTGAACATACAAGAATTCGTACCATGGCTAATATGCAAGATCATAAGGCCAATAAAAAAAAAAAAAATAAAAAAAAATAAAGTAAAAAAAAATTTAAGTTGGCGGTGAGAACACTCAGTGCTTTGGCCTTCAAGACCAGCACTCTGGCTTCTTTTCATTCCATGTAATACTGTAGCACTGCGATTCGTGTTTATGTATACAGTTTATAGTCAACTATCAATTTATGTAATAGTAAGTGTTTTTTGGTCAATATTTCTATATAAAACCTTAAATCAAGCTTATAAAAAACTAGAAATTTTATAAGGCAGCTCCAGCCCTCACAAAAGCAAACTAAAACTATAAATTGTGCATATTTTTACAAAAAGGAGGATTTGGGTGATGTGAAGAGAACCCAATATTCGATGCCAAGCGAGTGAGACTCTTTAGGTAGCATCACAAAGCTAGTATGATGTAATCAGTGAATGACACCGATGGTGTGTGACCCTCTACCGATGCTGCCCATGAACCAATGGACCCATGAAATAATGACATCCAACCACCATACATATGTCAAAGTTGTCTCTGAGCTAATGGATATCAACACACTCAAATTGATGCAATATAAGACCAATGCAGTGGGCGACTGCTTCAAAACAATTTTCAAAACCAATCCAATCCATTTTGATTACCCTTCAGCGTTTGAGATCGACTTTGAAAAGATATTGAAAACGACAGCATACTCAAACATAACGACTCCATTGCAGCTAGCAAAACTTACATGGATTGAGCAAACATTGTTGGCATAATAAGACAATGATTATTGAGGTCATCAGTCTCTGTAGCAATTCCACCTTAAGAAAACAATGATGGTAACACATGCCTAGTATGCCTTTTTAAATATTATTTTGGCTGTGAAATTCAGAGATCGTACACTGCTTATCCTCAGTGCCTCACACATACATCTTCAAGTACATGTATGTATATGTCAAGTTATGTCTTCATCAATCATTCCTGCCATATACAGCAAACTTGACAAAAATATTATTAATCAAAGAGTATTAGTCAAAATAATATGAACCATTCTGCTTTATGTTAAAACAAAATTTGATAAGCATTCAATGTTTTGTTTTAATTTTAATCCACAAGTGTCTCGTTAACATTTTATGTTGAACCAACGACTGTGAGCCCCGATGCAGCCCCACCTGATTTTGTTAAATTATCAATTAAATTATATTGAAACGGAATAAAACAAACCTTAGTAAATGTTGTGGATCCTGAAGCCATAAGAATCTGTCGCACCCTGTTATGGAATCTTTGCAAGGATTCGTCGTCAACTCTCAGAAAACACTGTGCTGTTCTTTCTTTAGTGACTTCATTTTGTAAATTCCATACACCATCTTTATGAGTGAATTCATCGTGTGTAGTTCGGCACTAAAAATTTCCATTTAATTAATACACACAGTTCAATTATTTAAAATTTTTATGATTTCTTACTTTTGGAAGAATCCTGCATTCAAAGCCTCCCATATTAAAAAGCAAGTTGGGATTATCCTTAGAATAAACAGAAACAAAACTGTTTTCCCATTGGACTGTGGTCGTTGATCTGGGAAGCCTGTTCTTTATGTCCCAGAAAACGGCACGACCGAGGTTGACATCATGTTTCATAAGCCTCATCCTAGCATCCCTCGGCCAGCATTTCTTATTGTTGTACCCAACTATGTTTTCATTGTTTGGATCTGGATGTTCTGTTAGGTATCTTTGAATAAGCTCTCTTGCTTCTTCAGCTGAAAATCTATTTTATAAAATAGAAAAATAGAGGTGATAAATTTTCTATTCAAATTGTGACCTTAAGCAAATACAGAAAGAATAAAAACAGACCTGAAAAATATATGAACTCGGTCAACGTATCTACAGTATAAACGGATAGGATGAGCTTTTTCTGTTGTTGTATCCTGAAACGTCAAGAAATCATTGGGCATTTGAGGAGGTCCGGCCATTTCTGATGCCCTCTGGAGACCCAAGACAAGAAGATCTAATACCAGCCCATAATACTGGACGATAAATGAAGCAAACTGTAATCCTCTTATTATTCCATAACTGTTTGTGTGATTCATGTCCTTTAAAAAATAAATAAATAAAAATTACAGTATTAACAATAAGATTTTTTTATTCATATATTATGCTTTTTACCTTGTAATTAATAACAACATTGTTTTTGGCTGTCATGTAATCGGCGATGTTGTGATCAACGATTAGCCTGAGCACTCTGTTGAGTAGAGTGAGATCGATTTTTTCATATATCTTTTCAAACCTAGATTCGAGCAAGACATTGCATTCGCCTTCTGAAACGTCCCAGACTTCTTGCAAGTTGTTTATACCCTGACACCATTTGTACACCAACAAAGGTGGCGGTTCGGTATCACTCGGCTTGACCCAAGGAGGGAAAAGCCTTCTTTTATCTGCTTCATACCAAAGATACTGATCGAGATAGGCATCTGTGATTTTCTCTAATGGTTCCACGTCGTAAACGGGGACTAGATGTGAATACAAGTCCATAAATTCTATACCGACCTGTAAGAATGTAAATATTATGAGAAAGAAGAAAAACATAAGATAAGCTTAATAAAACAATATTAACCTCCTTAAATGCTCTCTGGGTCAGAAGATGTCTTTTGATTCTTGACAAAGCTTCATGAGGATTGTCATAAGCCTGTTCAATCAAACCAAGCTCTTCTCTTTGACTCTGATTCAACCGGGATTTCACACTGAAATAAAGTTTAAATAGTTTAAACTCGTATATAAAAAGATTGATATATCTAAATAACAACTATAAAAAATAACATTTTTGGCTTTAACTGTAATTTTAGGAATGGCCTCCTTATAAATTGAAAGTTAAATATTACCTGTATGCTTCTTTAAGTCTTTCCAATGCTAAAATAAGTAGTTTTGTGTCATGTTTGTATGACAACGGGGGGAAAGGAATCGGAGCAAATCTCCTCGACTCGAGCCAATGCACAGTAGTTGTATAAATAGCCACAGCTTCCTCAGGCGAAATATAAGGTCCATCCTGAATAAAATAAGATGCGGTTATATTTATTTAAAAAAATAAACGATTTGAAATACCTTAAGGTAATTGTGCTGACGTTCTTGCTCCGCCTTCAAGTACAGACGAGTCAACCTACCGAGATTTTTCTTACACACAGTTTTATCTACAGTCGCACCCCTACGGATACGCTCTCGGTTATAATGAGCTGTGTTAGTCCACCAGTCGGCTTTCATTTTGACATAACGAAGGATCATGTTTTCAATCGGAATCGGTAAACCTGGCACCTGAGAAAAATTACCGTTGTATAAAAGACTAACAAGGAAGTATAACTATACTCACTTTCCATGGAATGTTGGCCTTCCAACATCTCCAAGCTTCCGAAAGATGCTGAAGGATTGTTCTCGCCTTGTTCTGCTTAATACCTTCCGGCATCATGTCTACGATGTCGTGCATCACCTAAAAGATACACAATACAGTTTGCAAATTTTTATATGATTGTAAAAAGAAAAGAAGAATAAGTTCTTACAGATGCTCTAAGTTCAAGATCAAAGTGACTCTCAACTCTCTGTTTAGTTACGGTTTTTGCAACTCCTTTGCTGTGCCGACCTTCAAATTGTCTCGAAAGAAGATTACCTAGCCACCTTTCTAAAAGAGGAGTGATCCCTCTCATAAAGAAGAGCCAAACTCTCCAACCCGGTGCCCAGATTCCACAGCCTGGTCCTTTACTAACTGGGCCCTGGGACGAACAAACAATAAAAAAATAATAACATAAAAAATTAAATAAATAATAATACCAAATGCTATACGAAATTGGGTTTTAAGAAAAATTATATTTGGTTGTACAATATAAAATTTAATTTAATTACATGAACTAATACCACCAATTTCAAGCAAATAAAAATGAATTGTAAATATTAAACGAAATAACTTACAGTATTAAAACGATAATAAATCAAATGTTTTAAATCTTTGCACATTCTGATTTGTCTCATCAATTTGTATTTGTATCTGTACATTCCCGTCAACTGGCCTACATGCGAAAATACGTACTGCAGTCCATCTGCTAATTGGAATGCATCAACATTGTTTAAACGGTACTGGACATGAGAATCGATGATAAGCTTAGTGAGCCTTAGAATTTCTCTACAAAGATGAAATGCTGAAAATAAAAATAAAATATAATACAAACTTGCAACACTAATAATAATTTAATTTTAAAAGGACTTACCATTTCCGAACCGAGACTTTTTCCTCTCTTTTGTCGTAAGTGTTTTAACTGGTTTCAAGTTAAAATTGTAGTCAAGGTGAAGGTAGTTGAGATTTTTTCTGTGGATTAACAGATTAAGCATATTATATCCCTGCCTGCAGACTTGGAGACCAGCTTCTACCCAGTCAAGCGTTGTCGTCTGGAAAAACTTAGTCCCTTTGAAAGACCTGAAAAGGTAGCGCTTCTTCTGTGGTTTCGGCGGTCTATGCTTCAAAGCATTCAGGACAAAGTATTTTAAAAGTTTCTGGTACGAAACTCTGACTTTCACGGGCTGTCCCGGTGGGACATGCTCTCTATACCAAGATTTGACAAGGGGAACGTCGACCGCTCTTCTACAACGACCCGATCTCATATTAAACGGGCGAGGGGACCACAGCAAGGAAATACCGTTTGCGGTGTTGTCAGTGTACAAGGGTGTTTCTTGTAAAAACGGCTGAACGTCTACACCCAATTCAAATTCTTCGTCATCTTCAGGAAGTGGTTCTGAAACCTAACAATCCGGTTTAATAAGTCTGATAACAACCATTTGGCATTTTACTCACTTTGACAGAATGCCTGTGTGAAATCGGATTAATTAAAGGATCAAAATAAAACGCAGGAAGATCAGGATCCTCTGTTTTAATAAAAACAACATTTGGGGCATGGTACCTAAAATAAAATTGGGTTAAATTTTCTAATTAACTAGTTTTTTTTTATGTAAAACCTTGCATATACACATTAAATTCTATGTACTTACCAAGAGAGTTTAACATAATGAGGCAGATTGTTGTACAAATAAGGAAATGCAATCCTATATTCAGTTCTTATAGGCTGCCTAATTATAATTTTGTTAATATCATTGAATTCATTCCAATCTTCATCTCTATAATTTTACAAAAAAAAATTATATAACTATCAACTAATTATAATTACCATCAGATTTAAACTGATAAAAAGAAGGCTTCACACTCAAGCTTCAATTAATTTATTAATGAAAATCAATAGTGTACTATTTAGGATGAAAAATTACTTACGCAGCGTTGGAATCTTTAATTAAAGGTTCGAATTTTGGCCCTCCGGGAATGGCCATGTTCAACGCTTTTGCAGTAAAGAACGACTTTTGATCGAACAAGTAAAAATAGTTATCGTCGACGAGATCTGTGAGCAACTGATTGGCCAAACGGTATAGAGTTGCCATTTGGGGCAAGCTAAGATTCCACTTTCGATAAGTGGCGCCATTCACATGTCTGAAAACATCGAACTCAATATTCTTTGTTAAATTTGAATGCAGAATCGAATTATTACCTGGTTCCGACAAGCGGTTTATGATCATAAAACCACTTGATTACCGAAGCGTCTTCATCTGTATCGAGGTCTATCTGGATTGCTTCAAGAGGTTCAACATCGAGGACGTTGTCAGCGTAGTCCAAAGGAGGCTCTTCGTCATCAAATGGAGGGAACCTCATCCTCTTGAAATGCCTCCTGTCTCTCTTCTCTCTTCTCATCATAATCCACATAGTTCTAAGGGGAAAGTGGATTAGAAAAATTGAAATTCTTGAATGTTACCAGGTGGTTAGTTCAATAACACTTACCCCCACTGTGCTATATAAACTGGCTCAATTACCCAAGGTATTTCATTTACAAATGTAATGGCACCAGTAATGTGATAGAGAACTTTTACATCCCTGATTTGTTCCCAAGGCATGGGCATATTTTCTAAGAGTTTCATTACAGCATGAGGCATATACTTCAAAGCCCTTAAAAAATATAGAATATTAATCACATAACAAATTATATGCAATATATAATTTTAAGGAGTAAAAAATAACAATGATAATTGTTTATTAAATAATTTAAGAGGTGATTACCCCAAGTAAACTCGTTTGTCGTGTCTATACTTGCGACTAGACATGTCTCCATGATCTCTAATAATTTTCCTGATGTGCTCTGGAGGCATGTCTTCCTTCTGTGCATCCACGAATCCAAACTTTCTTTTCTCGGAGAATCGTTTTGACTGAAGTTGCTGCCATTTTTGAGCTGGAAGAAAATCAAAAAGAATTAATTGAAAACACGACAAAACTAATTATTCATTAGATACCTTTCTCTTGTAGTTTGTCATCGGTGATCGGCTCGGGGAGCTTGGGAGGGGGCTGTACCTGAGCCTGCGCCACCTGACTGGCAGCGACAACTTGTGCAGCAGCCAGCTGATGGTGTTGCAACGCCGCCAACTGGTGAGCATGAGCAGCAGCATGGGCGAGCTGTTGAGCAGCAGCTGCCTGTTGCTGCTGCTGCGCCTGCACCATCATAGCGGCTGAGGCCCATGGATGGGCCCCAAGCAGATACGGTGGGATCGCCATATCTGAAAAATAAAATTATTATTAATTTATTATGAACATAATGAAATATGCTGAACATCTGGAACTCAATCAAGTTGTGTGTTTGGTTTAAATTGTGATTTCTTATATCCCCTGCAGCAAAAAAAAAAAAAATTTGCTAAAATAGTTGCTGAACAATTTAACCTTTTTTTATTAGACATGTTGGAGACCTACAGTTTAACAATTTCCAATTATATTTCTCACACAACCCAGAAAAAAATCTATAAATGCCACGTTTTCTAAATTCCATAATATATTAATATGTACAATAAAACATTAATAAAATTTGATTTTATATATCTAAATGAGATTCTTAGATTTAGATTTCTTGGACATGTTAAGTTTTTGTCAAACATTGACGCACAACTTTGGCCAGACCATCACATGCGCAACGTCAATGAAAACTGGCATACCGAAGAAAAGAAAATGGATAAACTGGACGAAAAACTGACCTGTGGCTACACATAGTCAGTTTACTGTTGTTTTTTTTCCAATCTGGATTCAGCCAACTGCCAGATGCACTGAACATTTTTGGGCCATTAAATGAATTCTCCTGAAAACAACATAACTGTGTGCTCTATCATGAAAGAAACACAATGGAGAGGAAATGAAAATGAGGCAAGGCAGGCAAGGCAATCAGCTGGATGGGAGCCACTTGGTACCCGGTTGTGCAAGCCCAAGAACCTGGTGGCCACCACCTGGTGCTGGTCCTCTCTTTATTTTTGTTTGGTCATAGTGGGTTTGGGTGTTTATGAATTCCCTGTGTTTTCTACACTTAGATCTATTTGAGTGTGGAGTTCGGTCAAGACCAAAGTTTAAAGATTATTTCTTGATTTCAGAAGTTTTGTCCAAGATGTAATATCCAACTGTAGCATCAAATTTCATAAAACCCTGCCAACCACCAGAAATTATCAAATCCAAAAACTCTCATCCCAATGAATTCCCTCAAACTCTCTTCATCGACTAAACAGATGAGGACCCTCACTTCACAGATTGTTAAAAATAAGAAGTTTTATATTAAAAAATATAAAGCTAAATTTTTTCTTAATACAGATTTCTTTATTACAGGGGAAAAAAAAGCCAAATAACTTTAAAATTTACTTCAAAATTATTTAAAAATCTTCTTTTTTTGCAATTTTACTTATGTATTTTTTCATTTCTTAAAAATCGTCTTTTTCCTGTTTGTATTATCTATTTTATCCTTAACTGTGTTCTGTATTTTTAAAGTTTATCTTGGGAATAAATAATTGTTGTCATAATTTTCATTTGTGACAAATCACACATTTATAATTATGTATGCATGTAAAAATAACTTTTTTTTTTAAATTAAATTTATATTTTTTAAATAACTGGTTAATTCCGTAAGTTTTGGTTTTTAAACTTTCAACTATTTTAAATGTTTTATCTATTTTTTTTTTCTTCTTGATGTCCTATGCTTTTTTAGAAAGAAGAAACTTCATGGGAGCAAGAAAAAAAATTACCTTATTGTACTGATTTTGAAAGTAGGACATTATTTTTCTACACAGAAAAGCCAACATTTACTGATTTACAAAAATTTATTTAACATTACTGAAGCATTGTCACGACAGCCGTACCGACGGACACTATATGGAGCCAGGTCAGGCCGAGTCAAAATGGGTCGGGACACAGATAGTCTACTGCTGATCAGCCTCTGGGTTGAAAGTGATAATCAATCATATATCTAACAGTTAACTGGCAGGGATAAGATTGGCTTTGTTATTTATGTCTAGTTTTGTAGTTTATGTACGAGGCTTTGGTTTTTCTTTTTTGAAGTAGACAATCAAAGTGAGAATTACTGAATTGCGAATAATTATTTATTGGGAACTGTTACTGCAACTAAACTCTTATGGTGAGGTATACTGTGCTCAGCTAGAGCATCTTGGGCCTGGTAAGAAAAACGTCCTGCTCTGTGAATAGACGCAAAGCCTTGTTTCACCATGACAACACCAGGCCTAACACAGTTGCACTAACTTGGAGTAAAATCACAGAGTTGGGCTGGCAACAAACGCTCCATCCTCCATAGTCTCCAGGCACGCTCCCCTTCCAATGTTTACTTGTTCCACTCCCTAGAAAACTGCTTAAAATGTAGGGAGTTTTTGCACAGAAATGCACAGAAAATCATATTTATAGAATTTTTCTCTCCTAGGCTACCACTTGTACAAAAATGGGATATTTCTGCGAACAGAACGTTGGCAGTATGTTATAAAAAATGAAGGAAATTATGTTTTGGATTTTTCTGGGAAAAAAAAAAAAAAAAAAAAAAAAAAAAAAAAAAAAAAACCTTATGCAATAACATTTGGTGTTATCTTTTATGATGCATCTTTTCTTGATGAAAGTTTTGAGTCTTAAGAGCTTGGCAACAACATTTTTTATTGCATATATTAATTGTGGATATGACGCTGGGATTCCATGCTCAGGATCAGTTTTTTCAAGTTATGTTCCGAGTCATATAACAAAAAAGGCCCCTCAACAGTCCTAGGGTGTTCATATTCCTTTTATATTAGTTTGGCAATAAGTAATGTCGTTTTTCAATCATTGTAAATATTGATAATTAACCCAAATTATAATGGAAAATTATATTACTTTTTTTTATATCAAACCTGTATTGTTGTTTAATTTCAACATATTGAATTACTATTACATGTTATATGGTTTTTGTTGTTGATTAGAATTTATAGTTGCAAGACATTATCCTTTTAATTAATTTAGTCTATTATTATTATTATTATTATTAATTTTTAAGGGCGTTTTAACGGATAAGGTCATTTCAAGCCCTAACATCCAAACCTTCTATCTTAGGTTAGCTATATCTCTTCTGAGTGCTATAAAGCTCTGACTCCAAACATTCACTCGTAATCTTATTTATCCTATTGCCATCCAAGCTTTAATTTTTCTTTTTAAAATTCTTAATTCGGAAGGCCAAATGCCTACAAAATTCCCATTTTAAATTGCATAAAATTTAATAAATTTATAAAATTTATTTCTGTTTCTTTTTTTAATTAGAATTGTGAATTTTGTTCCATAATTTAAAAATTCCCCGTAGGCTTGTATGGCTAATAATAATAATAATAATGGAGTCAGACTAGCAACAGTCTCAGCATGAGTATTGGCTCATCCTTATCCTTTTATTCTTCCATTCAAATATGATACATAAACTAATTCTACATAACAATAATAAGAAACAAAACACAATAACATTTCTTTATCTTTATCTTCTTTTTTTTTGTTTTGGAGGGAGCTATTTTTCTTATTTAAATTGCGATTTTGGGCATTGCAGTTTATTCCCCCGCAATTTGTATTTTCTTCCATTTCATTTTTCCGCTCCGGCAGCCTCAAAAACCTCTGAAAGAAGAAATCTTGCACGCACAACTTTTATTCAAACATTAGCAGGCATTCAATGATATAACAATTTGGGAAAAGGCCTAAATCTCATTATAAATTCCAATAAATTTGAGAAAGCTGAAAAGTGCTCTTCGAAAGAAACACTGGGGACCCAGTAACTCCTGTAAATCACTCGAAAGGTTGAGCCTTTGCCTAAAGGGTTGTAAAGTGGGACAGTCGACCAAAATATGTTTTACTGTCAAAATGGTGCGTTCTCCACTTCGCGTACATCGAGGACAAGTTGGAAGGTTGTTGCCTATTAAAAGCCTATTATGGATTAGCCTGATATGACCTATTCGCAATCTAGTGAGAATCACAAGTTCTTTTCTCTCAAGTTCCTCAGTTGGCCACTTATGTACAACTGGCTTAATTTCTTTCATACTATCTCTACAGACATTCCATCTTGCCGCCCACTTTCGTTTGATAATGTTTTTAACATAACCGACTATATCATCTGGACGGAGAGGAAATTGATCTGTTCTTTGTGGATGGTTTGCAGCGTTTCTTGCCTGTTGATCAGCTTTTTCATTTCCAGAAATGCCGACATGACTAGGAACCCAAACAAATATCACATGTTTGTTGAGTGTTCTGATTTCATAGAGATATTTGTGAATTTCTAAGATGTAAGGGTCAACCGAGAAATTATTTTTGATTGCTTCGAGACTACTTTTCGAATCAGAGCAAATAATGGCATTACAAATTCCAGGCGATTCCTTTATAATGCTCAATGATCTTCTGATTGCATGAAGTTCAGCTGTGTATACGCTAGCCTCATTCGATAGAGACCAGCTAAAGTTATACTCATCAGCAAATATCCCACACCCTACACCAATTTCATTTTTAGACCCATCGGTATAAAAAACTTTATAATTGGGATAGTTATTTAAAATTCGCAAGAATTCTGCCTTGATCATCAGAGAAGGTGTTTCTCTTTTGTTCAACAAGGCCAGATCTTCGATAATTGTGGCAGTAGGTAATGCCCACGGTGGGATATCTAGCAATTTAAAACCCTCAACCGCCGGCAAGGTATTCCCTCCTAATCTCAACATTTCAGTACCGCGGATTCCGAGAGGTCTCGTCCTAGTTCTTAGGAACGAGTACATATCTTGGTGAGGGTTACGGAAAACTGAAGGAAATAGAAGATGGAAAGGCTTAGACCAAAGTCTAGCAACAAACCTAAGAATTGCCTCCTCCCTGAAAAGTTCCGGAGGAAGCACACCGGCATCATTGCAGAGACTATATAAAGGGCTTGTTCTAAACGCCCCTGTTGCAATTCTGATACCTTGATAATAAATTCTATCTAGAGGTTTTAAAGTTGATATTCGCGCTGAAGAGTAACCTGCTGCTCCATATCGAAACTTTGCTCCTAAGTACATGCTGAATATTCTTAAAAGAATGTCTCTATTCGCCCCCCAATTGTAATTAGCAAGGAATCTCATCAGGCCTAGTATTTTCCTTCCTGAATTAGACAATTGGGCTATTTGAGGTTTCCATCGAAGGGCTTTGTCGAAAGAAACTCCCAAATATTTGACAACGTCGACTTCCTTTATTTCAACGCCAGAAAGGAAAAGCCGAGGTGTTT